TATCTGATTTCAAGGCTCATTAAAGTGCATATGAACAAACGCTTATTCAAATAGTATAGCACAAATTTAAGAGTTTTACAAAATAGAAAACCTTAATCAATTTGTTTCATACATTTTTGATAAGTTGTTAAATAGCGGAGTAGTAAAATATTAAAAACTATCTTTTCAGAGAAAACTGTTGATATGAAAAAATCCACAGACATAGTTTTTTGACCGCAGTTGTTGGTGAAACAAAAGGCGTTGTTCGTACATATATTGCCGTACAAATTGGCAGTCGGTGTTCGTGCGTCCGTGTCCGGAAAAACGTAGCGGATTGCAATTAATTCCGCTCAGTCAGCGGATATCTGACTGATGGGGAAACGCCGGCCTGGAACGGAGCCGGATAATAGGTCTTCTACGTGGAATAAAAAACATTCTGGCCAGCACGTGACACCCGCTGCCCAGGATCATTCAGCCAGCTCCTACCAATTGATGGCGCCCCATATGCAAATGATGACGACAACGACAGCGAAGGTCTTTTTTTTATTTACTACCCATAGGGAACATGGAGATATTAAGTTGCCGCGATAGCCCGTAAAAGACACTCCCGTAACACTATAGATTATATGAGTAATCGGTGTCCAGGTCGATATATGTACATGAAGGAGGAGTATTGAAGCCAACAGAGAAAGCTGCTCGTAAATAGAACAAGTTGAGGTGTTTCAGGGTTTGTCAGAGTTGTAATCCATAAATCCTGAAATAAACAAGGTCCTTTGCAGGAAGCTTAATTGGGTCACAAGTTTTGTTGATACTAAAGGCAAAGGGATTTTTATATTTAACGAAAAGTTAATTGCAACTTAGTGATAGGCTAAAGCCTAATTCATAGTTATAATAATAAAATCTATTAATAGTTCCCAATATAATTCTAAAATTGAACTGTTTTTTTTTCTCTGTGTATCGTCTTAGCTTTCGTTACGGTTTCAAAATGGTTTTCCGCTGGTGCCTCTGTGTGCAAGTGGGCACGGATCCTTTCAGCCGACGGGAGAACTTGACATCCCGGTACTCCTGCTCCGGTTCTCCGGATCACAATCGCATCAAGCGCAATGGTAAGTGGCAGTTTGCACATGAAAAAGGATTGAACGCTAATGAGTTTTGCATTGATAGATACCCAGAAATCCATACTTTATACCTGCCCCAGCTCACCGAAATCGCATCGAATTTCGCACAGCGGTGAGTTGGTCCCTAGACCCCTCGAAAAGGGTAGTATCTTATTAATCTTTTCTGAAATCCATTCCACAGGAACAAACCGCAGTGCGACGCTGAGAAGTAGTCTGCCGGCGGAGTCCCAGTCATCCGGCGGAGGACACAGGAAGAGGATGTCCTACCAGCAGGAGCTGCAGCAGCGGTGGTCGGGTCCGACTAGTGCCACCAATTCCAGCAATACGGCCAACACCACTCAACTGCTCTCCTGACAACCGGCCATCGCAATCCAGGTGGTGCCGCCGGAGAGCCTGGAGATGCAGACCCAGATCGTGTGCTCATCGCCGTACAACAACAACTACCGACGCACCAATCCTGGATTGTCCGAAAGGGACTCGTCCGACGACAAAACCTGGCTCTAAGCTATTTTAAGGTCTCGAATTTATACTTTTACAAAAGGTCTTTGGAGTTAATTGGAAGCCTAAAAGTCCCCTAGTCTAAATTTCAATTCGTTCTTGAAGAAACCAAAGCTAAGTTATTATAACGTCCTTCCCTCCCGAACATATCAGATATAGCTGGATCACAAAAAGTAACCCACTAATTGGGCATTTTCCCTCAAAAATAGCCCACTGTGTGTCTTCATTGCTTAAAAGAAACTCAATACTTTATTGTACTTCAGTGGAAATGGTTGTTGGGACAAGGAAAAGATAAATTTAAATGTTGCAAATCAGTTTTAAGCCAAGAAATAGGTTTCCCATTAAGCTACTGATCCATTTGTGTCACTGTAAATATTCGGATTGGTTCCTAAAAACTGTTTTTAATTCTTCTCGACGCTTTACGGCTGCTTGCTTAAGATGTAACAAATAAACAAATGACTATGAATGTGAATGTACGTGTATATATAAGTGTCTGAATATAAACGTTATTGCGAATAAAGCGACTTGCTCCATCGCCATGTTGTTCTTAGTTGTATTGGGTTTCCGGGTGCACAAATAAGGACTGTCAACAGCCTAGAATGAGTACGGCAGCGACTCTGTTTATTCAGCTATTCCATCCATATTATATTCGGAGTGTGAATGGGAAATGGGGAGTGGGGAGTGGGGAATGCGAGCTGACAGGAGTGGCAAACACTCTTGCAAATCTAGCAAACCTCCAGCGAGGGTGTATGACGAATTTAAATATGAATAATCCAACTGCCTAGGGCGTCTGAATAAAGGTCTGAACACGAGCGTATTTGAATGCACATGAGCCTGTGTCTAAGCGAGTTATGCCCACAAGCCATCTTTGCCGGCTGGCGTATAAATTTTTTATCAGTAACCATTTTAGAGAAAATTGCATTTGATTTTTTTCTTATTTTATGTGCTTGATGTAAGCACTTCCCCCAACCAGCAGACCATGAACATATATATATATAAAGCTCAGGGGTAAGGATCTCAACTCACTTAATTCCACGCCCTTTTATTCGGTTATTTTTCATACCTATCAATTTATTGAACAAGGAATTTACAAATTTGTGCAAATTTATAAAAAGGACAAGGATTAACATTTCTTTAAGATTTGGATTATTCACTTTGGCGTGCAAATAGTATATTTACTCAATATGCAAATGCTATTACATGTAAACTAAAGCACAATACAGGGTATTTCCAAGTCAAGTTAATCGTTATAATTATTATATGCCTATTTGCCTTTTGTCAAATCTCACAAAAGCTTGTTTTCAAATCACCAGAGGATTGATTTCACAATATTTGCATTAGCGAAAGTCATACGACTTTCTACTTTGACCAGATATACTTACTTGCTTTCCTATTTACATAAACATTTATTTGTTGAAAGGGTTTTAAGTACGGCCTCTTTTGATGGTGACGGGAACTTTGCTAAAGAGTTTTAGGGCATAGGCGTAGTCTTGGGTGAGAGAACTCACGGGGGTAAAAAGTTTTAGCAGCGCATTTTCTCTACTTTTCTCGAACCCTACAACTTCCCTTGAGCCTTATGATTCTAATCTTAATCAGCAGTCAATAGCACATAAGCTAGTACTGTGAAAGCGATAACATAAAAAAATGAGACTTTCATTAATCCCAAAATGTCAAAGAAATATTAAATATGTAGCCATGAAAATTCGAAAAGAACAATATGGTTATATAAAAAGTGCATAACCCTAATGTTCTTATTTATGACTTAAAAACGACTTACTTTAATAAGCTATTTGTTGCTCTTGAGGCTCCCTTTAATGGTATATTTAAGTTCTTAACTGGGTGCAAAATGGCAGAGTATAACGATGCCGGATTAGTTTTTAGCCAAGTAATTTGGTGTTGATGCCTGCATTTGATGACCACTAACTATTGACTTATCTTAATGGCACATGCTAACTTTGACCCCCTTCTAAGCCCCTGCCTCCAAGGCCACGTACAAAACAAAAAGGGAAGGAGACGCCATCATAATGCATTGGTTGATGGCCTTGTTGCCACTGCTGCACATGTGCGTATGCGCGATTTTCAGGAAAGTTAGCGCAAAAGCCTTTTAAATGAAAGTCGTTAGCTGGGGCTCAATCGAATCCAGATGGGTTTTATTGGTCAGGGCTCATTAACGAAGATCATCAGCTTCCGCGGGCGTGTTCCCGAATGGAAGAAACAACTTCCCAAAGATGTCGTAGCCCACTTTTGTGAGCAAATCACAAGCAACGACCACACAACACATAATGCTAATGTGTGTCTGTCGCGTAAATATGCGAGCTCAGACAAAAGGCGGAAGCGGACACAATAGGCTCAACTTTAGGGCGAGGAACAGAAGAGTCGTTAAATGCCCACCTTTTATAAACATAAAACAATAGACGTACATTTTGCCCACGGAAACGGTGTGCAAATCTGTGTTGGTGGGGCATGCCGTCTTCCCCCCGAGACATGTCAAACACATAAAGAAGGCCAACGGGGATCTGGGGGATCCGGGGCCCCAATAAGCGACCTGCACGGGCCAACTTGCGGATGCGGTGAGCCGACCACCAGCCACCATAATTGAATCTTTTGGTCGCGCACTGGCGCACACACAAGGCCAAATCCAGGCATCCAAACAGGAAGGATTGCCAGCACACACAGAAAATATCAACACAAATAGACCTTCATACCGAAATCTTTACTATTTAAATATATTCCTCTTATTACTTTTCCAATATTTCTAAGCAATACCAATAATAATAAAAATAGGAAATGATTTGATGATGATTAAGATATCCCCCTAATCGTAATAATTAAATCACATTCTTTCAACTGCTGCATTATTAATTTCTTTATCTAAAAACTAAATCAATATAAAACTGTAAGCTTAAGTTTTTTTCGCGGTGCAACAACAGCAAAGTAAATTATATTTACCTCGAAACCTAAGAAGCACTTACGTTCGACGGTTTTGCGGGCGACAGTTTAATTTTTGCAAGTTTCTTTCAATTCCAACGGCTTTGCCTTAGTTGGATTTATCTGGTCCTTATTAAAATGCACCCGTGTTCAAGTTGTAAGTTTTAAGTTTCATTCCTAGCTGCTGGGCGGCTTGGCTGAAACCCATTGCATTGAACGTGTTTTTTTGTGGAACTGGACACAATATTGTTAGGCTGAATAAAGGCTAACAAAAATTAACGTATAAGTTACAACGACAATTTGTCTTACTTTATTAGGTATGAAGATAAATACTAACTATGCACTAATGCACACAATACTTCATTCTTCAGTCCTTTGATTTAATATTTGATAATACTATTTAAACGAAAATAAGTGCAGTTTCACCAAAAATTCATGACAGCGGAGACTGCAGTTAACAGCAAGATTTTTGTCTCGTACCTTTTTAATTTTTATTGCAAAAATGTAACAAAAAATGTCTTTTGATTTTTTGGTATAAAATTCACAGGATTCTAGGAAAACTTTAGACTAAACCGAAAACTCACGTACAGATGCATATTTAGTTTTAATGCTGTATCCGACTAATGACCTTTAGATAGTGGATCAGGTGTTCACCTATATTGGGTTTAATATAGAACATGCACTGCGATTGCCGCTGGATTCGGTCGTCGATATCCTGTTCTTGCAGCTGGAGCAGATCATTTAGCGAATCGTTAACTATGCTTTGAAGTCGCGATGCATTCAGGAACTTCATTATGCGCTCATTGGTATAGTTCAGTTGCTGGAAATAAAATAATGTTATTATTGAAATGCAACTGAATACTAGTAACTAATAACTTACTCCCTCAAGATCGTCCTTTCTCTCGGTTTTGAGGCTCAAGTATAGTTTTGAGGGATCTTCGCGGTCCGCCACTGCGTCCACTTTGGAAACGGGGGAAGCGAAGGCCAGGTCTTCGCTGTCCGATTGTATAATGGCCAATACTGACGATGTTAGGAATAACAAAGCTGGGCGCAACTGTGTGCTGACCAGTAAGGTGATTTCACAAAAGAAAAGCATCTGATCGCGGCTCAACTCTTCAGGCAGATAACTCCAAATGCGATGGGAACTTCCGTGCAGGGCCACATTTCTGGTAAAACTGGGCTCTACTTGTTGAGGCATGGCATTAAAGCCCACCGTGTGGAGAACACCCTGACCCGTGAGAGCTAGCATTTCAGCAGCTCCACTGATGGGTTTCGTAAAGGCACCAACAATGCCCTTAGTCAGGCCAGCAATGACACCAACAGAACTACGTGCCTCCAGGGTGTGATGGGCCAATCCCCCAACAGCGCCGAGTAAACTAATGCCCAATCCAGTAAGACCCTGTGTCAATCCATCGGCGAAACCCTGAGGTCTGGCTCTACGTCTGGCCTCAGTCAGTTCGATGTGCTCAGCGTCCAAAGTCAGCCTGTCCAGATTCCGAGCCACAGAACCAGCCAGTTTGGTCACAGAATTCACGGTTCCCGCGGTCACATTGCGCAGCAGAGAGGCAGATCCTTGGGTCACTCCCACCAAGAAGCCCCAAGGTCCGCGGAAGAGGCCCTGAACGGGCATGGAGACGAAGTCTCGAAGTCCGGTGCTGAAGGAGCGAGCTAGTCCACTGGGGCTTCCCAAAATCTCCAGGGATCCAACCACCCAGCCGGCTCCAAAGATGGCCCCGCTGAGATAGTGGAGTCCCAGAGATTGTCCGAAGCGGAGGGGAACTGTGAGGATTTGCTGGCGCTCATAGCGAGAAAAGGAAAGAGGGGAGTGGTCTAATGCTATGTAGAGCCTCGAGGAAGTGTGGACGGATAGCAATAGACTCAGGGGCTCCACTGTAAAACTATTTAGACGCAAGGGTTCCGATATGTACAATGACTGGGCCACAACTTGGTCGGGTAGAAGGGTTGCTCCGACAGGTAGAAGGATTTGATCCTGTTCGACAGGCGGACTATACACACAATTGGACGGTTCACACTCTACCAGTGCTTCCAGCAGTTGATTTAGGTACGCATCTTCGATGTAGACCCGAAAAGGGGGAATCTGGCATCGCACATTCTGCAGCTGCATTTCATCTTGGTAGAAAATAAATGTGAAAAGAGAGACGGGAGATCGTTGTTCTTGCTGCCTGTACACAGAGTCCAAATCATAGACCTGCGGCAGACTACAGTTGCGTCGATACAGTTTCTCTGCACAAAGCAGAACCGGAAAATCGTATTTTCCATTGGAGTACAACTGATTGTCCACTTGAAGATTTGGCAACTGCAAGCGCAGTTCCCGCTGATCGTCGTCGTCGTCGTAGATTATCATTGTGTCATCGGCATAGATATTACACACCTCCGTCTTTAGAAAATCATTTTCTCGGCTATCCGTCTGCAGGCTAAACACAAAACTCTTGATGAATATTTTGATCCTTGTCAGTCTCTTGGTTTCGCATTCCTCGCTAAAATGGGCGCAGGCTACCATATCCGGCAAGGGATCCTTAAAAGTGTTCTTATCTTGTTCCAACTTTTCATCAGATTCCATAGGCCCCTGCTCCTCCTTTGGCATCAAACTATTCTCTGGCTTTGTCAAACGTGATCGCAAGTCTTTCACCGAAAACTCCAACTGTTGGGCTATATAGTATATGTTCAGACGAATAGCACGGTGTTTATTACAGACAACCACCTTCACATCGCCGTGGTTAGGCACATGCAGGAATTTCTGCCAGGACTTGTCAGTCCGAACGGGTTTCGACCAGGCGATCTTGTTCTTGGCACAAGGTTTATCTGAAAAGTATAACAAAACTTTAAAATATATTCACAAACAAGATTAAAGAGTTTCCCACCTTTATATACCGCCAAAGATAAATTGCACATTGTAAATTCCACGTCTGGAAAGTTGGAGTACATCTGCGGAGGGGTGTAATAGCATTTGCTGTGGGGCAGGACCAACTGATTCCACTCGAAGTGCCTTCCCACGAACTCTGAATTTGTGCAGGACACATTGCTATTTTCCGATGCACTTGTTTGGGCCACAATAAACTTGACATTCGTATTGTTGCTTACGACAATGGCTGGCGCCGTGTCCCGGAATATGTTTAAGTAGTGCACATTGTCCTTCTCAACCAGGGTGATCATTAATGGAATGGATTCGTGCCCCGCTTGCAAACTGAAACAGCGTCTGGTGAAGGGTATAGACAAGGGAATAGGTATGGAAATCTCCCGATTACCACTCACACTAAAGCAAACAAAATACACGAATGCCGTATCACAGTTGTGCCTGGCCTTATGGACATTAAGATCGTAAAAAAAGTCCATTGTAGTACCAATGCTAAAAGAATATAGAAAATTAATAAAAAATAGTTCGTTTATGTTTATATATACGTACCAGTTCTTGGTCGAATTCGCAGATAAAAGACTACGGGCTGTTTTGGCAATTGAGTATGCCTCCACTTCTTCCCGTGTAGATGTCTCCTTGTGATCCATGGCTAGAGGTAAGGCATTTAGAACAACATCCGTAAAATTGGCCAACACAAATTTTGATCGCAGTTTAAACAGACGGCGTCCATCAGCTTCTTTCCTGTATTCCAGTATCAGACGCAGCACCTCTTCCCTTTCTACTATTACTATATCTACAAATGAATTGGACCGCAGAGACATCGATCTTCCGGCGCTCTGAACCGTTTTTTGGGAAAAGTCTTCCAAAGAAATCGGAGTCGAGGTGATCCAACCTTGCTCAAAGGGTACATCAATGGTAAAAGCACTCCTGAGTTTGGGCATCATTTCTAAACTGTTCGCTTTGATTTCAAAGCGTGCCTTCTCATGGATCATAAAAATGCTTACGTCCAATCCGGTTCCGTTAATGAACATGCCCCAGGCAGTAACCTCCAATCCTAAAGAGCAAGAAAACTCCCTAGTGGCTTTTGTCCGGTATTTTACATCAAATGAATTTTGAAAATCCAACTGCCGGCAAACGCGTAGTTCTTCCTCATCATTTAGTGGCCACTTGCGCTTTGATGACTTGCCCAGTTTCTGAAGCGCATTTTCAATAGTCCAAACGTTGGGATCATAATGAAAGAACTTGTGCCAGTCCATCGTCCTTAGCATTAGCGTATATTCATCTTTAGAAGAACCCCTTAAGACACCTCTAAAATCGAATTCGTGATTTAAATTAAATCTACAAAAAACTTTGTGATGGACTTACGAAAACGTGAAGCCAACTGTGTGCTCTGTAGCATGGGTGGTTGCAGTATTTAGAGCCCATTTGCCGCCCTTGGCGTCAATAGTTGAGCTCTCTCCGGTTGTATTTTCATTCGCCTGAATCTCACAGCTAAGCATATTGCATATCTCAAAGATTGGCCAAATGCAGATCAGTATCTTCTGGGGCTGAAAGTCCTTATCCGGTTTTTCCATCACAATGTCCTCGCGCAGAATCCGAACCCAAACGCTGATGAACTGCTGAGTGGATTGTGTGGGAACCTTGACCAGCCAAGGCAAGTTGTTATTGGTTTTCAGTGGAATGTCTCCAGTGCGCCCCCTTCCTAGTCCAGCACTTAACTTTAGCCTACAGTAACATTCGATTATAATGATTTTAGAAAACATTTTAATTAGGCAACTTACCGCATATTAATATCTGCATTACGCTTTACATTCTGGTAGTACGATGATCTTTCTTTTGACAATAGAAGATGTTCCGGCGGTGGTTTATTGTCGTCGTAGCTCACTTCCTCCTCTCGAAACTCTGTGATCATATTAAATGGTACCATGCTAATCAATTCTATTTGCCCTTTAACGAGAATATAAATCTGGGTGGCGGAAAGTTTGGCCAACTTAAGAGTAATACAAAATTCTCCCACGCGCAAATGATGAACCTTTTGCTCGTCCTCGAACTTCAGGGCTATGTGAACTGAATCACTTGTCTCAACTAGACGGGTCTCAGGATTTGTTATAAAGAATGTAAGTTCTTGTCCGTGATTACAGCTTCGGAAGTTATAGAGCTGCATTTCCCCAGGAGCTACAGAGATTTTCTCTACTGTTCCGGTTTGACCAAAGCTTATGGGTGCTTGTATCCGATTTACTATAACGCATTTAGGCATTAATGCATGTCGCATCTCACTCTGCTGTAAAACCTCCTGCCAGTGGTATTTGGAACTCAGCAATGTATGAATCACATAGGGTCCGCAGTTGACCCGTAGCTTATCCACCAGAAAATTGGCCTGCACCAAAGAGCGCGGGCAATCGGTAAGTCTTACAAAGCTTGTGAATTTCATTGGCTCCACGATATCCAGCATATTTAGGAATCCATAATCTAAGCACTTTACTCGAGTTCTCAATTCGGTCTGCAAACTAAAATCCTTCCTGGAATATATGGTCGAGTGGATCTGTAGGTCCTCCACGTGCACCGTAAGAAAAGTTTGACTGATATTACTGGTCTGCTTTAGGTTGTATTTCTTTAGTTGATGTGGGAGCTCTCCAGAACTATCTGGCTGGTTCAGGAAGTTCAGCTCGATGTCCTGGCAGCAGAGCAACAACTGCAGCTTGGGCACTCTTTCCGCTCTGAAAACTGTGTCGATGCGCATACAACCCACTAGAACTTTGGGATGCAATATAAAATCGTTATTTTCATCCACTTTAAAGTCCGCATGAACGTACTCGATCTAAAAGTTTTAAATAAAATTATGCAATAAATCGCATTCTCAGGTTGCATAACCTACCGATTGATCTTCATCCTCACTTCCCTCAAAGCAAGCCCCATCCACAGAGATTAGCGATTGCAGTATAACCACCCTCCAAATATTGGCACAGATTGGACGATCTGGTGGCGTAAGTTGCTTGGTGGAGGTCTCCGAAAGCATAAAATCACAGTAATGCAGAAATGTTTCATGGGTTTCACTGAAGTACTCCATGCGACACCTGATATGTATGGGGCTGCTAACCTTTTTAGTAAATGAAAGATGGCGTTAATTTAATTACATACCCCTTGAATATGAGTACTTACTGGCATGGGCACCGGATATATCAGTATGCTTGTCATTTGGCGCGGCTGCGGATAACGCCAGCATATTATGCCATAGTTTTTCTTAATTATCTGAACCTGGTAGGGCATTGGCAGTACGGACTCGGAGTTTAGATAAACGAATTGGAAAGCTCCCGCTCTTAAATAGAAAATAAAGTGATCATTAAAATACAAGCGATCAATCCCTGTTAGAATACCCACCTAAGGTCATCCTGGTAAAATTCTGCAGTCGACTTCATGGGGCGTTTAAAACGCTCTATAGACTCGTTTGATGGAGTGCACTTGATCAAGTCGCAGGGTGAGAGGTTTTCCGGAGTGCCCAAAACGGGACGGTGGTACAGAAACTGCTGCCACTCCTGATCAGCGTAATCGCGTATCCGATTCATTCCATCCCGGGCCTTTTGCAATTGCAGTATGCTAAGAACCCCCGCATCAATGTGCAGGAAATTAAGCTTGAGTGTGGCATTAATCAGCAGTTCATCACACCACGGCTCACTGACCAAATCCACCGACAACCGCATCAACAACGGATGCAGCAGCATCTTTCCGCCGGACTGCACATACATGGATCCCAGGGTCGATCTTATAACGGCCTTCTGAGGACGAGTGCTGAACTTGATGCGAGTGCTGAGATCGAGGCAAACGAAACTGCATTTGTAGGTCCTTTCTTCATCGTAGAACTTGACAGTTATCCGATCACAGGATATGTGCAACCGGTCTGCATTGTAGCAGTTCGACTTCATCTGGTGTAGTTGAGAACCTTCGGGTACGGGACGCTGGCTGCGTACTGCAAAACAAGGAGTCTCGTGCAGAACCGAGTACACACGGATTACATCACTGGTTAGTTGCTTAATGCTGCTCTCACACATTCTCAGCAAAATCGGTTTACGTAATTCCACATCGACTTCCTTCTGATTGAGGCGGTCAAACTGAGTCTTAATAGTAAACAATGGAGGAGGAATCCCAGAGCTGCCCAGTTGGCCAGGTAGAGTATCAAACACGGACTCATTAAATTGTTCCAAATCCTCCTTTCCTTCATACTCCGGAGTGGCTATGCTTACGTTTACATTAAAAATCGAGGCTTGGGTCACGGCTGCCTTGAGGTTATGGGTGGACATGAAGCTGGGCTGGGATACAGTCATCAAAAAAAGTGGTTTCATGACAGGTCTTTCCAGCTTCTCCAACTCCAACACATCGTAAATCTTTAGCACAAATGTTCCGGCCACAAAGGATACGCTTTGAGGATAAATCAAGCTACTCGATAGCCGATTTCCCTTTATACGACTGCCCAAGTGTATACCGGAATCGCTTTGGCACGATCCGAAAAATATATCACTGCTGCCTCTTGCATCCACAAAGCTCGAATTCAGATTTTGGTAAATTTGCTTGTCATTTAGCTTCTTTTTAGCGGGTACACTACTAATGGCATTCTGGCAGGATTTGAGACAATTAGTATCAGGAGAAAAGTACACTGAGTTGTCCACGCTGTTGGTTTCTGATACTTCGCCAAGTATTTTGTGTGATCTGACTTTGGGAATCTCTGCATTATTCACACAGACCTGATCGAATATACAATTTAGGCGCTGTAATCGTACAATAATGCAACTGATCAAACTTATTTGGTGGGTGTTCAAAGAAGCTACAAAATCTGTCGCGCAATTATACTCCACACTTTGGCCGCAGACTAGAAATCGATCGTAGCTTATGGCTGGTGCATAAATCATAATGAAGTCAAAGTTCCTGAATATCTCCATGTGATCTAGTTCAATTGATTGACTTTGGTTGTTCCACTCGAAGGCGGGGTTATCATGTTTGCTAGCCAAACTCTTTTCAATGCGGTACTTTTGTGTTTGCTTCCAGTTTCCGGTAGATAATGATACCTTCTTAACACTCAGTTCATATTGACGATCTTCTACCAGGGCTCCTGGAGTACTAAGCATGTTCAACTCTGCAGCTTTTTGGTAGATATCTGGGCGTACGAGCTGACGTACTAGGGGATTTTCGAGACTGGGCGTTAACTGGATGCTCTCGACCTGCAAAATACAAACATACTATTAGATTTGGAAACATTATACAAACGACAGATAACTAACCCTTAATAGTAAAACACTGCAACTCTTTCTGCTTGTAGATAAAGGAAGGTAAACATAGATTCCCTTGCTGTTTAAATGCACTATTGGCAAGTCTTGAACCGTTGTAATCTGGCTGGCAACAGGCGAACATGGCGTGCTTACTTGCTGCTTAGATTCAGAACTTCCCATAATTTCGAGGACATCGCAAATCGGAACCATAAACTCCGTTATTTGGTCCAGGTCCAGCACCATTTCTATCGGCTGCACCTCGATCAGGACCTCAGAGATGGTGTGCTTCTTGTTATGCGGGTTTCTCGCACCAATTTTTGCATAAAGATCCTGAAGGCTAACAGTGGTTATCACCACACTTATTAATGGCAAGTTTGTGCTATCGTTCAGCATTTTGATGTGAAAGTCTTCTATTTTTTCCCATTCTTCATGTTTTTCCTCAAAGTAGTTCAGGCCAAAGTTTTCGATTTTGGTGGTTATCTTGGTGAAGTCATTCTGTTTATCAATATTCAAGAGTAGATCCTCCAGAATCATAACGATTTTACTATGCTGGGAGTCGTTAGAGTTTTCCATTTCAAAACTTATTCGGGGAATGGTCCATTGGCAGAACAATACAAGGGAGCTTTTGGGAGCTAAGAAAAATAAAGAAATTGTAATGGGCTTAACATATACATCGTTCTTACCACTTTTTATTTGGGGAGCTTCAAAGTTGGGATCCAGCTCCAGAAACTCTTTTATCACCGGATAGGTTTGTGCACTGCCAGTGTAAACCTCCAATCTGGGCTTTATTTTTGCTGCCTGCCGATTAGATGGCGCTTCGTCCGGGCACATCGAACAGTACATCTTCGAAATAATCATGAAGTGTTCGTGTAACAATTTTACCTTGAAAACATTATAAAAATTTTAATTAAATTATATCATCTATAAATCTTCTGAATGAGCCCTTACCCGCTGGGCAAATATATTGATGTCCGACATATCCACATGTACATTTATGGAGTATGTGTTTTGTTCGGCCAAATCGGAAGACTTATATTTCTTCTCCTGGTCGGTTTTTCCTTCTACTTTTCTGAAATCGCTTTTTTCGGATATCTTGTGGGACAGGGCTAAAGTTATAGTAGTCCTAACTGGAGCCACAATCATCTCAGTGACATTAGCTCTGCGGAAGCACACATTAAATTCGTTTAGGTCGAAGACCCAGTTAAATAGCTCTGCGTTGCTGGCCACCACAACCACGGCTCTGATGTTTCCACGCTGAATGGCATCGCAATTGCCTGATTTTACTTTTATGTGGGGCAGCCGGATTGAGGTATACTCTACATCCGTCTCGGAGGGCGTTTTTCTCATCATTACTTCACAAACATCAATCTTGGCTTGGGCAATCTCTACCAGCACTACCATGTTGGTAAGTCGCTTTACCAGATCCGTCGAATCTAAGTTATTTGACTGCGGCTTACTAATGACGGGTATATTTACAGGCTCCGCCAGGGTGTGCCTCTCATCTCTTTCCGAACTCAAATGCACTGTCTCCTCGGGAACGGAGATCTTTCGACTAGCATTCCTGCTAATTCGTCGCGGTTGAAGATCATTTAGGGCCATCGCTGAGGCGGAAATCATGGAATAATTAGATACTGATTGTGTAACAGGTGGTTCCGACTGCATTGCAGACTCTGAATCCGTTTCTACTTCTGCAAACAAAAGGAAAATGTTTGTAATGAGGGTTACACATATGATAAGGTAAGGCTACAAACCCTTCTCCTTTGGTTTCTGCTTTACACTCTGATCCGAAAAGTTAAGAAACTGCAAAAGATAGATATCCGTGGTGATGCGAAAGGGTTCCACCCAGAGGCATACCACAGTACCGGGTATCTTCTCTTGTTTTTTATTAGCTTCCTCTAGAGGTAGCTGTAACTGCATCTCAAGCCACTTGTTGTTTGCATTCTTGGAAGTGGACAAAACAACATTTCGAGCGTTCATCTTGGTGTGGACGGCATCGGTTTGGATACCTTGAAGGGAGCCTACGGCAGCCAAATGTGTGTGATACTTGTGGTAACTTAAGTTGAGTTTGGTGCCCAAACTTTGAAGCTTGATCAAATCTGAATGAGCGTTGACATGGGTCACAATGTGGGCCAGATCGCAGAGCTCGGAACCGTTAAAGCTCGAAATTAAGGGAATTAGGCGTTTAGCGAGTATAAGCTCCCGCTTTGAGAACTCTAAAGTAATGATCTCTGACTTGATTTCCGCCGTCTCTAAAGCAGCTTCATTTTTGCGCCAAAGATGAGGTGCGAGTAGGCGGTTCCAGTTTACTTGCATGCGAGGAATGTTTAAAAGCTTGGCCCGGTCATTATCCGAAGTGGTATTCAAAATCATTAGCGTTAGATTCTTTACATTGAAGTTATAGCAGTTGTAGCAGGCATTGACCACCTCCCGAGGTTTATCCTCAAGATGACTGATTAATTGAACCAGGCGAAGCGGATTCACTGGTCCACACATTGTGCCCTCAACTAGGGAAATTTTTAACTGAAGATACGGCAGCAGCGATTGCTTTACGGTGGTCATCAGTTGGTGTTGGTTCATAGCAGAAGCGTCCTCCTGCTGCTGGCGAGGATACAACTGAAGCACTATATTACGCAGTTCGATCTTGTAGTTGCAGGTGGGCACGAGCCCCATCAGATACTCCAAATCCGGTATGGTCATATCGGCATTCTTGTTATCCTGCTCGGCGACACTGCGTTCCTTATCCTTCACCGATTCTGAATAATATCCCGGGTAATCGTAAGGACGGATTAAATCGCTAATTACATTTTTAACCTGCGCAAAGGACTGCGAAAAGTGGAAGGTGATTCCGGCGGACAGTAAGCGATATTGGATCCGAAGTCCTAGGTCTCTGAGCTGGCTGTCCGCCGCGAGATGACTGCTTGGCTTCGGCACCCTGTACTCGATAATGTCGAATGCTAACACAGGGCTTCTGAACAGCATGTACTCGTCCGTGTTCCTGGCCACGTAATCCTCGTAGTTGTAGCTGCACCAGGAGCGATCGGCAAACATGTAGTTCTCGTCAAACAGACTCTTGTCGATGAAGGACCGCTCTTCCGAAAACTGTGAAAAAGTGGATGAGTACTGAACACCAGAAATACTTAAGTTCTACTCACTTCCTGTGTATTGACCAGGTTGCGGTCCACGGGATCGTCGCTCCGGTAAGCCCCTAACGGCTCCATGCACATGCTGGAAAGGCCCGCCTTGACGTTGGCCCAGTCGCACTCCTTCAGCTGAGTTCGTTCGTAATAGAGTCCACCCAAGCTAATCCGCAGAATTGGGGTATACCGTATTCGCTTAATGCCGCCCATGCTCTGATCGGTGAAATACTCCGAGTTCTTGAGCTGGAAATTTAGCTCCTCAGCGTAGATGCCCAAATCGAAGGCGTGGCCAATAGGAGCGTCGCAGGAGGAGGAAGGCCCGTCGTTATCAAAACTAGGCAGCAGGCTCCAGGCCCACCAAAAAACGCTCTGACCAGCGGGTTCCTCATTTTGCTGTGCCTCGTTTCCCTCGACCACTGCCTCCTGGTCTTCCGGATTCTGGGGATCCTCATCAGTGTCAGTTGGCTTCAGTTCAACTAGCATTTTGACCAATCTCATCACCATGGGGAATTGCAGAGACGACACATTGATGTCGAGCGCCTTGGTAAAGACTCCAATGCGGGTGGTGCTCGTGGTGCTCACCGTGTTGGCATTGTATTTGCGGAGCACTCGGCACTCCAGGGTGCAACGATAGAGCACCGGCTCCTGGCATACCTCAATCCGGCCGGCGGTGTTCCGTTTGTCCAGGCAGATGGTCAGATCGGAGACCTGCAACAGCTTGCGCATAACAACGGACACCGGATGGATGTCCACCATTGTGGGCTTCCAGTCCTCGCCGGCGGAACTGAAGTTCAGGGTCTGCACGTTCATGGAGACCACAATGTCGTCCTCCACGTACTTCAAGATAATGTTGTGGCACTGCAGGCTGATGTTGTTTATGATCTTGTTGACCACACTGGAGGAGCTGGCCGCTCCGGGACTTTTGGACTGCTGATCCGGCTGCTCCACCGACGCCCGCTTAGATTGTCGACGCTGCTCCCGCTGGAAGGAGGCTCTGCGCCGCTTACCCTCGCCGTCCGGCAACTTTGCCACGAACTCAATGGTGTTGATCACAATTTTTACCGGCTCGGACATAAGTTTTGTCCAGGGCACCTGGATGCTTAGTTCGTGAATGTGCCCGGAAACCAGCTCCACCGGCAGATTGAGCTCTTCCTCGAGCACCTCCAGGCGCAGGTCCAAATTCTGGAAAGTGACCTCGCCTTCCCACAGCGACACCTGGGCATCCTCATCGCGAAAGTTCTTTACGTATTTGGCCACGTAGCTCAGAAGAATTGGAGTGATGTAGGACTCCAGTTTGAACATGGTGTGGCGACTCCGCAGGCTCAAGCCTCGATTCCCCCGCTCTTAGAAGATGACTCAAATGGAACTCTTCATTTACAGCGTTACCGGCGATTTATTTGAATTTACATGCTGTGGATTTTGTTACGATTGTAGGCCGAATATGTTTAACAAAACAAATATCGCCATAAATTTTTTGATTGTTTACGTTTCAGCCCCGGCACGTAGTGTTGGAAAGCGCGGCGAACACATTCAATGGCAGTGTGCAAAGGTGCTGGAATCCGAAAATAGCAAAGTGTAGATGGGCCTTCATGTTACGAAAAACAGCTGTTTATTTTGTTAACGTCTAACGTGCAGAAGTTCATAGCAATTTCATCAAAATGCCGCAAATTACAGAAAATGGACAGGACTTTGGTGAGTTTAATATATAATACGACCTTTGCGATATGTTCATTATCAATTTTCACCCACAGATGTGGTCAAATACTTCCTGCAACTTCTGGAAGAGGATAAGGACCTATCTTCCGGCATTGCGGCCATCAGGACTCTGCTCATGATCTTGGAAAAGAAACAGTGTATGTGGGCTATGAATTTCTATTTGGTTGTTCAAGTTTAACTTGATTATATATTTACAAGTTGGAACCATTCATATTCTCCACACAACCATGAGGGAAGCGGTGGCCGCCATGCGGAATACAGATTTATCAATCGCAGCCATTGTTTCTGCCGGAGAGCTCTTTTGCCGATTCATTACCCTCAGTCTGGACGACAAGCATATGGAAGAGTGCCGCCAGATTATGTTAAATCGCGGCAAGATCTTCCTCACCAAATTGCTTAACTCCCGGCAGGTTGATATAAATAACTAAGTTTCTAGATAATTTACCAACCCTTCTCTTTTACTTCTTGTACAGGTAATTGCCCAGCAGGCACAGAGGTTTATTACCGATGGCTGCCGCATATTGACCCACTCCCGATCCCGAGTGGTCCTCAAGGCGCTAATTACTGCCTCACAGAACAAGAAGTCCTTCCACGTGTATGTGACGCAGGGAGGCACAGGAAACTCTGGGTAGGTTTTAGTTATTTTTCCTCAACAGATCCAACAATAAATGCTCCCTACCCTTAGCGAAGAGATGGTTAAGGATCTCCATGCTGCTGGAATTGACTGTACTCTGATTCTAGACTCCGCCACTGGCTATGTAATGGAATCAGTGGACTTTGTGATGGTGGGCGCTGAAGCTGTGGTAGAAAGTGGCGGCATTATCAACCGAATTGGCACGTACACCATGGGATTGTGCGCCCGGGAGATGAAGAAACCTTTTTACGTCCTGGCGGAGAGCTTTAAGTTCAGTCGTTTATATCCACTTAATCAGCGGGATCTACCAAATGAGTATAAGGTAGGTTACCACGTATTACAGATAACTGCATCCCTTTAAACATATTTCCTTATAGTACTCCCGCAAACACCTGAATGATGTGAGCAAAGTGCACCCACTAGTCGACTACACGCCCCCTGCCTATATAACGCTGCTTTTCACCGATCTGGGAAGATTAACGCCCTCGGCCGTAAGCGACGAGTTGATCAAACTCTACATGTAAATGGACAATAAAGAAATTGCACTTAACTACGATTGTTTAATTACGACTGCATGAAATGGATAAATAGGGTTTCGTTACTACTGAGTATATGTACATAAAATAAAGCTAGTTACTTCCGCTTACGCATAAAATTTATATTGTAGCTTAGAACTGCATCTCCCGCGAATAGGTAGCGTCGACTTCGTCTTCTGACCCCCAAGGGTCGTAAATGTCGAGGCTGTAGTGAGACGTTTCGCTGTTGTTCCCATCGTCATTGGTGTACTCGCTGTTGTACTCCTCATCCGTGTAGCTGTCACTGCCGCTCTCGTCGTCCGTTCCGTGATCGTGCCCACCAAACTGATCGTCGAGGCCATCTTCTGCATCCTCCAGATCACTGGCGTTCTGCAGGAAGATATTATTTTAATAGGAAGGGTTTTTGCGGTAGCTACAGGTGGGTCTTAAAAACTTCAACTTTTAAACTTTTTTTATCGTTTATGGCTGCTATATATGAACAGCTTTATATAAAATATCTAATAAGAATCAGGAAACCCCCAATGTGGCTCAAGATTTTTAAATAAGATATTTAATTTAAAAAAACGGTAAAACGTTAATTTTACCCAGTGGCAGATAACAGAAGTTGTTAAGAATTTTGTACACATAATGCAAGAACAGGTTTTAAAGTTCAAAATGCGTGGAACTCTTTTCAACCGATTGCGGTAACGACACTCACAAATTGCCCAGACTGAATGTTGATCTCAATCTGCAGGCGGATATCCATAACGAGAAATGCAGTGGTGACCAGAACGGGAATAGTGAGACGACTCTTCCAGGCGAGTTCCGTAAGGAACATGAAGACTTTTCCGAACGTGGAGTCCATTGTGATTTGGTTAGTGTTCAGCCGGGGGTTGATCTTCCTCAGCTGTCTGCTGCAGTGCGTCGTGGTCCACAATGTAAACAGTTTCCCCAACGTTCACTGCCTGGACGGGCAGCAAGTGCCGGTGGAGCCGCCCACTTTCGATGGGAGCGTCTAGCTCGAGGAACTGTTCAAATATAGAAATGGGAACTCCCTCGGAGGACAGTAAGCCCCGCATGCAATCCTGCCGCTTGTCGCGCAGGTTGTCCAGCAACTTGTTACCCTTTTGCACCCGGGCCAGCTTCCTTTCTGAAATTAATGTTATTTAATGGAAGATAATGATTTCCTGGACCGATTCCAACCTAGTAACTTTAGATAGTCGCTGGAATCCGGCAGTGGCTCATGTCCTTCGCAAATTTTTGCGTCCTTTTCGGCGTTGCTCTCTTTTTCTGTAGGCGGGGGCGTGAAGTTATCCTCGAAACTTTCGCTGTTCTCCGCGGACTCTGTGCTTCCTTGCTCAACGGTTATGTTATTCAAGTGCCAAGGATCGGCATTGCCAAGTGACATGTTTTACAAACTAAATAAACGTATGTACATAAATCCCAAAAACTGCTACGGAAAATATTCTTTATTCAGTGTGCCCGCCTCGGCTTGTTCTGAAAATACCAAAGCCATCGCTTAATTGATAGGTTGAGACATCCGCGAAAAATACGCAACAATATAATTTCTGAAGGTCCTTTGGAATAAATAGAATACAAATTTTCGTAGTTGTAACATAAATTTATTAGTGATTTAATTATATTAATTTATATAATTTTATGTAAGTTACTAAATAGGAGAGCACGGTACACATAGTAATACCCAATGTGTTTACTGTATTGAATTAGTTCTATAGATTATTTGCGAGTAATGTAATCGCAAGTTGATTTTGCAGTACAGGCCACAGTCCATCGAAAAAAATATCCGCATCCGCATTTTCAAATCCGCTACAGCTCAATTTCCGACCTTTCAGACGGAACGGTATATTTTCCCTCCCATGACACGGTCACGCTGTCTAAAATCAACGTCACCATGGATGTTTCGGCTCTTTCGGGACCAAATTTTAGTCCTGCAGAGTGGATAAACGCCAACTACAAAAAGTTTGTGGAGGAGAATGGACGCGATGACAGCGACGCCGCCTCGGCATTCATCCGGAGCTACGTGGCAAAGCTGCAGCTGTACATATTCAACGTAAGTGGCTCGTCATCCCTCTACTGTTTGTTCTGTATTTTCAAAAAATAAAAATAAATTCCAGGTAAACAATGCTGTGGAGGAATCCAGCCGACAGGTGGTGGCCAGCATGCCAAGGATCGCCAAGGAATCCGCCGCGCTGCAAGGAGAAGTGCGCGGGTTGCAAGAAAAGATGAGTGCCATGCGTTTGGACGTGGCAGCGGTTCAAAACGAAACCGGCGAATGCATGGCCACCTTGGAGCGGTTGAACACCAAGAGTCAGAAGCTTCAGGTGGCCAAGGAGTCGCTACAGGAGTCGGATGGATGGGGAAACCTCCTTGCTGAACTGGAGGATGGATTCGAGCGCAATGATCTTAAGGTGTGTAGTTTAAAACTTACAAAAAGAATCATACAGTTAATTATTACGTTACAGGGAGCTTGCGAAAAGTTAATCGCCCTTCAAAAATCTCTGCACGCCCAGGAACAACTGCCAGGACATGTGGAGCGACAGACCCAAGTGGAGGACTTTAAGAACCGCCTGGAGGCTCTGGCCTCGCCCAGTGTGGTTCAGTGCTTTGCCGAAAACCACGCCGAGCAGGCCCAGTACTATGTCCAGATTTTCACCAGCATTCAGCGCTTGCCGCAATTGCAACAATATTATCGAGCTGTGCAGAAAAACTTTTGGCAGCAACAATGGAAGCAAACTTTGGAGTTGCAGGGCACGGAATCACAGCCGCAGCAGCAGCAGTTTCTCACTCTCTACTACGATCAGCTGCTAGAGCACTGCCAACGCCAGGTGAAGTGGTGCTCCAACCTCTTCGGAGAGGACTCTTCGCAACCATTTTTGGTGATTGCCGAACTGTTGCCGGCTCTGCAACCTACGCGGGATGCCCACATTCTGCAACTTTTAAAGACTTCCAATGAACGCTTGGAGATGCTGGCCTTGTTTGCCCAGGTTAATCATAGTTTCGTGCTGCACTTAAACTCCTTGCTAGAGCAGTCGCACATCACATTGTCTGAGGAGTTGCATCGTCTCCTTGGCGAGGCAATTTTTGAGTATTTCCACAAGTTTATTCAACAATATCCGCGATTGGAGGAGACCCAACTATCCACGCAGGTTCGGCAAATCTTTATTTTTAACAGATTGTTTTTTTATCTTTATAATTATTTATAACTCCCAAATAGGTGGACCGTCTGACTTCTAATCAGGCCACTCCCAGTGATGGTGTGCGTCATCTGGAAGAGAGTACCCGAAAACTTTACGCATGGCTGAAAGATGCCTGCGAACGTTGTGCCTCTATAACGAGTGATCTAGCTCTTTGCAAACTTATAAGTTTACTGAATGGCATCTTCAAGCGGCAGCTGGAGAACTTTGGGCGCATCCAGCGACAGATTGCACTCAGTTTGGGATCCAGCAGCTATGCGGCGCAAAGTGAAAACTGGTCTCTGTTGCAGTACACCATGTCACAATTACAATGTCTAGCCGACTTTCAAGTTCAGCTGCATCAATTCGAACAGGATTTGCACACACGCATGGTCACTTTGTCTAACAAGCTGACTAAGCCATCCAATCGTGGGCCAATAACCATATTTCAGACCTGCGATCATGCAGCGCGTACCCAGCTGTTGAACAGTATAGCTGACTATCAGCAAAAAAAGTCAGAAGCCACAGATAGCCTGGGTATATTCCCGCAGATTTATACCACGTTAAAGAGTCACTTCGCCGATACACATGACATAACTCTGAATATATTACTGCAGCCTATTGAGACGCACTTGGCACATATTCGTCCGCCTGTGCAGGATCACGCCGCGTCGGGTATAGATATGCCATCGTTTAGCTTTGCTCCGCAGGAGAGCATCACACAGATTGGTCAATACCTGCTTACCTTGCCCCAGCATTTAGAACCGTTGCTGCTGTCGCCTTCTTCTTTGCTGAAGCAGGCTCTGGAGGTGTGCAACATAAAGTATACGCAAGCCATACCCTGTGCCGACGTCCTGTTATCCCTCGTCGTGGAGCAGTGTTGCATTTTGTACCAGGCGCAGATACTACAAATTAAGTCGCTGCCCGCCTCTTCGGCCACTCAACTAGGTGTGGATATTGAGTACCTATCCAACGTTCTCGAGGAGCTCGGTTTGTCCATTAACCTGCAGCTGTCTCAAATCCTTACGCTACTAAAGGCTGCCCCTGATCAGTACTTGACCCTCAGCAGTGGATGCGAACCGCGCCTGGTTACGGCCATTCGGCAAATGCGCAATATTATATCTACACAGTAGAATTGAATTAGGTGTTTAAATATTCAAGCTTATATATTAAAATTGTATTTATGTAAACCAATTCTGCTAAAAAATCTTAATTTTTTTGTTGTTTGAAAATGATATGGATTTGTGATCCAGTTAAGGTATGGATTAGATAAAATATTAAATGATAATAATATTCCCTTAAATAGTATAGTAATTTCATTTCCTAAAGAGACAAACGCAGTCACCAGAATAAAATTTACTTCAGTAAATAAAGTGCAGGGTATAACAAAAAGTTCTCAAATGTTTACACAAGTGTCCACAAATAAAGGCCAGTAGTTTGGTCCAGTTTAGTATTTATCACTTATGCCGATCTCGCTTAAGTCGAATTGCAAAGCAATCTAACTTAGTATCATAATGTATTTCTTTTACTTCGCTATTAGACGAGCGCATTACAAATGGTATACGGCAAACACGACATCAAGAATCCGGATTGTTGCTACCGGAATTTTCACCGCAGGCGTATTACTTTTTACCTTTATTCAGTGCAGTGCATTATTCAGCCTATCTCAGGAGAAGGTGGTAAAATATACATTACCGAAAGGTGAAGATCAGGATGAGGGGAATCCTGCCAAGATGCGACTAAAGATTAAGCAGATGATGCTGCACGCCTGGCGAAATTACGCTCGCGTCGTGTGGGGCACCAATGAATTCCGTCCGGTCTCGCGTCGTGTCCATGCAGGCAGTGATTTTGGGACACACAAACTCGGTGCAACTATTGTAGAAAGCTTGGACACCCTGCATTTGATGGGTCTGTTTAAAGAAGTGAATCGTTCACGGGATTGGATCGAGAAGTCATTCAGCTTGGATCGTGTCGACGAAGCTTTGTCCGTTTTTGAACTAACATCCAGGCTGCTGGCACCTATGCTAACACTCTATTCCCTCACTGGCGATCTCCTGTACAAGGATAAGGCTATCCATATTGCCGATAAGATTCTTCCGGCCTTCGACACTGCCACGAGAATTCCCAGACGACTCGTGGTCCCAAAGGATGGCAGCACCCTCACTAAATACCTCGATGACGTGTCTCGTACTTCGGAATTTGGAGCACTGCACTTGGAGTTCTTTTACCTCAGCGAAATCACTGGCTCTTCAGTTTACAAGGATCGAGTGGAGGGTATTCGGCAGAGATTAACTACTATTGAGAAACCAAATGGTCTTTATCCCAATGCCTTTTGCACAAAATATGGCAAATGGGAAAACTACAACAGTTCAATGAACCGATTTTATGATTGCCTGCTGAAGTCATATCTGCAGTCCGGTAAAGTTGATCTTCAAACTGCCGATCTGTTGAAAAACGATATGCTGGCTGTAGCGCAAAATTTGGTTGTAATCAATCCGGAGGGCGTAACGTATGTATCGGATATGAGAAATAGTACCCTAAACCATCGAATGAAACAGTCAGATTGTTTTGCTGGTGCTTTTTTTGTCCTAGGAGCAGCAGAAACCTTGATAAAACACTGGGAGAAGTACGCGCAGATTGGCGTTGGTATAGTGGATACATGCCATGACAGATATTGGGAATCATCAACCCGGTTAGGTCCGGAAGCATTTGCCTTTACGGAAGAAGCCGAAAAGGAATTGGTTCCACTTCAAAGGAACTTCTATATGCTGCGGCCGGAAGTTGTCGAGAGCTATTTGGTGCTCTGGCGAATGACTCATGATCCTAAGTATCGGAATTGGGGACGTGAGATCGTGATGGCCATAGAAAAATACTGCAGGACACCAAATGGATTTACTGGTATAATGGACGTTAACAACCGATCGGCGGACCCAGATGATGTGCAAAGGACTTTCTTCTTAGGCGCGACCCTTAAATATTTGTATTTGCTATTTTCCGATGATGAGGTTATTTCTTTGGGAGAGTGGGTTTTCAACAGTGCTGGACATTTCCTACCCATTAAAGGTGCGAATGCGAAGTACCGTCAACATAACTTAACGAATTAAATAATTGGCATTATTAATTGCTAAAGAACTACCAATATCGGCTAAAAATAAAATGATATTTAATGTCTACATTAGAATATTTTATTCGTTCTTACATAAAATTGTAAATAAAATCTGAAATGGTAAATTTGAACAAAAAGAAGGATTAGAAAGGATTTTCTGTTTTTAACATCTATTTTTTATTTTAATTTAAGAAGCGTATAAAAAATGTTTGTAGTGCACAATGATGTACAAAAGTTACTTTCTATTTAGCTGGGAACACACACATTGAGCACACCTAGAAGCACATACATAAGTAATAAATTTCGAACGTTGGTCCGCTAAACCATCCTTGGAATCCGGATCTTCAGCTTAGAGCTGGCTGTTGGCCAAATGGTTGTCGATGACCACCTGGATGATCCTCATGCAGTGACGCTGCCTGGCCACCGTATTGTCGATTAGCTGCTCGGTGAATTGGCTTGCCGCTATGTTCGTATTCGGTGGTATGTCCTGGGTGCAGGATATATACTTGTTGAAGATCTCCGTGTTCAGCGAAGTGGCCAGATATCGTTCGCTCTCATCTTGCTGCTGAAGCTTATCGAGGACTTGGGCGGACACAAGAAGTTGACCCTTGGCCTTCTGATATGTTTGCAGCTCCTGCAGGCTTGCGTACTCGGCACTGTTCAGCTTCACGGTCCTGTCGTTGTCCGCATCCTTAACTATGCCCTTTGTCATCTGGCGTATGTGATACTTGCGCTCGGCCACGAAATCGCCCAGCAAGTATCCTGGAAAATTGGGACGCACAAGTGTGACTCGTTAGCGAATGTCCTTTGATTTTGTGCATCCTTTGGCACTCACCTGTTATCAGCATGAAGAAGGCAATCGTTAGGACCAGGGAGGCACAAGTGCGCTTTGAGACATATTCGCGGAATTCGCGAGAGCTGTTGGCCCTCACCGCCGTCTCGTAGCTAAGTACCTGGTGCATCCTGCTGATCCTTTTGGGGATTATTGCTTTGGGTCAAGTTATTTTGCCTAGTCAATTCTAGACAATCAGATATCTCTTTTAGTACTGGGCTGGAACATTTTCAGTTTTCATATTGTACTTTTGGCGGTTAGACGCGGCTGAAATATTGGTAATGCTTAGTGAATTGAATTAAGCATTCAAATGTTATCCATTTTCAAAGAAAAAAACCTTTAATACTCGTACTCAATTGTCTTTAAAAAACTTTTTTATATATATCTTATGATACCTTTCAATTTTATTTTTTTTAATTTTAAACAAAATATTTTCAATACCCTTTGTTGCAACGGTTGTAAAATGTATATTTCAACTTTTGTTTTTTAAAGTTTTCGACTCGGTGAAATAAAATATTCACAGTATGATAACGATTTTACTTTAATAATTACTTTCGGTGTGTTTTTTATGTTTCCGCTTTAAAGCTACGATGTCATTACTCCCAAAGTCGATGATTTGGCAAGAGCGTGACTTAATCGCCCCACCTTAAAAGGTAATCGTGAACTCTGTTGTTATGGGTATCGTGCACGGAAAACAAACACAATCTTTTAAAACGCTTCTCCGCACATTCACTCACTCGCCGTAAAGGATATCGTGTATCCGCTTTTGTACTTCCAGGATATTGTACATATGCATTAAATTAATTAATGCCTGCACTTTTTGTTTTGCACTGCCTGTAGGAAACGAGTTGAGAAAGGGGATGTTCTATCCGAATAGCGCGCTAAAATTTAATTAATTAATTATTGCTCCTTTGTTCGTAGATTCCTAGCGCGTTATCCTTGCAAAGGGGTCTGAATGCCTGGACGCCGAGTCGGGAACTGACTAATGTTTCGTGTGGGTCGCCTTTAATAGCTCTCCGAACTGTGGTGAGTTTCCTGCCCCGAGATGTTGCACATTTGTAGATATAGAAGCGAGAGTGCGACGGTCAAGTAGAAGCACGGTGAATGCAAGCATAAACATTCCCAATGGGTTCTTAATGAGCGGACAGGTCCACCCAATCCGGTTGTGGCTTTCCTCAGAACTCATATTGGGTTTCACACCCTCGCTTCGCTTTAAGAGCAACTGCAGCACTATAGTTCCGAAAGTGGACTTCCCTTTTGATTGCCATAATCGTATTTTCTTTTCTATTTCACTGCTTCCTGTTCTACTTCAAGGATATCACATGACCCTCGATTGCCATTTCTATGTCGGAGTGCTTAACTGGGTTCTATGACTTTGAAGTTGCCTCTTTTCAAACATGTTTGCACAGTTTCCTTGGCCGTTTTCAATTTATTTAGGTACTTGTGACACATATTAAACAATGTTAACAACTACACAAATACATACATGGATAACAAATATTTTCTAAAATATTTATCTGCTAGGCCTATATTAATTCTTATTCACCCAGTATTTCCTTTGTTTATTTGACTTTTAAGTACATCCTGCTCTGAGTTTGTACTATCAGTCACTTACTTAAAGCACTTGGTATAATAAAAATTAAAATAATTTATTGATACTTTGCCAAGTGGCAACAACTCATGTTTGATAAGATTTAACTCTTTATATTTGCATTGATAATGATTTCATTTGAGCTATATAAAACTGTGACTACTATAGAATCGTTTTAGTAATCAAAAATGAAGGCATTTGTACTCTTATTGGCATCCCTTTTGGGGGTTTGCACTGGCTTCTCTGTACCCCAGACTGCTGTCCACCCAAGGGATCTAAAGGTCGAACATCGCGGCATCGAGGGTCGTATCACCAATGGAAACGAGGCGACCGAGGGGCAGGTTCCCTATATCGTGGGAGTCAGCTTAAACAGCAATGGAAACTGGTGGTGGTGTGGAGGATCCATCATTGGCCACACTTGGGTACTGACTGCCGCTCACTGTACCGCTGGGTAGGTAACCAACATTTCCCAATAAGCTATCTTCATTAATGTAGTATAATAATTACAGTGCCGACGAGGCTTCACTGTACTACGGTGCCATTAACTACAACGAGCCCGCCTTCCGCCACACAGTCAGCAGCGAGAACTTCATCAGATATCCTGGCTACGTTGGTCTCGATCACGATTTGGCTCTGATCAGGACACCTCACGTGGATTTCTACAGTCTGGTCAACAAAATCGAACTGCCCAGTCTAAATGATCGTTACAATTCCTATGAAAACAACTGGGCTCAAGCTTCTGGCTGGGGTGCTATCTACGATGGCAGCAATGTCGTGGAGGATCTGCGAGTTGTAGAGGTTCGCGTGATTTCTGTATCGGACTGCCAGGGATATTACGGAACTGAAACTGCCACCGAAAACGTCATCTGCGTGGATACTCCGGACGGCAAGTCCACGTGCCAGGGAGATTCCGGCGGTCCTCTGGTTACCAAGGAAGGTGATAAGCTGATCGGAGTCACTTCATTTGGATCCATTTACGGCTGCCAGTCAGGAGCCCCCGCAGGATTCACTCGAGTTACCAATTACTTGGAATGGATCAAGGAGGAGACTGGCATTTACTATTAGGTGGTGTCCTTAATTCTATTTCGATGAATAAATTTCAAAATTTTTTATTTGCAATAAAAACATATTTATGGTATTTTTATTTTGAAGCCGCAAAGCTCGATTAAAGTGTACTTTATATAAGTATGAAACTTCCACATTTCATTGATACAATTATTAGAAGGGAACAATGTACTCCTCAATCACATACAATACATATATAGCACAGTCTTGATCCATCTAAAAAATGTAAATTGTAAACATTGTAAATATTGCTTTATTTTTTTGCTTTTAAATTGAACTAACAGTTCAGTCAAACACTCAGCTAAAGTGCCTGCTAATATAAATTAAATTCATTCATTGATAAAAGCGTCGACACATGGCGACACATGCATGATTAGATTTCGCTCTTTAAATTTAAATCGATAATGATTTCGGTTGGTGTATATAATATTGAGACCACCCTGGCAGCTTTTCAGTCTTTAAAAATGACGGGTCTAACGCTATTGTCGCTGGCTTTCCTTGGGGTCTGTACCGCACTCACTGTGCCCCACTCGATTGTCCACCCACGGGATCTTGAGATTCAGCATGGAAGCATCGAGGGACGCATTACCAATGGAAATCAGGCATCTGAAGGCCAGGTTCCCTATATCGTGGGAGTCAGCTTAAACAGCAACGGAAACTGGTGGTGGTGTGGAGGATCCATCATTGGGCACACTTGGGTACTGACTGCCGCTCACTGTACCGCTGGGTATGTAACCAACATTTCCAAATAAGCTATCCGTATTAATGTAGTATAATAATCACAGTGCCGACGAGGCTTCACTGTACTACGGCGCCATTAACTACAACGAGCCCGCCTTCCGGCACACAGTCAGCAAAGAGAACTTCATCAGATATCCTGGCTACGTTGGACTCGATCACGACTTGGCTTTGATCAGGACTCCTCACGTGGATTTCTACAGCCTGGTCAACAAAATCGAACTGCCCAGTTTGGATGACCGCTACAATTCGTATGAGAATAACTGGGTGCAGGCCTCTGGATGGGGTGCCATTTACGATGGCAGCAATGTGGTGGAGGACCTCCGAGTGGTGGATCTGAAGGTGATTTCCGTGGCGGAGTGCCAGGCCTACTACGGAACTGAAACCGCTTCCGAGAACACTATCTGTGTGGAAACTCCGGACGGAAAGGCCACCTGCCAGGGAGATTCCGGCGGTCCTCTGGTCACCAAGGAAGGTGATAAGCTGATCGGAATTACGTCCTTTGTCTCCGATTACGGCTGCCAGGTTGGGGGTCCTGCTGGCTTCACTCGTGTCACCAAGTACTTGGAATGGATCAAGGAGGAGACTGGAATCTATTATTGAACACCTCAGAACCATTCATTCTGTATAAGATTGTGTAATGCATTATGAAGGTTTAAAATAAAGCACTTTAGTCGCTCTTACAATTTCTCTTTTTGTTTGTTTTGGAATTGAAAGGGGGTAATAGCTAAAACAAAAGGGCAATAGGCAAGATGTGACTAACGATTTTCTTTAATAAAATTAATCTCTTATTCTTTTAACAGCAAAGAGTCATAATCTTAATTTTAGTTGTCCTTATAATTTTTTTTAGGTTGTGTGTTTTTTTTAAATTCAGCTAAAATTTGTTTAAAAAAAATAGTATCTGGATTCTAATGCAGATTTATATGAGTGTATAAAGTCGATTCTACGTTTTATTTCTTCCGTGAATAAATGTGTGACCAAAAAGTGGTAATATTAAAAATTATATTCTGAGGAGTAATTACTCCTAAAAACTTTGTTAAGCCTCTACTTTCTTAGTAATATCTTTAAATATTATTATGGTGTCAATAATATCGAACTGGTTACAAATTAAACACGCGTCAATCCATTTAAAAGTTGGCCATATTTTAGCAAGGAAGGCAGTTGTGGCAGGCTTATCATCCGGTGAAACTCTTACCGATGATAACTTCCGCAAGATTTACGGCCCTTTTACATATGATTAGAACGGCTCTTCAAACGAGATAAGTCCATTGCCTTCAGTGAGCCATAAATTTTATTTTATTTTTCCACAGATTGTATATTATATAAATGCTAATTGGAAATTCTTCAGCTGTTTTTCAAAGTAACAGCATAGTGGACCACCACCCACATAGTTTCAATAGAAAACTCAGATATGTAGTTATGCTTTAATCGTTTATTTAACAAACCCCATAAAAACAGGGTATGCCTTGACCATCAAGTGCTTAGTAGGAGATGCCAGTGTTGTCACGGATCCATTCGAGGTATCCAGTGACGCGGGTGAAGACGGCGGGAGCACCGGACTGGCAGCCGGCGGCGGAACCGAAGGAGGTCACTCCGACCAGGCGGCTGCCCTCGTGTGTGACCAGGGGGCCACCGGAGTCACCTCCGCAGGTGGACTTTCCTCCGTCGGTGTTGATGCAGATCATGTTGTCGTGGAGGGACCAGGTGCGGCTGCAGTCGGACTGGGACAAGATCTGGACATCCACGCTCTGGAGCCAGTCGGGGAGTGGGCTTCCGTCGTAGGTGCCGCCCCATCCGGAGGCCACAGCCCACCAGCTGGCGTAGTCCTGGTAACGGTCGTTGAAGCTGGGCAGCTCGACCTTGTTGACCAGGCTCCAGAAGTCAACGTGGGGGGTGCGGATCAGGGAGATGTCGTTGTGCAGGTTGCCGCTGTTGTAGTGGTGGTGCTGGATGATGTCGCCACTGCCCACCCAGTGGGTGTACTGGGGCTGGTTGCGGATGCTGGCTCCGTAGTTGATGGTCACTCCACTGGCTGAGTTGGTGCAGTGGGCGGCGGTCAGGACCCAGGTGTTGCCGATGATCGAGCCACCGCACCACCAGTTTCCGTTGCCGCTGAAGAGCAGACCCACGATGTAGGGCACCTTGCCCTCGTAGGCCGGGTAGCCGTTGGTGATGCGACCCTGGATGTCCTTCATGGGCACCGGGGTCAGCTTCGTCGAGGGAGCCGGGACAGCCGTAGCTGCGGCCACGGCCAAGGCCAGGAATACGAACAGTTTCATCTTGATCAAGTCTTGCAACTTATGGCCATTCGGAAACCGCTCCACCTTTTTATACTGAAAGCAATGGTCTTATCTCACTCCAAGAACCCTTCTAAACATCGAGGGCGGTAAATTTTCTTCAATTAATCGAGGTTTTGTCATTCATTTTTTTATAGCAGGTGCTTAAAATTTGAACTGTCATTAGAAAATGAACAACGAAAACGTTGCAATTAAACAAACAAATTTCGAGTAATCACTGTTTTTGCGAAAGCAGCTAAAAATATAATAAATCTAATTTCAAATACTATTGCGCGTCGCCAATTCATAAAATCGTTATCTAAACAGGGAAATTAAATTACCTTATCTGCTACTATAAAGCTAATCAGAATGGAAATTATACATTTTTTCAGTTTAAACTATCTTAAATTTTTGATTTAGTTGCCTATAAATTATAGATTTTTAACCACAATCTTGATGATTCTTTTGTGGAGACAGTAAAAGTGCAACCTGCTACAAAAAGCCAGGGAAATGAGCTCTTTCGCTTTTCTCATGTTGCAGAAAATTGTGCACGTAACTCACAAGGGCCCTTGTAAAGCTTAATAAGGCAGGAACTCTTAAAATTGGTATTTTTGTTTATTTTGGAATTGAAAAGAAGTAATAGCTAATTAAAAAAGATTTTAATAATGTCTTTTTTTAAGGTGTATATATTTCAAAACTTAACAAAACTTCTACATATGTGACAGCTTCTGGATGTTGTAAATATAGGGGTGTAACAGATTATCCGAGATCTCTATTTCATTTCTTAATTAATTCCTTTAAAATTTTAAATGTTATTTATTTCTTGATGGGAGGTTATGTGGGTGGTATCTTTTTAATCTTCTTTTCTACAGACGTCATGCCAGCCTTTTCGTCAGCGTGTTAGGGTAATAAACAAGACGTCTGAAATAATTTTTCGCGTGTGTCCGACATACATCTTTGGGATTTTAAAATCGAAGTCCCTAGTAGTCATAAACCAGGGATCGTTAAAAATTTATCTAACGATCTTACTTTGTGCTACTCTTATTTTATTAAGGCTAGATTTAGCCATGCTTGCAGGAGATCTGGGCACCCTTCGAGTGAAAAGCGAAGACCTTGTTTAGACCTTCCACACCCGTAACCTCTACAGAAATTTATACGTCCCCAGGAACTGCGAATATTCCAGAAGGACCCGCTTTGCGGTGGTCCTTTCAAACACCAAGTACTTCTCGGCCCAGGGAACGGACCTCTTCCGATCTGAGTAAAGAGCCACCAAAACAGAAGAAATCTAAAGCAAATGTAATCAACGGAACAAATGGTAAAGATAGTCAAGATTCGACGGCAAATGGACTGCGCAGCAACCGCTTCCCAATTTTAGCTGAGGAAATGAAATCTTATGAAAAGATGGATTCAAACGAGGAGACATTTGAGCCCAATAAACACAGCTCCGGAATTTATGCTCCTCAAGCACAAAGTTCTAGCCAACCTCAATGGACCAATCCGAAACTTCCACCAATATGTGTACCTAAGATAAATAATATTCTTGCACTGGAATGAACCCTTGATGAAATCACTGCAGAGATGACATACGTACCTCTATTTTCGGGATTACCAATTTGCATATATAGAAAGTACTGAGGCATTCCGGAAGGTGGTTTCTAGCTTAACTCCCTTGAATTGCGAGTTCTGATATCACCAGCTCAAGTGAGGACAAACCATTTAAGCTGGTGTTGGGGAACATACTTTTAACTGTCCCTAAAGAGGAAATAGAGCGTTACTTTATGGACAACGACTTTATCGTATTAAATATTTATTGCCCAAGGAAGCCTGGATGGTGCGGAAATTCAGCTGACGCTAATGGTGACAAAGAAGCCTCAAACGCTAATACTAAACCTTTTCTATATCAATATCAAGGTGTCTTCAATTGTCGCAGAGTTGCTAAAAATTAAACAAATTGAAAGGCACAGACACCCATTAACACACTTCAAATGTTGGTCATATTTTATCAAGGAAGGTATTTGTGGCAGGCTTATCAGCTAGTGTGACTCTTACCGATGATAACTTCCTCAAGATTTACTGCCCCTCAGTTTTACATATGATTAGAACGGCTCTTAAAGCGAGATAGACCATTCAGTGCCTTCAGTATAAAAAGGCGGAACCGTTATGGCGAAAGAGCCATAAATTGGAACCCCTTATCAAGATGAAACTGTTCCTTTATAGCACAGATTGTACATTTATAGAAATGCTAATTGGAAATGCTGCCTCTGTTTTAGTATTTTTAAAGTATTTTTTCGAATGGGATTTTGGGTCACTGAAAATTACCATGGTGGTCCACCACCACCATAGTTTTAATATAAAAGATTTGTAGTTATGCTTTAATCGTTTATTTAACAAACCCCATAAAAACAGGGTATGCCTTGACCATCAAGTGCTTAGTAGGAGATGCCGGTGTTGTCGCGGATCCATTCGAGGTATCCAGTGACGCGGGTGAAGACGGCGGGAGCACCGGATTGGCAGCCGGCGGCGGAACCGAAGGAGGTCACTCCGACCAGGCGGCTGCCCTCGTGTGTGACCAGGGGGCCACCGGAGTCACCTCCGCAGGTGGACTTTCCTCCGTCGGTGTTGATGCAGATCATGTTGTCGTGGAGGGACCAGGTGCGGCTGCAGTCGGACTGGGACATGATCTGGACATCCACGCTCTGGAGCCAGTCGGGGAGTGGGCTTCCGTCGTAGGTGCCGCCCCATCCGGAGGCCACAGCCCACCAGCTGGCGTAGTCCTGGTAACGGTCGTTGAAGCTGGGCAGCTCGACCTTGTTGACCAGGCTCCAGAAGTCAACGTGGGGGGTGCGGATCAGGGAGATGTCGTTGTGCAGGTTGCCGCTGTTGTAGTGGTGGTGCTGGATGATGTCGCCACTGCCCACCCAGTGGGTGTACTGGGGCTGGTTGCGGATGCTGGCTCCGTAGTTGATGGTCACTCCACTGGCTGAGTTGGTGCAGTGGGCGGCGGTCAGGACCCAGGTGTTGCCGATGATCGAGCCACCGCACCACCAGTTTCCGTTGCCGCTGAAGAGCAGACCCACGATGTAGGGCACCTTGCCCTCGTATGCCGGGTAGCCGTTGGTGATGCGACCCTGGATGTCCTTCATGGGCACCGGGGTCAGCTTCGTCGAGGGAGCCGGGACAGCCGTAGCTGCGGCCACGGCCAAGGCCAGGAATACGAACAGTTTCATCTTGATCAAGTCTTGCAACTTATGGCCATTCGGAAACCGCACCGCCTTTTTATACTAAGAGCAATAGTCTTATCTCTCTCCAAGAACCCTTCTAAACATCGAGGGCGGTAAATTTTCTTCAATTAATCGAGGTTTTGTCATTCATTTTTTTATAGCAGGTGCTTACCATTTTAACAGTCATTAGAAAATAAACAACCAAAACATTGCAACTAAACAACAAAACTTCAAGTAATCAGTGTTATACCAAATCACTTGAGAATATAATAAATTTAATTTCAAATTGTATTGAGCTTCCTCAATTCATAAAATCGTTATCTAAACAGGCAAATTTAATTTACTCTACTTCTTAGCTAAAACCACAGAACTATCTTATCTGCTACCATAAAGCAAATCAGAATCAAGTCTCAAGATTTTTATGAGTTATACTATCTTTCTGTTAACAGTAATGATAGATTTTTAACCACATTGATGTTTCCGTTGTGGAGACAGTGAAAGTGCAACCTGCTACAGAAAGCCAGGGAAATGAGCTCTTTCGCTTTTCTCATGCTGCAGAAAATTGTGCACATAACTCACAAGGGCCCTTGTAAAGCTAAATAAGGCAGGAGTTCTGTTGGAGGCCAATGTATCATTGAGTGCGGCAGTATTGTACACTGAAAACAAACACATATCAAACTCAATGGAATAATCGTAGTTGGGTATTTCATAATTTTATAATAACAGCACATACATGTTGATAAAAGCCATTAGTTGTCACTAGGTATACTAATATTTCCCGAAAGGCAGCTCACGTATCTCCAGTTATGCCCATTAATTAATTTGCACTTAATGAGTTTCCATTTGCGGCTGCGGCTTTAATTTCGAAATTCCATGGTTTCCATTACCTGGCCGCAGAGAACTGCGAGCCGAGTGCAATGCCCCCTCTGAAAACGCTGTACGACTTGAACACGTACGATGCCATTCCGCCCGGGGCCCCATTGAACCCCACCTTTCGAACACACATCTCAAAGGGCGCTCCTTGGAAGTGGGTTGGTTCCTTTGCCTTGCCCAGGAGCTGGCATTTAATTCCAAGTGCATTGACACACAAAAGCCCTGCAAGCGCCCTGAAGTAGGCAACGCATTCAACATTCAAGGTTCAAGATTCCCAGCTGCCAAGGACGAGATGGCATTTCAGTGAGTTATTCGGCATCCCGACTTGGAATAATCAATATTAATCAATGACAAAGTCAGAATCACTGACCCAGTGGGGAAAGGTGTTCGCAATGAATTAATTTCTGTAAGGTCTGACTGTAAAGTACAAGTGTGGTGGGTTTTTCAGTCTTTGGTAAAACCAAGAGCTTTAAAGCTGCCTTTTCACTGTTTTAACTGTTAACTCGGCACTGCTGGATTTTAAACAGCTTTCGAGCTCCAAATGATAGTCAGGATGCAAACGATTTTATCTTCCTAAAATCATAATATTCTGCTTTATAATTAGGTGTTCATTGAAATTTAAACAGTACAGTATTCTTTTAAGTTTTGTCGGCTATTAACAAAACCAGCCAGAAAACCAAGTTGCAAAATCAAATTAATTTAAAATTGTATTGCATACCCTTTCTCAATAAGTCTCTTCCAACGGAATTATAACTGAAAATACGAAAGAAAAATCAGAAATCATAAAATTATAGTAGTATCTGTTGATTAAAAAGTTTTTGGTTTCTGTTATTCTAGGCACGAAAAACGAGAAATGTAGCTTACACCCCGCATTAAATTTACTTGAAGCCCTTGAATATGTTATTGTCTTTTGTTCTGCCTATTTGCTATAATATCTATTAATAACCATAATGCTTTTTACATTTGTTTTTTTCTAAGCCCACTGCACACTATGGATTTTCAGGCATCAAAGCGGTTAGATCTCGTTGCTAGGGCTTCGAAAATCGAAAATAATGCGCTGCAGACTCATCACGTGCCGTGCAGGTAGAAATGGGCAATAGATTGCTATGCTAAAATCGCTGAAATCGGTTGCTGCCTCCCGAATGCAGCCACACAACTACCAAGTGTGGTCAAATGGGCCCATTGACTCGCGTTGCGCCTACACATTGACCGAGTTTTAGCCAGGCACTAATGTAATTAGTGGAATATAGCGACTAGTGGCTGCCACTTCTGGGCAGTGCAACGCGGCTAATTGGAGACTAAACATCGTCAACATGGAACACTAAAGGATACAGTGCGCGAAAGGATTACGGCAAGGCTCTCCAAGGAGCCCAAAGTGCAAATGTGAATTAATCGAATTATCCTGAGTTTCGCGTTCGCAAAGACCAAGAAATCAGAGATATGAGTAGCAACACGGAATCCGATGCCGAAAAGGCGTTGGGCTCGCGCCTGGATTACGATCTGATGATGGCCGAGGAGTACATACTCAGTGATGTGGAGAAGAACTTCATATTGGCCTGCGAGCGGGGTGACCTTCCTGGTGTCAAGAAGTGAGGGTGTACAGGTCCTTCGCGTCTAACTCTGAGTAATTGCTTTCGTCCTTGAAGGCTCCTCGAGGAATATATGGGCACCGACAAGTTCAACATTAACTGCACGGACCCCATGAACCGTTCAGCCCTAATTTCGGCCATCGAGAACGAGAACTTCGACCTGATGGTGCTCCTGCTGGAGAACAACATTGAGGTGGGTGACGCCCTGCTCCATGCCATTTCCGAGGAGTATGTCGAGGCTGTGGAGGAGCTGCTGCAGTGGGAGGAGACCAACCACAAGGAGGGCCAGCCCTATGTAGGTTATATCCTGGCTGTCCTGGTTAAGCCACCCCGCAGATTCATTTCTGATCCTTTGGCAGAGCTGGGAGGCGGTGGACCGCTCGAAGTCCACCTTCACCGTGGACATCACGCCCCTTATCCTGGCCGCCCACCGCAATAACTACGAGATACTCAAAATACTCCTGGATCGCGGTGCCACGCTGCCCATGCCACACGACGTCAAGTGAGTGGTGACGGAGTGAGCCTCCTCGTCCTTTGAGCGGCACGTTCCGTTGTTTGCCCAACTTGCATCTCACTTATGCTGCACCTCGTTTTGTACTTCTAATTTTACCTAATTACGGACAAATTAGGGTGCCATATTTATACAGGGTGTAAGGATATTTCTGGAGTAATATTGGGGCTTTTGTTATTTTTATTGATTATTTTTCTTCCTACTTGAATATCCTTTAACTAGGGTCAAGGACCTCCTTTTTTTTTTTTTTTTTAATCCTCCTCAATGTTATTCAATTCGCTTCAAAAAAGAAATGTCTATATTCGGTTTCAATTTTAGTATAATTTCTTAAAAAGGATATATGTATTATTTAGTTAGTGATTGTTGGTGCTGAATCGTTCATAAATACAATTTTCTTTAATTTAACAGAGCTTTGGTTAAGCCATTATATAACAAAAATATATTAGATCCTTCATTTCGCCTTTATGGTTAAAAATAGTTAACATCTTGTGATACAACCTTTCAGACTATTTGTAATATTTATAATAAGCCATTAGAAAAGGTCCTTCGTTTGTCATATATTTCGTTTCGACCAGGCAAGTGAGTCCAGTATATGAAGCTTAAAATAAACGGCTATTACTGAATTGTGTAGATTCGTTATTATATATTGAAGCTTTGGTCAACGAAAATCTTTTAATCAATTACTTGAGAATTCAATGAAATTAAAACTGCATTTGAAATAAGTTTGAAAATGTAATTGCCTCAGGTGCGGCTGCGATGAATGTGTGACCTCCCAGACGTCGGACTCCCTGCGCCACTCGCAGTCGAGGATCAACGCGTACCGCGCCTTGTCGGCCAGTTCGCTGATAGCGCTCAGCTCCCGGGACCCTGTACTGACCGCCTTCCAATTGTCCTGGGAACTCAAGCGCCTGCAGGCAATGGAATCGGAGTTTCGTGCCGAATACACGGTACGGTAGACAATGTAAGCGGTGGGGCTAGTGCCAATGCGAATGCGAGCCTTTGTTTGTGTTTGTCTAACAGGAGATGCGTCAGATGGTGCAGGACTTCGGCACCTCCCTTCTGGACCACGCACGCACATCCATGGAGCTCGAAGTGATGCTCAACTACAACCACGAGCCGTCCCACGACATTTGGTGTCTCGGCCAACGGCAGACTCTGGAACGATTGAAGCTAGCCATACGATATAAGCAAAAGACGGTGCGTTTGCTTAACCATTTTACATTTTCAGAAAATTGACATGCCGAAAAGCGAACCAAACTTTTCAAGCCTAACATTTTCTGGGATTGAGTGTTTTTTTTTCCAATTTTAAATCTATGGCAAAGTTGAACCAATCAAACAGTTCTAAGGTTATTTACTTGACTTTTAAGATTTAAATTTGAAATTGGCATATTTTGAAAAATATATATTAATCCGTAATATAATTTCCTATATTTAAAAAGGCATATTCAAACCTAATTAAAAATCGTATAATTTATTCTGCTAGTTTGTGGCACATCCAAATGTCCAACAGTTGTTGGCCGCCATTTGGTATGATGGACTGCCGGGTTTCCGACGCAAACAGGCCTCCCAGCAACTGATGGATGTAATGAAGCTCGGCTGCAGCTTTCCCATCTACAGTTTGAAGTACATCCTGGCCCCGGATTCCGATGGGGCCAAGTTCATGCGCAAGCCCTTTGTCAAGTTCATCACACACTCCTGCTCCTACATGTTCTTTTTGAGTGGGTAAAGGGGAGTCTTGTATTCCATCAATCTATATATGTCCCCATCCACAGTGCTTTTGGGTGCCGCCTCTTTGAGGGTGGTGCAAATCACCTTTGAACTGCTGGCTTTTCCCTGGATGCTGACCATGCTGGAAGATTGGCGCAAACACGAACGAGGCTCCTTACCGGGTCCCATCGAACTGGCAATCATAACCTACATAATGGCCTTGATATTTGAGGAACTAAAGTCCCTGTATTCGGATGGCTTGTTTGAGTATATCATGGATCTTTGGAACATAGTCGACTACATATCGAATATGTTCTATGTGACGTGGATTCTTTGTAGAGCCACCGCTTGGGTAATAGTTCATGTAAGTCTTCAGCATAAACAATTCATAATAATCTTGTTAAGCAAGTTACTTTTTCGTAGCGTGATCTCTGGTTCCGTGGCATAGACCCCTACTTCCCACGTGAGCACTGGCATCCCTTTGATCCCATGCTTTTATCGGAAGGTGCCTTTGCTGCCGGAATGGTCTTCTCCTATCTGAAGCTTGTCCATATCTTCTCGATCAATCCCCATTTGGGTCCGTTGCAAGTTTCGCTGGGACGCATGATAATCGACATTATAAAGTTCTTCTTTATCTACACTTTGGTTTTGTTCGCCTTTGGGTGTGGTCTCAATCAGTTACTTTGGTACTATGCTGAACTCGAGAAGAATAAGTGCTATCACCTGCATCCGGATGTGGCTGACTTCGATGACCAGGAAAAGGCTTGTACCATCTGGCGAAGATTTTCCAAGTAAGAATCAATGCAAAGATTTTCCAAGTAGGTAAATTTGTTTTGTATCTATAATCACATTTGTTTATATTAAAACTTTTTAAGTTCTATAGGTAATGTATTTTTTTAACTCCTACGTTATTCTAAATTTCTATTTTCCTGTAATTCAGCTTATTTGAGACATCGCAATCCCTTTTTTGGGCTTCCTTTGGCCTGGTGGACTTGGTCTCATTCGATCTGGCCGGAATCAAGAGTTTCACCCGGTTCTGGGCCCTCCTGATGTTCGGCTCCTATTCGGTGATCAATATTATTGTGCTCCTCAACATGCTTATTGCCATGATGTCCAACTCGTATCAAATCATCTCGGAGCGAGCCGACACAGAGTGGAAGTTCGCCCGGTCTCAGCTTTGGATGAGCTACTTCGAGGATGGCGGCACTATTCCACCGCCGTTCAACCTCTGTCCCAATATGAAGATGTTGAGAAAGACTCTGGGGCGGAAGCGGCCTTCACGAACCAAGAGCTTTATGGTAAGCAGATACCCTTTGAGCTACACTTTAAAAAAAAAGTAACAAGTTACCAATTCCCTTGGGAAATTGCTCTTGATTTTAAAGACAAGTTTAAAAAGCTTTTTAAGCTAAGATCAGAAAGTCAAGTTAATAGAAAAACATTTTCTGGCAGAGCCATTAACTTCTATGAAAAATAAATTATCTCGTTTTTGAAACGTCTGACTAAGGCTAGCTTAGTTTAACAAAATGAAGAGCATCAAATTAGTTAAACCTTTATAAATTTTTAAATCTATCAAAATAATTTTAAAGTAAAGGTTGCTGTTTCACAGATTTGAAACTGAAGTATAACTGTTTTGTTAGAGTAGTTTTATATTTTAAATTATTTTCAAACTGTATCATTTTTGCCTTGGTCCAAGTGAGAGGCGGGACAATCAATACAAATCTTTGGCAAAATCATTTTCAATCAAGCCCATGCAGAGCTCGCTGTGCGTCATCGTCACTGCTAATTCAACCTTTTCCGTGTCCTTCCACCCCCTTTTTACTCCTTGTTCCAACTGCTAGCGCAAGTCGATGGAGCGGGCACAGGTCCTGCATGACAAAGTGATGAAGCTGCTGGTCAGGCGGTACATTACGGCGGAGCAGAGGCGGCGGGACGATTACGGCATTACCGAGGATGATATCATTGAGGTGCGGCAGGACATCAGCTCCTTGCGTTTCGAACTACTGGAGATTTTCACGAACAATAGTTGGGAGGTACCCGACATCGAGAAGAAGTCTCAGGGTAAGGGAATCCTACTCATGCTTAAAGCTAGTAGATAAATATGAACGATAAAAAAATACTCTTTTATAAGCTCATTTTTACAAGCCCGTTTTTACTTTTACTTAATTAAATATGCCAGTCTCATTATGGTGTCAAAAATATAATGTTGCCAATAAACGTATTATTTGGGTAGAAAATATTAAAGTTTAGATTATTATTTAAACATTACCTACACTCGCAGGAGTGGCCCGAACCACCAAGGGCAAGGTGATGGAACGACGCATCCTCAAGGACTTCCAGATTGGCTTCGTGGAGAATCTGAAGCAGGAAATGAGCGAAAGTGAGAGCGGTCGGGACATATTCTCATCGCTGGCCAAGGTCATCGGCAGAAAGAAGACCCAGAAGGGGTATGTTGAACTCAACACTAAGAGTTTTACTGATACTGACACTGATCGACGGTGCTTTATATTTATAGCGATAAGGACTGGAATGCCATTGCGAGAAAGAATACCTTTGCTTCTGATCCTATTGGTTCGAAGCGCTCCTCCATGCAACGTCATAGCCAACGCAGTCTGAGGAGAAAGATCATTGAGACAGCCAATGAGGGTCTGCTGATGAACCAGAACCAGTTGATTGGTAGGATTATACATTTTATAGTCTATTGCTAAGCCAAGAAAAATCGAATAACTAGGAATTCCAATAGAATGAGGAATTACTCCCTCATAAAAACACCCTAAGAACAAGATTAGATTCATATTTATAAAGTAACAAATACACAACATTAAGATTCATTCTTAATCCCCTCCAGAATTTAATCCCAACTTGGGTGATGTGACTCGGGCCACGAGAGTGGCTTATGTCAAGTTCATGCGAAAGAAGATGGCTGCGGATGAGGTTTCCTTGGCCGACGACGGTAGTCCAAATGGCGAAGCGGAGAAGAAACCTATAGATGCCTCTGGGGTATAGTTCGATCAAAATACATTTCTCCTTTAGTTATGGCTAATTCTTGATCAAATTGCAGTCAAAGAAATCCATTTCCAGTGGCGGAGGTGGTGGAGGAGTTTCCATGATGGCTGCAGCTGCTTTGCGAGCTTCCGTCAAGAATGTGGACGAAAAGTCTGATGACAAGGACAAGGATAAGAAACCCGATGGCAAAGCAAGTACTGTCAGTAAGCCATCGGATGACAACAAGTCCAGTGAGGTGAAGAAACCAGGCGATGACAAGGACAAAGATACGAAGCAGCCTCCCAAGGACTCCAAGCCGCCACCAGGTGGTCCGAAGCCCGGGGATCAGAAACCTGCTCCAGCAGCTGGGGCTCCAAAGCCCCAGGCAGCTGGCAATGGCAGCAAGCCCAGTGACCAGCAAAAGAAGGATGCTCCGGCACCTCCATCCAAGCCTGCAGACACCAAGCCATCAGCTCCCAAGCCCGGAGAACCTGCAAAGCCCGAGGCAGCTGCCAAGAAAGAGGAGTCTTCTAAGAGCGAGGCCAGCAAGCCGGCAGCCACAAATGGAGCCGCCAAAAGTGCTGCTCCCTCAGCTCCAGCGGATGCCAAGCCAGATCCCAAATTAAAAGCGGCAGGAGCTGGAGCTCCGGAAGGAACCAAAGCCACCAATGGAGCCTCCAAGCCGGATGACAAGAACAGCGGCCAGGAGCAGCCCAAAAAGACTGGAGATGATGCCAAGAAACCGGAAGATGCCAAGGACAAGGATAAGAAACCAGGCGATGGCAAGGATAAGAAACCTGGTGATGAGAAGGACAAAAAACCTGGCGACGACAAAGACAAGAAACCGGCCGACGATAAGGATAAGAAGCCGGCTGACGACAAGGACAAGAAACCAAGCGACGACAAGGATAAGAAACCAGCCGACGATAAGGACAAGAAGCCAGGAGCAGCTCCTCTAAAACCGGCGATCAAGGTGGGTCAAAGCAGTGCGGCAGCCGGTGGAGAACGCGGCAAATCCACGGTCACAGGTCGCATGATCTCCGGCTGGCTATAAACCATTCGCGGAATCCACTTTCGACCGATTGAATAGCAGTTATAGACAATTAAGTCCCTCTGTTTGTGTGAACAATAAACGAATCTCAAATACAAGTATCCAGCAACATGTTGCCAAGGGCCACCTGTTGCTAGCAACATCTATTTTGCATCCCCACAGCGCCAGCAACATTCATCAGCCGCCCCGTTGGTCCAGTGGCAATTTGTTTGCCTGCCAACCTTCTGTCCGTTTTTCTGGCCTATAAAAGAACGTGAACTTCGACCAGGACCATCAGAAAACCAGTGACCGTTCTAAGGAAAGCATCAGTTCGAAAAACATTTTATTTTTATCCCAGTGTTTCATTCTAAACAGTCTTTTAAAAATGAAATCAATGTTGGTCAACGCAATTTTAGTGCTCTTCTTTGTTGCAAAATTTAGTGCCGCAGGTGAGTGGGATAAAGGATAAATGATTCTCTAAAGAATCTTAAATCTTCGTAAAGTTCTTAGGATCTTAGAAGTAAATATCATTTAAGGTCCAGTGACAAATTTCGTTTACTGAAAAGATTTCATTGGAATTAAATTTTAAAGTGAAATTGTAATAGACTTTATAATAATTACTTAAAATATTTTGCAGCACCTTTAAAAGAAAAAGGTAATCTAGTGCGGCATACATTTTACTTTTTTTATCTTTCCTACATTTTTTTAACTATAACAAAAAATATTTGTACACCGATTTCTTGCTAGACTTTTTTAATCCACTTAAATTTTTTTTTTAAGCATGAAATTATAATCTTTTAATGACCTAAACTTTTTATATCAAACACCTCTTAACGACAAAAATAACAAAAGCGACAAAAAGAGTATCTAAATAATCTACAATTTAACTGAATTGTCTTATTACTTATAAATTAAATTACTTTAAATTAATTTAGCTTAGAATGTTTATTACGATTTGAAGGTCGCTTTGTTATTTTGGCGGTTGGGGCACGAAAACAACTTATTCCATGGTGATTCAAAAGTATAAGCATGCCAGTTAACATAATTAATTACAATCCATAAACACTCCATTCAGAGATGGACCACGACAAGAACCGGCGAGGTGCCAACATGGGGCTCTATGCCTTTCCGCGTGTAGGCCGCGGAGATCCCAGTCTGGCCAACAGTTTGCGCGACGGATTAGAAGCTGGAGTCCTTGACGGCATTTACGGTGATGCCTCCCAGGAGGATTACAATGGTAAGTCGTTGCGTCCGGGTAACTAATTTGCCTAAACGCCCCGGGGACGTATGTACCATTTCAGAGGCGGATTTCCAGAAGCGGGCCACCGGATTGGTGGCCTTCCCACGCGTGGGTCGCGGCGACTCGGAGCTGCGGAAGTGGGCTCATCTCCTGGCCCTGCAACAGGTGCTGGACAAGCGCACAGGACCCAGTGCCTCCTCGGGATTGTGGTTCGGTCCCCGCCTCGGCAAGCGCAGTGTGGATGCCAAGTCCTTTGCTGACTCCAACAAGGGACAAAAGGAATTCAACTAGACTCCCACACCACACACTCCGCACTGATGAAAGGCACCTTTTTGACACTCTAAATGTCGTAAACACACTTTTGTATATCAAAGAGAACGCTTCTAATTGAATATTGTAACGGGTATACAACAACTATGGTTTTCGGTCAAATATATACAAATAATGAATTAAGGGCTGGTGAGAGCTTGTAATTAATGTCTTTGTGTGTTGTTCTTGCCATTTCGAATATGTAAATATAATTAAAGTAATTACATAACCTGCACAAGTAGTTTATTTTAACTTATCGAAAAAGGTAATGCTATAAGCTTAAAAGTTTCAGAAAATAGTTTAAGAGTATTAAGAAAAGTTTATTCTAAATGAATTGCAAACATTTTTGGTACAGATATGCTGGTGTGAATGATATTTCATCGCCATGACAAAGTTAAGATCATTAATTTTCCGTTCTACTCCTGCTGCTGCTTGAACTTTCGCAACTCGGACTGTATGGCCTCGATAAGGGGGGCAGTTCCAGTTGCCGATGAAGTGGCATCCAACCTGTTCTCCGTCCTCTGAAAAGGACCTGCGCTCAGGGGTCGGTTCAGGGTGGAATGGGAGCTGTACATACTCCCACCCCCCCAGGCACTATAAGTGGGCGATGGTGGTTGGGTGGAGTGTGCCGATTTGGAGGTCTTCTCCGGCTGCGCTGTGGCAGGACGTTCAGCTATGGCTTTAGACCCTCCCGAAGGATGAAAGCTGAAGGATCACTATATAAGTAATGATGGGAATTGTATTGGCTATCAAGCCTCACCTGGGCAACCCCGCAGATGAGCCCCTATGCTCGCGCTTCGTAACCCTCCGATTGTTCGTAAAATTCTGGGTCGGCAAGGGCATGGGTATATCGTCCTGGCTGGAGTACATTTGCAGGGCCCCCTCCAAGAGACCCTCGTAGTGGTTGCGTATTGCCGACGGATTGTGCAGCGGACTGGGATTATAATCGGCATAGGTCAGGGCCTCTGGGGAAGATCGATTGGAGAAGTTGAGTACAATTGTTAGGTAGCTGACTTGACCGGGTTCACCGGTGGTGGGACTGGAGGTAGGTCTCTACGTTGTTAGTTAGCTACATTTTGGTTATCGGGTTATCAGGATGGGTGCAAGCAATAACAATACTAAATCAACGACTACAGGTTGTCCTAGTAACGCGACCTGGCCCCAAATCGAACGTCGCCTTCGTCCTCGTCGTCATCGTTATTATTATTATTATTATTTGGGGTTTCTCCGCCCGCCTCACCCTGTGACGACTGCTTCTTCTTGTGCCGCTCCCAGACCACTGGACCCACTACACCCGGATCCGGGTTATCGCTGTGCGAGGCGGAACGGACATTCCTAACCGATGGCGGTGCCTTGGGACTGGGAAAGCTGGCGATGGTGGCTATGGTGTTGTCCTTGCTTCCCTGCGACTTGTGGGATCGCAGGGATCTCGTGGAATTGTGCGGCGCCACTGCATTCACGTTGTCGTAGTAGGTGACGAACACGGGATCCAGCACGCGGTTCAGTGGTTCCGGTAGAGTACTCTTCGGGAATGCCCTCACCGAGGCCATCGATAGAAAGGAACCCACACTTGCGGTATCTGATTTATCCGATGGTTGAAGATTCCGTATCATCTCGTTGTTAATCGCCTCTGCGGAAACTCCTCTTCCGGTTTTCTGAGTCAGCAACTTATTCCGGTGATAGTTGTTGTGCGGATTGAAGGCCTCGTTCCTTTGGAAATTCTCGTAGCTTCTGCGCAGGACTTCCGGCGATTCCTCCGCAGAGGAGTGACCCGCTAAGGAGCCCTGGACAGGACTCGTTTCCAGGGAGCCCACTCGATTCTCATTCAGATAACGCCTCCTTGATTTATGCCGGGACTTGTCGCCCTTCTTTTCGGACACCACGGATGTATAGACTGTTTCCTCGTGACCCTCAGCTCGATCGTATTGATGGCGCCTCTTATGGGCGTCAAATAAACGGGCTGCCTTGTCATCCAGTATCCTTTGGACATCGGCACTGGGCGGATTGATGGGACAGTAAACCGAAGAGTCGGAAGTGTTGTCCGTGGACGAGGATATGGAATCACGACGGGATCGTGTCTCCTGCGGCGGAGCTGGAAAACTGATGCGCGGCTCCCGTTCGTAGGAGAAGTTCCGCACTCCAACCTCCCTAGAATGGGAATGTCCTGGACTTGGTTCTCCTTCGGTCCTCTCACTTGTGGTAGGTCGAATCGATTGGCCCTCGGAGAGCAACTCGTTGCGGGAGGAGTTTCTGCAATGAATACTCCAAAATTAATAAGTCTTTAAAAAGAATAAAATATTCTTTCATTTTTGATTGTATCAGCTAAGAAGCTTGGAATTTATGGTTAACTATATTTTGATAGTAGATGTGACTCACCTGTTGACTGCACTAAGCTCTCTCTGCCGGGATCGAGTTCGTCCTAATAGTAAGACCACCACAAGGAGCAACATGAGCAGCAGAATGGCCAAGGAACTGATCACCACCAAGGCCACGTTGTTCTTCACCGAGTTGAAGAATCCAGCCTGTCCACTTCGAGGAACAGGTGCCAAGGCGGTGGCCGTGGGTTCCCTAATGTAGGCTATATAAATGGGAATAGTGGATAAATTGGTTTGACTGCAGATAATAAAACTTACGTTCCGATTTCATATAAACAGCCTGGCCAAAAGTCTTTACCGCCTCGGTTTCACTGACCAGTTCCATGTCTTTGGCTGCCGTTGTGGCCAAAACTGGTCTACCATTCACCAACACAGTGTAAATCAGCTCTGTTTGGTTGGCAATCGGACGATCATTGCTGCTAAAAAATTTAATTAACAGATTTTTAAATGCAAATGTTAAAGGTCTTGCTTTTTGTTTACTAAAATATTTCTGGTTTTCTAAGTGTTCATAAAAAGATAATTAAAATATTAAACGAGTGATTTTATAATTAAAGTTTTATCACTGCATTTAGTAAATTAAATTAAAATAGCCCATAACAATAAATTAAAACCAAGAACATTATGAAACATTTCTACAATAATTCTGTTCCCATAGAAAAGTTAAAGCCAAATTAAGATTTTCTTTGAGTGCACTTTGTGGGTTAATCAAACTCATAATATAATAACAAGTTCGGCAGGCACTTACAATTTGAGGTTGACGTAGTTGTGCTCCTCCATGGTACCGAACCCATTGGTGTTGGTGCTCCACTTTTGCACATCCGCCTCGCTAATTTGCGTTAGGTTGTGTATGACAACTCTGACGTGCTCGTCCCTATAAAGTGGTTGGGTTTGGTGTTGTTCCTGCCCCTTCTGTTGTTGCTGCTGTTGTTGCTGCTGTTGTTGATGTTGCTGCACCAGTGGTTGCTTAGTCAACAAAGCTTCGTGCATTTCCCGCAACTTTTCCGATTTTCCATTCTGCTGTATGAGTTCCCAGGGGATCAGAGTAACGTATGCGCCATAATCTATCGTTTCCGTGCTGGTCGTCGAGGGTGTGGCCTCCATTGGAGGCAGCTCCTCGGACAGCTCCTCCTCCGAGTTGCTGGCCCATTCGGTGTCTTCGCCCAGTCTTCTCACATTCTTTATATAGTGCTCGTCGTCATCCTGCATGTCCAGTATTTCCACATCGTCTGACGGAGATCCCGTCGTGGTTTCGGGTCTCGCTGATGGGGTAAAAGACTTCCGGCGGTCTCGAGGTGCTGGTACGTTAACCCCCTCGATTTGTTGGGCTCCATTTATGCCCAAATGTCGGGTTTGTTGCCTGTTTATAAAAGTTATTTTAGTTAGGCCCTTCATCAACTATTCATTCTGATTGTTCATTTAAGATAGCAGAATATTTCAAGACTACTTTTAGAATCGCTGGATTTCTTAACTACACCGACTTCTTTTAATTCTGAATATTAACAATCTTACCTGGTAAAAGCTAGCCTATATAGACGTGCCAGTTTATCCTCTAAAGTTGGGTTATCCTTTGCAGTATAAAAACCCGACATTACTGTTAACAGCCAATACCGACGATCCGTGGCGGAGTAATTTAGGGGTGGCATTCCGGGACCATTCATATCCCAGGTACCACCCCCATCATCCGGTTTGCAATCCAGGCAAATTGGAATGTCAATTTCCTAGATGTAAATCTTTATTAAAGCTGTTCAGTCAGGTTGTCCACCTGCTCTAACTTACGTTATTACCATCCACATAGACCGTGGCCACTACTGTTTCGGTCTTGACAATCACATCCTTGCCCTTGGTAATCCCCGTGTGGACCTTCTTTAGGAAATCCGGCGGGCCATCGCCCGAACCAGTCCAGAAGAAGTCTTCCAAATGAATTTCGTCTTTTATGTCTGGATAATCATCATCGGAGTTGTCTGTAAATGTCATGGTTATAATAACTCTTACAGTTTCTTGAACTTTCAACCCGTTTCCATAGAAAGTAAACAACTTTTCTTGTAGAGAATAACTTGTGCCTGAATTGTTACCCATGCAAAGAGGTTTAATATTGCTCTTATTTAAAATTAAGGAGGTTTTTAAGTAGTCTCGTTAAAGGAAAATCAAATCTTAAGTTGTTCAACCACTATTCCATCAATTTGTATTTACCCCATTGGCTTTTGATTTTGTTACCCCTTATTTGACAACAGGCTTTCAAGTTTGTTTGATCAATTGCGCTAATGGCAACATATTTCCTACAATGAATGCAGTTGTACCGCAGCAATTATGCTCAAGCTTCAATTCTTTTTTGTGCAATGGTTAATACTGCTTATGTCCCCAACTCCCTTTTTAGACAACAATAACATAACCTTATCGATTAGCACTTGCGTTTCCGAAAGAGCCAAAGACAGGAACTTGACAATTTGCTTGCGTGTTGGCCATGCAATTAACTATACACCTGCCTTGATTTGGCAGGTCGAATCACCTGGGTCAGTCCTCCTTTCTTTCGGTTTTGCAATTAACTCATATTGATTGTCCCAAATTTTTGCTTGGGTCAACGATGAATTTTGAATGTATTGTGGTAATGCTTTCAGCCAGAATAAATGCGTAAAGCAAGGGAAGCGTTAAAGGTCAAAATACTTGCACCGTACAATTTGTAGTATGCGGACCGCTAAACCCCTAGATAATATACCAAAAATTTCACTCGCTGGATGCTCAACTCACCGTGACTTAATTGTATAAGCGGCTGACCAAGCTGCGACTTTTGCGTAGCTCTACACTTGTGTTGGATGGCCAAAAATAAAAGAGTAAGCAGAATCGTATGATTTGCTTTCATTTTCACTGGATTATTTATGAGCGTTTTTGTCACTTTCGAGTGTTTTCACTTCGGGTGTTTTCATTTCCCTTTCCGTGAGACTAAGAATCGGATTCGATAGGGGAAAATGTTCTAGTGCTGAACTATGTGAAAAAGCTGATTCATATTCAGTTTCAGAGTCGCGTCACTGGCACCGTCGAACGTCCACCGGGAACTAAACGCTCCATTGTAATCCAAACATGCTCGGGGCTTTGCAGTTGATGGTGCGGATGGGTGGGTGACATTGTTATAACCCGCTCTCTGTTTGGGCCGCTTTATGCCTGGTCAGTTACCTGGGGCAACGCGAGTTCCAGAGGCAACAGGCAGATATCGGAAAAGCGCGCCAACGCGAAAACCCGCTTTCCGTAAACAATGAAAAGCTTCCATCAGAACGCCACTAAGTCTGACTTAGTCACCAAACTTTTAATGGCTTTTTGGGACCACATTTGGTACTACAAGATACACATACGATGTAAACTCTAGCTTTCTTGCATATTTTATTCGTGGTTGCAGTTTCGATTTATAAAAGCTATTCTAAGTAAATACAAAAGCTGTTTGGTATGTCGTCAAAAACCTTATTATAACGGTCTTTAATTTAGTACACAAGAATATTACAAATAATTAATCATTTTTCAATACTTTGGAGACTAATAAATAACAATTCATATCTTATTTTTCTAGCTTAATGAATATAAAATCTGATTGTTTCAACAAATTTAACATTTTTTTGATGCAATAAGCCAATCTTTTATTACATTAGATATAATAAATGTACAATATTTGTCATTTTTCATACTTCATAGCTCAATTAAAAGCTCTTTCCAAAGGTATATAAGTAAAAACGTCGATTGTCAAGACAAAGAATAATGTGAAAAATCATTTGATGACCTTCGTATCATTAACAACATAACATAATCTTTTTTATTTCGTAAACTTGCGGGTTATCAAAATGGTTAATGTTTGATTAATTAATAATAATTAACAAGTGGCTTAAACTGGTTTATAAGGTAATAATTATGATTCGTTTGTCAAAACCTCAAATGCCAGCATTAATTTCATTACGGAAATATTTAATGTTATTCTTTTGCTCATTTTCGTTGTAACCTAATGGTAATCACATGATTAATTATAAGTAACTAATGGTTCAAAATTAGACCGCTACAGTTAAAACGACCTTCAAAATACAACTCAAAACGTTTGTTTCTTTATGTGTGTTGCTACTACACAATTGATTTATTAATAAATATTATAATGTAATTTAAATAAGCTTCCTAAAGTAATAAATATGATTGCTACAACGACTTCTGTGAATTATGGCCAACGGCCTTCATTTTATTTCTTGAATCATTGTATTCTTCTTTCCATGTATCCGACTAATTCACAATTGATTAATTATTAATAATTATGAAGATGTACTGAGTAACTTCCCACCTACATTTTTCGTAAACTTGTTTCTGTGATTGATTTAGCCGCAAAATAAGCCAAATACGTCATACAATGGAACAAGGTTTTCTTGTAGGCTTAAGAAAAATCCCCGAAAAATACATAAATACTACCTTGTACCTTAAATTACCATTTATTATTCGAAACCAGTTTGTTGGTCTAAATGCTTCCAGGAACTAGTCTAAATATCAATTTGTTATTGTTCTCTTCTAGAATAACTAAAATTAGAATTTGATTATATACTAGCTATGAATTATGCCTGTCGAATGTGGCCATAATGTACAGCTGTTGGCGATTATTAACTTTTGTGCGTCACTTGACTTGTCTAACTTAAAGTCTTTGAATACAAAGATGCGAAGAAGCCACCAAATCTGTTGTCAATGCCTCCAAGATTGTCATAACTTGTTTCGGGTGCCAGGTCCATCATTACGATAGAATGCGCTAATTTGTCGAGCGTAAAGACTTTTGAAAGGTCAAAACTATTGCGCAACCGAAAACTCGTCTATCCAGAGTGAGGTCCACTGACATTGAAACGGGTAAACTTGATCTTGATCTGGCCAGAACCAAATGGAAATTCTTAGAATATGCACACCCAACACACAACCAGTTTCGGCAGTAGCAAATATATTTTTTGACTCTTTGTTTACAACTCTAATCTAATGCATATTTATCCAGCAGCGGACTTCAGGGCTCCAGGGCTCAGTTTGCGGTTCTTGCTTTGGTAACGAGCTTTGTAACCATCCTTGTCGGCGGTATACATCGTTACAGTTTCGGTGTCAGTCTTTTCATCATATACGCTGTAGGTACCCATCACCACCAACTCCTCTTTGTCTGTGCCGGGATTCAAGATCATACCAACTTCCTCACGTGTGCTGCCATTGGGGTCATTGACTCTGCAATTTGTAAAAAGGTTATATCTCCAATCCTTGCCAGTAACTGAGTTTACTTACGCAAAGCGGTATCCCTCTTGGGAGGACGCACTACTGTAGAAGTCCGTAATAGCTTTGGGGACAAGTGAATCCAGAAGGCCCGCCGAGCTACTGGCGACCATAATGGCCAGCAAGGCACTGAAAATAAGCTGGAAGAAAAATAATGGTTCAGATGATGATAAAAGATGCTAAGTGGCATCGCCTCCTATTTTAAATCAAACACATACAAAACTTGAATTGTTTTACTTTTTATAGACTTCTTTAGTTTTTTTAAATCTTAAGTTTTCATTATATCTCTTTCGTAAGCTATTATTTTACTATTATTCAGTGCATTTTATCGCCACAAAACATTTTGTATCAAGTTAGTAATATGCGGTTTTGCAAAATCAAGGTCAAGGCTATTTAGATTTGAAAGAAATTAAATTGGTAGATGCTAACTCGCTTTTTTTTATGTCACCCTCTTTGAAACTTGTTACTGTTTTAGGATAATCAGCCAACATTATTTTCTTAGTTGGGAATTTCATTTAGCTAATAAAAAGTCTCAAATTTGTTGTTTTTTGAAATTTACATGCGAATTGAAACGGCTTTGTGTCAATAAAACAACATTGTTAACTGCCCGGGCTATTAGCACAGCTGCAGCGATATCTTGCTAGCCATTGATAGGTATTATTTGGATTATTCACACACTTCACATGCCGATGTAATTGCCAGCCCCTTGGTTATTACCAAGTCGCAGGTACCGGACAGGGTCGAGGGTTTGGGTTCGCTTTCGGAATGGAAAACGGAATGCGAAAGGGTTCCGCCCTGAGCAACTGCTTACCAATTTGGATGAGCCCATGTTGATGCGCGCTGAAGTTACGAAGCTATACTAAAGCATCCGATGTGCGCCCCCCCTGATATATAAAGGCTAAGATCTGCATGGATCTTTCAAGCTCGCGACGCCAAGCTCACACTCAGCGTATAAGTCATATTTTTTTACTTAGTAGCTGCCACTATTGAGTAAAACCGGTCGCAGGTTGATTCTCCACTTAAATGCCGAAAGAAACGCCAACGCCTTTCAGCCATTGTGTGTTATTTTGGAATTCTTCGGAAGAACTTTTGAAGCAGGAATCGGAACATCTGTTCAGCACAGAAAATTTATTCTCCTTGCTGTTTAAAACAGATGCAAAACTATTTTTCGATAGCTTATCAAGTGGTTATCCTTGGTCTTAAAGCTAGCAAAACTAGTGATTTATAAAATGGATATTTGCATATTTTTGAGATGCCAAATGAAAAACAAATTACTTTGAATGCTCACAAACTAGTTTATTTCGGTTTATAGAGTTGGAATAAATTCACTTTCTATAGATTGGTTTCGTATGTGATGCCCCACCTCCACTCGTACTGTTCATCCCCAACAATCGCTATTTCTTTGAATGAATCAGGTTTTTTTGTAGTAGGGTTTTCAAGGGTTTTTACATGATTGCACGTTAGATGAGTAATTAGTTGTAATCAACCATCAATGATGTTAATTTACTGACTCATTACTTTACCAATCCTTTCTAGAAACTGGGTCTAAATCATTGATGTTACTTTTCTTCTTACCAGGTTGGCTATTAAATGAAACTTAGCTCAGATCTCAGCTTCGAATCCATTAATCTAAACGTCAACATGAAGTTCAACGCTCTAAACACCACGCTCCACGCAACGATAGTAAAAAAGTTCTTAAGAAGCCGAATAGCCGACTATTAATTAAAAAATTAAATTATATTGGTGTACTTCAAGGTATTTTTTTTTAACAAGGAAGTTTTTAAATAATAATTTTTCTAGATAAAGTAGCTCCGTAGAACCGTATATTACTTAGTACTCATATATTATAATCATTAAACATCAATGAAATACCTAAGAAGAACAAAAATTCGTAAAAAATTATTTAAGTATTATTAAAAAATTCTGTTCACACAAAGTTAGTTCAGAAAAGGGAAAGTAATATTTTTTGTAAACAGATTTAAGTTGAATTGCCCAAAAGTATGCTACAATATATATTAAAAAGCGTTTTATCAATCAACTAATTAGCTTCTTAGCCATTAAATAGTTTTTTTATATTTGCACCTAATAAGACTCCCTTGAGACCAACTTTAGGTGTACGATTAATTTACCAATCTTTAGTAGATCATCATCTTCAAAAAAAATTAGCACAGAATAAAACTATCATAATTTTACAATTGTTTAAATCCCTTCAATAATAATTACTTAAGATAAATATCAGTTATTTTAAAAATTTGTACTAATATTTTTTCACAGATCAAACTTCTTTAGCCACAGGCACTTTTGCATGCCAAAGCACTTTGTCGTCGGTTCTTAAATTCGTAGCGGGATTTGCAACCATTTTTATCGGCGGTATACATAGTAACAGTCGGTCTTTTCATCGTATGTTGAACAGGAACCCATTACCACCACCTCTTTTTTTTTGTGCCGGGATACAGGGACATACGCATTTCCTCACTTTTGCTGCCGATTTTCGTGGTATTGTGTGCCAGTTTTTTTAAATGTCATCGGTTTTACATGTCATTATGCGATTTCATGGTGAACTACTGAATGTTTTAAGAATATCGACCTTAAACTATTCGAAGCTCATTACAAAATGGGTTGCACACCTTCCAGGTGTTTCCGAAGCTTTTTATCAAGAAGAAATTTAAAATAGGAATATATTTTAACTATATTTAAAGTCGTACATTTTATTTGGCACCTCTTGTATTCCATAAATAAATTTAACTCGTGAAATTACTTGTTTGGTTAAATAAATAGTTTGGTCTTTGTTGGGTTTTTATTAAAGCTTTATAACGCTAAATAATAAAATGTGGCTTTTATCACGTGCTTTGATTAATTTAAAATTATATACCCCAATTTGGGGGAAGCGCGCACACGCCTAATTATCATTTCAATCGGACACCTAATTCATGTTTTTAAAGTACGATATTGATTAGTCGCAATTGCACCGACACACAGAAAGCACACAACATCGCAATGTTGGACCAGCTCCTGGACACTTTGAACAGCAAGCCCTCAGATCCTGTGCGGCTGCCACTCCTGAGCAGCCATGGACCTGTCCTGATGATATTGGCCACCTACCTGCTCTTCGTGAAGGTCGTGGGTCCAAGGATTATGCAAAACAGAAAGCCATTCGATCTGCGTGGTGTGATTAAGGCCTACAACATCATGCAGATCCTGTACAACATAGTCATGTTCGTGTTCGTAAGTGATCTCTTCAATAGTACTTAAAGGTAGGTAATTAAAGATATAATATACATATTTATAGGCGATCCACTTCATGCTCGGGCCTGGAGACTATAACTTTAGATGCATCAAAAACCTACCGCGCGACCACGAATTTAAGACCTGGGAACGCTGGCTTACCTATTCGTACTTCTTCAACAAGCTCTTGGATCTGCTAGAGACCGTCTTCTTCGTCCTGCGAAAGAAGGATCGCCAGATATCCTTCCTGCACGTCTTCCACCATGTGTACATGCTCTACTTCTGCTTTATGTACTTGTACTACTACGGCTACGGTGGCCATGGGTTCTTCATGTGCTTCTTCAACGTAATCGTGCACATTATGATGTACTCCTACTACTACCAATCCTCCCTCAACAAGGACTCGCGGACCGATCTCTGGTGGAAGAAGTACATCACAATCGTTCAGCTCATCCAGTTCGGAATCATTTTGGCGCACAGCATATACACGCTGAGGCAGCCGGACTGTCCCTCATCACATTTTTCAGCAACTTGTGCAGGAAGCATCTGCTTCGTATTCATTATCTTGTTTGGCAACTTTTACTACCAAGCCTATATTCGGCCCAGAAAAACTGAAAACAAGGTACTTTAAGTATGATCGGATCTCTATCGAGATTAAAATTTTAAGTTAAGATTTTAATAAAAATGATCCACATGAAATTTAGTATTTGAGTTTTACTTTAAGCTTCCATCTTTTCCGAGGTTACAATCTACATATTAAAAGTTTCTGAAAAATGTATTTTATAGAATCATACGAACTTTAAACATAGGAAATGTTAAGCTGACCTCAGCTGACCCCATTCCCACCACGCTTTTTTCAAGACTTTCGTTTAACACTAACACTTTTTGGTTCCGCGAAAGTTCTGGAATGAATGGCTGTGTTGACCTCACACTTTGATCAGTGATCATTGACTGTGTTATGTAAGAAATTTAGCGTAAAACGAAACTGAAATTATATTCGGAATTCAGCGCTTTTTTTCGGGAAACCTTAATGCTCGTTCAAAAGTAGATTTTACTTGCGAAGGTAAGTTGAATAATACGACCAACCCAAAGTCAGAAACCCGTAAATTAACAATTTAAATCGTTAAGCGGAGTCAATTAAAGTCCGCTTCATTATGTTTCGATCAGTCGCTCCTCGACCGACACACAGACCACATAGAGTGTCTAGTCGCCATGTTCGCCCATATAATGGACTTTCTGAACCAAGTTCCGCCGGATCCTGTGCGTCTTCCATTCACCAGCAGCCACTGGCCCGTCTTAATAATACTGAGCACCTATATGGTCTTAATCAAAGTGGTGGGTCCGCTGTTTATGCAGAACCGAAAGCCCTACGATCTGCGAGGAGCTATCAAGGCATACAACATCGTTCAAATTCTGTACAATATCGTTTTATTGGGCTGGGTAGGTGATCGGCTGGATAACTCTGTGGCTCGAACTATAAGATAAATTTCCAATTTTAGATCGTATACTTTATGCTCGGACCTGGGAACTACAACTTTAAGTGCATCTCCAACCTGCCGCTGGATCATGAGTTCAAGACCTGGGAGCGATGGGTTAGCTATTCCTACTTCTTCAACAAATTAATGGATCTGCTGGAGACGGTCTTTTTCGTCCTGCGAAAGAAGGATCGGCAGATCTCCTTCCTGCACGTATTCCACCACGTGTACATGGTGTACATAGGCTTTATGTACATGTACTATTATGGCTATGGCGGTCACGGTCTTTTCTTGATCACCTTCAACGTAGTCGTGCACATTATGATGTACACCTACTACTACCAGTCCTCCTTCGGCCAGGATGCGCAGGCGAATCTCTGGTGGAAGAAGTACATCACCCTCGTCCAGCTGCTCCAGTTCGTGATCATTCTGTCGCACTGCATCTATATCCTCCGGCAGCCCGACTGTACCACATCCCGCCTATCGGCAACTTGGGGATCACTCGTCTCGGTGGTATTCATAATTCTATTTGGCAACTTCTACGTTCGCGCCTACATTCTTCCCAAGAAAAAGGCTAAGCAAACAACACGTTGAATTAAAAGATGCTAATAGATAATTTAAGAGTATTATATAGATAATATACAGTATAGGCGGGTATAAACTACATGTGTGTGTGGGGGGGTGTTTTAAATAATCAAATTTACTCTATTGTGAAATCAGTTTCATAAGTTATGCCCGAATCATACACTAGGGTTCCACGCCTTATGTACACAGTATCAAAGTTCCGTTCTGGGAACTTGTGACTTCTTAATTTATTTATTCAGCGATTTGAAAAAAAGAGAGCTTACAAAAGTAAGCTAAGATTGTGAATATAAACAATTCAGAACGCTCAAAAAAATAAATATGAAAAAAAAGTCTTTCGAGTTTATCTAATATTTATATGTATATGGATGTGAAGATTGTATTTGCAGTAATTGGTTTACTAGATATTTGATTCAATGTACTAGATGTACAAGTACAAATCGTGCAGTTTACACATTTTATTTATCTTGTTTGTGCTATATGGTTTTACTAATTTTTTCAGTCTTGTTCCTATTGTAACTTAAATTTAGTTTTACATGGTAGAATATTTCTTTTACAAGAGCTCTACTGTAAATTACCATACCGACAATTTACACACATCTAATTAGCTTAATGGTAATTTTGCCATCCGTAAGAGCACCAAAAGAAGTACAGTAAGTAAATACCAAGTCATTGGATAAGACGCCTACTGGACGCGAATATGTTGAATGTGTTCGACAAGCCTTTTGCGGATCCTGTCCAGCTCCCGCTGGCAGGCAGCATTCGATCTTCGGTGATCATACTCACGGTTTACCTGCTGTTCGTGCTGAAACTAGGCAGGATTCTGATGGAAAAACATAATCCTCTGCAGCTACGCGGTGTCCTGAAGGTCTACAACATCGGACAAGTCCTGTTTAACACGGTGATTTTTGTGTGGGTAAGTAAATCTCAGAAAAAGGCTTTAAAATATCAAGTGGTGATGTCCGATCCAAGTGGATACAAAGATTGGATTGATGGACTAGTCCGCCAAGTTGAATATTATATTTAAAACAAAAAAAAAAGAAACTACAAATATTTTATCATTATTTTTTAGGGATGTTACCATATTTTCGTGTCTAGGCCTTACAACCTGAGCTGCATGAATGTGCTGCCACAGGACCACGAGCTGAAGTCCACGGAGAGGACCCTGTCCTATCTATACCACCTAAACAAGGTGCTTGACCTGATGGACACCATCTTCTTTGTGCTGCGCAAGAAATCAAGACAGATTACATTCCTGCACGTGTTTCACCACGCGTTCATGGTGTTTACATCACACTTGTTGATCCGGTTCTACGGTTTCGGCGGCCACGTCTTGCTAAACTGCATGTTCAACGTCCTGGTGCACATGGTGATGTACGGCTACTACTACGCCTCCTCGCAGAGCAGGAATGTGCAGGAGAGCCTCTGGTGGAAGAAGTACATCACCTTGGGCCAGCTGGTGCAGTTCCTCATGATGTTCCTCCACTGCGCCTACACCTATATCCAGCCCAACTGCTCGGCCTCGCGGGGCGTCATCTACGTCATAAGTACGGCGAGCGCCTTCATGTTTGTGATGTTCTCCCAGTTTTACATTAAGACCTACATTCAACCGAAGGTGGTAAAGTCCAACTGATTGCTTTTGCGCCACTGTGCTGAAATAAAATACCTAGTAATTTAAATTTGCGACACAATCAATTTGAAGCCTAAAAATCTCTTACTTAAAACATGGATGCTAAATTAAAAGGTTCCTTAAAAGCTGAACTTTTTTAAAATTTTGTTTACTATAATTTTTTTGTACAGCAATTGTGGTTATAAATATAAGGTTCAAGTTGAATATTTTCTTTTCATTCTAAAAGAGATTCCCCATTCAAAAACTGATTAAAACTAAAATTTATAATAACCATTTAAATAGTAACTTATAATCAAAGATCAAGTTCCGAGCGTTAGGTAGTTAGTATTTATGCTGTTTCGTCACTTCCGTGAGTTTAATCATTGAATTTTATAATAGGCGGTTGAATAATAGATTTATTCAAATGCATCGACACTTAATTCAAATGCATTCCTTGGGGTCACGTCTTGGCCTCTGTCCAAAATAAATGTCAATGGCTACATTTCAAGTACTTTCTTTTCTTATGATTCGGATTTGATCTATTAATGATTATGTTCAGCTGGACATTTCCGATAAAGCTTTTCCGTCATATAAAAAGGAGATTTTCTGTGTTAACTGTATCTAGTGCACTAATAGTCTTAACACCAATTGGTCTGTTTAAAAAGGATTAGTTAATGCTTCAGGCTTTATTGAGGTTTGAGGTTTTTTTTAAAAGAAATACAAAATTCATTGGGCTGTTTTCAACCGTTCCTTTTTTCCGGATAGAATGTAAGTGTGTAAATAGAAGTGGCTGAACATCGCCGTAAAGGAGGCAGTCAGAAGTGCTATTCCAGAGGTCAATAGTCGGGGGGCATTGCAGTTGGGCTGCATCAGGGTGTAGAGGCAGTGGGACATGATTAGCGCGAACTGGAGCAGCTGGATAATGGTGATGTACTTCTTCCACCACAAACTCCTCTGCACTTCCTGGCTGACCGAGGAGAGGTAATAGTAGGTGTACATAACCACGTGCACGGCCACGTTCAGAAAGCACATCGGAAACGGCATGCCACCATATCCGATGAAGTAAGAGTACAGGTACCCGGATAAAGCCATGGACAAATGGTGGAAGACGTGCAGAAAGGATATCTGCCTGTTCTTCTTGCGCAGCACAAAGAACACCGTTTCTATCAGATCCACGAATTTGTTGACCATATACAAGCTGCAGATCATGCGCTCCCTATCCTTGTGCTCGTGGTCCAACGGCAGCTTGACAACGCAGCTTATGTTGTAGGCCCTTAAGACAAACAGGAAGTGTGCTCCCTGAAAAGAATCAATCCTCCAATCAATCTTCCGCTCAAGAATTTCCATGGGGGAAGCTTATCACTTACCAATACCAACATCACAGCGTTGTACAAGATCTGCGCAACATTGTAGACCTTTATAACGCCACGCAGATCAAAAGGCTTTCGGTTCTCCATGATTTTCGGACCCACCTTGAGGACAAATAGCAGATAAGTCGTTAGAGTACCCAGAGCAACCCATGGACTGCTAAATATTGGCAGTTTTACAGGATCTGCGGTTAGCATGTTGGCTTAGCAAGTCTAGTTCCAATCGCGATCTATATCCCTACACCAAACCCGCCACGATTGGATTGGATTCAAAAAAGAACACGCAATATTTATACAAGCCCCTATTTATACTGCGCGCGTTAAAAAATGCTTGCACTTAGTAAAACAAATGGTTACAAATGACCCTTTCTATTATAGAATTTCATTCGAAATACTCAGGAAGTAATTTAAAATAAATTTCGTATTTACCTTGAAAGTTATGCTAAGTTATTCCGAGTACTTACCAGTCTGAAGAATGACCAACAATAACCATGCTTGGCTAATGCTAGTGTTTATCTAGCTGTGGATAAGAAGGTACACAAACAATTGGTGCTCTTCACGAATGCATATTTAATAAACATACTCTAATTCGAAGGACTTTCGGTCTCACTGGACTTTCTGGTCCGTCTTCTTTTTGCCGGGCATTACGTAGGCATGGACGTAGAAGTTTCCAAACATCAGGAAGAAAGCCATGGAAACGAACAAGCCCGAATATACCACTGGCCGGGAGGTATTGCAGTTGGGCTGCATCAGGGTGTAGATAAAGCTTGAGAGATTCAGGATAAACTGGACCATCTGGACAATGGTGATGTACTTCTTCCACGAACTCGACTGCACATCCTTGTTGACGGAAGAGATGTAGTAGTAGGAGTACATGAGCACATGCACGGCCACATTGAGGAGGCAAGACGGGAAATAGGGGCCGCCATACCCGCTGAAGGTGAGGTATATGTATCCGCCGAAGGACATCACCAAGTGGTGGAAGACGTGCAGGAAGGAGATCTGCCGATACTTCTTTCGCAGCACAAAGAAGACCGTCTCCAGCAGATCCATGTATTTGTTGAAGAAATACGAGTAGGTTATCCATCGCTCCCAGCTCTTGTACTCGTGATCCAGCGGCAGTCTGGTGACGCAACTAAGGTCGTAAGCCTTCAAAACGAACAGAAAGTATAAGCCCTGAAAAATTCAAATCGACATTAAAAAGTAGAATCTCTAGTAATCGTATTCTTTCAGAACTAAATCACTTTTAATCTTAAATAATCTAATTGGTAAACTGTCAGAAAACATTAATTAATTTGATTTAATTTATCAAGATTTTTAAAAATATCTATCATCTTGACAATAATTACAATAATGGTACTTACGTAGAGCAAAGCTATGCTATTGTACAGTATCTGCACGATATTGTAAACCTTGATCACTCCTCGGAGATCGAAAGGCTTTCGATTTTCCATAAACTTTCTTCCCACCTTCAGCACAAAGAGTAGGTAGATGAAGGCAATGGTCAGCGAGGGCCAAGGACTCCCTACGAGTGGCAGCTGGACGGGATCCTCCGAAATAGTTAAGGTACCATTTAGAAAATAAACCATTTTTTAAGTTTCGTCGTCCGGCCTTTACTGTAAGAATGGTTTTAATGGCGACTAATCAGACTTCAGTCTTTTAAGCTCAACAAAATACGTTTCGCTCGAATTGGAAATTCAAGAAATTCGTGTAGCATAAAAAAAAAACATTTACATGTTATATTGTTGCTCGTACTCGTTACACACAGGTAATCAGAGCATATAGGTTTCACTAAAAATTGGCCATTTCTGGGATGTATTTATAAACAATGTAATAACAAGCTTTGCCTATTTTGGACCTATAAAGTCTAAAATATATGATCAAATATATTCAAACTAGTTCTTTATTCTGTACATATGTTTTCCAATTGTTGAAAATGGAGGATGCACCAAATAATACTCATAAAATGCTTAAAGTAATTTATCCGAGATTATGAGTAACATCTTGTACATAAAATTAAAAATTACACTATGGGCAAAGGTTTAGAACTCATATAAGAATCTGAGTCAAATAACACATTAAGCTTTAGCATTTATACTATATTGTTCTCAACTCCCAACGTCTGATATTACTAGTTCGATCTAGTAAACAAAGTAATAGAAATAGATTTCCCCTGAGGTCATTTTTTTTACGCATGTACGTAATTCCCACCAGTGCTATGCACAATGGAATAAATCTTTGTTTACCTTTGACGTAGTATTGAATTGTTTTGTTTATTTTGCTTCCGCTTATTCCACTGCACCCAAAAATCATATTTATAAACCAATTCATTTTTTTTTAATTAGAAAGGAATAATTTTTTATTAGGGGTTTTGACTACGTTGAAAGTAATGAGGGCAGCTTAAGTGTTAATATAGTTATTTTATTCGGCTCTAGATTCGATACCAATTCCTTGGCCATAATTGGGTCACAGAATTTACCCTTTCTGTACGAGGCTTGACATTTCTATAAGTTGTCTTCAAAAATATCATCTATAAAATGACTTAACATACCCCCAAAAAAAGAGGGGAAAAAAAGGGGAAGTGGTGAATTTCCCCCCTCCTCCCCCCCAACCCCTCTTTTTTTTACCCAACTGGTTTTGGGTTCACTCTGCTGCCACTGGAAAATGGAATCCAGTCAGCCAGGAAATGGAAAAAATTGTATATTTGGAATTTGTTAAAAAATTATTTCGTTTTGGTATTTGGATTTTAAATGAAAAATTGCTTAACCTAAAAAAAGTAATATAGATTTATTTTAAATAAATAAAAATCCTAAAAATTTTAAAAATGGCGCGCATGGAAAGTAAATTTTGCCGATAGTGCACCTTCAAAATTATGGTACAAAATATCCGTACTTTTGCAGTTTGGTATTTACTTTAACCGTCTAATAAGCCCCTAAATTTCAGTATATATCATCTGGCCGAGTGGTATATTTAGGCAGTCGAGTCGCGGTCACACTGAACGCTAAAATTAAAAATCGGATTAGAGGTGGTTTTGCTGCTGAATTTTAGGGAAAATTGTGTAAATCCGTGTCGAGTGCAATATCTACGCGTTAAAATTCGCGTATTAATATTGGAAAAAGTGTTTTTGGCCAGGAGAATCTTAAAAAGAAAGCAGAGTGGCTGCTGCGAAGACGAATTAAAGGGGAGACGAAGTAACAATGAGCGAGCGAGATAGCAGCTGGCCAGTGTGTACGCTAGTGCTGCTCCTCTAACCAAATAAAACAAAACAAAGGAGAGACAAAGGATAGAAACCCCGAAAAAGGCACACACACACACGAACACTCTAGCAATAAGAGGAGCAGGCAGCAGACAGATAAACACTAAAACAAATGGAGTTTAATTAACTGGTAATCGAAGGCTCCCGGGATATAGCCAGCCGATCGGAGGTTAGCCAGCATTCAGCGAATTAGTGAAGGGATCGCGAGAAACTTCGTCGCCAAAAGTGTGCATGTGCGTGTGTATGCAAGTGTGAGTGCGTGTGCATATGGGGTTGGAAAACTGAAAACTCAAGCGCAAAAGTCTTTGGCTCCGATTAACTCGCGGATAACTCATCGCTGGGCAGGTGGAGAAAATGCCGAGCGCCTCATTCACCTCGTCGCGCACCTACGTGCGCCGCTCCCGCCGGAAAGGAGCCAACCGGATAGCGATGCCCAACCGGCCTACGGGCAACATAATGGATCCCATGCTCCAGCAGAATGTGGCCGCCGCTGGAGGCGGAGCAGGAGCAAGTGCATCCAGTTCCAGCAGTAGTGGTGGCGGCAGCAACAATAACAGCAGCGGGAGCAGCGGCACCACATCCACAACAGGAGGTGCAGGATCCGGCGGAGCAACTGCAGCAGGAGCCTCCAATTCAGCGGAGTACTTCGACAGCGGCCAAGGATCTAGCGGATATAGTGGAGCAACCTCTTCTGGCTTCTCTGGCAGCTTCTCCAATGCCCTGCAAATGATGGACACCACTGAGAGCTCGGGCGCCGGTTCCAGTCAGTCCACGCCACAGGCTTTAGGTGCCTCCTCCTCCTCGAAGTCCACCTGCGCCACTGCCGGATCCAGTACAGCCACCACGTCCGCCGCCGCGGCAGCTACAGCCTCCATTTCCGCCACCAGTAGTCACCAGAGCCCGTACGACTTGCGCCGCAAGATCTCTGCCAGCAGCCACGAGCAGTGGCCAACCAGCTCTTCCTCCGCTGCGGCAGCAGCTGCCGCCATACTCGTGGGACCCTCGAGCAGCTCACCGCCACTGGTGAATCCCGGCGCCTCGCCCTCCAGCTCGTCATCGTCCTCCTCCTCTAGCTCGTCGTCCTCATCCGCCTCGTCCTCGAGCTCCTCGTCCAATGTACAGGCGCCCTCGACCAGTGCCACCTTCCCGGTTAACAACGCACCTACTACGGGAGCCACGCTGGCGCAGCCCCCGAATGTCCACAGCTCAGTGCCGCAGCAGCATTGTGGTGCACTGCCTGTGGGAGCAGCCATCGAGGACAATAACTACATGCTGCCGGCGCGAAAGCGATCGCGACGCCTCTACACCCAAGGCGGTGAGATGGGCCCAGCTGCGGGGTCCACAGGTGAGGCAGCCGGAGCAGGAACGGCAGCGTCCGGAGGAGCAGGTGGTGCGCCCACTGCGGCCCAATACCTTCAGTACGAACTTCCTGACGAGGTGCTGCTAGCGATCTTTTCGTATCTGATGGAACAGGACCTCTGCCGCCTAGCTCTGGTTTGTAAGCGCTTCAACACCATCGCCAACGATACGGAGCTGTGGAAGCGCCTCTACCAGTCGGTCTTTGAGTACGACCTGCCTCTCTTTAACCCGGAGCTCTGCAAGTTCGTGTTCGAGAAACCCGAGGAGTCAGAGTACGCCAATCCGTGGAAGGAAAGCTTTCGGCAGCTATATCGCGGCGTTCATGTGCGGCCCGGCTACCAGGAGCGTCGGAGCTCAGGCCGCAGCATTGTGTTCTTCAACACCATTCAGGCGGCTCTGGATTACCCTGAAGAGCGGGCCGCAGCCGGAGTCTTTGTGCCCGCCGGCGCCGGTGTCGGCAATGTAGTCTCCGCCGGATTGTCTAACACAAGTGCAGCAGGGGGCACAGGTGGAGCAGGTGGTGCCAGCGTAAATGCACTGGTCAACATCTACGAGGAGCAGGTGGCGCCCACTGAGCACCCGGGACTTTTAATATTCCTCCATGCTGGCCACTACAAGGGCGAGTATCTGTTTATAGACTCAGACGTGGCTCTCGTTGGAGCTGCGCCTGGCAACGTTGCCGAATCTGTGATCCTGGAGCGGGAAGCCGGATCTACGGTGATGTTCGTTGAGGGGGCCAAGTACGCCTACGTGGGCTATCTCACGCTCAAGTTTTCGCCGGAAGTCACTTCGACAGTATCGCATCACAAGCACTACTGCCTGGACATCGGCGAGAATTGCTCCCCCACCGTGGACAACTGCATCATTCGCTCCACCTCGGTGGTGGGCGCTGCCGTCTGTGTAGGCGGGGCTAACGCCAACCCCGTCATCCGCAATTGCGATATCAGCGACTGCGAGAATGTGGGCCTCTACGTCACCGACTTCGCCCAGGGTACCTACGAGCACAACGAGATCAGCCGTAATGCGTTGGCGGGCATTTGGGTGAAGAACTACGCCAGTCCGATCATGCGGGAGAACCACATACACCACGGACGTGACGTGGGCATCTTTACCTTCGAAAACGGAATGGTAAGTTCCCCCACTTTTTATGCCACAACCAAATTGCAGTTGATATTACACTAAAATACATCGCATAATTGGAAAAAGTATACAAATACAAATAATTATCGCTAGTTATAAAAGCGATATTTATTCCCCATTCCGAAACATCTTTCTATCTAGTTTTTATTAATTTATTGTCCTTTTCGCAGGGGTACTTTGAAAAGAATGACATTCACAACAATCGTATAGCTGGTTTCGAGGTCAAGGCCGGAGCCAATCCCACGGTGGTCAAGTGCGAGATCCATCACGGCCAAACTGGTGGCATCTATGTGCATGAGAATGGATTGGGTCAGTTCATCGAGAACCGTATTCACTCAAATAACTTTGCAGGTAAGCCGGATTGAGTCTTGATAATTTACTGTTTCTGACACATACTCTCTTTCGTAAAGGTGTCTGGATAACCTCCAACAGCAACCCCACCATCCGCAAGAACGAGATCTACAACGGGCACCAAGGAGGCGTGTATATCTTCGGCGAAGGCCGCGGTCTGATCGAGCACAACAACATTTACGGAAATGCCCTGGCCGGGATTCAGATACGCACCAACAGCGATCCGATAGTACGGCACAACAAGATCCACCATGGCCAGCATGGGGGCATCTATGTGCACGAGAAAGGTCAGGGGCTGATCGAAGAGAATGAAGTGTACTCCAACACATTAGCTGGCGTGTGGATCACCACCGGCAGCACACCCGTTCTGCGACGCAACCGGATCCATTCAGGCAAACAAGTGGGAGTCTACTTTTACGACAACGGACACGGCAAACTGGAGGACAACGACATATTCAACCACCTGTACTCCGGGGTGCAGATCCGTACGGGCAGCAATCCGGTGATACGGGGTAACAAGATCTGGGGCGGACAAAATGGAGGAGTACTCGTCTACAACGGCGGCCTAGGGCTGCTTGAGCAGAACGAGATATTCGACAACGCCATGGCCGGGGTTTGGATCAAAACAGACTCCAACCCGACGCTCAAACGCAACAAGATCTACGATGGTCGCGATGGCGGCATCTGCATCTTCAACGGCGGTAAAGGCATCCTTGAGGAGAACGACATCTTCCGCAACACGCAGGCTGGCGTACTGATCTCGACGCAGTCGCACCCAATCCTGCGTCGGAATCGAATCTATGATGGCCAGGCGGCAGGCGTGGAGATTACCAACAATGCCACGGCCACGCTGGAGCAAAATCAGATATTCAAGAACAAGTTCGGCGGCCTATGCTTAGCCAGCGGCGTTCAGCCCATAACGCGGGGCAACAATATCTTCAACAACGAAGACGAGGTGGAAAAGGCAGTTTCCAGCGGGCAGTGCCTGTACAAGATCAGCAGCTACACCTCCTTCCCCATGCACGACTTCTATCGCTGCCAGACCTGCAACACAACCGATCGGAACGCCATCTGCGTCAATTGCATCAAGAATTGTCATGCTGGCCATGACGTGGAATTTATACGACACGATCGGTGAGTAGGACGCAAAGAATTAAATGTGTAGGTGCATATAAATGCAGTTTTATACGCTTTTTTGAATAATCAAAACATCACTATAACATATTTTATCTCAAACCGTTAAATGGGCTCTGAAGTGGGATTTAAACAAACCTTTTTAATCGAAATTATATAGAGTTTGTTAAATTTGTCAGTCTCGGTAGCTTGAATTTATGTAAATGCAATGCGGGATTTCTGGCATTCCATAAAACGGGAACTAATAAATCTTGGTCTATTCTGCAGCTTCTTTTGCGACTGCGGTGCTGGCACCCTGTCCAACCAGTGTCAACTGCAGGGCGAGCCCACTCAGGACACGGACACGCTGTACGACTCGGCGGCGCCCATGGAGTCACACACGCTGATGGTCAACTAGAAAACTAACTTCGGCAGCTCGACCACGGTCCTATTCTTAATTATATCTTAAGTCGTTAAGGCAAGCTCTCAAATCTCTCGCACATCTCACGTGTTGCTGTAAATATTCAAAAGAAACCAACAAACAAACACACTATAATACAATTAATTGTATGTAAATAATAACTAATTACTCTTGCGTTCAAAATTTAACTCAATGTGCAATTTAGTTTAACACGAACTCACACGCAAAGTTTTCACTTTTTAACTGAGCATATGGAGCGGATAAATCAATGCAAAAGAACACTGAAACTTTTCCCATTTATGTCACAACGAATGAAAAACTGAAAGGGGAACACCTTTATTACACAATGCATTTGTTTGTACGTCGAAATGTTGTAAGCGAAGGAGGAATGAATGAGTCCTCTTGAACCCAGTGAAGAACAATTTTGTAATGTAGATTAGTAGAGATTTTAAAATTACATCAATTAACATAAAAACTACATGTAAGCCATAGATATTAATGAGAGATACACATAGGCGAGCGAGTCGACCCCTGACTAACAACAATTCGAAGAAAGCAATTCTAAGTATTAACAACAAACTAGATTAGCAGCAGCCAATGCTTCAGCAAACTAACATATGAATAACGAGTATAGTAAACACATAACATAACTACATTTAAACGAATACAGCACACTATATATATTCATGCGAATCTATGCGAATTCTACTGAAACAGCACACAGACAAGATACAAAATCAAAAGCCTTTACCAAGCGTAAAATACCAAGCAATATTTCATGTCTAAATGTTGTAGAACAAATTTGTAGCTCAAACGTAAAAGAGAAATAGAAACAAACAAAAGCCATGTGTCATTTTAGTCGTATAAGTTGATCAACAGTTTAGTATTTAGTTTGTCTGCGGGCCCCGTATTCGAATTATGCAAATCATTTTTTTATTTAAGTCTGTAGCCTAGGAATAAGTGAACGCAAAACCCATAACTATTGCATAGATGACATTATCCGATAACTGCGTGTGAATTAAGTATCTTGTTTTTATTGCCTAACACTTTATTTATATTTGTTTGCCCGTGTTGTCCCCAAAGGTTTATTTTCGTAGGCCCTTACTCGCTGTACGGATCAGATAACCACATAAATACTGCATACTATATTCTATATTCAACTATATAAAATATACGAACATCAGAGTGTATTGTTTTTACTAACAAAAATTTAAGCACGTCCTTGACGTGCGACTATACTATGTAGAGATTGATTTTAATGTGTTACCTATGCAAGCTAATAATGTCGTCGCCCTTGACTTGGACAAACCACTAAATATACATACTTATATATACACAAGGTATAAGCTAATAATATTTGAAATTTGACAAAAAAAAAGAGGTTTTCTAATCTTTAATTGAAAATTCGGAACTGGGGTCTAACGGTATTTTCTAATGTGGGCAGGAGCAAGGATCGGCCTTGGCCAACTCGTTCTCCCGGAATCGCATCAGGGTCACGATGTGGGCATGATTGGCTGCCTTGGCGTAATCGATGGGGGCCATGCCCAGTTCATCCTTGACGTACGGATTCTCGTAGTGCGGCAGGAGATACTCAACGACCTCGTGGTTGCCCAACTGACAGGCGTAGTGCAGGGCAGTGCGTCCGGTTCGATCTGCAAGCGTGAGATTGGCCCCAGCCAGTCGGAAGGACTCCAATCGCTTGATCTTTCCCCGCTCCGTTAGGGCACGCAGCAGCTCCGCTTGAACCAGCGGCTGATCATTCAACTTGGCCCCGTTCTTGAGCAGCGCCTTGATAATTTCATGATTGTCCGTGTCGATGGCCTCGTGCAAGGGCGTGCGACTGAACCGATCGTGCACATTAACCGGACAACCGGAGGATATCAGAAAGCAGACGCAGTTCAGCTTGCCCAGGAAACAGGCCAGGTGCAGGGCGGAGCGACCATCGCAGTTGGTGTCGCACAGATTGGCGCCGTACTGCTTGAGATCGCCCAATTTGTGAATATCACCCTGGGTAACGGCGGCCGCCACCAAAGCTGGATAGAAGGTGGAGCACATCTGCTGACGCTCCAGCCCCGTGGACATGTGCAGTGTGCGGGCCACACCCTCGATCAGGTCGATGTCGTTGATCTTGGCCACCTTATTGGTGGTCAGCTCCCCGCGCAGGCTCAACAGCATCACCTTCTTCTTGTTGGCCACGTCCCATTCCGGTTTGGACAGCACATAGGCCAGTTTGGCGAAGGCGGCCTCCTGGGTCATGTCATAGCCGGGGATTACGCCCACCTCGAGCAGCGCATGACCCGTCTCGTAAGTGCTCGTAACCATGCCCGCCGAACACTGGGTAATGTTCACGATAATGACGCCTCGGTGGACCGCCTCCCTCAGTTCGTCCAGTAACTCCTCACGGTTGACCGGAAAGTTGCCGGCTCCGAAGGTCTGAAGGACCACACCTTTAATGGGATCCTTCAGGAAGGCCTGCACCACACTGACACTTATTCCCGGGTAAATCCGCAGCAGGGCTACGTTCTTCTCCAGCTCGCAATGCAACGAAAATGGTTTCATATTGCAAGGCCGGAAGATCTGGCGACTGTTGATTTCAATATTCACACCTGCCCGACCTAATGGAGCTAAATTTGGCGAATCGAGGGCGTGGAACGAGTCCGAGTTGAGCTTCGTGGAGCGACAGCCCCGGAGTATCTTGTTTCCGAAAAAGACCAGTACCTCAGGTATGTTGTAATTGCCTGCTATCAGAAGTGCGCCCAGGAAGTTGTCCCGTCCATCGGACCGGGCCTCGAAAATAGGTATCTGAGCCCCAGTGACAACCACCGGTTTGTTCAGGTTCTCCAACATGAAAGCCAGCGCCGAGGCGGAGTAGGCCAATGTATCCGTTCCGTGGAGAATCACGAAGCCGTCATAAGACTTGTAGTTATTCTAGAATAGGTAAAAGAAAAGAAAACATTTTTAAGAGGCCAAAGAAGGCAATTCTTGACCAGAATTTTTGTAATACTCAAGGATTTAGAAAAATGTTTCAAGGTATTTATCCTAAAAACAGAATTGTTAGCTGTTGATGCAGTTACATGTTGTGATTACAAAAGAAGGAATCCCGATTTACAAACTTACTCCCACTTCGTTAGCCATGCGCTGCCAATCGCACATGCCCATGCAGCTAGAATCCACCAGTGGACAGAACTCGACCAGGTCGTAGATGACACGATACGGAGAACCAGCCACTGCTGGTAGTGCCATGAAGCCCTCTTCAAGCTTTTTACTGACGAACCCCAAGTCGTGGCAGCTGGGAATTTCGTGAAGCCGCTGAGCCAACATCTTTGGCACGGTGTGCAGTTCTGATGGAAGGTAAGGGATTGGTACATGGAAAAGAGCTATGGATTCACCCACCTCCCGACTCGTTTCGCATCATTCCAATAGTGCCGCCCACGTAAATGACATGGACGCGAGCCTCATTTTTGCACGTGCATTTGGACGTTGCCATTTTTGTTGGACTCCAAGCTTACGGTGGGCCACGACCTATTTAGAATTTTGACAATTTTCCAAAACAAATTTAGCTAGTTTAAGGCTTAGTTCCTTATCCCTTGGGATAGACACTGAGATCCATGAACACTACGGAGACCTTTTTTTCAAAAGATTAGTTTACGATCATTTTAAATTTGCCGCCAAACAAAATGAACCGTTGTTAAGGAGATTTGTGGTGTGACCGGATTTTCGGTGAAAGTTAGAGATGGACTTTGCTTTGCACTTAGGCAACTGCCCAAATAAATATTTTTAAAAGATTGTTTTGTTTTATACATTATTTATTGTCACGGAACAAATTGATTGCAGCTGAGACCCCCCGTCAACCGTGACATGTCGTGACCAAGAGAAGTCACGACCTAATCGCCCATCCCTAGTTTCCACAGTGCAGTGCAACAAATAATAAATAAATAAATAGCCAGCGCAGAGCGTTAAACGAATAAATTGCACCCCACAGCGCGTCAAGTAGGCTGGGGACCGAAATTTGAGTTATCTGCTTCGCTGGTGCGGCTGCCACTGCGTCGCGACCGCCGTATCAGTCGCTGGCTGGAGCGCTGGGAGCACGGAAGCCACACTACCAGAGGCGCATTTAGAGCACTCCACTCCGTCCGCTGCTTCGGCAGCCCACGGGTCATCGGATTGCCATGTCTTACTTCACGCACGCGGCTAGCAGCGACCTGGTCAACCTCAATGTGGGTGGTCAACGGTAAGAACAAAGACAGCCACAACAACTGGCCAGCAATGACATTGATGACGCATGCAATCTCCATCTCACTTTCCGTAGCTTTTCCACGTCGCGGCAAACGCTTACGTGGATCCCGGACACCTTCTTCACGGCGCTCCTTAGTGGGCGCATCTCGAGCCTGAGGGACGAACACAATGCCATTTTTATCGACCGCGATCCGACGCTCTTTTCGATCATTCTCAACTATCTGAGGACCAAGGACATCGACATCAAGAACTGTGAGATCCGACCCCTGCGCCACGAAGCCGAGTACTATGGAATTACGCCCCTGACTAAGCGCCTGGCGCTCTGCGAGGATCTGAACCACTCGTCCTGTGGCGATGTGCTCTTCTACGGCTTCCTGGCGGCGCCGCCCATGCCCTCTAACGAAGCCGTACCAGCCGCTGCGGTGGACGAGCCGCTGCCCTCCACCTCTTCAAATGCAGTGGCTGCTCGACCCGGCTCCATGGTGCGGGTTCCAGAGCCCTCCCGTTCTTCGCACTCGCGCAACTCTTCGTGGGATCTGCGCCTAGGTCGCACGGGAAGCAGTGGTAATGCGTCTAATCCGCCGGCTCCAATGCTGCACTCTCGAAATCCCTCCATGGACTTCATGCGGCACTCACGAAATTCCTCGGCGGATCTGAACAAGGCCTTTCGTAACGAAGTGGGCCTGGTGTTCAGTCCCACACAGAACTCTAACTGGGTGGACCCGATGCGGGTGCAGATTATCAAGGCGCACCAAAACTGGATAGCAGTGGCCTACGCTCACTTTGTGACTTGCTACCGCGTAAAGGACTCCAGCGGCTGGCAGCAGGTGTTCACTTCGCCTCACATCGACGCCACTATCGAAAGGATCGCCATCAACTCGAAGGTGAATACATCCACGGCGGAGCCAGTGCCCAGTAAAATGGTAGCTATCTCATACGGCAGCCAGATCAGGTTGTGGAGCATCCAGGAGGGAGGGCAGAAGACAGACGTAGGCACCTTCAACCTGAATGTGCGGGTGGAGTATCTGTTCTTCATCGGCAGTCAGTTGGTAGCCCTGTCCTCGTCCGGCAAGATCGGCGTTTGGCACGCCATGACACAGCACTGGCAGATCCAGGACCTAGTGCCCGTGCTGTCCTTCGACTCGGCAGGCTCGTTCCTGTTGCTGGGTTGCAACAACGGCTCCATCTATTACATAGACATGCAGAAGTTCCCGCTTCGGATGAAGGACAACGATTTGCTGGTCACTGAGCTCTATAAAGACGTCACACTAGACCCCATTACGGCCATCTCGGTGTACCTCACCCCGAAGACCTCGAGCATTAGTGGCAATTGGATTGAGATTGCCTACGGCACCAAGTCCGGAGCTGTGCGGATCATCGTCCAGCATCCGGAGACAGCTGGCCATGGGCCACATCTTTTCGAGACATTTTTTGTGCACCAGAGCCCTGTAACCAAGGTGATGCTGTCAGAGAAGTATCTCGTCTCCGTGTGCAGCGAGTACCACCACGTCCGAACCTGGAGCCTGACCCGCTTCCGAGGAATGCTCTCCACACAGCCGGGCTCCACGCCAGAGGCCTCCTTCAAGATCGTCTCATTAGAGGCCACCGACACCAGCTACAGCTATGCGGCTGGAAACGATTTCGGACCCTACGGCGACTACGACGATATGATCTTTGTGCAGAAGGTGGTGCCCGAAACCGATCAGCTATACGTTCGCTTGGCCTCCAACGGAGATCGGGTCTGCGTCATCCGATCCGTGGACAGCTCGACAATTTCGGCATTCTGTGTGCACGAGTGCGAGGTATCGTCGCGCATGGGCTCTCGATTCATACTCACCGGTCACTGCAACGGCGCCATTCAGATGTGGGACCTAACCACCGCCCTGGCGCTGCTCTCCAAGGATGAGCCCCAGCAGAAAACCAATGGCGGACCCGACACCAATGAGCTTCTCCGCCTACTTGACCAGTGTGAAATCAGCAATTCATCATGCTCAACACCTTGTATGTCACCATGTCTATCAGCTATGGGCAACGGTTCTGGAATGGCCCCCTCCATAGCCCGCATGAAAGCCTGCAACATAGCCCTGCTCAATCGGGAACCGGCAGTGGCTGCCCAGGTGCAGCCCCCCGCCCAGGTGCAAGCTCCTCTTCTGGCGGCAGTGGCGCCCGCTGGTATCCCGATAGCTGACGAAAATAATGAATGAGACGTGGAAGCGGCTGCTTGGTCGGCGCTTGTCGGGCGCGTTTCTTTGTTTACATTTCACAGGTGTAGCTTGATCATCGACTACCAGTTTATATTCCTGCAGTTCGTGGTGTGCGCCCTTGTGTACGTCTGGGTGACACGACTCACCCGCGGCCCAGCAACTGAGCCGTGATGGACTGCCAGCAGGCATTTACCCAATCAGATAATCTCCATAATATGTGCTCGATGTGGTTGCAAGTGCAATGTGTATTCCCGTTACCCTTTTTTGTGTCCCGAACTTGTGGATCGTACAGTTCGTATTTTTTAAAGCGCCTTTGTTCTAGTTAAAGTTATGAAAATTAGTTAAAACAATGTAAACCAGAGTATAAGACTTTTGCAACCGATCTATAATTAGCACATCTCTTAAAGGGTACTTTCACTGGGACAGATTTGGAGCCTTATCAATGGTGCTCTAAACAATGGATAAGATTGGTGACTAGAACAAAGAAAGTTCATTGAACAACAAATTAGTTCTTTGTTTTCTTGTCAACCTTGAATATTATTTGTGATTTTGAACTGATAAAGCAATTGGTTCGAATTCGGTACGCATGAACCCTACCCTAGACCAAGTCTGTCCTGGTGAAACCCCTCACATCAATAAATTGATCCGCCTTGTTGCAACCCGTAAACAGTTATACATATGCAATATAAATAAACATAATTATATACCTACAGATATCAGAATATCAACCTGGTTGTGTCATCAATAATTTATTGAACATTTTATCTTAGATTCTTGATGGTTGAATACTTGGAAGTGTTCCATTAACATTTATCAAATACAAATACTTGGCTTGCCTTCTCGTGGGTATTGTGTGTGTAAATACGTGTATATCCTACGCCCATACCGGACCTCAGTAAAGTAAAAAGCAGCAAAAACGCCAAAACATACAAAAATATATATAATATACATATATGTATAGTAGGTAAGTCCTCCCGCCCTCTAAATATAATTGACCTAAACACAACCCACTCCCGACCACCGGTGTGCTTATCAATTTAAACAAATGGCGCGTCAAGTGAGAACCCCTGCATTCAATTTACCTAAAATAGGACGCACTGGTACTGAGAAAGAATAATAATAATGGAGTAGATACTTGGAGCGATTACCCATCCTCGCCCGGAAGCAATTGTCGAGCCGGTCATACAAATAGTTTGTACACAAAGTCAACCTAAAGCTATGCTATATTCTAAAGGGCAAACCGATATGAAGCTGTGCCACATGGGGGATGGGATTACATGCTGTCCCAATCTGTGGTTCAATGAACCACTGTAGTGCAATATAAGACTGTCGCTTGGCGAGCGCCGTTCCTAACTACGATGAAAGCGTGAGTATGGGGTTCTGTGCATCGAATGGATGATATGTGCGTGAAGAATTGCTTAGCAAAAAAATATTATGGGAGATCCAGCTCACTGGCCAATGTCACGAGCTACACGTGGAAGTAGTCGTCCACCAGCAACTGTTCGCTTGGCGTAGAGGCAGCCGCACTTAGCGGACTGCTCGCCTGCGTGTCCGACTCCTGATCCGCTTGCAGCGGCTCGTAGCCAGGCTCCATCCCACTGCTCGTGTTGGTTGTCGTTGTTGTGGTCGTCACTGTGGTAGCCGCTGTGGTTAGATAACACACCGACTCGTAATTTGGATCCGTTTCACTGCCCGTTCCCGTGAGCGATTCATACTGCGAGGACAGCGGCGTGCTGCTGGCCATCGTTGAGGAGTTGGGTGACACGGAATTGGAAGTCGAACTGGGCGAAGTGAGGGTCAGGCGACTGCTGCCGCTACCCGGCGTTCCGGCCACCGCGTTTTCCGCTATCCGAGCATAGTGATCCGTTTCGGCGGCGGCCTTCGTCTCCAGGATGCTGGCATAGTTGTGGTTGGCATCCGCTCTTTGAATAGTGCTGTAGCCGGCGGCGTCAGCAGAGGCGGGCTGGCGCTTCTTTTCCAGCACCTTTGCGTAGCCGTCGTCCGAATGGGCGCGACTCTTCAGCACCTCGTAGTTGGGATCGTAGTCAGACTTTTTGGTCTCATCATCGCCTGCGGGAACCGGGTGCAGTTGCAGTTGCTCGTAGCCGGGATCATTGTTGCTACTGGACGGGGGCGGCTGGGGCTGGTTAAGAATAGTCTCGTAGTGCTTTGTGCTTGCGGTGATCGCAATTGCTGTCGCTATCGTAACGGGCTGGGCAATCGCTGAAAGGGCGGCGGAAATAACAATTCATTAGTCAGCAGCTTAAACCAGCGTGTTTACTTGGATTGATGAGAAGAGTTGATGTAGTTACTGCAGACGATACTAACCACGGCTACTTCCAAACAAAAACTCATGAAATCTCCGCCGTTTGAGTTGAACAAACACGGAAATTTCTCATTTTGGCATAGCAACTAAGTTTGGGAAGGCATTTTAAAGGAAAGACCAGGAGAGACAGATAGATAGACAGGCAGATTAGGCATTAGGCAGGGATTAACGACTAAGCCAGGGTGAAAACGATGAGTAGATTGCAGGAATCCGCACATGTTACCCTGAAGTAATCGAGCTGGGACTATTAAAAAGGGGCTGGAAAGAGCTGTCGACGTACCTCCTCCTTCCTGCTGTCGCTCCTTCTGCAGCATGTTGGCTGCATAGCAATCCGACTTGCGGTTCTCGTGCATCACCTGTCCATCGACTGGAATTGTTTCGTAGCCGTGATCCTTGGCGGAATAGCTATTGCTGCGCCCTCGACCCTTCTGGGCATCCACTAGTAAAGCCGCAGCACTGTCCAGTGGACTGACACCCAAGGCATCCTGCTGTTGCTTTCTGGCCAGGATGGGCGAACTGTTCTGCGAGGAGGGAGAGTTCCGCGAGAATTTGTGCTTTTTCATAACCTAGAAGTAAAAAATAATAGGTTGGCTAGGTTTGGTGGTAATAGCTAAGATTATTTTTTACCTTGGCGTACATGCCCTCTATGTTTTTGTTGCCCTCGCCTTCCTTTGAAGGGCTAAGACTCTTGCTGTGTTTGCGTTGGGGCGACACCTCCCCGGACTCCGCTTCGTGGCTGTCTCCACCTGCTTCAATCACCGATATGACAGAGTTCCGGCCGGAAGCTAGGTTGCTGATACTCCCGGCGTGCAGATGGTGCGTTTGGCCCACACTTGCTTTGGGTGTCGGTGGCAGTGGCGAGTTCGCCTGGCGCTTCTCCGGCTTGGGTGAGCCCAGATTGCAGACGGATGCGCTGTTGTTGGACGAGGACGAGGCCTGACGAGAGTGCATCTGGGCTCGTAAGCTGTCCACCGGCGGGGGAACTGGCATTCCATGATCAGCCCCGCTACTACTGGTGGGTCTATGGGTTCCACTACTGGTTCCGCCACCGACCATGACAACGGACGGATTAGCGGTCGGAAGGCTGCTACTATTATTTATCTCGACGGCCACAACTATGGGATTCGCTTGCATAGGTTGGATTTGTGCGTAGGTCTCCGAGCCGCTGGTGTAAATATCTGCGGCGTTGGCCTGGTGACGATTATTGGGATCCTCAATGGCCGCATAAGTTTCATCTGGAATAAATAAATTTAATTAACACAAGATTTTACTTTGGAAATAATAATACAAATAACATAATACAAATTTAGTTTCTTTATATATAGCTATTGCCAACTTGAAATTGATAATAAAGTTTTGTAAATTCGCTTGTGACTCACCGGAATCGTCGGATACGGTGGCGTAGTGAGAGTCGTTAACATCCCGCGATAAAGCTGGATTCCTGTTCGACGGTTTCCCCGGTGGTTGCTGGGCCAGAATGTTTGCCAGTGGTTCCCTCACACTGATGCTAGTATATCCCTCTGTGTATAGAAACATTAAGGCATGTGACATCACCTCGCGTGCAGAAAACTTACTCGAAGAGTCCTGCGAGTCACCGCTAAAATGCTGGTTGGCGATGGGCGGCGTCATGTAGGGAAGATCCTGGCTTGCCGAAATCATGCCTGCTATCGCGGAGGCGGCGGGAATTTCGGCCTGTGCCGGCACCGAGTCATTGTGCTCTCTGGAGCCCTCGCTGTGCTGAGAGCTGCGGTGCATGGGATCGATCCCATCGCTGGATGATCCAGCCACTACAGCCGCCGCTGCAGCTGCTGCTGCAGATCCATGGTTGGCCGCGTGGGACGTAGATGGCGCATTCAGCTGGGCGTAGGGGTGTTCGGTGCCCCGCACCTTGGCGTAGTCGTGTGGCAGACCCTTCACACGAGAGTAGGGAGAGCTGACATCGTCCGCCTGGCTGATAGAACTGTGCTGGGACACGCTGGTCTGTTTCTTCATGCTCGGCTGGGCTGTGGAGGGAAGTAGAATATGTACTACGTGTTTCTTTAAATTTTGTACACCACTCACGACTTTGGCTTCGGGCATTGCGGGCATCTACCAGCTGTTTATCCGCCACTGTTTCGTATAGTTCGGACCCATTATCATTGCTTTCGGCTACGGGAATGTCCGGCAAACTGCGATGAGCTGCAGTGCTCGATCTGCAAGTGGTTTAAGCTTAAATAATTATGTTTTTTCTTATGTAAATAGTGCGTACTCACCGCTTCTCCGAGTCAGCATTGGAGACTGTAGAGGCATTCAGCTCCGCCTGGGACTCGCTATTGCCGACCAGGCTAGTGACCACGATGACCTCGTCTGGATTCTTCAGCTTGACCATGCCCTCCATGCCCATCAAGTCATTTCTGTGGGGAAAGGGGAGAAATGGTGATTAGTGGCATTGGTGCATCCAACTGGAACTGGGTGGCGTAGCGGCGGAGTGAGACCCACTTTCACTCTCTCGGTGGCCTGCACCGCCCTGTTCCCGCCTGAGGGAACCATTCACAATGAATTCTGACTCCTGATCTAATGGGAATCAGGAGCAGGGACAAAACTTACTTGGGAATACGTTTTTTGCAGCAGAGACAAGCGCCCAGCATTACGATGAAAGTGAGCGTCAGGCTGAGGGTCGCCAGGAGGTACGTGTACGAATTGGGTGTCTCCAGGCGCAGCTCCGACGTCGTCGCCTCCACCATGCCCATGTCGCTTTGTGCACATATGCACTATGTACCCATTTAGCACTTGCACTGACCACTGCACATATATATTTACTACTTTTGCTAGTCTATTCTTTTATTTTTTTTGGCCCACCAAACGAAACAGACAACAACAAGAAATCGACTAACGTGCGGTCATACTAGGTGCGGTCCTACTGGAATGGGAAAACTCGTCATTTATTACCTGTTTATATATGGTCATACTAAAAATATTACCGGCTCTTAACGGTTAACTTTTAGACCTATTTAGACCAACTATTCCCCTATAAATGTAAATGTAATCTTCCCAGTATTTTATGGGTATTAATCCTTTAAAACAAAATAATAGGAAATTATTTAATTAAGAAAAAATTGTAAAAACTTTAATTTACCTGATCAATTTTGCACTATTATAAAAAATAAAAGCAAGTTACAGAGAAATAAAACCTTGGATATACTTAAACTTCATAAGATTTTATTTTCATTCAAATGATATTTGGTATCAAAACTATACCTACGCTGAATAGCAGCCAAAAGGTTTTTGTGCTTACACAAACATTTGCACTTAAATCTAGTTTATTCGCTTGGCACATTTAGTGATTGCTCTAATTTTTAAAGTTCTGTGTGTTTGAAGATGGTTTGTTCGATAATCTCCTGCAGTTTCTCCACCTTGCGAGTTTGTTTTTTTAGCTGATCCTCCATTTCCTCAAAACGGTTGCTCTTGTCCTTGTGTTTTTCGCCCTACAAATTTTAAGGAAATTAGTTTGCCATAAACTTAAATGCGATTTCCAAATGTTTACCTTATATTTTTCTACATGTAAAGCATGCTCGGCATGTAAATGACGCAGCTTTAGCAGGCGACTTTCGAAATGATGCAATTCCGTCTTGATGGACTCCAGTTCCGCCTCAGTAAAATTGCTAGCTTTAGCCACTCTCCAAAGACCCTGAACTTTGGGCTCGATAAAGTCCTGGCTGTGGGGGCCGGAGGACACCAAGCGCTCCAGTCTGTCGTAATGATCCTTGATGCCAACATGATGACCACGAAGAGTATTCAGGTCGTTTTCAAAGCTTTTAACATTCTGCGCATGGGTTTTTATCTCATTTTCGTTGGCATCATTCGAAATCAGATTGTAGTTGTCCAGATCCTCAGTGTTTATAGCATCTAAAGGGGCATACGATTAAAATTTTTGTTTCGTATGCTGTGTTCAACCAAACCTACTCTCATGCTTGTCGGTATCCACAGTGCCGATATTTTCTAGCAGGCTGTAGTACACATCAACCTTATCCTGGTGATGTTCAAACTCCTGCTTCAAGGACTTCAACTCCTCGGCAGTGAAGCCAGAAATCTCTGCCTTTTCCCACAGCCGGTTGAGTTTCTTGTCCTTGAATAGGCTCTTGTTTTTGTGGCGGTCATCGGCGTCGTGGAATTTCTGCAAGGTAGCCAGTATAGGGAAACATATTGAAATTTGAGGGGGGAGACCCGCATACCTTGTAGGGCTTAAGCTTTTCTGAGTCCTGGGTGTCGTCGAAGTGCTCCAGCAGGTCGTAGCTGCTCATAATGCCAATCAGCTTGCGACGGAGTTCGTCGTCCTTCAGGCCATCCTTGTCCTTGTGCTGCGAGTTGAGCTGCTTCCAGGCGATCTCCTCCTTGTCGTGGATTTTAAGCTCCATGTACAGCGACTTGAGCTTGGGCTCTGTTAAGCGCTGTAATCGGTATTGATGAATTGGAACTTCCGGCGTATTAGTACTCTCCCACTTACGTTCTGAGCCTTGGCCCACACCAGATTCAATTTGGCCATGCGAAAAGGCCGCTGAATACTCTTGAAGTCCGGGTCATACTTCTCCTTCTTCACTTGTTCGTAATGCGGGCTGTTGGCCTCTTTGCTGTACTTTTTGCTCTGCTTTTTGTCCGCATCCACGCCCTGCGACGCAATCAGCAGGACCAGCGCAAGGACTGCGATTACCGGTGCAGACTTGAACATGTTCCTCGTGGCTTTAATACGGGACTTAAGTCACACGCAATTTTTGATGCTGACCTGGCTAAACAGTTATTCACAACAGTCTGTGTGACCAGCTTAACAGGAAGCAAATCCGGCGCCTCCTAATTAGTATGGCCAGCTACTGATCGCCAAAAGCTGCTGAGGCAAACAATCTAGCTATAAAAAAGCTGCATTTACATAGAGCAGTCATTTTTATTGTAGTTTAATTTTACATAATTCAAGCTTGGAATTTAGTATAAGATTAAAAGAAAATAACACAAATATTGAAGATTTATTTTATTCAAAATTTAACCTTTTAAAATAATCAGATTTAACGGAAAGTCCGATTTCGACATTGTTTCGCAGCACTGTCGCAATAGATTGTCGCACTACTTGGATCTGGCCACACTGCCAGTTCCGATTTTTACCTACCGCCGCGCCATTCCTAGCAACTAATTAAAATAAGCTAGTTTGTTTACTTAGAGGCACAAATAATAGGATCCAGGACAATGAGAGCGGAGGCAGCGGTCAGTTGTTTGCTGCTGGTATTCCACAGCGTATGTTGCCAAAGTGGCAGCGAGGAGAACTGGGTTGATCCGTATCCCGGCTGGTCCAACTTAGTCCAGGAGTTCAACCTGCCAGATGGATCCTGCCAATGTCCTGCAATTCCACAGCAATCTCCGGCCGTTGTCGAGGATGCCCTGGCTCTCATTTACTTTAAAAAGTTCGTCAATCTACTGTTTCAACGCAAGCGTTTACAGGTAAGATCGTTTTACAATTTGCCCAAATTTGGAGACGTGACGTCATGAATGTAACTATTGTGTAAATAGTACGATGCTGAATCGGCGCTCCACAAGCGATCGTTACTATTCTCGCTGCTGCCATCGCAACTTGAGGAACTCGAAAAGGTGCAGGATGTCCGGGATCTGGACATTTTGCTGACGAAAATACTGGAGAGTGCCGAAGAGGCTCCATTGTTTGAGGGTATGTCCGGATGCTCCTATGCCCAGCAGGGAGTATTCTCGTTATTGACGGATATTTTCAAGGACATAGTAGCGCTAACAAAAACATCGGAGGTACCCGTTTCGCCTTTTACGAAAACTTGAAATACTGGCTAACTAATTACTTTCTTTCCCCAGGTGCAATTTATATTATTTGCAACATTGGCCACCATACTTGGATGCTTTGTGCACAAACGTTTCCGTATCCGGTTAATTTCAATTGTTTTAGGGGGTGTTTTTCTATGTGGATATATTCACACTTACTTAGAGTGCAACAGAGTATGTATATATTGTCAAACAAACGAAATTCTCCTTATTATGTGAACATTTATAGAAATTAGATGTCGAAGCTATGATGGAGGTTATGAAAAGTCACGAGGAACCGAGAAGTTACGCGGAAATGTCTTGGTTTGGTCGAATAAAAGGCTATGTATTCAAAGCTTCGCCAAAGGATAAACAACTAGAAATGCTTAAGTATGAATAATCACTGAAGTAAAGGTAAATTTTTGATAAATTTTGTATTTTAGAAAATCTTCAAAGATCAATCTTTCAATCTGCATGCCAGATCACGTATTATTTATGTACATGAACAACCTGTTTCTAAAGCAGTTAGAAATGTTGTTGGAAAAAGTGTCGGAAACTATGAACAAACTTTCCAGTAAGTTTTCATGTTTTTTGGTAGTTTTCCGCTGTTTCTTTATTAAAAGAAACTCTTTGGAACGACCCTTAATTAATAACTATAATAATCATATCTACCCGCAGCTGGATTATCATTCCCCTTTAACCTTCTTGCCCCCCTCCTCTTGGTGGCTTTGGTGGGGTACATAATAAAGCTAAGTTTTAAATATATCATTAGCCCCAAAGCATGGGCCTCCCTTGTCCGCAACAATCCCGCTCCGATTGGTACACAAACGGCCCAGCAATCTATTGGTGCTCGAGAGGCCGCAGGGGATTGCATATCGGGCGAGAACCTGAAAATGCTGTTAAATGTAATGAGCGTGACGAGTGTACAGCAGCAGTCACAACAAACTCAACCTATGCCCGCCGTTTCGGGTGTCCAAGAGCTGGTAGAATCGCTGGAAGCTCCTCCCTCCCCGGAGAAAAAAGAAAAACTTAATGTTAGCGATTCTAGCAGCAAAAGCAAAAGCAGCGTTCAGGAGGTTGAAGGATTCACGCTGGTCGACGATCACGAAGATGATAACGTTGATAATTTGTAGCGGCAAGCTGTAAACTTATTTTGTATTAATGTTAATTATAATGTCCGTGATTTTTACCCAGTCAATTAGAGTCCGTAAATGATCGGCAAATAATTCAATTCTTTTGCTTGATTTGTCATAGTTAAATTTTTATTTAAATTATTTTGCATGTTCTTATTCTCATTTGCACGATAAGTGTTATTAAGATAAATCTTCAACAATAAGATCTTTTAAGTAGGCCACCAACTGTTTATATTTTGCTTATTATTATTATGCTGCCGGCCTTTCAAAAAATCGGATATAATTTGTATGTAACTTGTTGATCCTATATATTTACAACTTGGCGCTGAGGCGATTTTTTTATATTATTAGCAGTGGACGCTCTGTTTGAGTTGCGTATTAATTGAATGTAAGCGATAATTAAATATTCGGTTTTCGAATCTTGTAAAATCTAATTCAATATGTATACAACTAATATAATTATATATCTATGTATATAGATCTATATGGTGTGTGTATATATTTGTAAGAAAAATTAGAAAAGAATTCCGGTGTAAATATATTTATTCGTTGTATTTTAAATCATGCACCTAAAATGTATTATGCTTTAATTACAATTCATCGTTATTATAATTTTATGCAACTAAGTAATTTTACGCATTTGTGATGGAAAATGTAATCCAATACATGGCACATACTGAATAGCCAAAACCCAGTTTGCTGTCTGTCTATAATTAAACGTACCTAAAACTAGGAAAACACGAAGCAGAACCCAAAGCACAGGCAGGCTACCTATAATTCTCAACTAAGGCTTGCATATTTGTAATCGTCCATGTCTATGGCAAACCGAGAGAATTTATCTAAATTGATTTCACAAATCTTATACGCAAATTGGTCCGCTATCATAATCTTGATTAATAATTTCTCTACTCGAATTCAACAATTTATTTTAGATCTAGTGTGTAATTTCCACTTCTTGATTTGTGTTGGCTGTTCTACTTATTTGTCCGGCACTGCTGGACGGCGGACCAGCAGCCAAAGATACCAGTACCAGTTTGATGAGCAACATCATAATTAATGTAATTACTTGCCCCCTTTGTTGGCTAAATGGTTTAGCAGCGATTAAAGCATATAATTCACTTAGTCTGATTGGTAAAATTTAAAAAACTAATCCTCTTAATATCAAACAACAGCAAACTATGCGAAACAATTCGTTCAACTCCTACGCCTACGCACAAGCCAACCAACTATTAAAATAACGAATACCACAATTGGGAACGGTTTATGTTAAGTTATACGTACGATACATAAGTGTTTTAAAAACAGGCAACTTATATCCCATCTACGCTACTGCAAAAATGCACCTTCAAATGCTCTTCAAATATCCTTCGATGTACGTGTTCCTTGGCTCACTTGATGAATGCAATTGTACTTGAACTTGATTCTGACTTAGGCTAAATTTCTGATCTGATCTAATCTTTTCGGATTTGCTGCTATTAAAATGTTCTCGTTAATAAATTTCAGCAAATAAGTGTAAAATTGTACATACACATTTAATATAATACAAAAACACAATGCCATCGCGAATTGGTTCAAGTTTCCGGATCTGTGTGTGTTGTTGGCCATGAGTATTTTATACATTAGCTTATGTGGCGATCGGGGCTCGTCCAAATCTGTATTATTCTGGTTAGGTGGTAAATAGTTAAACAGCAATGATAGTCAGGGGAGGCATCCTAATGCCCAGATGCCCCGCGATGGTCTCTGTGGCGACCATGGAGAAGTCTTCCGTTGATGGATCCATGTAAATGTTGTTATCATATCGTAGTAGATATACAGATTCTATGTCTTTAAATAGGTACTTTGGCTTTCGTTAGAGATATAGTGTATAGCTTTCGTTTGATACCTGGTTATGAATGGGTGGTGGATCATGCAAGTATGTAAACATTTGATATGTATGCCGTTACGTTTCAGATGCGATTATGTATGTGTCAACTTAGGGTTAGCTTCCGTGTTGTGGTGTGTTTAGTATAGTATCGTATCTGGTATCGTGTAATCTGTGCGACTAAAAAGATCTGATCTGCTCGAATAGAACCTATGCAAAATATTCTCGTAATCGTAATTGCAATCGTGTTGTGACTTACATCAGTTCCTAAATACAAGTGTCAAGTTATGGATGTAACTCTACATGTGGGTAAGTGGTTGTGTGGGTTGTCTGGGGTGTGTGTGGTGCGTGGCCCGTGTGGGTGGATGGGTGGTTGGATGGCTGGGTGGTGCTACCTAAACGACCCCCTCCAACACCGCCCACCCCACGCTGCCGCCCCAAGGCGAGTATTTGTCTGTCACCGTCTCCTGCTCCGTCACTCCAGCTCGACTCGCAGCAATGTGACCCGGGTCACATGCCTTTGCCATCCGATGCTTACATAACGAGACACTTCTCCTTGGCCCCGCCGCTGGCACTGGCCCCCGCGTCCCCGTTCTCCGGAATCGAGCCGTTGGTGTCCTTCGACTTCTTCTCCTTCTTCTGTTTCTTCTGCTTCTTGGTGTCCAGCTGCAGGGAAACGGTGCGCGTCTTCTCCATGTTGAGCAGCTCCTGGAACAGCTCGGTCACATTGTGGTTCGTCTTGGCCGACGTCTCCATGAAGGATATGCTCCAAGTGGTCGCCTGCGCCTGACCCTCGGCCTGGGACACCTGTGAATGTGGGGTTTGCGTTAGACGGTTAAGGCAGGAATTGGTTCTAGTTATAAGATCCTTTTTTGCTATCTAAGGAAAACGGTCTTAAATTTAATCTTTAAAAATTTACAAATAATAATTTATGTGTTTTGAGCATAAAGATTAGCAAATAAATGTTAAATAGGGTTTGGAAAAATAATGCTTAGTTAGTCAAGATCTGATTTATATTTTTAGCCTCGTTAGTTGATTAGCAAAGATAACAACGAAAAAATTAGGTAATATTAGAGATTATTGTGAAACTGTCGTGGATAGGTATCGGTTCCAGTAAGAGATCCCACATAATTCGGGTTCGTATAAGTAAATAAATGATAAAATGGATAACATTGTCTCTAACCTCACGCAATTCGGCGGTCTCATCACACTTGTTGCCCACAAGCATGACGGGAATGTTCGGGATGTCGGCTCCCTGTGGACACACAAAGAGTTAACATCTGATTTGGAAATCAATATCAGATGATTACAAACCTTGAGCTCCTTGATGAGCGCCCAGATGGGCCGCAGCTCCTCCAAGCTCTGCTTGGAGCACACGGAGTAGACCAGGATAAAGGCGTGTCCCTTCGAGATGGACAACCTCTGCATGGCCGGGAACTGGTGCGAACCCGTAGTATCCGTGATTTGCAGCGTGCAGATGTTCTTGTTGCAGCTGATAACCTGTGGGGGATTCCTGGGGATTAGGAGGATCTCCTCGCGAGGGTCACCTGGCTGCGCCCACTCACCTGTCTGTAGGTGTCCTCGATGGTCGGAATGTAGCTCTCGCGGAAGGTGCCCTTGATGAAGCGCAGCACCAGCGAACTCTTGCCCACGCCACCGGCTCCGAAGACTACCACCCGGTAGTCGTTGCTCTGCTCCGGCGCAGCGCGCGTCACCTGGTTCTTCTGCTCCGTCATCCCGGACTCGCGGTCGGATTCGGGTCAGTCGGATTCGAAGTGGAAGTAGATTGAGAGAGAAACAGGAGCTGGAGCTTGTTGGCTTGCTGTCGGGCACTAGTGGAATGTTCTACTTGGGCGCCATGCTTTCGTTTATCTGCAACGATTAAGAGCAAATCAGCTTGGCCACAACGCCCACGCACGCACAACCTTTCCGGGTCGGTGGTGGGTGCAGAGTGGGTGTCCGTGTGGGTGGCACTGCTTTAGGGTCCCCTCCCGAAACACAAAAAAAAAACAGCAAGGAAGTTAGTTTATATAACCGATGTTTATATACCCTTGTAATTAAAAAAAATATTGGTTAGTAAATATACTTAATTGGTCAATTTGCATATGTTATATGATATAGTAGTATGATTTTGATTAACTTCGAAAGGTTATACTTAAAGGGCAGTAATCCAATTTACACATATTGGCATTTATATTTTGAAACAACAAAGCTGAGCTCTAACAGCTATAGGATAAAGTAATTCAATTTTGAGGAATTAAAATAATTCTTTTAAATTCATTTTATATTATATTATATAATCAACAAATCGAAAGGTCAACTACATTTGCTATTATCTTCGAAAAAAAATATATTGTCCGATATCGGACTACTCGTTATTTTGATCTATAAGGCATTTTTAAAGCCTCTATTATGTTATATTTCTCTGATCCGAACGGTTTTCAATCTTCAAATATGACAAGAAATTGCAAAAGTTTAATGTTGATCTAGCTTTAAACCTAGCAAATAAATCGCATATATTATGTATGGGATCGGAAACACTCCTAACAACGTTACAAACTTATGACAGCCTTTGTTATACCCTTTTCGAGGGTATTATAAAAGGGGAAACAATGCGTGAGAGTGTGCCGCTAATTTTAGCCATGTGCCAAGAAAGGGTATTGATTTTTTGCTCGGCTGGCAGATCGGCATCAGCCTCTCCTCATTACTATCACTTTTACCACGATTATGATGGGGTATAAATAGGCCTGCTTTGAAGGCGGGTGTCCCGAATGGGTTTCCTTTCCTGCCCATCCGCCCACACACACATACTTTAACACACACACTTGTCCAGCCGTAACTGCTCACTTCCGCTTGATTGTCCTGGTGGAACTGGCACCTTTGACACGCCCCCTTTACCGCCCCGCCTTCCGACTTTTCGCCGTTTTGTTGTTTCGCACTGTTTTCACACTCTCCTTTTGTTTTTCCACCTCGAACACCTCACGCTCTTTGCTGTTGGATTTTCCTCGCTTTATTTTGGCTTGGATTTATCGATTTTATCTGCGCTGCACTTGCCACCCACACACACGACCCCCGGAAAAACCTGGGTACTGCTGCTATCGAACTCCATTAAGTGGATTTCCCGCAGGATCTGAGGAAATCGCTATTGCGTCGCAATATTTACTTGCATTTCGTTGCACTGGGATTCGTTGCAGGACAGGATCTGGTGCCCGATGTGACTAGCTCTCTGCTGCAGGCCGTCCTATCCTATCCTCTGGTTCCGATAAGGGAACCGCCCACCCACCGCCCCCACATTGGGGTACTACGGCGCCTGCGCCTATCCAATATACAGAGCTTTTTGCAGTACCTAAACCCCAAGCGGAGAACCGAACCCTCCGAGAAGAAAGCTTCTGCACACGTCTCTACTTATTCAAAGCCGGCCGGCGTGTGCAAAAGAATTGATGAATCGAAAGACCCGTGTGTAAAGCCGCGTTTCCAAAGTGTATAAAACCGAGAGCATCTGGCCAATGTGCATCAGTTGTGGTCAGCAGCAAAAACAAGTGAATCATCTCAGTGCAGTAAAAGGCCAAAACAGCCCATCTCTACCTTTTGTGAAGTGAACAAGTTCAAAAAAATCCAACAAATTCAAGATGCCTTGCCCATGCGGAAGCGGTAAGTTTGAGTCTTGTCATAAGATTGCAGGACCTTCCAGCTATTTAGAAAAACAGTTTGATATTTTATTTTGGAGAGACGTTTTTTATTATATTTAAAAGGAAACCTTATGTTGAGTAACGTTCAAAATTATTACTTTGCTATGTAGATCTATCAATCTAAAAAAAAAAAACAAAGCAAAAAAGTCATGATAGGCGTATGATTAGTTATGTATTTGCAAACTGGACCAAAAAATATCTGATATATTCTTCTGTATAATAATCCCATTTTCCCCTTTTTCTCACCAGGATGCAAATGCACCTCCCAGACGACTAAGGGTTCCTGCAACTGCGGCACTGACTGCAAGTGCGGCGGCGACAAGAAATCCGCCTGCGGCTGCTCCAAGTGAGCTTTCCCGAGCAGAAGATGTGGAGAAGACGGCGACCCCTTATCTCCGAACTGATTTCTATATATTTTCATATGCAAGCACAATGTTTTCTCATTTTCCCTCCACACAATGTCCAATTAAAGTAATTGAAACCTAAGCTACGTCTTTTCTGGTTGCGTAATCAGTTTGTCTGGGCCTTTCTAGGTTAGATTCTTATTTATTGGAGGTACGTGCTCGGCGATATGCGTCGTGGAAATTGGATGGTCAAGTGCTTTCCACAGATGCCTACGAGTTTGTATGATTAAGTTCCGTTGAGCAATAATATAGTAATCTGAGACGCTTCTCCTCCATTTTCTGAGGCTGAAGTGACTGGGGCTTGGATTTCAAAGCGCAGCGGTTTGAACTTATGACTTGTAGATACAAATACAGTCGCGGGAGAATTAATGGAACAGCTACAAAGGCGAAATTGATGTTATTTAAACTGCAGAAATAAGTAAAGAACTTATCGTCTGTATTCATTTAATTTTCTTGGAAATATTCATGTCTACCTAAATTCAGTGGTTTCTCTTCAAACCCCGATGACAAATGATGTTTCATATACACAGCTGATATAATGTTATACAGCCTCTATATAAATATGATTCACAAGGAAAAAACCAATGATTTTAGGCTGGTTAAAAACCCTCAATCAGAGTTTATGGTTCGCATTTAATTTGTTAGCCTACGAATGCAGCTTATGTCTAATACTAGGCTAGGTGAACATTAATGGAGGATTACGGGGAATCGAATGGGTACACTTAGTGCGCAGTAGAAACGTGTATAAAACGTATGTATGGACATGACTTCTTTTTGGTTATCAGCGGGGCCAAACAAATACGGGCGAGATATCACGGCAGTTTCGAAACGGTTCTATTGAAGGTGCGCGAAGCAACCTAGGTACAAAATAGAGGGAAATTCGCGGCCTACTTGATAACGATGTTCTGGGCCAGTCGCTTCACAAAGTCCACGTTCAGGAAATTGGCCATTAGCGTGAGCACGGACTTCTTGGGCGGTCGACAGTGCCGGAGTCCCGCCTCCTGGCAGCACACGTTCGGAAAACAGTCCAAAGTGGAGGTGCACGCCTTGGGGTGCAGATCGAAAATTGGCGGGGGCGGAGCCGTGCACTCTAGGTACTCCGAAACTGGGAAAGAATAGGGGAACAGTTATAGAACTGGAACAGCAGCGCTGGTGAAAACATTTATTATAGGTATTAACGGAAATGTATACATAGGTACCGGTTAAAAGTACTCATTAAAGACTTTTATGTTTTCTGGACAGTAATACCTTACGTTAAATAGCTATATTATATGATTAAAATGAGACCTTTCGTTAGGTTTTGGAATAATTATTATTTCAAAAGTAGTTCTATGCCTCATAAAAATATTATGTTACTAAACCTCCAATGGAAGATATGTAAAATGGTTAAAACTTACGATAGTCGAAAGAGCGCTTAACAGGCACTGGGGCCGTTTCCAGCTCCGGCTGCGAGGTGCGGCAGTACCTCCTCCGTCCATCCGGACAACAGACCCGTGGCCAGCAGTCCATGTCGTTGCTGCACTCCTGGACATCCCACCAGAGCTCCGCCAGCGGTCTACTGGGGCACTTGCGAGGTATCAAGCCCAGGATGGCTGGTGGAAGGATTAGACCGATTAGCAGGTGGAATAGAGCTCCAAGATATTAATCAACTCACGAGCATGTGGCGTCTCCTCTAGGGGCTTTGGAACGCCGGAGACACAGCTGCTGGCTCCAAAAATGTCACAGCACAGTTCATCCCTCTGCCAGACGGCGCAGTCCCGATCCGTCTTGCAAATTTTGGGGAAGAGCTGGAACCTCACCTCGTTCTCCCGGGGACAATCGAACCTTAATCGAAGCTCGGCAGCCGCCCGCTTGCCTTTCTCCTTGTCCTTTTCCTTATCCTTGTCATCGCTGGGAAAGTTCAGGGTGGGCAGGGCAATCCGGAATGGTCCATCAGTAGAGGGTTTCAATGTGGTTGTTGTAGAGGTGCTAGTAGAAGTTCTACTTGATGTGTTGGACAAAGGTTTCCTAGTGGTCTTAGGCGGCTTGCGCTGACTGGACTTGTCCTCCTTGGGACTGAACTTCTTGGGAGGATGGGGCTGTTTGGTGGGCGGACGCACTGCCACCAAACTCTGCCGGCCGAAGCTCCAGAAGTTCGGATTGAAGAAGTTGAAGCCGTTGGCCAAGCTGGGACGCGGAGCTGGGGATGGATGTGGAAAGCGGGTTAGCTGTGTGCTCAATGGCCATTAGTGTTTCTGCTCCAAATAACAGACATTACACGTCAAGTAAAGCGCAGTTCCCGCCGCTCATAAAGAGGGTTTGATTTGGTTTTGTTTTATTATTCAGCCAGCAGCAGCGCCATGAATGGTGGATCAACAATTGCTGGTGGAGCGCAGCCAGCCTGTTGGCCAACGCTTCCCACCCACCCCACTCCACTCTGCAGACCCATTCCCATCGCAATTATGTACTTGGCTGGTTGCAACAGCTTTGGACATCACCCGCAAAAACCGCCATGATCAGAGATCATTACCCACGATCAACGACACTTCCCTATGAGAAGGTGCTTCAAATTTCCAGCCCATAAAACTAGCTAATGGCGAGGCAAGTTCGGGGCACCTTTAATTTAATTAGAGGCACCCAGCTTAAAAGGGGAATTCTAAAACGAAATGATCATGCAAATTATCAAAGGCAAAGGCCTAGGCCCCAATAATTCGCGACCTTGTGTCCGTCTCTCCGGTTCGGACTTCGCCAAGGCCTCCTGCTGCAGCTGAAGCCGATTCGAAAGCCCCGGCGCTCCAGTTATCGACGCTCTATACACCTAACCTATGCACCTATGGACGTTAACGAACTCCAAACGGGTATATCAGGTTTTGTCCACAATTTGAATACACAATTGCGGTCAGAATAATGAAACGACGAATCCAAGGTAAAACTCTTTATCTGCATTTTTTCGCAAATAATCTTTGATTTATTTTTGGATATCTAGTGGCTTAAAATGCCACTTAAATTTTTGAAGTGGCAAATATTTATTTACTTGTTTCGATATCTTTTAAACATATTCCATAGAGCTCTGCAATATATCTCTATGTTGAATGGTTCCAATTATATTGTACTATCTGCGTTCTTATCCTTTTTTTTAAAGGGTATTCCATCTATCGATGGACCTGATCCGTCATTTTCTCAGACAACTTCTTTGTCACTGCTGTGGATGTATATTCGCATTACCACTTTCAATCTTTATGGCCGAAACCGAAAAGCTAGGTCAGTGCCAGCATCTTCGACCAGTTTGCATGACTTTTCAATAGTCATCGGTCCACAGACTAGTTGCACTGATCTAAGATCTATATGTCTGTCTTTACGTCATTATAATTTTGTGTGACTTACTAGTTGTGGTGGTTGTGGTTGATGTTGTTGTGGTGGTGGTGGTGCTGGTGGAGGTGGCTGTTGTGGTTGTGGTGGATGGGGTGGGTCTGCGTCGCCGGACCACCTGATTGCGACTCCGCTGGTTGGATGCACCCTGCTGCTGCTGCCGCCTGGGCTGATGTTGATCCGCTCCTGAAGCCACCGCAGTCTCTTGGGCTGGCAGTGGAGCTGGAAGCGGGAGCTTGTATTGTGCAACTCCGCGGCTTGTTGTGGATGCCTTGGCGGCCGTTGCACAACCGATGGTCAGGTAGAGGGCTCCCCCAGCAGCCAGGAGCTGCAGCCAGACCAATCTCATTGCGGCTGATTCACTTGGGGGTCACTAAGCCACTGACCTTTCCGTTTGGAGTCACTGCAGTCTGTGGCACTCACTCACTCACTAATCACTCATCGCTGGTGGGAATACAGGTGATACTGGGTCGGTTTATTGGGCAAGCGCGACTACGTTGTTCAGACACCGAGCGACTGCTTCAGACTCCCAAGACCAATTGGCGAATGTGCAAAATCGTAATATTTCGGCAGCGAAGCCAACCGCCGAAACCGCTAAGAGAGCTTAAGCGGGGGCTGACCCGCTCTTTAGCGCCCCAAACTGGTTTTCACTCTGGCCTGACTCTCGGCCAAGTGGGCTCTTGGCTGGCATTCCACTGCACTGGTGAAGGTGCTCCAGTGCTCAGTTGGATGCCACTAACCCACTGTCGTAGAAATGAGGAAATGCAGGCCTCCAGCCAGGAGATTGCTTCCGGCTTTCCAAAAGGACACCATCAATTTAGAAGGCAAAATAAACGTTGTTCACACTTTTGCGTGGGAATCAAGCAGGTTTGCTTACACACCGATTATGCAGTTTGGGGTAAAGTAACATTTAATTCAGTGGTCGAGAAGATATTTTTAGTTAGGACTGAGATTTATATGTATGTTTTTATTTAAACACACAAAGTATTAGTGAAAATTTTCCAAAAACACCATACATAAAAAAATTATTTTTAAAATTGAGTATTTAACACATCTGAAATCGGGTTTGTCACTTTTTTAAATTAAAATGTGCTTTGATATGAGTCATAGTTGTATCTCCTCCCTTAAAATTATTCAACTAGCTGTGCTTTAAAAATATTTTTTTCAATTTGATTAAACCCCAGTTAATTGCTTTGACATGTACAAAAAATAAATATGCTTGAATTATTATTATATATATAAACCACCGCTTGAAACCAAAATGTTTTTTGGTACTGGAAAGCCTAATCATCATTTAAAACGTGATCTTCGTGAGCGATTTGACAATGTTTTTTCAGAGAGCTAAGGTTTTGGGGATGACCCGCTCACCAGCGTTTAAAACCGGTTACGTTTTTGTTTTGGTAGCGGCTTAATGTGTTATTAGGTGACACAGACCGACTGACTGACCACTCGTCCGTCCAAAAATAAGGAAATACACAAATTTTCCGGCATTTGACAACACAAAACAGATGCCCGCTTAGATGTAGGCGCAAATTATGACACAAAAATATATATACGTTTCTTGTTATGGGTTTAATCAGACGGAGATTTAAACAAACTAGTGTTTTAACAAAGATCCTTCGCGGAAGGTGGTAACTGTTGGAATTCTGTGGTGATGGCCATTCTGGTTACTTGCTTAGAGATTACTTTGGAATCGGTTCCATGTGTGCTTTGTCCTTGCTTAAATCCCCAAATGATTATGTTGTTGCTGCTTGTTGTTGCTGCCGGCATATTAATGTACGGAGTCCCCAAAAATCCGGCGACTGCTTATATTAATATGCCGAGTGTTGTTTTGAGACGCGATTAACGCGTGCCAAAATGCGAAGGGGACATTTAGTCCAGCTGGCAGGGGAGAAGGTTGTAATTAGTAATCTGCTGATAAGGAACCACAGATCAAAGGACTCACCTTCTTGAAGCCAATGTCGTTGGCGTACTCCCTGAAGCACTGACGGCAGATGTTCAGGCCATACTTGCGGATCAGACCGTGGCGGTTAGAGCAGGCACGGCTGAAATAAGATGACATGTCATTGATTAGATCGTTTCCAAAAAAGTATTTCCGTAGCTTGGCACAGTTCTTTTATAGCAAAGTTGTCGCTGCACTCGGCTGCACTGTTTTCACGTGAAAATCGAGCACTTCGCCTCGTGCAGCTCTTACTTTGGCCACCCTTTATTAAGGAAACTGTTCAAGTTGTTTAAACACGTATTTCCGTACTCAACCGGGGGCAAAAGCCATTGAAAATATAACGAAAATCGGCAAGCAATACAAATTGGCAGACGCCATGCGTGAAAAAAAGCGGGGCGTGAATAACCTCACTTTCTACAGGCATGCGAAAATCGTGCAAAATACGGGGTTACGGGGCAAGCATTTAAACAAATCGCACACCAAACGGTGCGCCAAGCCACGGGCTACACAAATCTTACCAGCTTCGGGAGCCTTGGCCGTATTTGCGGGGATGCGAGTACCAGAGAGTAGCGAAACCCATGTTGGCGTTTTCCACGAGAAATTCGAAAAGAAAAGGAACTAGGGACGGCACATAGTGGATAGAAATGGAAGACCATCGATGCCAACATCGATATTTTCGGCATATCGATGTATGGCAGCCCCTCATCGATGTTTTTCCATCTCTAACGAGTACTCAAAATCTCACTCCATTCTTGCGCACTGTTAACGATTTCACTCCAGTTCTTATGCACTGTTAACTACTTATAAAATGCACTGTGGTCATAGTACTGTAAGAAATATGTTCTAATCTGATATTTAAAGTACATTTTAAGAAAATGAAATGAGCCTGTATCGGTTTCAATAAAATTTACGGGTTTATTTTACGAACCTTTACTTTTCTTATTGTGTTGGGCAGGTCGAAAAAAAAAAATTAAGTTCAAAACTTCCAATGAAAGCTATTAGGAAACAGAAACGGCAAGCCTTATCAGCTTCGAGCAACTATCGTTATTGGGCATGATATTTCGCCGCAAAGTATGCATCAATTTGCTTGAAGTTTAAAACAAAAACTCGTGACTATCGCACTTCCAACATTTCTGTTATCAAATTTTGTGAGGAAATGATCAAATAAGCGACGAAATAAAATCAATTATTTATTCTTGGATTAATGCTCTTCAAGCATTTCAGCATTTCAACGCGACCATCGAACGTTTGGCAACCCTGTTTGACCATCGCTCTTTTAAGCGACACTCGAAAAGGAAAAAGGATGGCAGCTCTACTCCTTTGGCGCTTTATTTAAATTTAAACCGGACTCTTACATATAAGTATCCGCAAATAGTGGCTGGGTCGGGTTGTTCTTGACAACAACCACCCTGGCATTTTCACCACCCTGCATTGGCTGTTGACCCTGCTGCGGCTCGAAAATGCTCATCACATCCATATCCGGCTGGGCTGGCTCCTCGAAGACGATTATCTGTTGCTCAGAGCCACCCGCCTCATACTGCGACATTAGGAAACTGTTGTCCACGTCGTTCATTGGCACACACACCATTTCCTCCTGCTGCTCTGGCATCGCGGAATACTGCATCGACGGGTCGCCAGCCTCTCCCAATCTCGATTCCGGGGCCTCCTCCGAAAGACTGACACCGCCACCAGTCCCCTTCTGGTCCGGGTGATGCTTGGCCTTGAGAGCGGCTGCTGCAGCCGACTCCAGCTGGAACTTCTGCATCTGCATCATCAGCCGCGAGTTGGCGTCCAGGTGGGCGTGTCGTGCTCGGATGTGCTTGTCCCTGTCGCCGCGCTGCCGGAAGGTCTTGGTGCAGAAGAGGCAACTGTACGGTTTCTCGCCGGTGTGGATGCGCTGGTGGTTCTTGAGGGCATCCGCCCGGTAGAACCGCTTGCCGCACTCCTCGCATTCATAGCGCCGCTCGCCTCGGTGGATGAGTCGGTGCTGGTAGAAGACGGATCCAGTCAGGAAGCGCTTGCCGCACACCAAACAGAGATAAGGTCGTTCGCCCGTATGGCACTTGCGGATGTGATCATTCAGATCCGGGCGGATGGTGAACTTCCGGTCGCAATTCTCCTCCTGGCAGACGAAGGGCTTGACACCTAATGCGGAAAGGACATATCACCCGGAGGGGAGCCTTATCTAAGGCAAAAACTCACCCTGGTGGAAGCGCAGGTGCTGCCACAGATGGCTGGACTGGGTGTAGGACTTGCCGCAGATGTCGCACAGGTACTGGCGTAGTCGATTAGTGCCCGTGTTGCGGGTTTCCTTCTCGCGTTTCTTCTTGTTCAGGTGCTTCTCCTCATTGTGCGCCAGAATCTCGTTGGCGAACTCAAAGTTGACCTCACAGAACTCACAGGGCAACAGCAACTTCTTACCATTCTCGCTGAGACGCGGAAAGTAGTGGTAGGAGGTGTATCTAGAAGAGCCGAATAACCAAAAACTATCTGATTATTCTTCTGGATTAGAAGCCTATCCAATACCTTACCGATGCTCCTGCAGCAGGTCAGTGTTTGCGAACTTCAACTCGCACACGTTGCACACAAAGTGGCGGCTCAGCGTGACATTAAGCGACCAGTTCGACTCCCGCATGAAGATGCAGTCCGTCTGGAAGTGGATGCTGGCCTCCTTGGCCGTGTTCATCTGGATGTCGCAGGCGGTGCACTCGAAGCGACGCTCAGCCACATGGGAGGCCGAATGGACGAGCAGTTCCGCGATGTCGGCGAAGATATAATCGCAGAACTCGCACTGCAAAACGCTGCCCAGTATCAGACTGGTGAACAGTTCCTTCTCCAGTCGGTTGGCCTTTTGCTGCGTTGCTGTGGCTGTCGCTTGTCCTCCCAGCCACATCTCGTCATTTAGCAGGAGTTCCTTGATATCCGGTTTGGCCTGGAAGGATCGGGTCTCTGGTGAATTACACACACGTGGCTGCTCCGGAAAGTGAATGAGGCCGTGCTCCAAGGCAACTAGCGGATCATAGAAGATGCGGCCGCAGGCGTTGCACTTTTCCACGACATGCAGGCCGGCAGCCGGAACTGTATGCTGTTGCAAGCTGCTCTGCGAAGGGATCAGATCCAGGGCGTGCTTCTCCATGTGGCGCACCAATCCGGAAGCATGCACAAACTTGCGGTCGCACATGGTACACTCGTTGGGTCCCTTGACCGACTTTCGGTTCCGCGAGCTATCGATGCCAGTGGTCAAGTCGTACTTCATCTCATCCTTCATGTAGCGACGCAGGCGCACCTGATTCTCTAAGATAACTCGCTCGCTGATCGGTTTGCTGGGCGGAGGAGGAGGAGGAGGACATGGAGTCGGCTCAGGCAAGGTCTTCTCCTGCTGAGAAACTACCACTTCGACGGGTTTCCGTTCGACATCAAATTCGCAGGAATGGCTCTGGAAGGCGGTAGTATCGTATTGAACCAGACATTGGGGACACTTCACGCGACAGCCAGTGGTCCCAGATAAGTTGGAACGCGATCCTGAAGGAAGAAAAGAAACTGGAATTATTTTAATCGAAAAATACTCCAAGGGCTTACCATGAAACACCGACTGCTCGGTGGTCATCTTGCTGCTGGTGACTCCGGCCAAAAAGTCGCGAATCTTCAATTGCTCCGCCTGCGGATCGAAGCCCTTCTTGCCATCAGCCTCAAGCAGGATCTGCTTGAGAGCCGGATCCGCCAGTGTGCGCTCCACCACCACATCCGTGGGCATTTGGATGGCTGGCGAGGGCGCAACGGAAAAGAATCTGGACAGCTCCTCGTGGCTGACAATCTGCTCCAAGTCGCCCTCACCCTCGTTCGATGCCAGCACGGTGGCTCCGGGTTGCAGGTCTTCGGGAGTCAACTGCGTGTCCACATCCACCTCGATCTCAGCCAGCGTATATTCACCCGACACTTTGACCTTCATGGCTAATAGTTGCTCAAAGTGCAAAAATTTGGGAGAAATTTCAGCTTCACCACTTGTTTGAGCTTTCGAAAGGGATCCTAAAATATTTGTTCAGGTTGCACATGCGCAGTTTGCCAATGCGAAATAGATCAATTGATTTAACTTTTCCTAGCGCAAGAAAAATTTGTAATGAAATTTTCACGAAACGTTTCGGCTGCTGACAAGTAGGGAAATGAGATTGGCTTTCTCCGGCTCGAAAGTAAGTTGGCTAGTTTGACAGTAATCTCTATGACAAAGAACAACTCTATAGAGTTCCTAAACTTGCCTATTATATTCTTATCGGAAGCGCTGCCAATTAAGTTAATATAAGGAGTATGCCACTTTGAAATCAGATGTCTGCAAGAAAAGTTATGAGCCTAGAAGTGCAGTAATTTGACACTTTTCTGCAAAGCTATTTTTCGAAAATTTGGAAATCATAAAAATGACAAAAATTAAAATCGCTACGTTGCAAACATTCGAATGAAATTATAATATCATTAATAAACACTCTCCCCCTTTTTTAGATAACTTTAACATAGATAGTGTTTTATCTACATAACAGTATTGAAATTTTTAAACTGAATACTTGAATAACCCATAAAATACTTATATTATATAAGATCTCGAATCTTGAGTATCTTTGCATAACATATATTAATAGAAAAGTAAGCTTTATATCTGAATGTGTTTTCTCTTGGAATGCGATAGAGTCGTTTCCGCTTTTTGCGGACATTAGTCATTACTCAATTTTCTGGTTTTGGACTTACCAAACCTGCAAGGAACATGACAGGTAAAGCGCATATCGTATACCTTTACCAAAATGTAGTTTACGCCAATTGTTTATGTTTTCCTTTGGCTCAGTCTGTCGGAGTCGGCGTCGCTGGCCCAGGTGATTACTGGCCCCCAGTTATCAGTATTCGGTACCGCCGCTCCAGATAAGGCGCTTCGCGAAATGAGTAAACGCGGTGCCTAACATGACATACTGCCGCCGTTAATCAGTCCGACAAACAGCTCTGTGCCGTTCAAACGCCCGCCGATCCAATCCGTTCAATCTGTCCAGGATCTGCAGAATCCCTGGACACAGCTCCCCGGTGCACACGGTAATTGATACTTGACGATCCTTGCTGTCTGCTGCCTGCTGCCGATCTCGCTCTCCTCCTCCTCCACACGGGATTTGAATTATCCGGGTAACCTGGTGACTGGGGCTGCCGATGAGTCACCTCGGCGAAGGCCCACCGCGATCCGAATCCGAAATTGATAAAAACCCAAGTTGCGCCAGCAATTCTTATCTGCAAATTGGCTACTAGATAATGCCGCTGGGCATTGCGGACGCACGGCGGCTACGGGGAGAGATCCAAGACAAAGCCAGTGGGCGGCACCTCCTTTGCAGCCGTACTAACGCAGCTCCCAACTACGTATCCGCTTTTCCAGTGCCATGGAGGATCACACATACGCCTACATCTCCGAGCCCGTGGAGTTTCGGCAGCTGGAGGGCAAAGCCATAGACTTCCGCAAGACCTTTGATCTGCGGGGCCAGGGGGGCGACGAAATGCTCCAGTTGTACCTGCGGAAGGCCAACCTTTCCGACGACCTCGAGCGTTTGCCGGCTATCATGCGGCGCGCCTACGTCTATGACATAATTAGGAGCAATAAGGGTCCCGGCTACTGGGTGGTAATGTCCTGCAACAAAACTCCTCCAACAGCCGCATCAGCCTTAGAGTCCACGATGCACAGCCTTGTCCTGAACGCAGCCGTTTCTTTTCTTTCTAGCCTCCTTCCATGCAAGTGAGCACCGACGTCTTCGCCCATCCGCCGCCCGCTGTTCGTCCACCGCCTTCCTACGCCGACAACGTCAGCACAAACGCCAGTATCGACGGGATGAAGAGCTCCTCCTCCTCCAACAGCCTGGACAGGTATGCGGGCGCCCCGCCCTCTTTAGCCCTGGCGGGTCCCAGCTTCGCCACCAGCGTGTTGGTCAGCAACAAGGGTTCCAAGTACGAGATCAGCGGACCAGTCAACTTCCAGCACGTTTCAGGCGATGTGTTGCGTGATCGAACGCGAAACGCCTTCGACCTGAACGCCGACTCCAAAGACAAGGTGTTAAAGAAGTACATGATGGAGCGGGGTATCACGGAGGAGGACATAAGCGGCATGCGACGCCAAGATGTGATCAAGAAGATTGTGCACTCCAATTTTACATGGATGGTAAGTGCTTTAAATCGAGCAGAATCGTGTAATGCTTATTTTTCCTCCTTAGCCATCAAAGAGTGATATGCATGCGAAGCCGCAGGCTCAGGAGCCGGACAGGCCGCTGCTCTATGCAACCATTTCCACCAACAACACAATTACTCCTCCGCCCTCACCTCCGCCGCCTTCAATGGTCACTGCTTCAAAGCCAGCGGTTGCTCCAAACTTCTCCAACTATGCCTCGCTCACATCGCGGTTTGTGGATATATCTGACTTGGATTTACCTGGACCAGCACCGGCTGCTCCGACGCATTCTAATGTTAGACAGCAGGAGGTGGGTTCAGTGATTCCCGTCCAGGTCCAACCGCAGGCAAACAGGCCGAAAGTTCCTCCGCCTCCGTCGGCGGTCATGGCTAGGAACACACATGGCTATCCGGCGGCCATTGACATTAGCCAAGTACGGCCCTCGGCTCAGCCCAAGGTTTCCAATGAAACATATGCAACTATAGCGCCGCAGCGAAAGGCGGGTACCATGCGTATTCCACCGCCAGCGCCTCCGAAACCAACGATAGTGCCCAATACCAACTCGACATCTTCCATGGGATCGCTTTATGCCGTGTCTACGGTGCAGCATGCGCCAGTTGTCAAGCCTCCGCCACCTGCTCCTCCAGCCAAGCCAACTTCTAGGGTTCCATCTGACTATGCTTCACCGCCGACAGTGCAGAATACAAAGATTAATAGCGGTCAGGCGCCAGTTCCTCCACCGCCCCCACCAGTAGCATCTGCAGGAGTACCTCCACCCCCGCCTCCAATGCCAGTTGCCGTTGCAGGAGGAGCACCACCTCCACCGCCGCCTCCGCCAGCTGGCATGGCAGGGGTTCCTCCACCACCTCCAATGCAGAAGTCGCCACCCCAGGCTGCTCCGGCTGCCTCCTCCGGCGGAGACCCGAGTGATGCATTCCTGGCCAGTATACGACAGGGAGTAACATTGAAGGTATTATATATAAAGCACTTTCTTACCAGAAAACTTAATCGTATTCCAATTCTTATAGAAAGTGGATCAGAAGGCGGCCACCATAAGCGGTATTAAACCGCGTCCAGAACGAAAACCAGCAACCACCGATTTCCTAAGTGAGCTAAAGCTGGGAATAACTCTAAGGCGGGTCAAAAACCCAGCGGATAATCCCTATTCCGAGGAATCGGAATCGCAGGCGTAACGGTTAAACTTATGACTGCGCTCCACTTTACAACACTGAACCGAGCTGCCAGACTGGGAAAATCTGCCTTAATTTAAAAATCCGCAAAAATACTTTTAATTTAATATTAATCACCATGACAAATGCACCCAAAACGTTTGTAAATAAACTTGTTTTCGCTAGATATGATATGGCTTATCAATGGGGCTAGTAATCAACCCATAAGAAATTCGATTTGGTTCTGATACAAATTTAAACACCGTGTTTACTCGCAAAAGTGAACATTAAACCAGAGGGTGTTTACTGTTTCAATCTTGACACTGTGATGAATACGAAAAAATAAAACTTTTTTAAAACAATTAGAGGTATGTATGTCATTATTCATGTTGTTTACTCTCCTGTGAGGTTTCCATAATCAAGAGTTCACTTTGTAGACAGAGCACTGTGTATCTGTTTGGCTGCGCGTGTGAGAGAGACAGTTTAAATCAGCCGGTGAGGTGAGAATGCGAGGCAATCGCTGGAATCACTTCTCATTTGGACCTTTGATAGATAAGTAGCATTTGCAGCACAGGTGAGACTGCACTTTAGCACACCTGGGGTGGAACTAACGTATTATTTGAACAGGAAACAAGAAACAGCCATTATGCAACGCATTGCTATCATTGGAGGAACCGGCATGACCGGCGAGTGTGCCGTGGATCACGCCCTGGAGAAGGGTAAGTCCCCCGCAGATCAGAAACAGTTTAATAAACCCCTCTATTTGGCAGGTCTCACGGTGAAACTTCTTTATCGCAGCGAGAAAACCGTTCCAGAGCGATTCAAGTCCAAAGTAGAACTGGTCAAGGGTGATGTGACCAACTACGAGGATGTGAAAAGCCTGATCGAGGGCGTTGGGGCGGTGGCTGTCATTTTGGGCACCCGCAACAAGCTGGAGGCCACCACGGAGCTCTCCCGCGGTACCGAGAACCTGATCAAAGCCATGAAGGAGGCGAAGCTCTCAAAGTTCTCTATCGTCATGTCCTCGTTCCTGTTGCGTTCGCTCCAGGAGGTGCCGGCTGTGTTCCACCGCCTGAATGAGGAGCACCAGCGCATGCTGGACCTGACCAAGGCCTCTGGATTGGACTGGATTGCCATCCTGCCGCCGCACATCGCCGATGAGCCGGCCACAGGCTACACCGTGGTGCACGACGAGGCCCCAGGCCGCCTGGTATCCAAGTACGATCTGGGAAAGTTCATTATCGACAGCCTGGAGCAGCCGGAGCACTACGGCAAGGTGTGCGGCATTGGCAAGAGTACCAAAAGTGCCTAGAGCAATCCATCGTCCAATCTAATTGTGACCAATTGCAGTTGATCATTTGAGTCGTACAAATAATAATATAATTGATATTTCGCCAAACGTCTACATACCCGTATGTAATGTGAGCTCACAATAAACTTTCCATTTTAGAGAACACGAATTTAATTGCAATTACGTGCACAATCGCTTTGGCATCGGCCACCAAAATTTCGCCACATTAGCACCTGTCGCGACAAACGTCAGGCAGGTATTTAAAATATGTGTAACCATAAAAGATCACCGTGCCCCAGTCAAGCCGGCAAAGATCAACAGCTTCCGCTTTCGGAGAGGCGTACACCGCACCCTAGTCTATGCCTCTTACTATAACTATAGCCCCGTCGGGAGAGATCCGTCGCATTGTTGGCAGCGGAGAGCGATCTCTGTGTGCCTTACATCACTGTGAGTTATTTCTGTAACACAAACATGACGCTCGCTGGGCGGGCATTAACCATTTGGGCACCAGGCCCCCGTCAAATTTGGCTGCGCAAAAATAACATCAATTTATAGACGTCGCCATCGCCGTGCACTTGAACTTGTCATCTGCGGCGAGGTGGACGCTTGGATGAATCGCACGCTCATTCTGCCAGACAGGCGTTTCCGCCGTCACCGCTTCCGCCCAGGAACAACCAATGGGAACTTACATTTCTACACGTTTTATTGGAAGTTATTGCCCTCGTTAAGTGCTTAATGCTAAGGCTGGATATGTCTATATGCTATGTTTCGTTGGAAGATACTTGAGCTTGTTATTATCATCATCGCAGGCAGGTAAATTTTCTTCTAGGAGCAATTATGCACACGCTTGAGCAAAATCATAACAAATAAGAATAGCTAAACATAGTTAAGATTAGGTTAACATTAGCCTTATACATGTACCAAACAGACCGGGGGTCACCTTTGTCATACAAAAAGAACCAAAAAGTTTAAAAAATACATGCGGAAAGTAATATTGAAAAATCAACACAAGCGTTTGGTGAATGTTTGCTTATCGGTGTAATGGAATCAAAAGCTGTAGCTGCTCCTTAGGTCGCCTGGGGAACGTGGCACTCATCCCTGCATTTGGCAGAGTGCCTGGCGTCCACAGGTTATGGCTTTGAGCAGCTGCTGGCAGGTAAACCCGTAAAGAATTTCAAGCGTTTGCCAATTTGACTAGTTCACTGCCACTCTCTGATCGGACTCGGCATGGCCCAATTTGGCTAAGCCCACTACTACTGGCGTTGACGTCTATAAGACCTTTTTCATGTATTTCTTTTTGGCATTTTGCAGACTGGGGAGCTCGCAGTGACGTGGACCGTACATGGTGACGGGTGCGCAGTACTCGTAGCCGATGCGCTCGTAGAATCCATCCTGGTCAATTGTGGACAGATAGATGGTCTTAAGGTCCAGCACCACGCGGCAATAGTCCTCGGCGAACTTCATAATCAGCTTGCCAAATCCTTGGCCGCGATGGCGCTTGTCCACCACCACGGACTCTACGAAGCAGGCCTTCTTCTTCGAGGTAATCGGACTGAGCTTTAGGTGGGCGATCACGCGGCACATGCCCTCGGTGGTCAGCACCAGGCTGCAGGGCAATGTGTCGCAAGATGCCTCCAGGGAGCGCATGCGCGCCGTTTCAGATCGGGGCCACTCGGCGTTGATCAGGGCGCAGGTGTCCTTCATCAGCTCCGGGTAGTTGTGGATGGGCACGACATTGAACGGACTGCCGCTGACATTGAATGGTGGAAGCCCCTGCAAATGGTACACGGTTAGTTTATTTGATTTAAGGGTTCAGTTTAAAGGCTGGAAGAGATTGGTTTGCTGATCGTTTACTTCATAGTACGGCTCCGGCTTAATGTAGCGCATATCGCTGAAACTGACTGAAGCTCGGATCTGGAAGGGATCCGCTTAAGCCTATAAAGTGTGCGACAATCTAGAAGAGAATAGAATTGAGTCGTTTCGGAACCGAGATCATCATGACCAGTGTTGGTTGTATGCGTAGCTATTTATGCCTAGGTACAATTTTAGATTACTTCTTAGCCCGCTCTATGTAAGAAAATTAATTTAGAATTATCCGTTTGTACTTACGTAATATTTTTATTGCTTTTGTTAGGAATTGTTTTTAATTTTTCTGACTTTGTTTTTACTTAAAATATGCAAATGATTTTTTAAATAAGTAGTTTAAATAAATAGTTGTTTAAATATTAAATGCGGACAACATGTTCACTATAGTTATGTAGTTCCTAAAATATTAATATTACCCTTTACCTGGAGAGGTATATAATCATTTTTTTATTTAACTAGATTGTACCCTACCTAGGCTCCAAATGCTAGTAGCTTCCCCAACACTGATCCTGGCACACAGAACAAATAGACGCTTATTTACACGGGAGATTCAAGATATCTCAGGCGGAATAAACAAAGATTGGCAGCCATGGAAACAGCACAGACATACACGCACGAATATATAGTGGAAAATCAAGGTGAGGCGTAAAAAAAAGAACGTATGTGCGCCTGGCCGAGAATCGAACGACCTTGACTCGCCGCCTACAAAGCGTATATACACTACTCATAAGTATGTACACGGATGAGTGGGTGGTATGCGGTTGATTCTAGGAGGCATCTATGTGTGGACAATGGGTTCACCATTGGTTTGGTAACTGGTGTTACCGATGATGTGTGGTTACCATTGCGAGAGCTTTGCGCTGCTGGGCCACTGATTCCCGTGCGCCACGACGAAGTGAACAGAACGAACTGATATGGTTCCCAATATTGAGGCGACGTCTCAAAAGAAATGGCCCGATTCGCTTAATAATTTGACTCTTTTGTGTTTGTGTATGTGTCGGCTGCTTCGTTTCGACTGCGCGCCCGGAAAATTGAATATCAGTTTGATTTAAAACGGAATTTGTTTATTTTTAAACTTTTTCGCATACGCTGCCGCAGCTGCTTCTTCTTCTCCGCCCCAAACACAAGGCTGCCACCTGGCGTTGCGGCCAGTGTTGGCAAGCCAGCGGAAAAGTGCTGTAAGCCGCGCGCAGTTGGCCAAGCGAAAATAACAACAAAATGGTTTTTTTACCAAGCGCCAGGCAAAATCACCACAAGAAAACACAATAAAAGTACAATATAAAGGACAACAAAGCGGCCAAACACTTACAGTATTAGCGTGGAGTCTGTAGAGTGGGAGCAGCGTACGCCACAGCCTGTTAAATTAATTATTACACAACAAATAAATCAAAAAAGTGCCACCGACAGTTTCCAATTGGCAGCGTGCAGCCGAAAATAGCTTGTAAACAAACCGATCGGAATAGGAATAGGAAAGAAGCGCTCTCAGCGTCATTGACCCAGAAATTAGCCGCTGTCATTGCCAAACGAGAATACATATAGCTACTTCCCTTATTCACATCCCACCGAAGAGCACGTGCATCCACATTCACAATGGCCAGCCGGCAGATGACCAACGACCACCTGCGCCTCTCCTGGCACGACACTCAGATGATGGCCACCCTGAGCCCGCAGAGCGTCATGGACTACTTCTGCCGCAAGTCTAATCCTTTCTACGACCACATGTGCAACAACGAGACCGTTCGGATGCAGCGCTTGGGTCCAGAGCACCTGCAGTAAGCTTATCTGTCATCAAATCCAATGAACACTAATCCCTATTTCTCCTCCAGCAACATGATCGGCCTGGAGTACATTCTACTCCATGTGGCAGAGCCTATTCTCTATGTGATCCGAAAACAGCACCGGCACAATCCCTCGGAGGCCACTCCCATAGCCGACTACTATATCATTGGAGGCACTGTCTACAAGGCGCCCGATCTAGCCAACGTCATCAATGCCCGAATAGTAGGTATACTTCCATGGATGACCGCCATCTGATTAATCGTTTTGTTTCCAGCTCAACACCGTGGTGAATCTGCAATCCGCCTTTGAGGAGGCCAGCAGCTATGCTCGCTATCATCCCAACAAAGGCTACACCTGGGACTTCTCCTCCAACAAAGTTTGTACGTAGATTACCCTAGTTGTTAAAATATGATCTAATTGTTTAAATTACAGTATCCGACAAATCCAAGTCAGACAAGAAGGACGCCAATTCGGCGAAGGATGAAAACAGCGGAACTTTGTTCCAGAAGCAGCGTGTAGACATGCTTCTGGCCGAACTACTGCGGAAATTTCCCCCACCCATACCGCCAATGCTGCAGAACCTGCAGCAGCCCCCGCCGGCTGGCGATGAGTTGAACGCTGCAGGAAACGCCTCTGAAATGAATAGTGCCACGGGACCACTGGACATCAAAACAGAGGGTGTGGACATGAAGCCACCGCCCGAAAAGAAGAGCAAGTGATTATGTTAATGTGCATTTAAACTGGTAGAGATTAAAGTACATTAAACTTAGACCTAGACTAGGCTACACACGAATCATTTGATTTTATCCTTGGCACTCTGTGCTTCTCCGCCAGTCAACTCCAGATGCTGGCTCTTTGCGTGCACGGTCAGGCTGTGGTTGGTAAACTCGAGTATGCTCTTGAAGGATTGCTTACAGATGTGACAGGGCACAGTCTTAGTGGGAGTACGGTAAACGCCGGCATGCGCTACGTTCTTAGGAACCTTCTTTATGGACGGTGGAGCCATGGATGGGGCCACTTTCGAGGAAGCTATGGAATCAGAAGACATGTATTAATTAGAAACGGCTAAGAGATGTAATTTGCGCTTAACCCAATAAACCTTTAAACCCAAAATTAACTCTCTATTATAATGTTTTGTTATCAATATTTACATTAATAGTTGAGAATCCCTTAATCGTTGTGCTTACTGGATTAAACAAAATCTTACCCAGTCTCGGAATCGTGCTCATGCGGTGCTGGGGCTTCTGTGTCACAGGCGCTGTTGCGGCAATCACACTGGCAGCACCGATCTTGGGCAGCTGGGCCTTCTTCTCGTGGTTCAGTTCGGTAAACTGCAGCTTGCGCTTCTCACCCGGAGGTATCTTGTCGCAATTCTGCATCAGGTGGATGTGCAGGGCGCGCTCTATAGCGAAGTTCTTGTCGCAAAACTTACAGCGATTCTTTGAACCAGCCGCCCCAGCTGGATTGGTGTTCAGACGCTTCAAAGTCTTGGTTCCGTTGTCCGAGTCTGGAATGCTTTTGAATGGCGGTTTGGCCAGTTTGGGTGCAATTTTCGGGGGCGAACGGCTGCTGGTCACAGCGAGCGATTTGCGATTGATACCCTTTGTCAGCTTAGAAACGGGCAAACAGCTCCGGCGGCTCACTGCTAGGCCGCCGCCTGCACTCAGCTTGCGGGCAGGACTATTAAGAGTGGTCTTGACCACAACAGACATGCGCTGCTTGAAAGAATAGGTGCGGGTCTCAGCACTGGTAGTAGGCAGAAACGAGCGACGTGGGCGTGGCAAGGCCCCCGAATTAGTGGAGCTTATAGACTGCCTCTTCTTGCCCACCTCTACTTTAAATTTTGAGGACGATGTCTTCACAGAGTCGCCAGAGATTTTGAGTGCTTTGGCAATCAGCTCGGAGACTTCGCTTACCACCTCGGTGACCTGGGCTACCTCCTTCTCAGCTAAGGGTGAGGCCAGCATGGACACTCCTTCATTGGACACTACGAAGAAAAGTCGGTAAAGAACGGTTCACTCCTTTAAGGGTATAAGCAAACCTTCAGTTATGTTCTCCAAAACGACGTTGGCACTCAAAGGATAGACTTGGCTTGAAGCTTGGGGTTTGGGAGCCTCCTGCATGGAGACATCATCCATGGTGGCGTCCTCGGTTTTCAGGGTGTTGGCCTTCACCGTGTTGGCGGTCAGGTCGACGGAACTGGAGAGCGTTGAGTTTTCGCCGCCAGCATGGTTATCTCCATCAGGCTGGGTGTTCTCTTTGTCTTCCACATTAGTCAAGTCCATGGTCATCATCTGTGGAATCGTCTGTGCCTGAGTGTTGTCCTTGGAGGGAGTGGAGCACAAGGCGTTGTGCAAGTTGAGAATACTCTTGTCAAAGGGGCGCAGCGGAGAGTTCTGGTCCGGTTCCCCGATGGTCAGCTGTTGCAGATCCTTCAGAACGGTGCGCCTGAAGTCCTTGTCTTCCGGGCCCCTCTCCACATTGACCTCCATCTTGCTGGTCTGCACCTCCAAGTACTGACTGCTCTGGGAGACCATTGCGGACTGCCACTTGCTGGACAAAGTGTCGTCCGCATCGAAGGATAAGTACATTGTGACGCTTTCATCGTTGGTTGCCATCGATGAGCGGCGGGAATCCATCTGCATCAGAAATTAAGTGTTACTATTACCAACGGAATCAGAAGCAGACAAATCCATTCCGGAAAAATGGACTAAAACCACTTTGTACTTGCCTTTCCCGCCATCGATCTACGCGAATCGTCCATGGCTGTTTATGCGGTTTACCCAATTGGCCACGCGAAAGTTAATAAGAAATAAATACTAGCAATTATTAATAAAATTTAAAAGAGGAGCAGCTGAAGACCGACGCTGTACCAGAAAAAAACAAAGCGTTAATATTTCAAAAACACTTTTCAACACTGCGCGCGCAATGAAGAACGCACGGCGTCGCAATAAATTTGTGGCCTCGAAGTGAAAAACTTTTTACTGCACAAGAAATGATGTTGCAAAGTGAAAAAATTAAGTTAAATAAAGTCTGATTTATTTATTATTTAACGACTTTTGGCGTTATAGTTACTTGATCAGAAATACTTCTAACATATACATAAATAGAATTCAATTTTTAAGCACAGTTTCGAACCATGGTAAATGGTTAAATTAAATTTGGCATCTGGTTACACAGATATGCGTACCAAATTTGAGAAATATAAACTTTTTTTTACATGACTATGCCAATTAAAATAAATAAATATATTTTATTTATATTATCAAGACTTAATTATAACAAACAATTTAAGCTATGCACCCGGTAAAAAGGGTTGCCAAGGTCCGCACACGAAGTTTCTTATACGCCTTGCCACCGCCACGGTCACTCTAATTCTTATATGTATACAAATTGGCATTGTGCTGTGTGAAAAATCCAATTTTTTGCGAAGAAATTATTACGACCTTTGAATTAAGTTTTTACTTAACGAACTTAGCCCCGCCCCAATTACATATCTACCGTAGTCTCACACTGAATCAGCTCAAAAAGTCGCATCACGTTTTGCGACTGTGAGTCACTGGCCAGATTTCCCCACCCAAAAATACAACAAGACAAACGTCTTGCCTCGCAACCACTTGCTAAGTGCACAAGTCATCTCACCAAATAGTCTGGAAATGGCCGAAGTGGAGAATGCTGAGCCTCGCACGGAGCTGCAGGAGCTGCAGTTCAAGTCCGGCCAGGTGGCCGATGAATCCCTGGAGAGCACGCGTCGGATGCTCAGCCTGATGGACGAGAGCAAGGAGGCGGGCATCCGTACCCTTGTGGCCCTGGATGACCAGGGCGAGCAGCTGGACCGGATTGAGGAGGGCATGGACCGGATCAATGCGGACATGCGGGAGGCAGAGAAGAATCTCAGTGGGATGGAGAAGTGCTGCGGCATCTGCGTGCTGCCCTGGAAGAAGGTAAACATCAAGGACGACGGAGAGAACGCCTGGAAGGCCAACGATGATGGCAAGATCGTGGCCAGCCAGCCGCAGCGGGTTATCGACGAGCGGGAGCGCAGCGGAATGGGTGCTCCACCCCAATCCGGCTATGTGGCCAGGATAACAAACGATGCACGCGAGGACGAAATGGACGAGAACCTGGGACAGGTCAACTCCATGTTGGGTAACCTGCGCAACATGGCCCTGGATATGGGCTCCGAGCTGGAGAATCAGAACAAGCAGGTGGACCGCATCAACGCCAAGGGCGATGCCAACAACATTCGCATGGACGGCGTCAACAAGCGCGCCAACAACCTGCTCAAGAGTTAAATATGCACAAATGCCATGTGCCGTCATGCCAGTAGTGAACACGATATCCAATTCACCTTCACTTCTATCTTGTTAGGGGAACTATCCAATGTTCTGGGCACAAACCTTAGCAGGTGGTATTCCGTTATTTATACCATATATTATATACATATACAAGTAGCCACCAGTAAACTCCTGGCAAACGTAACAAACCGATTTACTTACAAGCACTTCGAGCCGGATGAGCTAACTACTTTCTAAAATTATATATATGCGATCCAACATGCTAACTACTTACTATAACTACACTCGTGTACAAATGGCAACCACAAAAGGTTACCGTAAACAATTTTATTATGAGATTTATCGTATGATGTAGTCTGTATTTGGTACAAACTTTTTGAGCATTTTACCGAACTTTGTGAAATCAAACCAAAACTTTAGCAACTGCTGAGTTTGATATGTGTGTGAATTGTTGCATTTACAATTCGAAAAACCACCGCAACCGCCGGTCATCAACAACTAAACAAATATGGGTGGTAACATATCGTAGCCAATTTTATGTTCTCCATTGTTAACCCTTTTTAAGTAGGCCATTGTAATCGGGCATTTCGTAAGCCCAGCAGTCCAAGCACCGATTCTTTTGAATTACTCTAAATTTGAACCAGAACCTATTGCTTTATATTTATACTTAATCCCCAGTGAATGTAACCAAACGAGTTTCGTAGCTGTAGCTTAAGAAAATGAAATTGTTGATTGAAATAATCCCAAATATTTAAGAAACTACCTGTTTGTGCGCAAGATAATTCTCGTTAACTATTATATGTATTACGGACGAGTATAGCCAATTGATTAGATAACTTATTTATCGCTACTATTGCCACTTTAGCTTACATTATTAGCTCTTAAATTGCAATTATTTAAAAATAAATTAATTCACCAGCTAAACGGGTTTATGGATTTATTGCACTTTACAAAAGATTAAGATTAACTGAGAATTTTAGGCCACTCGAAAGTAGTTGCTCGTTGCTATGTAGCCGCTGAAGTCTTCGTCGCAATCTTCAGCCTGAGTGAACTCGATTTCCGGAGCTGCCTCGACAGGAATGTACACAATGCTGCCACGCGTCACTACGATCTCCTTGTCTCCCTGCTGGGTTTTCAACTTTAGGGTGCGTGATCCCTTCAAGACAATTAGTATGGAGCCAAAGGCTTGGATTTCCAGTTTGTACGATTCCAGAGAGTGGTCAATGTTCACATTAATCACTGCAAAATCGGAGACTGGCGGAATATAAACCTGGACCTGCTCATCAATACGATAGGGGATAAATTCCTTGCGGTTGCCTTGAGCGCTCTCAAAGATTACAGAGTCCAGCAGCTGTTCCACGTCCTTGTATTTAGGAGTGAGTCCAGCACGTATCACATTGTCTGAGCAGGCCATGCACTCCACGCAGTCGCCGTCGAGGTAGGCATGGATCTCGTTGGCGCCCAGGTAGATAGCCTGGCCAGGCTGCAGGCGGATCAGGTTCAGGAAGAATAGTGACAGCACGCCCACATCGCCAGGGAAGTCCTTGTTCACCTTGGTGAACACCTCCAGCAGATCGTTGGACTTTAGTTCTATTATTAAAGGTGGTTTAGAGAGATTTGTAAGCTTATTATTTACTAGATTACCTCACCCTTCTCGTAATTTTTTGCTATCTCATTGATGCACTTGGCTATGGCCGCCTCCTCAGTCGTCATCAGCTTCTCGTAGCACAGCTTAATGCTCTCACCATTGGGTGAGTCGTGAAGTTGGTCGACAGCCTCCTTACCTATGAGTTTACTAAGTGGTTGGAACTCGTCGATGTAATCCCGGATGTCCACGGCCGGCATAAATCCAACCAGAGCCAGAAAGGGCGTCAAGGCAATGGCCAGTTCCGGCTTGTGGTTGGGATCCTTGTAGATTTCCGGGCGCTCCTTATGCAACCGCTCCGCTTCGCACTTGTTTGGATGGACCTGGATACTGAGCGCCTTGTTGATGCTGAGCACCTTGAACAGGTAGGACAGGTCCTTTTTCAGAACCCGGTCGAGCGTCTCGCCGGTTTCCTTGACCACTGACACGCCACACACATGGGTGCCCATCCACATCTCCGCGTAGGTCTCCTCCTCTTCTAGCCGGAAGTCAGGATCGTTGGCCATAGCCAGTTGGGCCACCGCCGAGTTGATGCCCTTGCGGCCCCATTCGTAGTTCTTAACCCATCCAGTCAGCTCCATTGTTCAGCACTGTTTCCCTTATAAATTCTTTAGTTCGACTGAAGCGGAGGTCAACCTGAAGGTGATAAGAAAACATATGATTGCGGTGGTTGTGACTGAGTGGGAGGTTTGCGGTTGTAAGTACACATCTGCCGGAGTTTTGTGGGATGCGCATGCGGCGCAATCTTCAATTGCCGGTTAATCACACCTTACAAAATAGATAACAGCCTGTGGGAATTTTTAATTTGGATTTTTCTGCCAAAAAAAGTAAGGTGTTTCCACTACATTTAATTTAAATATCGCTTTCGCGCTAGAGATGGGAAAAGTATTCATAGTCACGAATCGCAAAGGAATTTATTTTTTCAATTGTTTTTCAAAATTTGTTTTGGAGCTCTTAATAATGAGATTACATATTACAAGCGAGCTAAGTGGAACATTTTTTGAAAAAAAATACATCTAAGCTTGATTAATGCATTATATTTGAAGTCAAAATAATATCCATTAGAGTTTTATTAGAAAATATATATACTTATAGCTAACTTAATCCGAAATCATGTTTCTCCAAATTAAAAGTTAACACTAAATGCAACAATCACATTCTTAAGAGAAACATATTAACTAGACAAGTTTAATTCATTTGGCGCCACTCTCAAAACTCAAAATGATAAATGATAGGGCAAGAAAGAAATTAGATTTTTTAACTTTCTTTAAAAAAATGAAAAAATCCTGGAATATGCCATTATAAGCAAGAAGAATATATAAAAAATGTTTCGTTTGATTTTTATTTTTATTTTTTACAAACTATTTTTTTTTGTTTTAATAACAGTTTAAAGTATGTTAGGTTTTGTCATTTGGTTTTTAAACTTTCGCTATCATCTATTTTGTCAATAACCTGTTTCAAACAGTCCTTGGTCGATGTCTTTTCCAAATCGCAGATGCGTGTTAGGTCCATTGTTGCGATCTGCTCGATCATTTCCTTGATCTTCTCCTGCTTAATGATGGACTTAACAGACTGCCGTATTCCTGGTCGTCCGCTGTGTGTCCCTGGGATTTTTATCGTCTGCTCGGCGGAGTCGTTTTCGATTTGTTTTCCTTTAGCGCGATAGTGTTGCTCGATAATCTTTCGTATTTTCAGCTTGGTGGCTGCACGCGATTTTTTGGTCGCCTGACCCATGGCGAGGGTTCGCAGCTCCTGGAAGTTTATCTCTTTCACGGGCGTCTCGATGGCCTCTACTTCAGCTTCTGGCTCAATATTCGTATCCAGCTCTAAGGACAATTCCTCCACAGTCGCCACAATGCCATCATCATCATCCAGATCCACTTGTAAGGTCGGTTTCATTTTTGGTTCCTCTCGTACCTTTGGAATATCTTCCACAGGCGACAAGGGAGTTACTTTCTCAACTGCAGGTGCGGTAGGTTTTGTCTTTTTTTCCTTTGCTTTTGGTTTTTCTTTCGGAGGCACCGACCTTTTTTTAAGAATTCCAATGCAAGGCTTCGTTTTGATTCGCACCGGTAGCAAAGAGTTGTACTGGATGCCAATACTGTTGAAACAGTCGACAAACTCCAGGATATCGAACTCGTTTTGAAGCGATGCCCACAGCTCTGTGTTCTGCTTGTTTTTCGCCTCCACCAAGAGATGGGTGTACATTTCCAAATCTACTTGGGTGTAGTTCATTGCCTCATCCTTGCTGTAGGTCCACTCATCGTGTATTTCCATGAAACGCGATACCCCACTTTGGGCGGCTAAATTGGAAATATGCACGGAAACGTTCGGAGAGCCAGCCTCTAAGCGATGCAAGCGGGAAAGGGCCGCTCCACCCGGATAGTTGGTGCCCGAAATGACAAGCAAAAAGACAGTCATGAAGACATTCAACAGAAGATGAGCTCCGCAGCCGAGAGCCAGGAAGCTATGCCACGTTGACTTGGCACTGTTCATCCAACTAAACAGAGGAACATATCATTCAATGATGTAGCTCTTTTGATGAGCAATCCATATATAACTTACATGCGCTGGCAGGCGCAAGCTGCGGCAATGTTGAGCACTGGGAACACATATATGATAAACCGAAGCTCCTTGTGAGGCAGAACGGAGTACAGCAAGACAAAGAGCAAAGCCGACAGAGCCAATGGACGAATCCGTGGCTCCAGAGTTATGCCGATGGGCACAAACATCAAGGATGCGCCCATGGCACGGGGCAGCGCCGAGTAAAAGTACCATAAGAAAGGCGACGTGCCCCAGTCGGAGCTCTTGTTGAGGATTGTGTTGTACCATAGAACCTCGCCTTCGGGCCAGAGCAGGCGGCGCCAAAAGAATGAATCCACTAACACCGTGGCGGCCAAAATACAAACACCCGCCGGCAGCGCAATCTTCAGCAGCCTATAAATAAACAAATTAGTATTAAATAGTATGTGAATAGATCGATCAACTCACCCATCAATGGAGAATTTGCGCTGCAGCAGGCTCATTACCAGCAAGAGACCCAAAAATAGAGCCAACTCGGATCGAAAGACGAGGATGGCTATGCCAGAGCAGATGATGAATGGCTTGTGCTGGTCGCGCAGCCAATAGGAAATGGCAAAAAGAACTGAAAATATCAAAATATCAGATATTGTAAATAAACCACTGCTTACACTTACCTATTGGGAGGGCAAATATGTTGGGCAGAGGCCTCGTCATATAGAACATGAAGTGGAACTGCGTAATGGTTATGGCTGTGAACCAAAGGCGCACCTCAACGCCGTAAATCTTGGTCACCGCCTGCCGCAGTTTATTCCAGGCCACGGAGATGGCTCCAGCCAGGACAAGGCGCACTTTAAGATCAAGTTTGTTTTAGTACTGGCGACTTTGCAGTTGAAGAGTTGCTTTTACCTACATATTGGGCCCAGAACTTGTTGACATTCAGAGTCTCAAAGAGGAGTACGAATGGGGCGGAGATCATGGACACCACCAGCGGTCCGATGAAGGTGCGTGGCACGACGCCCGGGTAGTCGTGGTGATCGTACTAAAGAGCAGGAAGAGATAAAGAGATCCGACTAGTGAGATAACATCAGATTTGGGGAACTTATTCTGCCTACCTGCGTAAAGTTGTTGCGCAGATACAGAATGTCGTGCATGGCCTGCAGATTGAAGCTCTCCTCAACCTTCGTAAAGGGCGTGTAGACCAGATAGGCCGCCGCCGTCAGAAACACCAGAATGTCCATGGTGGTCCGGCCGTTGGTTGACGCTAGTCTAATAAATATGCTGGAGCAGGAATCGGTCCGTTACATAATTGCCATATTTGTTTTGACACCGATTTCTATAATTTCTTAGCCGTTGAAAAATCTATATGTCTTGTCTGGTTGGTGCAATCTATCATCGAATTCTCAATCCCAGCCGGCGTTGCACAACGTTGGTATTTAGCAGCCTTTCTTTGAAAAAATGTTTAACAGTCTCACAGAAGGTGCTAATGTTTAAGCATATATGTATATGTCCTATTGCGAAGAGAATATTTGGTTCCAAAATAAACCAAAATAGATATATAAATAGATCGCTCCACGTCGGATCGGAGGCTGAAAAGCAAACACAACAAAATCAAGAGCAAGAAAAACAACAGGTCCGCACCACAGCTGATTGCCATTCCCATTGAAGCGCAGACAGAAGGTGGTAAAACAGGGGAATATGATAAATTTGGAATCCTTCGTGGTGAATAATTATCTACATCTGCTTTTCAGTCAATTTAAACTCTTTATCGCTTTTAATTTTATTAGAATATATTGAACAGTTTTTCAATCACTCTATCCCTTAAAATTTATTCTGACTACGCCCTTGTCACATGGGCTTTCCAACTTTTGCCATTCTCAGCGCTAGTTAACTGTTATCGATAACAGCCCAACTTCCCTTTGATTTAGCTTTTGAAAATTCAAGTCATCCTTCTTTTTTTCAAACCTTCGAGGCGATATGACGAAAATGCGCCTGTTAAAGGAGGAAATCGCCCTGTTCCATCAGAAGTCAACACAAAAATACGAGGGGCTAGACGAACACGACCTCTATGTCCTGTACAAGAAGCTCCAGATGGAACTGGAGCTCATCCAGGTACAGGAGGATTACATTAAAGAGGAGCAGCGCAACTTAAAGAAGGAGTTCATACACGCTCAGGAAGAAGTAAAGCGCATTAAGGCCGTTCCCCTGGTCATTGGCCAGTTCTTGGAGGCGGTGGACGAGAAAAATGGAATAGTGGCCTCAACCACCGGCTCCAATTACTACGTCCGCGTCCTGTCCACCATTGATAGAGAGCAGCTGAAGCCCTCCTCGTCGGTGGCACTTCACAAGCAGAGTAACTGCCTTGTGGACCTGGTGCCACCGGAGGCAGACAGTACCATTTCGATGCTATCACCGGATGAGAGGCCCGATGTCAACTACTCTGATATCGGTGGTCTTGACATGCAGAAGCAGGAGATTCGCGAGGCCGTCGAGCTGCCTTTGACGCACGCCCAGCTGTACAAACAGATTGGTATGTTAACTGAATATATAAAGGAGCTCCTGACTAATCTGAACCGCTCTTCAGGTATTGATCCGCCGCGTGGTGTGCTCCTTTTTGGACCACCTGGATGTGGTAAGACCATGCTGGCCAAAGCGGTGGCCCATCACACCACTGCCTCATTCATCCGCGTTGTTGGCTCTGAGTTTGTCCAGAAGTACCTGGGCGAGGGACCGCGCATGGTGCGGGATCTCTTCCGCTTGGCCAAACAGAATGCTCCTTCGGTCATCTTCATCGATGAAATCGATGCGATTGCCACCAAGCGTTTTGATGCCCAGACTGGTGCGGATCGTGAGGTGCAGCGTATCCTGCTGGAGCTGCTTAATCAAATGGACGGCTTCGATGAGACCACAAACATTAAAGTCATCATGGCCACCAATCGCGCTGATACCTTAGATCCCGCTCTATTGCGTCCCGGTCGTCTAGATCGTAAAATTGAATTTCCACTTCCGGATCGTCGGCAGAAGCGCCTGGTGTTTACTACAATCACCTCCAAAATGAATGTGGGTGAGGATGTTGACCTCGAGGAGTTGATAGCGCGCCCGGATAATATCTCCAATGCCGACATCAATGCCATTTGCCAGGAGGCGGGAATGCATGCAGTGCGTGAGAATCGGTATGTGGTCAACGCCAAGGATTTTGAGAAGGGCTACAAGACCAGCGTGCGCAAGGACGAAGCTCAACATGAGTTTTATAGCTAAACATTTCATTCAAGCGCAACCATATTTCGTATCTAATTTAATAATGATTTAATATTTAGTTCAATATATGACCATTATGACTATTATGATTAATTGAGTTTTAAAGATCCGTTTTTTTTTGGAACCGACAATATCTGCAAGGTTTCTCTAAGAAAAAAAAACGATCAAAGTGTAGGCGGTTTGGCGCGCAATTCAAAAAACCGATAGTTTGCGATAGCTATAAGGGGTGGTAGGGTGCGATTGTACGCGTTTGCATGTGACTGCTCAAACAGCTGTTGGTTTAAAATTGCTTACCGGATTTTGCCGGGTTTCGATTCGGCGTTATTTGGTTATTACTCTGGATATTGATTGCCGGCCGCTAAGATGATGCATCTGGAGCGGTATGTCACGAAGATAAAGCCTGCCGTGGAGGGATTCATGAAGGAGCCCAGCAAGGACACTTTGTCCTTAGTGGAACGAGAAATCGAGGGATTTAACTTTGGGGAAATGCGCATTTACCAGGTGCAAACAGTGGTCCCTCTGGTGCTCAAACTGGATGAGTTGACCGGGTAAGTACCTCCAGCTCCCGAATTTCGATTTGTATTGCCTGCTCAGATCACTATCTTTGCTGCAGGGAGCACCAGGAACTGCGTACCCGCCTGATGAACTGCCTGAGCCGCATTGTCTCCCAAACTTACTTGGCGGACGAGAAAGGACTGCGCTCCATCCTGGTGGTGGTGCTGCAACAGGTACGCGACTCCAAGGCAGCCGTCATGCGACCGAATCTATCCGAGGAAATTAAACTGGCTGCCATACAGTGCATATTTGAGGCATTGCGTCGCTCCACCACAGATGTGCTGGAGTCTTTCTACGTCAAGGAGACTGCAATGGTGATTGGCCAGATACTTATCATGCTCTTAGATATAATTGAGCAGGAAAAGTATCGAAAACTCGTGCAGTCAGCCATCCAGTGCTTAATGTTGGTCTTCTACGTTCACGACGATTCAGATCCCGTGGATGTAGTGCTGCGCAGTCAGGTGGCCAATACCATATTTATTTTCCTACCCAAGGTTCTTATTGTATTGTTCAAAACAACCATGAAAGATGATACTGTTGGGGAAACCATTAAATCGGTGAGTTTCCCAAAATCCCAACGTATAAATCGAAATCACAATAAGACCACTTACAATAGTACATTTTATACTTAGATGGCGATTCAAGCCCTAGGACGCATTATTTGCATCATGTTTGAGGAAACCACTGATGAGTTCATGAAAATGCGCTACGATGTGGACGCTTTTCGAAAACTGTTCATTAACTCCATGGATAACCTGGCTGATCAAAGTGATTTTACCTTTTTTGCAAACAAAAAGTCCACCAACGAACAGACTGAGGAGCGTTTGCACCAAATGCAAACAGAGCTGCGGTCGATCCAATGGGTAGCGGCCACGTCGCGACGCCTACGACCTATCTTTGTGGAGACGAGCATTCTGAGGGCACACACTGCTTTGAGTGTACGCGAAAGTTACTCCGACATGTGTTGCCTACTGCTAAAGCATTGTGCCCACAATCTGAGGACGAATTTTGTACACGTACTGGAGAGCGTTTTGGCCCTGTCGGAGGACGAGAATGAGAAAATAGCCCAGCGGTGCAGGGAAACTCTTCTTCTGCTGCAGCAACAGCCTAGCAGCCAGGGTATATTTGATGAGAATGCAGAGATGCTGCTAGACGCGCACCTCAACAAATGGCCACGCATCCTGCACCGCTGCGAGGACAACGAGCAGTTCGCCGAGCTTCTTTTCTTCAAGGGATTCCTGCGCAACGTCAATGCCGATAAGCTCGAACTACTGCTGCTGGTGCCCAAGAACTTGGAGATGTTCGTGACCTGTCTGCTCGCAGCTCTTGACCAGCGGACCACCCGTGACCTACTAAACGAAGAGTACTCCCTACGACGTATTCGTGGGGGCGATCCAAAAGGCCTGGCTGCCGAACTGTCTAAGCTCCCATGGCGGCAGTTTAAGCATCTCGCCTCCAAGCGCAATGTGGGCATCTTGTACGACATTGCAGCCCTATTGGGTGTTCAGCCTTCTCTAAACCGGCTTATCTTCGACCACTGTCAAGACCTCATTCAGCAAAGGTCCTCCTCCATGAACGAGTGTATAATTCTTCTAACTCTAATGGTAACGCCGCCGGATAAAAAAGCTCGAGAAAGCCGGCTGGTACTGGCTAATCTTTTACTGGATCAGATCCTACGCGACGAGCACTGGAACCTCGCCCTTCAGCCTGATGCAGCTTGGCGCCTCAAAGTCAACAAGGTCAGTACGGGTTATTTTAACGTTTATACCTCCATTCTGTAGCATTATTTCCATTCAGCCCACCCATTGGTTTGAAGAACGAACTCCTGGTCTCTATTCATCCGCAGTGGAGGTTCGCACCCAGGACTGCGATTCCGACGACGAGCAGACGGAGGTGGTTGGCAGTCGCGTAACCATTGCAGACGCCCAGTTCAATGTGCTGCACACCTGCCTAATTATGGACGCATTGGGACACTGTGCCAGGTTCATTGGCGATACCTTCGACAGACACATATTTTTGAGTCTGCACAAAGTACTTCTCAAGGTGGCCAGCAGTAACACTATTGTTCACCAGGCGGCTAGTTTCGCATTCGTTTCCATGCAGTTGGCTTTAAGGTATGCGGAACCCTCGCACTTCATCGAGTGCTCCACGGACTACATCACTTTCCACCTGAACGCATTGCTGAAGCGGTCGCCGAATAGCACTGCCGCAGTGGACATTCTCACCGTGGTGCTTCAGTACAGCACGCGGGGCAATGTGCCGCACTTGGACAGCTTATTCCAGACTATACGCGAGGAGTGTTCAAAATCGCATCAATCGAGCAATGTTCACTCTTATCTGCGCGTCTTTAGAGCATTCCTAAATCATGTTTCACATTGGCAAGTTAATGCAACGGCTGAGATAAATTCAGAGCTGCCGATGCAAGTGGATGAAGAGCACAGTGTCTTGAATACATGGATAAGTGTGCTTAATAGGCCGCAGTTGTTAGAGGATATAAATGGCGACGCAGACATGACCAAGGAGCCCGCGAAAGATGAGGCAGAGGATGCAGAAGACACGGAACCAAAACCAACGAAGCCGGATCTACCGCGCCATGTTGAAATGGTTAAGGATATTCTAGGTCAAGTAATCAAGTTCATTTCCAACGCTGATCAGGAGCAACAGATTGCAGCTCTCGAATGCTTCTCCAGTGGATTGCCACTTCTGGCAGACTATGAGAATGAGCTCCTGCCACTGGTGCATCTAGTGTGGCAACCACTCGTAGAGAAGTTTCGGCAGAAGGACGCACTGGTGCTCAATCGTTGCTTCACCTTGCTGCACTTGCTGGGCGTCCATGCGAAGGACTTTATATTGAAACGAAGTCTCAGGTAAGTGCTTGTTTGATGAAAAACTACTGATTCTTGACTTCATCGTTGCTGATTTCAGTGATGTGATACCTCAACTGAAGCTTTTCCTCAAAGCGGCCAGTCAGCACAGCAGCATGGAAACTTCACTAGCTCAGACGCAGGAATACAAACTTCAGCTGAAGCTCCTCCAAAGTCTAGCGGATTTCATACTAGGTCTGCAGATAGAGGGAAAACATCTTCACGAGCTGATGACCACGGTGGCGATTTATCTGTCGGCGGTACAACCACGAGAGCTGCAGACGTCGGCCAGAGGGTTCTTCCTGCAACTGATTGCTTACAATGGACCCTTTGTCTATGTGACGCTGTTGCAGAGGGCCCATCTTAAAGATTACCAAGCTAATGTTAGCCATATCTTCGAAGTAATGGGCTTTATCATAGCAAATGGACACGACCTTGATTAATAAACAGACCGTTTTTATTATTTCACAATTGCTCTATTCTGATTTCTGTTCACTCGATTAACATTACAGGCTCTAATGCTATATGTCTTTTTATGCATTTTCGGATACTTTGATCAGACTGGTTGCTTATGTCAGAAGAGTATGCAATAGTTTTTAGATTGAAAAAATTTAAGGATTATTATTGAGGTATCTAACTTGAATAGTTTTATTTAAATGACTTTTTATAATATAAACAAGGCAAGGGTTGAACAAAACTTTTTTTATACACAAAGTAAGCGTTTGGAACAAACAAAATTGAAGTATAATTTTATATATGTACTCGTATATTATGTTTTGGTAGCCATAACTAAATGCTATGCATAAACAAACATTTTCTTTCAATTTTCACTTACAAGTGGAACCGCAGATGCTTGGCACCGATAAAACTTAGCATCCGACTTCTAAAGCCACTATACACTATAACATTTCGTTCTGTATCAAATATAGCTGAATTTATAAAATGATTGCTGTTCTGTATTTGTGATCGTGATCATTTTCATGCCACCCTCTCGTCCTAAGTCTTATTGACTCGCAATATTCGTACTTAAGTAGTGAAGCAGCTCGCAGTGTGCATAGTCTATTGAGCATCTCCGAATCATTTGCCTCTCCTTTGATCGATTTAAGCTGGGCTGCTCTGCGGTTGTGGGTTCTCAAGCTGTTTGTAAATTTGTGTGGTGTGTGGGAGTATGTGTTTAGCTATTGAAGTTAATCTGAAACTGACTACGCCAGCCAGTTCATTAGGCTGTTGGCATACGCCATGGGCTTGACGTCGGGATGTGGCTAAAAATATTGCGATTAATTATCGGTTTCAGAAGTGATTTATTGCACTATACTGTACTTACCACAGCCTCGAATGATTTGTAATTTGGTTTCAAATTGTTACCCGTAATGGTAATAAATGCGCCCATGTTGCCCATGGTATCACTGTAAAATAGGTTACAAATCACCTTTTGCTTTGCGGGTCTATTGTGTATGCTTACCAATAGTTCGGAGCTGAGAAGACTGTTATACATTGACCGTTGTGTGCAACCTCATAGCCCATATCCTTGACTTCGTGGCTTCGAATGATGTAGTCCAGGTTGTTGTTCTTGCAGAACGTCTCTGTAACGTCCGGACCGAACTGAATGCCCACGCCGCGCTTCGATGGCCCCCGTCCCATCCACAGCTGTGGGTCGGACCACAACAGCTCGCACATTAGGCCTTCCTCAGGCGGCTGGCAATTGCGCTCGATGCGCCGTATATTGTCCAGGGTGACGTTGTCCGTGGAGAAGAGCCCGCCGTGCATCACCAGGATCTTCTGGTTGATGCAGTGGCACAGCGGCAGCCAGTTGAACACTTGGGTAAATATGTCCGCCATGGCGCTGGTGTACTTGGCTGTCACCTCGCCAGTGAATCCGTACATTTGGTTCATGTTGATGCTTTCGTGGTTGCCTACAATCAGTTTAAAGTAGTTTATGTAAAAATATATTATATGTTACAAGAAAGCTTACCGCGTGATAAGAAAAAGTGATTCGGATACAGCAACTTAAAGCCGAACAAGGTGAATATACATTCCACGGAAAAGGAACCCCTGTCTACGAAATCCCCATTGAATAGATAGGGATTCTTTTCTGAGGGCAGGCCATTAATCTCGAATATGTTCATCAGGTCGTAGAACTGTCCGTGAATGTCCCCGCAAATCGTAAACTTCTCCTCATCAGGCACAGTGATGTCCACCAGCGACGGTTGAGCACGCATGTAGGCATCGATCTCGCAGAGTATCTGTACCGAAGATAAAATTTTTGAATGCGTTCCTGAAAAAGGAGACATGAATTTACTTTGTAGGCAAATTTGCGATGCAATCGCTTCTGTCCCTTGTAATGTTCCATCAGGTCCTTCATGAACTTCAACGTCACTTTGCCGTCCTCCAGCTGTGGGCCTTTGTAGTCATCTTCAATAGCTGTAGGACAGGGAGACAAGGTTAGTTTCTCCTTCAGCTGTTAGGGGTGCAAGCTACTGACTTATGTTCTCCATGTCCCTGTACATCTCGGAGAGCGTCTTTTCGGGCTTGTCCACAGCAATGGCCCGCTCGAATGCGCGCATTTTGACAATCTTGTTACACTCCGTGAACTTCAGCTTGGCGTCTTTGTCGTTGGGCCGGCATTTGGCCACCTGGAAGCCAATTGTGGTTCAGTGGCCGACCAAAGATGTTGCCGGGGATTACTCACGAATTCAAAATCGCAGAGCGCCTGCTTGAACTTCCCCAGGGACATGTGAGCTGCGGCCCGGCGGTAGTAGCCCTTGAGATAGGCGGGATCAGCCTTCACCGCCGACACGCCATCCTGCAGGGCATAACCAAAGCTCTCCTGGCGCAAGTGTGCCAAGGATCGATTGGCATAATATATCGCGCTGTTGGGATGCAGTTCTATGGCTTTGGTGTACATGTCGATGGCTTTGGAGAACTCCTTGGCTGTGGGAGAGGGCAGTCGGGTCAGTAATATTACTAATTATACCTCCTGAGTTCCGGGAGAGTTGTAAATTATCACATACAGCCATAGATTGCCTTTGTTTTAAGGTTATGTTGAAGGAGGCACTTGGAAGGTGCAGTCCCGGAAAGCGTTACGGGTTACTCGCAGTTCTCTTATCATGGGCATTACGGCATAAGTGATGGGCAAAACAAAATAACTTACTTTTGAGCATATCATTTCCCTGATTTTTGTACTGCTCGGCCGCGGCAAAATCCCGATCCGCTTTCGAACTGGCGTTTGTATCCGCCTCCGGCTCCTTGGCCCCCGTAATCTCCGCGCCCGCCGGCACCGGCTGCTCCTTCTGGCCATCGGCAGCTTTCTGTATTTCCAGCTCGGACGAAGACATCTTTTTTGTTGTAATAAATGATTTTCTTAAAGTTATTTACTGTCTGAAATTTTCAAAGGTTGGAAAACGACGATGGAAACGACAAGGTGAATCGATAGTGTTGCACAACGCGAAGCTTATCTTATCGATACAAGGGTTGTTGTAAAAATGGTGATTTGGACTGGAAATCCTTTAAACTCGGCTTGAATAAAAGGTGTTCCTAAAATTTAGAGCTTCTCCTGCAGGTGCGGGCAATCGATAACGGGCTTAAAGGTGTCTATCGAAAAACAGCTGATTTGAGGTAGGTTTACACTGGAGATGAGTTCGTGCCTTAAGTTTAGACTTTTCACGACGCTTTACAAGTGAATTTTAAATTTTATATTGGTAAAATAAGGCTTCAAGAAAATTTAACAAAAACATCAAAATTTTTTGATTACAGGTTTTCGAAAAAAACAAAATAAACATTTGTTATATATTATAAATATTAATTAAAGGTCACAAGTAAAAATCTAGTTTAAGCCCAATGAGGAAAACCTAAACAAACATATTTTAAGTACATTGAAGCGTGCGTGAGCTTTTGAAAACAAGATTCGTGTTTATCGTGAAGAACATTCACTTATTCGCGCATCTCTAGTACACACTAAGCCGAGCTGGGAAAAATTAGAAGCTGAAACGGGTTTTACTTTTACTGGTAACTTTGGAGCACAGCGCTCGCCAGCATTCAGCAGTTTGGCCAGCAGTCTGGCGTTGCAGCCGCATCGAAGCGAACCGATTTAAGAACCAGAATCCGTGCCAGCGCATCGCTTAATCCACTGAAAAGCCAGAAAGAGCCAGACAGAGGAACTGCGGGGGCGTCACCGTCGTGAGAAACAGCAATATAAACAAACAGCAGCGGGATGTCGATGAGCAATTTATCAATAGACGGCGAGTTCCGCTACATTATTCAGTGGTTCAATGAGTGGAGCGAGCTGCAGCGGGATGACTTTGTCTACGTTTTCGTGGAGTACTTGGCCCGGGGCTCCAGCTCCAGCGATGCCCATGTGAATGGCCTGGTCAACGCGCTGGCCAACGCAGCCGTGCAGGACAAGCCCATGAGCCTGTTCCAGTGCCGCGTAAGTAGTAGAAAGTTCCCTTCACCACTTCCCCCTTCTTACGGTTCATTGTCCGCAGATTAAGCTGTTCCGTGAATGGAGCCCCAAGTGGCCGATCGAGTTCAAATGCAAGCTGCAGGAGAAAATCAGCGAGATCGACGCGAAGGTGGGGGAAAAGATCATCAATGAGCTACGGGGGCCCCATTCCGTGCACAATGGCGACGTAGCCGTGCATTTAAATGCAAATGGGGCAAGCGAAGAGGGCGGGGATTCCGAACTGGAGCAGCCAGCGGTGGCAGAAGTAGCAGAGGTCGCAGCTCCGGTGACAGGGGAAGAAGCTGAGCCAGCTCCCGAAGCAGACGACAATCGTTTGGCGGCGGTCTTAAGCCAAGAGACGCCTGTTGATGACGACGATGTGGAAGAGTCCGCCGGGGAAGATAGCAATAGCAATGCCGGTGTAAATGGCCATTATCCAGCGGCTGCAGTGACAACGATCGCGGTGAATACATCTCCATCGCCAACCCCGACTCCGCAGCCGATTATCGAACCTGTAGAACAGGTCGAGAACAGCGTTACAGTCACCGTGGCCTCTGCAGAGGTTCCCCCGGTAGCTTAGACTCTGCAAGATCGTTAAAGACAAACCAGATCGACTATAAAAAGGCTTAATGAGTAGTTAAGTATTTTAGTTGTACATCATCGGCAACTCGACATTCCAAGCGATGCATTTCTAGTTACGTAAGCCATCTCTGAGCCCTCATCTGGGCTTGGCCCCCATCTATCGACTAGCTTAAGAGCATAAATTGTAATGTAAGCCACATAATTACACGAAAGAGAGTTTCACATTCTAAGCAGTGTCCTGACGATCTTGTTCCTTTTCCAAACTTCATCTTTACTTTGGCTAACTAGCAAAACATGTTTTGTATTGAGCTGTTCTTGCTGCTAGTAGGTTACTCAGCTAGCCGGCATTGTCGGTGCTCTTCGTGTGCTCTTTTGCTTTTGCCCAAGCTTACTTTATTGCCTGATAATTGGTTTTTCGAGCTCTCTTTATGTTTTGATTCGTCGCCGCTGAAATCGAAATCTGAATAGAGCTAGCTGGACGTGGAAGTAAGATATGCATGCTAGGTCGGAGATTGGACCAATTTATTTCAATTTCGCACTTGGACGGGCGACGTTGTGTCAACGGTATCCCAATTTTAAATTCGTTTGTTCGAAATGCTGAGCTCAGAACTCGTCACCCTGTTATTCTGCATCCTGTGGCTGAAGGGTGAGTAATCCATGGAGACCTGAATAACGAAAGACTCAAGAGACGAACGTGTTTCGGGGGGCCAATTAAAGAACAGCCCGCTAAGTGGGTCAAGGTTGGCGGCTAGAAATTCCCAACGGCAAAGCGAAGGGCAATAAACCGCGCGAACGATAGCGAACGCCGATTTAAAAAAGTGAGTGAGTAATTGCCGGGGGCACTTCTGGTTTGCTGGTTTTCTGGTTCGCGATTGCCTTGCCGACATTGACCTTCGAGCACTGATTTCTTGCGTTGTCATCCAGCAAGTTCGCTCTCGTTTTAGGGGATCGTGGAGCCTCCGCCTGCCACTGCATACGCCTTGTGAAGTGCGACCCCTTCGCCCGCCTCCTGCTTCATCACGGGCCTGGAGAGCAGTCCGCAGTGTTCGCCAAGGTGCACGCCGCCAGTTGTGGCTTCCAAGGCCTCGAGCCGCTCGTATGCTGTCCCTCATCTCGGAAGCAATACCACGATGAGTCATTCTCTGCCAAGCCAAGTCGTAAGATGCGTTTTGCCCCGCCGGATGATCGCTGGATTTGGGATGATAACGGTGACAGCAAGGGCAGTGGGCCGTCACACACCCACTCGGATTACCTGGAAACCGAGACGAATCTCCACGATTACTGGAACTTCGAGGAGCAACGCAACTGCCCGCAGCCCGTGGAACCCGAGTTCTTCGACCGGCGATTTGGTGGGGGCCACCACTTTCACTACCATGTAGAGCACGGCGAGCAGGATACGGCATCACCGCGACCCATTCCCAAAGATAAGCCCATTGTGTTTCCCGGGGACCTGCGCTTTTTGCGGCAGGGGGAGGATATAATCTCTAACTTAGACCAAGGTCCTCCCCTCGCTCCGTTTACCACAACGTCATCTATGCAAATTGCTACAAGTCCCGCTCCGGCATCCTCAACCACCACATCATTACCCTTAGACTCTGATAAGCTTCCGGTAAACCAAGATAACCTTCCAGGATGCGGGATTAGTGTGGAGAGCCGACTGCAAGGGGGAGAACAGGCCTCTGCTGGGCAATATCCATGGCTGGCGAGAATCGCCTATCGCAACCGAAGTGAGTACTCCTTGGGGAATATTAGATACACATTTCGAATTTAATTTACCCTCCCCGAATCAACGCAACGTTGATATAAGCGTTGTAGAGTAATCGCCGCTGTCGAGATCCTGGCTGGCGGCAATCCCGTCCTATGTAGATTCAGCCAATCTCATTGGCCACAAGGCCCATTTTTACGGTGAGGAAGACCCCGAAGGCAAAGAGCAGAGCAGCTAGTCCCAGAGCATTGGGTCCTCGATTGTTCGGTGGAGCTCTTAGACCCAAAGGTCCACCGCCTGCTCCGCCATTGCCAGAACCACGTCTGCCTTCGGGGCCATCTTTCCCTCCGGGGCCACCTTTGCCTCCTGGGCCACCCATCTTGCATTTATTGCACTTGGTTCCTCCGCACGGCTTGGGACCACAGGGTTTACCCTTTTGGGAAGGAGGACCGTCATTACGTCCACGACCACCGCCTGGACCACCACCGCCCGGACCACCACCTGGAGCTGTGCCAGATTGGCGACCGTTATTCTGAGGTGGCAGACCCTTTCCGGTGCAGGGACAAGCGCACATCTTGTGTTGAAAGGCCCTCCTGTAAAGGAGAATATTTTTAATCTTGACGAGGTTCTATCATACTATTTCAGGCAGCAGCCGCATTAGCTTCCGCTGCTCCGGATCTCTAATCTCCAACAACCACATCGTGACTGCCGCCCATTGTGTGGTCAACTTGGTCAGCGACTTGGAACTGTAAGTTAAAAACCCAATCTAATCTATGTAAAGCCTAGCTCTTCCTTAGATCCCATGTTCGATTGGGAAATAAAGATGGGTCAACCCCGTTTGCAATCGAACGGGTTATAGTGCATCCCAACTTCGATCAGCCCAGATATGCCAACGACATTGCCCTCCTAAGAATCAACAACACGGATGGTAAGTGTTCCTACTTCTTGCTTTACTAAAAACTCATCGACGTCATACCCCTCTAAATTCCAGGAGTCTTTACACCCATCTGCTTACCCTTGAACGAGTCCACCACCCTCGGGAACAGGCTGATAGGACAAACGGGAGTTGCTGCCGGTTGGAGTACTGGGAATCCGGAAAGTGAGTCTCGAAACAACTTTATATCGTGTATATCTGTTCAAGTTTTTAACAGACTATTTGTGCTCTCGAGTTAGGCGCTTACTATGTTCGTAGATAGATAGTTAGATATTAATCTAGATATGTAACTTAACTTTACATTTTAAAACGTGAATGAATAGTGTGTAGGTTTGATTTTCTTAAACTACTCGAAACTACTTTTTGAAATCGGTGAACTCTCTAATTCAAAAAGCTATACCACGATTTTCTTTTAATTTGTTGCACATATTTTTGATGATAAAATCTATCAATGAAAAGATCGATTTTTATTCGTTTAAACTAATTAATATTATTAAAAAACAACAAAAATGTAAGAAAATATTTACTTTGTTTCATTTTGTTTTCTTTATTTGTAGAATTTTTTTAAATTTTAAAGTAAGTCTGCCACCAGTTTTGATGTTTACCGGATGGATTCCTTTTTTAAGCCTCCTAAAACAAAAGAAATAGCTATTTTTATAAATTAAAATTAGGAATTATTCGCGAATCCAATAAACAAACACTGATCTTTTTGCAGATAATGGGTCGATGGACTCTTCGAGCTCCTCCGCCTCAGTGCGCTTCATCCGTTTGCCGATAGTGAACACCACCAGCTGCGCTATCGCCTATGCTAGTCTCAGCGAGAACTTCCAGCAGCCCATTGTAATCACCCCGAACCACCTGTGCGCCCAGGGTATGCCTATGAACGACGTGTGCCGCGGTGACAGTGGTGGACCCTTTATGGACGACGGAACATCCGGCCTCTTCGGAGGAAGTGGACGCCACACGCTTATCGGCATCGTGGCCTTCGGACCCACGCTGTGCGGCGTGACCACCATTCCGGGAGTATATACCCTCGTCAGTAGCTTCTCTGAATGGATCCTGCGAAGCATCCGCGGATGATCGCATCAGTGAGCGGTCGTGTTGGGCACCTAACCCAAGCGCAGCTCATCCAAAGCTTTCAATGCCAAAGTTTTAAGAGTACATCCAAATAAGAAAAGTATCGTACATTTTGTGGATCAATGAAAACAGTTCTGCTTCCTACTTTAATCAGCACAACGCCAATAAACTTTACATTAATAATATTTAAATTCTCTGAAGAACTTAGTACATAAACTAAACGTTCAAAGGTATTAATGCACGATTAAAAGCCTTTTATATGTTTATAAAATGTATGTTATAAATGTAAATTGGTAACTACCTCATGGAAATTGAAAACGAGAATAAAATATTTCAAAGACAAAATCGATTTAGTGAAGCAATTCAGCTAAAAATAGATTTTGCAATATAATAAGTCAATGCCAATCGCACATGACTTTAGTATGTAAAAATACATTTTCATTTATTTTATTTTTCGTACTTATACAAGCATTGTAAAACATTCCGATTAAACTTCCTAGGCACATGTTCTTAGAAAAATTCCACATAAGGGTATTGGTACAATACAATTATAGACGGTTTGCATTCAACAATTGTAGTTCTGCTATTTAGTTCTAGTTAATAACTTTAACAGAAATTATATAAAAAGTAGTGTCATTTCAGTAGACGAAAAAAAAGCCACGTTAATGCAAAAAATATCTGTATAGAGTTTTGTTGGCCCTTATTTATGTATGTACTTAATTTACAAAGGTTTAATGGAGGTTTTGAATTTTTAGATAACCCCAACTATTGAGATTTATTTTTTTTGTTCGTGAACACCCTTCGATTTGCTGAAGTGAAACAAATTGTTTGGGTTTTATTTTAATAATTTGAATTAGTTTTAATCCTTTATTCCTAGAATAGCATCATTCATTTTCACGAACTTCATTTAGCGTATAATGAAGCTGCAATTGAAATAACATAGAAAATCGGATATTAAAGCATATGTGTTAACTTGATTTCAAACTAATGTTAATTTTTGTCCATAGCCAAAAAAAAATTTTCCGGTTTAAATATTTCTTCTAAAAAAGTGTATTTTAAAGGTGCCTTGCATTAATGAATTTTTTGTAAAGGCTAACGGATGGAAAATGTTACCTTATTATACTACGAAACGACACAATCGTGCTTTATACTTCATAGTAAACTTAAGTTTACTTACACTTATCCAAGTGCTGTTCATCGTCAGGCTCATCGTAGAAGCTGTCGTCCATTGCGTTATCGTCTTCCATCTTAACAAAATTCATGTTCTCCAGGTTTTTCAGCTCAACTTCCAATTCCTCGCGCCTGCATTCTATAAAGACATCAGCTTCACTTTTGCTTTTACTTAGCAGTTTCTCCGTTCGAGCGGAGTGGTGTTTTGGCCGAAAAAACAGGTGTGGTTTCGTTTTGGTTCTAATATGGTTTTTCGAAAACGCCATCGTGGCTTCCCAGGCTTTGAAGTCCTTCATTCTGGCCATTTTGTACTCCAATCTTCGGATCTCGAATTGCTTTCGTTTCCTGTCTAAAAATAGCGTTTCACGTTGTTTTCTCAGCAAGGCTCTTTCCTGTAGTTCTTGCTTTTCCACCTTCTTCTCAATTTCGGCCTTCTTGTCCTCCTTGCTCTTCAGACGCGACTCCTCCTGGCAGAACTTCTGCAGCGTTCCCAAAAGCGATCCGAACATCCTACGATTCCGGGCCCTCGACTCGGAGTCTGTGCCCTGCGCCTCGACCACCTCCTTTTTGGTGGGCATTTCCCGGATGACCCGTGAATTAATCCTGGGCGGTCGTCCTTCGTTCTCTTCGATGGGGAAGCGCGGAATCGGGTTTTTGCTTTCATACATCCGGCGCTTGTCTTTGAAGACCCCACCTGGTCCACTTCTGGGAAACTGTCGATCTCCATTGTGGTCGTTTTTCTTGCCGTCGTTGGTGTATTTAAACTTCTCCGATCTGAAAATCAGGGCCAATACCATTAATTGAATTAACGACTGCCAATTCTGATCCGTACCTCTGCAGGGAATCCTTGGGGACGCGACCAGCAATGCGTCGAATGTTTTCATTTAAGATCACCAGCGACTGCTTGGCCGAGTTTAGTTTTTGCTCCAAGTCATCAACAGTCGATAGACCCGAGTCATTCACCATTATTCCCAATTATCAATTTAATGTTTTATTTAATCCCTAATTCGGAAAATCGGTGCGATTCTCATAAAAATAAAACACAATCAAGTTGGTGTGTAGGTATATTTAGAGATGAGAGTTAGAGGTGTAGGACTATTGTCGATAGTATCGGTGGCGGCCTGTGCTGCGGGTACCGCGTTGCTCCGTCACTATTGTCATTGCCTTACCGATAGTATCGATAATTTTCCAATAACTATTTGAATATGGAACTGAGAAATATGAAAATTTAAAATTTCGTTGCTATTAAATTAATTAATGTTGGAAATTTGTATATTTATATGTTTATTATTTTCTTCTTTATAAAGGATACCCTAATAAAAAGTTTATTTTTGATATCCTTTCGTTACCGATTAAACTAAAGAAAAAATTGTAGCAAAAAAATTAAATACAAAATGTATTAATTGGAATGCCATAATAAAATATATAAATAACATCATTCATTGCTGGTTTTAAGGTTAATATTAATTTTATTTAATTATAATAAATAACTAACAATGAAACACTATTTTTCAGGACTAGAAATTCAAGTCTTATTTATTCTACTTTAAACCATTTGAACCCCTCTGTCGCCAAGAAACGTCGGATATCTGTAGTCGCAGTGGAAAAGCAACTAGATACATTGGGCGGACTCCGAGAGTTTTAGTTTCTTTGTCCGGCAAATAGGATAAGACGTTCATCTGAGCGATAGGAGTCGAGAGAACGGATGCAGCTGGCCGCCCGGAGAGCTTTCACTGTATATGTACGCACGTACATTAAAAGGTCGGACCTGAACGTGTCCGTGTCTTTTAAGCTTGTTTTTAAAATAGAATCCACTCGACGGCGGTTTTTGGTGATGTGAAGTGAATACATAAAGTCCTTTGCCAACCACTTGGATAGGCAAAAAAATAAATGGGAACTCCAAATCGAATTTCATGTTTTGCAGCCGACCAATTACTACTCATATTTGGAAGAAAAAAAAGATGATTAAATTGAGACTAGCGGATGCACGTACATACACATGGACAAAGGTCATAGTTGCAATGTTTACATCAAAAGCTCCTGCGAAACGCATGCGCCCGCCGACAAGCTTTTCAGCCCAGGTTTGCAGGTGTAGTGCGATGGAATTTCGACGTGTTAGTTTCGCATCGCGGCTAGAAAAGTAATATAACTTTTTGGCAGTGCTCGTTATTTTACATCTTGGCTTTTATTGAAATAGCCCACTCAATTCGGCATTGCAGAATACATTTGTGTTATTCGTTTACCCAATCGGAATCCTGTGAACGTGCGCATATGAAAATAAGCAATAGTAAAGTGTATCCTGGAATTTTGGCAAACATATACAAGTGCATACGAAAAGATATACGCGCATACATACTCATACATTAAATAAAATCAAATCCGTGACCATTCAAGGAGTCTGCCATATTTAATTTACCAGTTTTCTGTGCTCAGTGACGTACGATTTTATCGACCATACTTAAAAATATGCCTAATATTAAGTATACGCAACTACTGCAAAATATATAAACCTATGTGTTATACATACAATGTTTTATCCCGTGTATATGTGTAATTGAGTGTTCGTGCACAAGTATTGGTGTGCTCATCTTCCGTGAAAATTCAGATGATAAAATGTAACTTATTACTCAATTAAACATACAAATCGAAATAGTTTTATAGTGGATTAGATAATGAAAACAATAAAATAAATGTAAACGGCAACTAATTACTGCTATTCCAAAAAATAATCCAACATGGAGTTATTGCTGCTATTTATGCTAGCACTTCAACTTATTGAATCCAGCAACGGAAGTAAAGATGGTAAGTCAAAACTTAAGATATTAATTACTAAACTATGTTTTATATTCTTTTTGTTCCTCATTTTGTTTTGATGATTTAAAATGTAGGCAGTTTTTAATAAATTTTAGTAAAATAATGTATACAAAATTCTCTCTCCGCTTAAAAAAGATTAAATAAATATTAAAGCTTTATTTCAAGCAACATAGTTATTTAATTAATGGCTACCATACGTCACGCTTGAACAAACATATTAAATTGCAGCTTCCGTCATAGTAATTCCGGTAATTACAAGTATCAATATGTATTTTTACTTAAGTTTAAAGGACGTATCCTTTCGCGGACCCAAAGAAATTCTAATGGGTTTTTAAATATCTAAACCTTATTTAATTTGTAAGTTTGAAATCAGGAAAATTTAATACAAATGAAAATAATTTCAAGTTAAAACCAATCGAACAATTGTTATTCCATTTTCAGTACCAATTCACCAAATCGAATCCTTAGTTGGTGAAAATATTTATCTTCCATGCAATGTAACAACATATGATGGTGATGAACCTGTGTTGATTTTGTGGTACCGAGATGACAAAGGTACTCCCATATACAGGTAAATTTATTTAGATAATAAAAAACATAAAAACGTTCATTTGTTTTTGGTTAAAAAGTGTGTTAAGTTCACCTATTTATTTTGGTACAATAATGTCTTAAATGTTTTTTATTTAACTTCACAAGTTTTGTGTATATTTATTACAAAACAAGTTTAACTTTTTAGCACCGACATAAGAGCTGGTGTGTCTAAGGCCCCAAAAAGATGGTCAGACGATTCTGTCTTTGGAGATAGAGCTTATTTTATATTTGACAAGGAACCAGGAAAACTTTCAATTCAAAATACGCAAGCCTCCGATTCAGGCACTTATAGATGCCGGGTTGACTTCCTAAAGGCGCAAACCATAAATAGCCGAATTAGGCTCAATGTCATATGTAAGTAATTGACTTAACAACCCCATTATTTTCTGTATCTGTAGTCACATTTCAAAAGTATTATTATATGGTTTCACTCCCAGAAATTATTGGTGAGAGGATAATAATTGTAATATTTTTCGTTAGCTCCACCAAAGCAAGTTATTATTCGAGACAGCTCTAATGTTGAGCGGTCTACAGTGGTTGGACCATATAGTGAAGGCGACATCGTATCCCTAAAATGTCAAGTAATTGGAGGTAAGTGTGGAGAAAGTACAAATTATGGGAGTTGTTACTCAATTTTTGGCGTTATTTTTAACTTTTAGGCTACCCAACTCCCACAATCAGTTGGTATAGAGATGGTCTCGAAATTCCGTGCGAACTAGCCCAATTAGCTGGAGGGAAGATAATCGAGTGCGAAATCACACTTCCATCGCTGGGTCGGGAAGATCTTAACTCTCGACTCACCTGCCGAGCATTAAGTCATCCCAGAGCACCCATTGTCGAAGCAGTAGTTCAAATCGATATGAACTGTAAGTCTATTGAACCCTTAAATAACTAGTTTAGATGTCCCGAGAATTAAATGGCACACACTTAACATTTTTTTTGTATTCCTAGTTGCCCCTTTAAATATCCGGCTGTTGGGGGCACATCAGCCATTGTCTGCTGGACGCAGATACGATCTATTGTGCCAAAGTGCTGGCTCCAGACCGCCTGCCGTAATAACTTGGTGGCAAAATGGCATACGGCTCGAAAAGACTACCGAAACTGTGAGTATTCGTATCCTCCCAAATTAAATAGCTTACAATTGCTTGTCCACTACTGATTTTAACTGTTTTATAGACTTCAAGCGATGGAAACCAGACAACGAGTACTCTTTCAATCAGTCTAAGCAAATCTGATGCGGGGAAATATCTATCATGCAAGGCCTACAACCATGCTGTTCCCTCCGAACCTTTGGAAGATGGCTGGAAGCTAGATATTCAATGTAAGATAACTGCTAATTGTATTTTGCTTTCATTGAAGTTAACAAATGCTTGGCTTATAGATGTCCCCGAAGCATATGTTCGTCTAGGAACATCTTTAGATCCGAGTACTTTGCGCGAAGGAACAGATGTGTACTTTGATTGCCTGGTCATGGCTCATCCGAATGTGTTTCGCATTGAATGGCGTCACAATGTAAGTTTTAAGAAATATTTGAAATGTGTTTTATGTTTTAAATTCTTTTAATTCATTCAGGAGCAACCTCTGTCCCACAATATTTCACAAGGCGTCATAATAAGCAACCATTCATTAGTTTTGCAAGGTGTAACGAGGGCCACAGCCGGAAACTATTCATGTGTCGGCTTTAATGCCGAAGGTGAAGGTATCAGTGCTCCTTTTGCATTAAACATTCTGTGTAAGTCATATAAACTTCAAATCTAACAAAGTTCCTATAAATTATTAAATCTTTAAAACCTGTATTACCAATTTCAATTGGCTCAATAAGCTGTCCAAATCACAATTTTCTAGGTTTTGACTTTATTTAACCTAGTTATGGCCTGCTGAAAGTTTAATTTTAATTTCATTGACAGATTTCTTTTCACTCTAAATACAAATCAAAGAAGAAATCTCAAAATAAATAATAAAACAACATTATAATGGCGCTTATGTTATTTTCTTCCCCATTTCTTTTTCATTAAAATCTGGCTTTAAGAGATAATTAATGTTTTTATGGTGCGTTCTTTATGTTCTTGTTTTATAGACGCTCCCACGTGTGCACAGAACCAGAAGAAAGTGTATGGCATAGCAAAACAAGAGGACGCAAAGGTCATGTGCACTGTGGATGCCAATCCACGAGAAGTTGAATTCAGTTGGACATTTAATAATTCTGCCGAAAGTATTGATGTGGCCACAAATCACATTATTCGCTCTGGTAAGTTATATTTGTATTATCTTCACTATATAAAAATGCTTAATAATGTATTTTTTAGGCACCAACTCCATTGTAACATATACACCCATAACTGAACTGGATTATGGAACCCTTTTATGTCTGGCGTCAAACAAAATTGGTAAACAGCGAGTTCCATGTGTCTATCATATTATCGCTGCAGGTGCGTAGTCTTTTAACTTTCCTTTATTTACAGTATAAAGTCTAATATTTTTGTTTATTTATTTTTATATTTTAAGGTCGACCGGAAAAAGTACATAACTGTACAGTAATCAATATATCCATGACATCGTTAACCGTGACTTGTAGCGATGGTTTCAATGGCGGGTTGCCACAAAATTTCAACTTGGAACTGCTGGATTCTTACACACAAGTATGACGGAAATGGCTGAAAAGAATTAAAAATGAGTGGTCTAATGTTAATTCTTTTTTTTAGGAAATTAAGGCCAACATCACATCGACTACTCCAAAGTTTACGGTGACTGGTTTAAGTCCGGGAAGCATATATAGGCTTAATATCTACGCGTTCAATACGAAAGGTCGATCTGATCCAGCTATAGTTAATGCTGCCATGCTCCGAATGCCCGAGAAACAACTGACATCGGAACAAAGTGAGTTATTTTCAACTTAAGTATCCATTTTACTTATAATATATAATTCTTTTATATCAACTTTCAGCTCATAATCTTCGTGCAGAGCTCTTGTTTTCGCCGGTGGTGTCACTTACGATTGGATTGACTCTAGCTGTGCTGGTCGCAGTTCTGGCTATTATCCTAGCTCTTCGAATACCCTGCACCGCCACATCGAGAAGGCGTCAAAAGGAACTCTCTAATGAGAATATATCCAGGGATGAATCGCCAGGACCAAGTGATAAGAGTACCGGTAGCAAGGAGGTTGACGATTGCGATGAAAAGAATCCAGATGTTGTGCCTGAATCCGTGGAAGCTGATGAACAGGTACAATATAACCAAGTTATTGGTAAAATTAGCAAAGCCATGAACAATAAATTAAAGAACAAGTTTTTGGTTTTGTGTTAGTTTTTAAAGGACCAATTTAAATGTTTGAGTTAATAAACTTTGATGGGAGAAAGTTAAGTACTTTGAATGACAAACCACGGTTTCTTGATTTCTAATGTTTAAATATCCATACAATTTCAGGCGGAAAGCATCAGGAAAAGGCAACAGATATCAACGATCGACACTAACCGCAGTCCCAATCGTGGAATTTTTGTTAATGAACAGCCACATTTAACCGCTGCCGAGATTTCCCTGCGCGCCTCCCATGGAATTGGTTACTGCACTCTGCGGAGTGGAATGCACGCCCAGGCCCAGAGTTCAGTGGGCGAAATATCAATTGTGAGTACAGGATGTAGTTTATTGTGTAGATTCAATCCACTTTGAGATAGCCTAGGTACCCTACTGCCCAAGGACACTTTATAACATAATCCAATTCTTAACAGAACGTAACGCCCCACGTCTATTCCAACTCAATTTCGCAATGCACCCTGCCGCGCCAGTCATCGCAGAATGTGTGGAACAACTACAACTGCAACATCACCGGGGCGAGACCGACCTCCACGTTCCACCAGCTGACCTTTCCCCAGGGAAGGGTCAATGTCAACGCCCACAACCCGACGCAGCCGCTCCATGGACACGCGCCCTCGCCATCGCTGGCGTCCAACAGCTCCATGGCCTCGTCGTCGAACCCACTGCCCCAGCCACATCCCCACGGCAGAACCATCGCCCTGCACCACATGAACCAGGCCCAGTGCGGTAGGGTCTGCATCGGAATCGCCAGCGAGGGAATCCACGCCGCCGAACAAAACCTTTCCGACGACGAGGTCACCGTCCAAACTCCATTAATGATAAAGCGCGACAGCACCGTATGACTATAGAAATTCCACAGGGTTTTCGACACGCCCCTGTGATTAGGACTTACAATTTTCTGTATTCTGCATTTCGAACTCAATAGAATAAACTTTTTATACCACTTTATTATTGAAAACAATATTCTGGAGAGATCAATTATTTTCGGCCAAAATAAATGTTAGTTTTAAACGTTGTTAATTATAAGTTATACGAAATCAATATCCAATGTAATAACTAATAGGTTTTAAAACTTTAATTGTGAAAGCGGAACAGAGGTTTACGAGTGGCCAATGCAAATACTTTTACAGCAGTTTTTAAAAATACCTAACCAATATATTGGCATCAAACGAATTTATAGACTGGGTTTGATACATAAGACGATTGTGTTGATATTATATTTATTTAGAAAGCAATGGTGTAAAAATATGTTTGTTTTTATTGCATTATCAAAACATATTGAGAATTTCAAGACATAAGGATAATTCAAAATGTATGCGGTGACTCATGACGGCCATAGTTTTTGTTATGCTAAGTAAAAAGACTTTTTAATATTATTGTTATAATTTGTGTTTAAGTAACCAATGATTCCAACTCGACTATCCTTCATTTTAAACTACATTCCTAGGCAACTATAGTCTCGGATAATTTAGTCATATAAAACTTAAATTTGTTGTATGTAAGTTTCTAAACAAATGCACCAAAAATAAGTTTAGTCAAATTAAATTTGATGTAAAATTGCTCATTTCTAAGGATGCCAAGGCAGCTTTTTGAATACATTCATAATAATGTCTGTATATGTTCGTGATGATAAATAAATTTTATATAACTTGCTCAAATATAAACCATCCCAGTGTGACGACGAAATAAGGAATAATTCCAAATTTTTTTCACAACGCTGGCCGGCATTTATTTTCAAATATTTATTTTATACTGGTCGAACTTACATAATACTTATATTTAAAAATACCATATATATTAGGAACTTAGCGTAAAACTACTGTGAGCAGTATTATAATATCTAAGTTATAAATAAAAATAAATTAAAAGTAAAGGATTGTTTTAATCGAATGTGAAATCTAAGGCAATGCTAACAGATGTTGTAAATTGTGTTATTTGTCAATTTGTTGGATTTGATTACTTAACTTTTGATTTAAATATTATGGAACTCTAATTGCCCTTCAAGATGTGTTTGCTCTTATCAAAACTTAATTTCATTCCATTTTTTGTTAGTCATTGCAATCTGAATCTGACACATTTGTATACAAATATTATTCTCAAATAACATACAAATGTACAAAGTTTCATTCGGATTCGATTTCTCTTTAAAAACTGGAGCACATTCAAATTACAGCTCTTAATTTATTAAGAATCTTTAGAAGATTTCATAGACTTGTTCAAATGGGAAAAAATTGTATCTTCCTGAAAAAAGAATTTTATTAAAGTTATTATACGAGTGACCTTCAAGATATATGAAAAGTGAGTGCTGTCTATAAAGCCCTATTTCAAAAATTCTTTATTTTTAACTTTAGTTAGTTTTTCTGGGTGTGGACAGTATAAATCTTAATTTGTGTCTATATTCCCAATATGTCCATGCCTAATTGGTTGAGTGGTCACAAAAAGAACTTGCGGGCTAGGCACCCAATTCGATTATTTTTGTTATTTATATTGAATTTTCAGTAATAATATTATTTTATGATAGTTCAATTATACATGCAACAAAAATAATTAGCTAAGTACCCATGAATATATGTATGAGCCTGATTTGGAGACATAAATGTTTGGTTACATTGCCACCTTCTTTACTGGAAATGTAAGTTCTTCATAAATTTGAATACTATTTTGCAAATCTAAACAAAGTTTTAATGGATAATTAATCTCAAATTTTGCCATCAACTTACAGCTGCAAATTGCAAAGAACACAATGGGAGTTCAATCGAAGCATAAACACACAAAAAAGAAAACAGAATTCGATCAAGCGACATCTTAAGCATGTGTGGTTGGGTGGGTTGGGTTTGAAATTCGAATCGGCACCACTTAAGTCGATGAGTACGACACATCCACATATAGTTTGCCCCACACAGATGTCTTTGGGGGCTTATAAAAGAACGCGTATCGCTAAGTTTCGGTTAGTTGACTCCCAGCTGTGTCGCATCACAGACAAGTGCTAGGACTTTCGTACGCTAAACCTGCTGTTTTAAAGTTCATCCTAACTTATTTATCAAAATGGTAAGGACAATAAATATCCTGAAATCTAATAGGACTTTGAAGATCCTTCAGGGTCCTGGTTTTTAATCCAAAAATAATAGCTTTGAAGAAGTTAGTATCCTTTATTGTGTGACCTCGTTAAACAAGTTTTTAAGGGCAGAATAAGTTTCCACAACGTTTTAGATTCCCAAATGTTATAGCTTATAAGATATCAACAATATTACCAACAGATGGTCATATGGAATGCAACTTAAATTTCAAGTGATATATACACAACCGGATATCCTAAATGATATTTCTAAATTGTTTAAAGTCCAACGATATGAAGCTGCCATTTAATGGAAACGCATGAATGACTAAACACTGATTTATCTTTTAGAGGGAATGTATTTCGGTTCACATTGGACAAGCTGGTGTGCAGATCGGTAATGCCTGCTGGGAACTGTACTGCCTGGAGCACGGCATCCAGCCCGATGGCCATATGCCCTCCGACAAAACCGTGGGTGGTGGCGACGACTCCTTCAACACCTTCTTCAGCGAGACCGGAGCTGGCAAGCATGTGCCCCGTGCCGTGTTCGTCGATCTGGAGCCCACTGTGGTGGACGAGGTCCGCACCGGAACCTATCGCCAGCTGTTCCACCCGGAGCAACTGATCACCGGCAAGGAGGACGCGGCCAACAACTACGCCCGTGGCCACTACACCATCGGAAAGGAGATCGTGGACTTGGTCCTGGACAGGATTCGCAAGCTGGCGGATCAGTGCACCGGACTGCAGGGATTCCTGGTCTTCCACTCCTTCGGCGGAGGCACTGGCTCCGGCTTCACCTCGCTGCTGATGGAGCGTCTCTCCGTCGACTACGGAAAGAAGTCGAAGCTGGAGTTCTCGATCTACCCAGCCCCTCAAGTAAGTTTCCTTTTATATAAAACAAAGAAAGTGCAGTTGAACCTCTGTACTTCTCAAAATATAACACTAGCATTTCGAAGAGAAAGGGCGTTTTTTCCTTTTCTCAAAATGTCTCAACATCTTTTTTCTTGGATTTATAAATTTAAATTCTTGTAAGCAACTTAAGAAATATAGAGTTCATTTTTGTTGAGTGTAAAACTGATTACCTAATTTTATTAGAGTCGTAGAAAATAAGTCTTGAAGAGATGAGTTAATTAATGGTTCGAAAACTTCCTGTTAGGTCTCCACAGCTGTGGTCGAGCCGTACAATTCGATCTTAACCACCCACACAACGCTGGAGCACTCGGATTGTGCATTTATGGTTGACAACGAGGCAATCTACGACATCTGCCGCCGCAACTTGGATATCGAGCGACCCACCTACATGAACCTCAACCGCCTAATTGGTCAGATCGTTTCCTCCATTACGGCCTCGTTGCGCTTCGATGGCGCCCTCAATGTGGATCTGACCGAGTTCCAGACCAATTTGGTGCCCTACCCACGCATCCATTTCCCGTTGGCCACATACGCGCCCGTCATTTCCGTGGAGAAGGCCTACCACGAGCAGCTGACCGTGGCCGAGATCACCAACGCCTGCTTCGAGCCCGCCAACCAGATGGTGAAGTGTGATCCCCGGCGGGGCAAGTACATGGCCTGCTGCATGCTCTACCGCGGTGACGTGGTGCCCAAGGATGTGAACGCGGCGATTGCCACCATCAAGACCAAGCGCTCCATCCAGTTTGTGGACTGGTGTCCCACCGGCTTCAAGGTAGGCATCAACTACCAGCCCCCCACCGTCGTTCCTGGCGGGGATCTGGCCAAGGTGCAGCGCGCCGTCTGCATGCTGTCCAACACCACGGCCATCGCCGAGGCCTGGGCTCGTCTGGACCACAAGTTCGACCTGATGTACGCCAAGAGGGCCTTCGTCCACTGGTACGTGGGCGAGGGCATGGAGGAGGGCGAGTTCGCCGAGGCCCGCGAGGATCTGGCCGCCCTCGAGAAGGACTACGAGGAGGTGGGCATCGACTCCACCACCGAGCTGGGCGAGGACGAGGAATACTAAGCGTAAGCCGCACAAACGAAATCTTCAAAGGTCCTGTAAACTCTTTACACATCACTTTATTTCTACCAAACACAAAAGCATAAACTCTGGCAATAAAAAAGGTTTAACACAAAAAGCTTGATTTAGTTTTATTTTAATATTTCTTTAAAAAATCATTTTGGAAATCTGTAAGAAATGTTAGGGCCTAAGATGTGCAGTTTTTTGGCACCCAATTTTCGAAAATTTGAAAAGGGGTTACTTCATAAAAAATAACGAAAAATCAGGCCAAACGCAGATTTTAGAGAATTAAAATACGACCATTTATAAGTATTCCACTTGGAAATCGGATGTGTGTAAGAAATGTTATGAGCCTAGAAGTGCAGTTTTTAATCACTTTTCCGCAAAGGCTTTTTTTTTGGAAAATTTGGAAAGGGGTAACACCATTAAAAAGGACGAAAAATCGACCCAAAAATAAAAAATAAACTGAAAATACAGATTTTTAGAGGATTAAACCACAATCATTTGGAGGTATGCCACTTTGAAATCGGATTTCTGTAAGAAAAGTTATGAGCTTAGAAGTGCAGGTTTTTGGTCACTTTTCTGCAAAGCCATTTTCCGAAAATTTGGAAAGGGGTAACAGCATTAAAATGAGCAAAAATCGACCCCAAAATACAAACCAAGATGAGTATACAGATTTTTAGAGAATTACATCACAATCATTTTGAAGTATGCCACTTTAAAACCGGATGTCTGAAAGAAAAGTTATGGGCTTAGAAGTGCAGTTTTTGGACCCTTTTCTGCAAAGTCATTTTTCCAAAATTCGAAAAGGGGTAACACTATAAAAATGATGAAAAATCGACCCAAAAATACAAATCTAACTGAGTATACAGTTTTTTAGAGAATTAAACCAGAATCATTTTGAAGTATGCCACTTTGGAATCGGATGTCGGTAACAAAAGTTATGGGCTTAGAAGTGCAGTTTTTGGACATTTTTCTGCAAAGCCATTTTTCCAAAATTCGAAAAGGGGTAACATTATAAAAATGATGAAAAATCGACCCAAAATTACAAATTAAACTGAGTATACAGTTTTTTAGAGAATTCAACCACAATTATTTTGAAGTATGCCACTTTGAAATCGGAAGTCGATAACAAAAGTTATGGGCTTAGAAGTGCTGTTTTTGGACACTTTTCTGCAAAGCCATTTTTCCAAAATTCGAAAAGGGGTAACATTATAAAAATGATGAAAAATCGACCCAAAAATACAAATCAAACTGAGTATACAGTTTTTTAGAGAATTAAACCAGAATCATTTTGAAGTATGCCACTTTGGAATCGGATGTCGGTAACAAAAGTTATGGGCTTAGAAGTGCAGTTTTTGGACATTTTTCTGCAAAGCCATTTTTCCAAAATTCGAAAAGGGGTAACATTATAAAAATGATGAAAAATCGACCCAAAATTACAAATTAAACTGAGTATACAGTTTTTTAGAGAATTCAACCACAATTATTTTGAAGTATGCCACTTTGAAATCGGAAGTCGGTAACAAAAGTTATGGGCTTAGAAGTGCTGTTTTTGGACATTTTTCTGCAAAGCCATTTTTCCAAAATTCGAAAAGGGGTAACACTATAAAAATGATGAAAAATCGACCCAAAATTACAAATTAAACTGAGTATGCAGTTTTTTAGAGAATTCAACCACAATTATTTTGAAGTATGCCACTTTGAAATCGGATGTCGGTAACAAAAGTTATGGGCTTAGAAGTGCTGTTTTTGGACACTTTTCTGCAAAGCCATTTTTCCAAAATTCGAAAAGGGGTAACATTATAAAAATGATGAAAAATCGACCCAAAAATACAAATCAAACTGAGTATACAGTTTTTTAGAGAATTAAACCAGAATCATTTTGAAGTATGTCACTTTGGAATCGGATGTCGGTAACAAAAGTTATGGGCTTAGAAGTGCAGTTTTTGGACATTTTTCTGCAAAGCCATTTTTCCAAAATTCGAAAAGGGGTAACTTATAAAAATGATGAAAAATCGACCCAAAATTACAAATTAAACTGAGTATACAGTTTTTTAGAGAATTCAACCACAATTATTTTGAAGTATGCCACTTTGAAATCGGATGTCGGTAACAAAAGTTATGGGCTTAGAAGTTCTGTTTTTGGACACTTTTCTGCAAAGCCATTTTTCCAAAATTCGAAAAGGGGTAACATTATAAAAATGATGAAAAATCGACCCAAAAATACAAACCAAACTGAGTATTCAGTTTTTTAGAGAATTCAACCACAATTATTTTGAAGTATGCCACTTTGAAATCGGATGTCGGTAACAAAAGTTATGGGCTTAGAAGTTCTGTTTTTGGACACTTTTCTGAAAAGCCATTTTTCCAAAATTCGAAAAGGGGTAACACTATAAAAATGATGAAAAATCGACCCAAAATTACAAATTAAACTGAGTATACAGTTTTTTAGAGAATTCAACCACAATTATTTTGAAGTATGCCACTTTGAAATCGGAAGTCGGTAACAAAAGTTATGGGCTTAGAAGTGCTGTTTTTGGACACTTTTCTGCAAAGCCATTTTTCCAAAATTCGAAAAGGGGTAACATTATAAAAATGATGAAGAATCGACCCAAAAATACAAACCAAACTGAGTATGCAGTTTTTTAGAGAATTGAACCACAATCATTTTAAGGTATGCCACTTTGAAATCGAATGACTATACGAAAAGTTATGGGGTTGGAAGTGCAGTTATTGGTCACTTTTCTGCATACCCATTTTCCGCCAATTTGGAAAGGGGAAATACTGTCAAAATGACGAAAAATCAACCCAAAATTACAAACCTAAATTTGACACAAATTTTTAGAGAATTGAACCACAATCATTTTAAAGTATGCCACTTTAAAATCAAATGACTTTAAGAAAAGTTATGAGAATAAAAGTGCAGTTATTCGACACTTTTCTGCAAAATCATTTTTCGATAATTTAATTTAAAATTATAAAAAATCGACTCAAAAATACAAACCAATATTTAAACACAGATTTTTAGAGTATTAAACTACAAACATTTAGATGTATGCCGCTTTGAAAGTAGATGTCGGCAAGAAATCTTATGAGCCTAGCAGTCCAGTTATTTGCAAATCCATTTTTCGAACATTTTATTATAATTATTTTGTTGACCTTGTGAAAAAAACTTTGCAATTTAAGGCAGACTGTTTATTTAAATCGTAATGTTTGATAGGGGCTTAAGTTTGCATTTCTAAACGCATGCGCAAAAATGTGTACACATATTTTTCGCAAATTCCGTAATTCAAGACGTACCTCTTCAGGAGTAGCAGCGAAAATTATTCTTAAGATAGTTAATTAAAATTTCTTTGTTCTATATTATAGTGTATTTACAATTTTCGTTGTTGTTAAATATATGTTGTTGTTTGAAACTTTCAGTGAATGTTATTTAATTGTAAATACACATAGAAATTTGCATTCACTTTTGTCTGCAAAATTGTATGTGTATGTATGTATTTTTAACGCAGGAGCCTAGTCTGATAACCTTTTAAAAATATTTTAGGAATTGTAGACCCAGAAAAAAATTTGTAATGTTATAGTTGTTAAGACAGCACCCTACACACATTTAAAATAAGTATACTTATATAGGATGAATATTTTATCTACCCAAATACTGATTTGGAATAATCAATGCTCCCAAGCTAGTTGTTCCAACGAAAAACAAAACCTCTAAGTATATTCTAGTTAAAACAATGTCTTTATTAACAATACTATAAAGGATATAGTATATAAAAAAACGCTATAGTCGAGTGCACCGACTATGTGATACTTACAGACTTATAATACATTTCTTACTGCTATATGTACATACATATATATATATATACACCTGACATCTTTTGTCTTCACACATATACATGCAAACACTAAACGAAGAAATTCCAGAGTCAAAGAAAGTTATCAATAATAACAATAATTATTATTAATAACAATCTGAGATGGGAATTATAACATTAATTAATCTAGCGGCTAAAGCCAGCCAAATATTTCATATTTTACATTTTAAGAATCCACCTTAATGTTATTTATACATATTTATTGGGAATTTTACCTATATTGATCCATAACTATTTTGTCTCTTTTCTAATTGTAAGTATATCAAAAAAATATTTTTTTCAGGTAACACAATAACCATTACACATTACAGGAATATATTTGACTATTTAATACTTTTGGTAATGACATCAAGCGATTTTGTATTTATTAAACAATATAGCGTTTCCCATCCTATCACTTTCGACCGCTATGTCCCAATATTAAGCCACTCCAATTTCCTTTTAGGTTTATCTTTAAAGTCCTTTCCGATTTCATGACCACTTGTCCGTCAGTCTGTCTGTTTATACATACGTCGATCTGTCCGTCAGTCTGTTGCCAATTTCTTCGTATATCTGCCTTTTAATCTGTCCGTCTGTTAATCTGTCCGCCGATCTGTCCGATAGTCTGTCCGTCAAACTGTCCGTAAGTCTGTCCGTCCGTCTGTCCATCAGTCTGTCCGTCAAACTGTCCATAAATCTGTCCGTCGGTCTGTCCGTTTGTTTCGTCCGTCCGTAAGACCCTTTATAAAGCTCTCGGTCACGTTTTGTGAATTCAAATTAATACAAATATAAAACCTCCAGTACGAACATTTATATATTAATTCCAGATAAATGTCTATAAATATCTTTCTATAACAATTGACCTTGTCGTTACAGGATAACTGCACCTGCATAATCGAATTTTGCACCTTGATTGTTTGTCTATTTAACAACAAGTTAAATATACATACACCAAGCAAATTAACTTAGATTGGAGCAAAGGAGCTCCATCGGGTTATAATAATGATTATTGCATTTAAATAGCTTACTTTTTATTGAAGAAATGTAGGCTTTAAACAAATGGGGTTTGTAAAGTTAATAACTTTGGTCAAGACTGGTAAGTAGTCACCGATTTCAGAGACAAGGCGTCCAATGTTGGTATTTACAAAGGAAAGATACGAATTTTGGATTGCCCAATAACATTATAAATATGTTAAGAATAGCTTGGGCTTCTTTATTTTGAGTTGCCAGTTTTCGGATTCGGATTTTCACTTAAAAGTAGTTTAATTATACAGTACTTCCTAAAATCTTAAAAGGCGTAGCTGGACATTTAACAGAAGAAGCAACCTAGTTAATAAAGATTTTAGCACCTTAGATAAAAGAGAGATCATTTCTGTATCATTTTGTCTTGATTGATTAATTGTGTACAATACAATGCTTCTAACAATCTCTCAAAAAAGAATGTTGAATAGGATCAAAAGATATTTTTTGTTCTATGAATCCCAAGTTTCCTCTAGTAGATTCGGGCTAATAAGAATTGAAACAGAAGGACAAACATGGTAGTTGAGTTTCTTCACTTTCGCTCATTCAAATAGATTCATTCCTAACGATTATAAATTTCAGAGTTCAACATGCATCGGATACATGAGGACGAATATTCTGAAGACGTAAAGGAATCCGACTTTAAGGGCTCCATTCAGAAGGAAATATCAGTCAAATCGCGCCACCATATTTCCATACCAGATATTTGCACAGATGCCGTCAAGAGCAACTGTTTTCCGCAGACGGGCTTTTTGAATAGCTCGATCGCCTTTGCCTCACATGTAGTAAAGTGCAGCTCTCCGGCCTCGAGCATAGATGAATCTTCATCGACGGCTCAGCACGAATCCAATCCCCACATGCACATACAGGGCCAACACATGATGGCTCCAGTGCCCGATCTTGGCTTCTACAATGTCCCAGAGTTCATTTCGGAGCAGGAGAAGCTCATGTTTTCCGATGCCGAAAGGTTTTTAAGGTCAAAAGATAATGAAGTGTGTAGTAATGATTTTAGCTATATGCATGACGAATTCGCCATGCGCAAGTATTATCATCCTCTATTTGCGCATGGCATTTGTCGCTGGCCCGGTTGCGAAATGGATCTGGAAGATATCACATCATTTGTCAAGTAGGTTCCTTAAATTTGTAGAAAATATAATGAGAAAATCATGGTAATGAAACCCTGTTCCAGGCATCTGAACACTGAGCACGGATTGGATGATCGATCAACCGCTCAGGCTCGAGTTCAAATGCAAGTTGTTTCCCAGCTAGAATCCCACCTTCAAAAAGAAAGAGATCGCTTGCAGGCAATGATGCATCACTTATATCTGTCCAAGCAACTTTTATCACCCACCAAAATTGATCGAAAGGTGAGTCCTTCTTAAAATTCATATCCAAATAGCTAATGAATGTTCATAATATGAATAATAAATATTATTTAATCTTAGGACGTACCCGGAAGAGAGGGAAAGTTTTGCAGAAGTCCCCTCACTATAAATAGCATAGGTCGACCTATCCGTCAAACGAACTCTCCGAGCTCCCTTAATCTACCAATGGTTAATTCCACCAACCTATGTTCAATCAAAAAAAGAAGTCACGACAAAAATTCATTTTCCATCAATGGTGGTGAGCAGAAATTATTCTGGAACATATATTGGGTATAATTACAAGACATAATTGTGTAATTTTAGGATTACCGTATATGCTTGAAAGAGCTGGGCTTGATGTACAACAGGGTAAGGAACAATTCCGATCTGATCCTTTTTAATATTTTCCCTGTTTGTGCTTCTGGAAGACATATAATAAGAATTCAAATTTTCAGAAATTCATCGGAATAGAGAATTTTACAAAAATGCTGATGTACGACCTCCATTCACTTATGCTTCCCTCATAAGACAGGTAATTTCAAGTAATGATGTATACTTTTTTGGGAAATGTAAAACCGAATGTGGATTTCTGTGTGCCTACCTTATAAGTCCTTTATTATATATTGAAATATATTTGCAGTCCATCATCGACTCTCCAGACAAACAGCTAACTCTGAACGAAATTTATAATTGGTTCCAGAATACATTTTGCTACTTTCGGCGCAACGCGGCCACGTGGAAGGTAAACAAACTCGTTTTAAACCTTGTTTATATTAATTACCGTTTATTTAAATTAAGTGTTTTATAATTGATTATAATTGATTGTCCGTCTGTTTTCTGGTTCGTTTGTCTGATTGGCTTTATTAGCTGGTCCGTTTTCTTTTCGCCCTAATATTCGTTTTCCATATGCCTATCCCCTTAATATGTCCTAGTTAAAATATAAAGTCTCAGTATACATGAGAGTTCTCAGATAAGGTAAGATATTCAAATAAAACTATACTCTTAGTTTTTTTTTTAAATTGCACATAAATATATTATAAATGTATCTTAAGTTAAATACATAAAGATGGGCCAATGCTAACTGATAATATACACCATTAGAACGCAGTTCGGCATAACCTGTCTCTTCATAAGTGCTTTATGCGTGTTGAGAATGTGAAAGGCGCAGTTTGGACTGTTGACGAAATTGAGTTTTACAAAAGACGACCTCAGCGCACTGCTGGCATTGGTAACAACCTAACAGGTGCTACCAATTCGCCGGACACAAACTATTTTGTAGCTATGAACATTGGGTATGTGGGTCTTAAATAGATTAATACTTACTTTGCTCCAACTTACTTCCACTTTGCTCTGTTAGTAAATATATGCCATTAAATGCATGCCTATTAAGATGACTTATATTACACGGTTACAAATGAATACTACGACATAATAAACATTTTTTACAGCAGGTATTGTGGATCATTGCCGTGATTACAATCCCTAAATGGTGTCCGTCCGCTCATCAGTTTTAATGTCTGTCCGTGAATAATGGAGATAGTGAAGGCTAGGAAAATGAGTCAACATGTTGCGGAAACACTCTACGAAAATATTTAAAGAAGCCAAATAAACTAACATTCTTTTCTCAACGAACTTTTTCTTCCTTTCCCGATGATGCGTTTTCCTGTTATTGACTCTTGTTGGTGCTCTTGGTTTATCCAATAAAAAATTATAATACAATTAATAACTTATGAAGAACGCGATTCGAACAAACCTATCCTTGCATAAGTGCTTTGTACGATACGAGGATGACTTCGGCTCGTTTTGGATGGTCGACGATAATGAGTTTGTCAAAAGGCGGCACTTGTCGAGAGGGCGTCCCCGGAAATACGATCCATCCTCCTCCCCAAACTCCTGCCAATCTGGCAATGGAGTGTCTACTGACAAAAATCCCTGCGACAATTGTCCCCAACACTGCTCCAGTATGCCCCCGGGGGCTGAAAATCCCCATGATTCGAACAATCCAAACGATATCGGCCGAATAGGTTGTCTTCCTTTTTGCGGAAGTGATGGTTTAAGTAAAACGTCTAAGGACTACAGCAATATTGATTCGGTTATGGTCGAAAGTAATAATCATTTAGCAATGGATGAATACTCGACTAATATGTACGAAAGTAGTGCCAATGAGCTTACTCGATAAATGTATCATTAATAATATCTATTTAGATGCATTGTCGAAATATCTGAGTTATTCAGGTTAATAGGTTCGGATTCGGAAATTATACTTGTAAATATACATAGATCTAAGTATAATTTCCTAAATAGAAACGAAGACACACATACTTTTAAAATAAACTACTCTAAAGGCACTAATAATAAATAAAATTATTAAAGCAAAACTCATTTAAAATTATGCTTTAATAAATCAATTGATTAAACGACTTAAATATATTTTAAAACTACAATTTTAAGGGTTTTTTAGATTTTCAAACTTTTCATAAAACAACAGTTCTCCGATGAGTATTCACCGAAGTAAGTTCTTGTGTAAGGTAATTGAAATCCTGGTTTTGGTAAGACAACATTTTTATCCGGCTATAGAATTGGTATGCTGAATACATTTTTCTCTTTTCTAATCTGCTGACCTTCTTATTGCTCGCATTTTCAAAAGTTTTATTAAGCATTTCTTGTTTAATTTCAGATTAATAGACAAACTGATAGACCAGCAAATAAAATAGTATTTACTACAAAAACCCAAACCGGTTTTTTTATTCTAAGAACCTAAACATGAGTGCAATTTTCACTTTTTCCTGTGAATAAATAAAACAATTCGTTTAGTTTTTGGGCTAGTGGATACTCAGACCATTTATGTGGGGGCTTCCTATTTATAGACTTAAAGGAGCCTACAAATATTTAAAATCAAGCCCATAAAACCAAATGGTTTAAGTTTAAAGGTTTCTAAGATTTTGTAATTTTTGAAACTTTTTCGGAATGAATGGGAATTCCCCCTATTAGTTTAGTGTGTGTTTTTGCTAAATTGCGTTAGTGCGTTTCTCACGCGTTAGTGATTTAATCGGCATTGATATTTTCAGCCTCAACTTAATCGATGGTTGCCAAACTTCTGGAAACATCGATAGAATCAAACAGTAATCGATTTTGGTTCCAGCTCTAACGTTTTGTGACATGAAAATTCAACGAGGAAACTGTGTACATGAATAATTAAAAAACTAAAATGGTTTCCATGCAATTTGTTTTGCAACCGCTTCCGGGCTCAGACGACCAGTTCATTGAAAGGTAAATATAAAGCTGGTGCTCCCCAATTGCGCACATGTGAACGCAGAACTCCATGTAATTGCGGACATTCGGCTGCATGTATTTGTTATGTGAAAATATGTAGGTACGCAGGTATATGTATACGCAGGAAGATATGTACATGGTCATAAACGCGAAATGTGAGCACAGACACTGGCGGATTCGCCATATCTAATATTGTCCACGCGAAACAGTAAACATAAGCCAAAGAATTGGCGAAATGCACTTTGCAATTCCCATTTTTCAGCCACAATTAATTTTCTAACACATCCATATATGCGTGTGTGTGTGTGTCTGTGTGGGACATGTGAACGTTGGCATGTGTGTGTACATGTGCATACATGCTGATTAATTTGTCCGCTTTTTATATTTAATTCTAAGCAAACTTTTGAAAAGTTTAAAGTAAACAAAAGATGGTTACATATGGTTAGATGGTAACTACATAAAGTACATCTTTCCGGCTAAAATAGATCAAGCAACATAATTTGCACATGGCTGTTTATATATACTACTTCGCTGAAAGTCAGTTTTTTACCACATGGTATTGAAATGTAGTGATTTCCATAACCCATAAACATAAAGGCAAGAATCCCAAGCTACCGGCTAGGCTTTTACGATTGTAACATAATATTTCTAGAAGTTGCAAGTTTTCTAGCTGACATCCCTGAAATCTCCATGATTGCCTTTAAACAAAGAAAACGATATAAAAATGCACCCTAATTTTAGATGGATTAACGGATTTGGAATTATATGAAAACCTCATGTCTGAATTGTATACTTAAACTAGCTTTGTTTATTTTCATTATAGAATTCGGGAAGTGTCAGAAAAAGTCAACAGATTTGGTTATGGCACTCACCGCATATTCGAGCAGCTAAAAATTCCTGTGAGAGAAGTGGTAATTGGACCCACCCACATTGGTGTTTTGCTGGAGGATGGCAAGGCGTTCCGCGTGTCCTTTTCCATTAATTCGGAGAAACTTGACTTAACAAAATCAGACGCAAAATGGTAAGCAAAAGTTAAAGCTCTTTTAGCAGTGTGTAAACTTTCACCTCGAGGTCTATTTCAAGTTCCACAAGTGGTGGCGGCGGAACGGCCAGTGCCTCGAAGGCCCCCTCCTCATCCCGACCGATGGCCCGGTCCAGAGCACGACTCCTGCGCGCAACAGGTCGCTCCAGTTCCACCGGACAGGGTTCCGGATCTCGTAGCACGGGTGTGATTATCGGGGGCAGCACCTCAAACCGACCCCTGGTCACAGTTCCGGCCACATATGTACCAGAGGAGCTCATATCCCAAGCAGAAGTGGTTTTACAGGGCAAGAGTAGAAATCTCATAATTAGAGAATTGCAGGTATGCCCGAAACAACAACAACTAATATCCTGAAATATGTTGAAATGTTTTCCCTTTTATAGCGCACCAATTTAGATGTTAACTTAGCCGTGAACAATTTGCTTTCGCGCGATGATGAAGAAGCTGAAGATACCGAGGAAGGTGCCGATAATTACGTGCCTGAAGACCTTATCTCACTGCTGGATAATGGCTTTAGTGGAGATAACAACAGCGTCATCATTGATCCCTCAGATGGACTTTTTTCGGAAGAGATATTTAGCAATTACTCGAGCATTCGCAAGTAAGTAATCTAATTTTTCAATTCGTTTAAATTTGTAATATAAGAATTAACAATAATTTATTAACAATCAGGGAAGCTTTTACTTTCTAATATCGTATTAGTTTTAATCTAGGTACTTGAACTAAACTAAATATCTCAATATTTTGTACTTAATTCCAGCCTGCTGTTTGACCGTATTCGTAGTGAGCGCAGTAATGCCAACGCAAATGCCGCAGACAGTAATCAATCGACCCGCTCCACAACATCGGGCACAGCTCTAACAGGAAGCAGTAGCATATCAGCTCAAATATCGGTTAATGCTGACCGCGAAGCATTTAGCCGTTGGCGCGATCGCCAGTACTATGGACCGCGACGCTGGATAAACAAAGACGACTATACTTGGGAAAAGGATGCTGGTAAGTTCATGGGCCACATGCATTTTTTTCGACACTGATTTACATTTCTTCATAGATTCCAAAAAAAAGGAGCCATCCCCAATGTTGTCTCCCATCTGGATATCGGAGGAACTGCAGCCTTGGCCGGAAAAAAGTTCTGTAAGGTTTAAAACTATAGGCGCCTTATATTCGGAGTTCATTGCATTGTCGGAAGCCGGAGATTTATACCAATGGCGTTGGTCAGATGCAGAGCCCTATAAGTCAGAGGTAAGTAATAAATAACAGCCATCTTTTTTTAATTTTTCCAATATATTCCAAAGGAAGATGAATTTTTCGTCTTTTATTTACTTGCACCTAATTTGTGTTTATTTATTCTACTTTGCAGACTGATAATGTTTATCATCCGAAAACTGTGGCACTCAACATAACCGAGAGGGTGGAGTTAATTTCGGCAAACTTCATCAGATGTTCCGTGGTTACGGAAACCAATCGCGTGGCTACTTGGATGGACGAACAGCTTGGGTACCTCGGGGCCAAGCTCGAGCATAATTCCTGCTCCTTCAACGAGTTTACATCGGATCCTATAACAAAGATTTACGTCTGCTCGCTGTACACGGTTGTTAAAACCGACAGCAACAACATCTACTGGTGGGGAGTCCTGCCATTCGATCAACGACGCTATTTGTGGGACAAATTCCGGACAAAGACCAAGAAGCCCTTCAAGGTGGTTGCCACCGATATAAATGTTGGCGCTCAAGTGATAATGAAGAAATGTCCCATCTATCAATCTGGATCAATCGGATTTACGTGCTCCAATGGCGTGCCGAAGGTTGGACAGCTTTTGAATTCGGTTTGGAACTTCACCGATGTGTGTCGCATGAAAATCATAAATATAAACACAAATGCGGGGGTGGAAAAATCACAAGCAGCTGGCATTAACTTGAACGCCCATGGAATTACGCCCGAAAAGGATCAGCCAAAAACGACGGCGCTGCCCAGTGCTGGGAGCAGTAAGAATGGCCAGTCATTCTCAAACAGCAAAGAGTCGACCGACCGCATAGACATGCCCCCTCCTCCATCGCCGGCATCCAGCACCTGCAGCGACACCGGCAGCGTCACATCCCACAAGCGCACCAAGCGTGTGACCACGAAAGAGGACTCCAACGCCCCTCAGGAGGGCAGGAAAGATGAGGAGCTGTGGCAGCTGAAGGACGTGGTGTTTGTGGAGGACAAAGTGGGTCCAGTGGGCAAGGTGCTTAAGGTGGACGGAGACTTTGTGGCTGTCCGTTTTCCGGTAATGAATGCAGCAGCCGCTGCAGTTGCAGCTGCTGTCACCACCGCCAGCTCCTCCTCGAATGCAGCATCCACATCCAAGGAAGAGGGCAAAGAAGACGACTGGCAGCAGTGTCGGCTGCTGCGGCGCGAAGATGTTCAGATATTCCGGACTGCAATGTCTACCCGTGGTCCCGACTGGCTGCAGAAGCAGCCCAAGAAGATCAACGTAGGTGCCGATGCGGCTGGCGCCCAGCTTTTGACCCTGGCCGTGGACTCCCGCGGCATTCATGTGATTAAGAAGGTGCTCGGAAAAATTCACTATAGCCTGTACAATTTGTATAACAGCAAGCAGGAGCAGAACTGCCTGTTCCCCACGGACTGTGCCTCCTTCATTGGCTCCTCGCCCAGCAACATCTTGATGGCCTGTAACAACGACTGCAGCGGAAACAGCAGCACCATTGTGCTGCGCGATGGCAATGGAGCTCTGTATCCCCTGGCAAAGGATTGCCTTGGCTCGATCAAGGATCCCCAGTGGTTCGACCTGCCGCCGGTAAAGTCCATCACCATGTCTACCATTTCGCTGCCGGCAATGCTTTCCGGCGTGAATTTGAAGTCAAAGGTGTGCATGACTGCCTTGCTCTTCGACACCCAGAAGCTCATGCCGCACATCTTGCGGTGCGATGTGAAGAATAGCTTTGCTGCACTTAGTCGCTTGGAGAGAGAGGATCAAGCGGATACGGCTTTGGTCGTGGAAGAACGTTGCGATGGAGCACGAAACATATTCCATGCATGTGTGATTATGTGTGCCCCATCATCGAACAAGGATACGCCACCAGATTCGCCTAGTGGAGGCGTCGAGAAGAAGTCCCTAGCTGTGGGACTCTCCGTGGCGCGCTCTATCCCAACGGTATCGACTAGCGCTTACGTCAGCAGCAATGCATTCGGAGCAAATGCGGCCTCCAGCAATGAGAACTCCAGTTTTGCCACAATGAGCTCCTCTGGCGCGGGATCCGCCTCCTCGGCGAGCAGGGATAATCGAAGCAATCTACGAGACATGATGCATCGCCTGATCAACAACGATCAAGCGGAACAGTCTGGCAGCCAGCCAATGGCTACAAACAACGAGGACCACGCTTACATCCCTTGGCCAACTGAGGCACCGGCGGCCAGCAATCTGAGCGCCAGCGCTTCGCAGAACATCGCGGACAGCATCGAAGATGACATCTCAAAGATTATTCCGTCCTCCTCGCAGAGTTCCATGCTCTCCAACATCAAGTTGGGATCACCTAACTATACTTTTGACCTGGCTCAACGGCGGGAACATGCGTTGCTGATCCTGCAGCAGATGTGCGTCAGTCCCGCCCTGCGACCGTACCTTTGCCAAATGCTGAGCACCAAGGATGCGCAGGGCCAGACGCCGTTCATGCTGTCCGTTTCGTGTCGCGCCTACGAGGCAGGTATCATACTTTTGAATACCATCCTTATGCTGTCTGAGCAGGATCCGCAGCTCAAGGAGGCCATGATTTTCCCCAGCGGTTCCCCGGCAGATCAGTCGCCCCTGCATGTCATCTGCTACAACGACACCTGCTCCTTCACATGGACGGGGGCTGATCACATAAACCAGAACATATTCGAGTGCAAAACTTGCGGCCTGACTGGATCCCTGTGCTGCTGCACAGAGTGTGCCCGCGTCTGCCACAAGGGACACGACTGCAAATTGAAGCGGACGGCACCAACTGCCTACTGCGATTGCTGGGAGAAATGCAAGTGCAAGGCCCTGATCGCCGGCAATCTGACAAAACGCTTCGCGCTGCTTTGCAAGCTGGTCTCCTGCACTGATTTGGTCACCAAATTCAACTCTAAGGGCGAATCGATCCTGCTTTTCCTCATCCAGACGGTTGGCCGACAAATTGTGGAGCAGAGGCAGTATCGCTTCAACGTAAGGGTTCGCAATGTTGGCACCGCGGCGAGCGGAGCTAACGGAAGCAACACTGTTATATCAAATCGGAAGGCTTCCTCCGCTGACATGGATACCGACATGCCGGATCACGACCTGGAGCCGCCAAAGTTCGCCCGTAAAGCCCTGGAGCGGCTGTTGATCGACTGGAATGCGGTTCGCTCGATGATCATGAGTGGAGCGGAGAAAAGCGAGGTGAACGTCCCGAATCCAGCAGCCAATGCATCCGAAAACTCAAACTCGGAGGGCTTCAACATGTTCATCCAGACTCAGCACGGCTCCACGCTCCTTGACAAGTTCACCCATAGCTTAATCGTGAAGTGCACTGGCGACCATCTGGACACGTTGCTGCTCACGCTGGTGCGGGAATTGCAGAACGTAAGCGTGGTCAATCGCTGCAGGGAGGCCGAGGAAGTGGCGCGTCGTTTCGTGCGCTCCGTGGCACGAGTCTTCGTTATTTTCAATCTAGAAAAGCAGCCGAATCCGGAGAAGCGCAAAACGCACACATCGTGCAACAAATACGTTCAGAGCTGTGTAAAAGTATTCCAGACGCTGCACAAGATTTCCATCGAGGAGCTATGCGAGGTATCTGAAGCGTTGATTGCTCCAGTCCGACTGGGAGTTGTGCGACCCACTGCTCCTTTTACAATGTCATCGTCGAACCTGGATGTACGTGTAAATATGCAAACTGTTTTTATTCAGTAACTTTTTGTAATATTAATTATTTCTGACAAAAATTTGTTCGATTTTCAAGAAATGTTAAAATGTTTTCATCACTCTTATGGTGCTTATTTACTTTTAGAACTCTGACGATTTGTTTAGCGTGGATCCTTTGGCACCCTCTAACGTGGAGTCTCCTTCCGAACAAATATTGGGACACGATACTGGAAACGATCAGAGTGCCAGTTTTAACATTCAACAAAACTACGATGTAGTTGCAATGGAAAGTAAGTGCTTCCTCTAAAGATAAACGTTTACAATTGTAAAATTAATCACTATTTAAATTCAGCGATACGCGACACCTCCGAATCGGAAGAAGCTATAAATCGAGAAGCTAATTCCCACAATCAAGACGATGAATTAATAGAAAATCAACGAAACGAGGACGGCATGCAAGACGATGAGAGCGATAATGACTTTACTTTCAATGACGCTGAAACTGAGTCTGATTCCGATGACAATCAAAGTAATCAGGAGGTGCAGAGAAGCGTTCAAACGGGGGCAACAGTTGGCTCAGAAAATGGTGAGTTGCTTAATACCAATTTTATGTCATTTCAATTAAATCATTTTTTTTTTTTTTTTAGACATTGGTGTCTTGTTCCTGGAGGATGAATCGGGAGACTCGTCGGCCCAAGAAGAAGATGGCTCGGAGGATGGGGAGTCCGACGACCATTCCGACGAGTTCAATTTTAATGACCAACAGCTTGAACGTCGCAGCACGAATTCGAACACTCGCAGCGACCTGGCTCCGCAAACGATGCAGTGGGCAATTAGGAACCGTGAAACTGCCCGCTCCTCCGTAAGGGTGCCCACCGGTTCCAATCTGGTCTTTATAGATCCGATGGCACTGCGACGCTCCACTGTCCCGGCCAGCACAACGGTAACCACTCCCTCGATCGAGCCCCACACCATGGCGACAACGGCCAGCAATTTGGCACGGGCATTCGGGATCACAATAAGACAAATATCGGAGCTTATAAGCATTCTATCCTACAACATAGTAAATGACATCGAAACTTCATTAAAAATTCAAAATGATGAGGCAATTGCAGTCCAAGTTAGTACTTAAAACTATAGTTGCAAAAAAATGCCAACCTAAATAACATTTCTATTTGAAATTTCCTCCATGCAGGCATTTGTTGAAAAGCGTTTAAAGGCAACTTGGGATTGGATGTTCACCGTAATGGATGGAACCGAGGCACAATTGAAGTTCGGAGCTTACTTGACCAACTACACCGATCCCAACCATCCGCTGCATCCGCTTAATCTCAGTGCCCAAGCTTCGACTAGCACAACGCCTGCTCCTGCTACATCCTCGTCCGTTGGTGTGAATATGATGGGTAAATATGGGACTTATGCTCTTCAAATAGGGTATTAACATGGTTGTATTTTGCAGGATCCAATTCACGTAGAGATTTCTTTACCTACTGTTTATCTTTGATGCGAGCCCACACTTCTGAGCACAGAGATGCCCTGCCAGTGTTGGATATAACAGCTTTGCGTCACATTGCCTATGTGCTCGATGCTTTCGTTTACTATATGCGCAATGATACGGGCTTCTATGACAAGCAAGAGACCATTTCTGGTCGTATCAATAATCTGTCGCCCATGGTTGAGAGCTACGATACGGACGACGAGCTGACCAACCTGGAAGAGTTCAACGCCGATGTTCAGCCGTCTACGAGTAGTCTGCCTTCGGGGAGCCTAGGCACACGCAGACACGCGTTCTTTGCACGGTCGGAGTCGACTTTGAGCTTGGGTTGCTCAGCGCCGGAAGGCTTCGATCTTCCTCTGGATATGGCCATGCCACTGGCGGATAAACCACACTTGTTGCAGCCAAATTCAAAGCGCCAGGAACTATTCGCCAACCTACCGCTGCTCGTTACCACGAGCGCCAACAGCAGCGCACCCAATAACCAAGGTGGCAGCATTTTTGATTACACTCCTACGAGGCTGGGATTCTCGAATTCCTTAAAAAGGACCGAACATGTTTATGAAACACTCCCGGCCAAACAGTCTGTGGATGTAATAATCAATATGGATACTAGTAAGACGGGTGATGGAAATGTAACTTATAAGGCTGACGGCTCTACCGACTCTAATATCTACGTACAATTAAAAAAGAAACAGGGCTCGGATGATTTCAAATCCCACAAAGAGGCTGATGGTGAGTAGAACGATTTTTAAATTATACCATGGTTAAATTAATTAACAACAATATTGTAATTGCTCTACAGGGAATCACAGCAAGTACGACAAAGTTGTGTTAATGGAAACTGATGATATAAGCAGTCTTCCAAGTACCAGCAAATCGACTGAAGCGTTAATGGCCACCCGGCCAGAAGTCATCATTGCGCCAAATAAAGCATCAGTGTCACCGGCGACTGCAGCTCGCAGCGTTATAGTTCTCGCGGGTGGTTCCTGTTTAAAGACGATTGATTCGGACTTAAATAATTTCTCGGCTTCAAATTTATCGAGCGCAGAGCAAGCTAAATGTGATACACATCATCAAAAGTCGGGGACACACACCCCGCTAAGTTTTCCCGCTCGCGGTTCGCTGTTTTACCAAAGTAATTTTTCGGATTCGCCGTCGTGGAACTTTTTGTTAAGTCGTTGGAAGTTAACGTTGGACTTATTTGGTCGAGTCTTTATGGACGATGTGGGAATGGAGCACGGGTCTGTGTTGCCGGAATTGCGCGGATTCCCCGTGAAAGAAATGCGTTTCCGTCGTCACATGGAAAAATTGCGCAACGGTCAACAGCGCGACTTGGTGCTATGCAAACTGGAGCGAAATCGTGAAAGTTTAATTGTTCAAACGTTCAAGGAACTAAATACCCAGTTTGGCAACCAAAACCGACGAGCCCAACCACCCATCACATTCAACCGGGTGAAGGTGACGTTCAAAGACGAGCCGGGCGAAGGATCTGGAGTGGCTCGCAGCTTCTACACGTCGATCGCAGAGGCATTGCTTGCCAGTGCGAAAATTCCCAATCTGGAATCTGTGCAGGTGGGCAGTAGCAACAGTAAGTACGGAGTGCCGTTCTCGAGCATCCTACGGAGCAGAACGGTGTCAGGGTCTAGTCGTGATCAATCCACTCTGCAGAGGCGTGGCACCAGCAGCAAAATATTATGGCGATCAGCTCGAGAGAGAAAGGCATTGAACTTGGATGCCAGACCGTACACCCCAATGAATAACTCAGGTAATTTATTTACAACCCAACCCACAAAATGATAAACGAAAAATGGAGTTCTTAAAATAACTATCCATATATGATATATATACAACTAATTTGTTTGAATGCTCTATGTAGATAATGCGATGCCGGAAAGCATAAATGATCATTTATCTGTCCACCTACAACAAATTGGAGAACGTCTGTACCCCAAGGTAAGTTAGGAAAATTAAACGGATGGAATTCAAGTCATTTACATTATTTCTTGCTCAACAGATCCACTCTATTAACCAAACGCATGCTCCGAAGATAACAGGAATGCTTCTAGAAATTCCCACTCCTCAGCTTCTGTCCGTAATTTCCTCAGATGAGACACTACGTCAAAAAGTGAATGAAGCGATAGAAATTATCACGTTCAAATTAAAATCTGAGACCAGTGCACAAAGTAGTCAACCAAAAAAATCACCATCTGTAGTGCTGGTCGAACCCGTAGATGACGATAATGAGCCATTATTTTATTCTCCGGGAAAGCGGGGCTTTTACACACCACGCCAAGGCTTTGCGTCATTTGAGCGCATTAATGCATTTAGAAATATTGGAAGGTAAAATGATTAATGTACATTTCGGTTCATAGTTTTAACTATCAATTTTTATTTTATTTCCAAACAGACTAATTGGACTTTGTCTACTGCAAAATGAATTGCTTCCACTGTTCCTGCAAAGACATGTATTGAAATACATTCTTGGACGTAAAATTAAGTTCCACGACCTAGCATTTTTCGATCCGGCATTGTACGAATCTTTTAGGCAAATTATTCAAAATGGCCAAACAAAAGAAGGCGAAGAAACTATTAATCGAATGGAGTTATGCTTTGTGTAAGTGGATAACCTTTAATTATATTATAGGCTTTATATAAATATTCTTGAATTCTAGGATTGACTTGATGAAAGAGGAGGGTTGTGGCAACAGAGAGCTAATTCCAGGCGGCCGCGATGTTGCGGTTACATCTAGTAATATATTCGAGTACATTAGACGCTATACAGAATATAGACTTATCAAATCCCAAGAAAAGGCACTTGAGGTATGTCGCAATGTTGCGTTAAATAATTGTTCGTTTTTATTTACTATTTAATGTTTACTATTCTCAGGCATTAAAAGACGGAGTTTTCGACGTTTTGCCCGATAACAGCATGAACAGCTTGACCGCTGAGGATTTACGTCTGCTGCTGAACGGTGTCGGTGATATAAATGTTTCAACATTAATTTCATACACTACCTTTAACGACGAATCTAGCGAGGGTCCGGATAAACTTTTAAAATTTAAGAAATGGTTTTGGAGTATTGTTGAGAAAATGAATATTTTGGAACGTCAAGATTTGGTAAGAAGCTAGATTGCACACCCAGCTAAAAAAAACAGACTTGATAACAAAATTCCTTTAGGTGTATTTCTGGACCGGATCGCCTGCGCTGCCAGCTTCGGAAGAGGGATTCCAACCATTGCCATCTGTCACCATAAGACCTGCGGATGACTCTCATCTACCAACTGCGAATACGTGTATATCCCGGCTTTATATCCCCCTGTACTCCAGCAAATCTATTTTACGCAGTAAAATGCTGATGGCCATTAAATCCAAAAATTTTGGATTTGTATAAGCGACTGGAACACTTTCCTATGTGTATAAGCTTCAAATTCATTTCTTAATTAATTTTAGATTTTTTGAGTTCCGCTTGTCATATTTAACCATACCATTCCCATTTTGAATTATATATTGTTTAAAATTTTTTTCGAATTTGAACATTTTACGTAACATTATTCAAAGCGATTGGCGCGGGTCTGACGGTCTGGTTTGCCCTAACCTTGTAGTAAAAATATGAAGTTTCCAAACAACAAATGTAACCAAGAAAACGGCCAATTAGGTATTAGGAAGCCTATGTTTTAAATATTAAACTTTTAAATAAAGTATGTTTTCTAAAGTATGACTTATGCACATGTATATTTATCGATATCGATTCAATAGAAATTTGAAGAAATAAACAATAAAAATAAGTCCACCCTATGGAAATTATGTATGATACAAAATTGAATTTCATTTTATTTGGGTACCTTTATTATAGTTTTGCTGGAAATTACCCTGCATATTTTCTTCTAAGATAGATTGTTGGTACCTTAAGTCCAAAACAGGAATGATTATAGAGAACTTAGATTGGACTCCCATTTTCAATAAATAAATACATTGGTTTTGAAATAATAAATAATTGTTTATTCGTAAGACTTCTAAATGTACTAAACTGAAAATGTTATGTTTCATTCATACTTTTTAATTAATTATGAATAATGTGTATATGCGATATACTGATGGTGCATAAAAACGAATTCTTTAAGTCTTACCCGAACCATGCGATAGATATTAAGAATACTTTTAGAATTACAAACTAGGATTGCATAAAGTGCTCAGGAGACACTTAGTAGGTAATTATATTTTTACAGTATACATTTAGACTGTTTGTCTTCCTGGGATATTTTTGACAAAACAATAAGATAGACTTACAGGGTATTAAAAAAACAAAAGCAAACTAAATTAAAATCGACATGTTTTCCCTTAATCTGCAACATAATCAAAATTATAAAAAAAAAACAGGCAATATGATTATTCAATTATCACTGGGAATCGTTCAACTTCCTCGCACTCCTTGTTGAAACTGGAAATAAACTCCTGCAATTTAGCCTCATGTTCGATATCCCTACGAGGTCGTTTATTCTGTGGCTGCTTTTTCTGCGGAGAATCAAAGCTTTTTTCGTGCGAGTCCTGCTCGTTCTCGTCCTCAGATTCACTCTCAATGTACAAAATCTGCACTCGCTTCTTTCGCTTGCGCTGGGGTCGCTCCTTTACATAGGTCCGCCTTGGTTGCTAAAATAAAAATGGAAATGGGTTTGGAAGATATAAATAAGGTTTTATTAACTTGAAACCTAGAAAATACAAAAATCATACGCTATTCGGAAGCAAATCTTTATAAATTAATCATAGAAAATTTGAATTTTGTTGTCATTTTAATTAACTCGATAAGATTCATTATTTTACTTTTTTTTTGTGTGAGCTGTTTACTACCGTACAAAGACAGGCTTAATTCTTTGCGGCCCTGTTGGCTCAACTGAGATCGGTAACATGTCCCAGTTTGGTATTAATCTAGCGCCAATTGGTCAGTATCCACACTGAGTTAGCATTGTCGATACCTTCCTGGTGCAAAATTAAACATATAACCTTATTCTTACCTTTTCGTTGAATGTTTTCTCCGGCTCGGCTTCGTTATCCTTAAACAAACCTAAGGTCTCTTCTGCAGCCAGTGCAGCTTGTTGTTTCCGTGGCTTTGGCATCGAAATCATCGTGGAGCAAAACACGTCTCTAATATCCCGCTGCTTAGATTGCCATCCTCCCAGGTAATCGCCATGCAGCGAGGCGGTTGATACCTCTGGTAGCTCCCTATCGCTGGGACGCAGCTCTGCCAAACGATGGAGTTTATCATGCAGGGTTACGTTTTGGCTCAGAGGAGTAGAAGAAACAGATGCTACATCTTCGTTCTCTGTGATGAATTCCTCAAAGCCGAAGAGATTTGCTGAAGTAGATGTACGTGGTTTCGTTGATTTTCTTGGCATATCTTGGCATGGCGCGATTTCTTCAATTCCGAAAAGGTTTGCCTGCGTTTGACTACGATTTGCAGGAGAACCTGTCCCCACTGAATTAGTGGTTACTCTGGTGGGAGAGATTTCATTCGAGGGAGTGGTCGGCGCATTTCGTGGCTCCATTGTTTTTCTCGGTATATTTTGACATGGTGAAATCTCGTCAAAACCAAAAAGATTCGCCCGCGTTTGACTGCGATGTGCTGGTGATGCAGTTGCTGCTGGATTAGAGGAGACTCTGGTGGAAGAGATTTCTTTAGAGGGAGTGGCTTGCACATTCTTCTTCCATGATGGCAACACAACCACATCTAGAATGTTAATGTCCTTAAAGGGCGTGCGCTTTTGCAGAGTTTTCCGTGGATTTGGCAGGTGCACAAAGTTCTCCGCATCCTCCGCATTAACAGCATTTTCCTGATCATTAAAAGTTATTGTTTTGCTGGCAGTGGGAGGCGGGCGATTCTCCTCATTCGAGTCATTCGCATTAGAGCCATGACTTTGCTCGTGCAAAGCCGGGCAAATGGATTCCTCGTGAACGGGTTCTTCTGATTGCTCCGTTCGTACATCAGGCACATAGACATGCCGTCGCCGCACGTGATCACTGGAGTAAGACGGCAGCTGGGAGGTGTTGAAGCCGAACATAAAAGTATTCGGCATTGGCGACTCGTCGGGAACGCGCCAAGGGGATGCCGCACTCACTGGACTCCCGGCAGACGGGGACGGCCGATTAATAGGCGATATTGCAGCGACTGAAGCATTCGCTTCTGGTGCCGGAGGAGCCTTGCGATTCAGTGGCGTGCTTACCAACTGACGCGCCATGTTAATCAGCTCTCGACGTCTGTCCTTCGAATTAGGCGGCTTCTGCGTCTGGGTCTGATTTAGCATCGCGGAACGGGCCAAATTGCTGTAGGCGCCATCTTGGGCATGCTTGGAATTGCTCGGCTCGACATTCACCTGGACAGACACCTCAATGGGCTCCACTGGCTCTACATCGTTGCTTGAATCCTCCTCGGGCTCGTAAATTGGCGGCAATGGGCATGATGGCTTTTGCATGCGCAGTTCTCTGATTTTAGGTACAATCTCCACTGGCTCGGGCTCTATGTCCTTCAGCGAAACCTTTTTCCGCTTGCCCACAGGTCTTACTTTCTTTTTCATTGCCTTGGCCCTGGTTTTTCCGGAATTTTTGGAGCGCATCATCACGCAAGCCTTGCCGTCCCTTACCATCCGCTGAACTATGTCCGCTGCGGGATCCTCCCTTCTATTGTCATCTTCAATCTGGGATTGGGAGAGGAAATCGAAGACATTGCGGGTCACTGCAGATCTGGTTCTAGCTGGCGGCTGATCTCTGTGGAAAAAGCGAGATGGTTTTGTGGATGCCACCTCCGCCGCAGGTTTGGTAGAGCCAATATTCCTTAGGGGCACTCGACAGGGTGATTTTTGTTTTTCGGGGCCTGTAAAAGATAAGTTTTGAAAAATACTATTCCACCCATCAGATGAAGCCCACTTACCAGCTACTTTCTCCCTGGCATATTCAGGTTTCTTTTTTATCTGTACATTCTGAAGAACGTGCATCGTCGAGTTACGAGCCGGCTCGAAAACGCTCGCATCAACATCGAGCGGAACATTTTGAGATTCACTAGATATGACCCCCTCCTTAATTTTAATGCGCTTTATTTTTACCACGCATTTTCTAAGCGAGCACTGGGGCTTCGTTATGGCTGCTAGAATATCTTCGTCAGATAGTTTTTTATTACGCTGGCGATAGCGTCTTTTTATGGTTTTCACTTCCGAGGCCGTAGCGCAAGGTACTGCCCGAGTTTTAACCATTTTATCGAAATTAATTGTTAATCAGATAAATTTCGTGTACAGCTCCCGCCATTTTCGTCAGTGGTGTGACCGTTCCTTGATCTTTTAAATATGCCAGAATATTCTGTGGTATGGTGTGAGACTCGGCTAGAGGATGCCAACATGCAAAGTATTTTTCAACACTGATCACCAGGGATACACCGATAACTGTCGATAGGCGGACAGAGAACCAGATGATTGCCCTCGCAATAATGTAAAAAATAAATAATTAGCTGTTTCCAAATAATCCAAATTCCAAATTCCTTGCACTACGATCTGCCGTGCGTGTGTGTGTCGCTGTGAGTGTGTCCGGGCAGTATTGTGTCTCGCCCCCAAAACAACTACAACTGAATATTAAGCAAGAAAAGAGGAAAAGAAAATCCCCAAACCGAAAATCGAGTGAAAGTTTTCTCGTCTTTGTTTTGTAATTGTGATTTTCTTGCCTGCCAGCCCGCATTACTGGCAATATTGGATTGACGGCTATATCGACGCTGCTGCGGGCGCGGGTGGCTGACGGCGATTATAGCAATACAAATACCTATATAGCTATTATAGCGCTCGCGGGCCGATTTCTTGGCCCTATTGTGATTGTGATTGTGACAGTGTTATATATTTAAATCGAATCGAATCGCCGTCGCTGTCGCGTTTTCTGGGACTGCTGCAAAAGGCCTTGCGAATTTCTGCGCCAGGTACTGTGGGATGTGGGACGGGATGGATGGATGGATGGGATGGCACGGGGAGAATCCCAATAAGAAACTAGCGCGAAAACCCCCCTCTTACATACCCACGTACATCGCACGCGATACATACATTAATACACGAGCGAATAATGGCAACAAACAATTGCAAGCGACCCAGTAGTAGCACCACTACCACTACCAGTACGAGTATCAGTACCACTAGCACCACCACCACCAGAACCAAACCAATTCAATCCAATCCCAGGGACAGAGACCCCGAAGGCTGACTGTGACGCCACTGGGGGAACCGAGCCAAGGCAGATGTATCTGTGGATGTATCTGCGAATTATGTCTCAGGGTCAAGGACATTGCTTCTGCCTCGCTAACCGTTGTTTGACCTTATTAACAAGTTGGGAATGGTGGTTCGAGCACCGAATATGGGAATACCCTTGCAGTTGGTTTATTTCCAAGTCAGATTAAGGGTAGAATAGTGCGAATTCGATCCTAGTTCGATGGTATATAGAATCAGGGGACCGAAATAAAACTAGTATTTATAACTCAAGTTATACATTGGTTCGGATTCTATCAAACTTATTATAATCTTCTAGTAATTGTATTGTATTTCAAATCAGCTGATAAAAAATTTCTAGGCATGCTACAAGATACTTTTGTTTAACATTGAACAAAATTATTCGCTGACTTGCTTTGCAAGTAACACAAAGCTATAAAAAAAGTAATGATAATCATTTTAAGTCAAAGATTTTTATGACAGTTTTAGGATATTGTGGTCTCACAGTAAAAAACAACTTTAAAGCAAGATGATTTATCGTAAATAACAAGGCCCTTCCGCCAGGTTATTTAAGAAAATTTGTAACATAGTATTATTTTAATTAAGCCTCATTTAAAATAAGTAGTTTTGGTTTCATTAAAGAGAGAAAAAGTAAACCCATTTAAATAGATCCGACAACATCTATAGGAAATAGTCAATTATTGATCAAACATTTAAAACCTTGTTTGATTGGATAACGCCTTTTATTAGATTTATCCCCTTAATTTGACTGCAGTATAGTATTCAAAATAGTATGTCAACAATCTGTGCTTAAAATCCCGTTTATTAACAGAGCAACTGCATCACTCTGGCTGGCTCCGCACACAAAACGATGTGCGATACCAAAGACGATGCGCAGAAATGGAAATGTGAAATTTGCACCTACGAGAACTACCCATCCTCGCTGAAATGCACCATGTGCCAGGCGTCGAAGCCGCTGCTCAACGAGGACATCTTCCGGTGAGGGAATCCCGTCGAGTCCTGAATCCCCACTCTTGCTAAATAATGCACTCTTTTTGCAGTCTGAGTCCGGCCCAGGACAGCAGCTCTGTTGCGGAGGAGGCAGCTGCTGTTGAAGTGGCCGTAATGTCGCCCACACCCTCGTCCACGTGCTACTCGCTCCAGCCGCAGAACCAGGCGCGGCAGAGCAACGTAGCGGACAGCGAAAAGTGGCCCTGCAAGGTGTGCACTTACCTCAACTGGCCGCGCAGTCTGCGATGCATCCAGTGCTGCACGAAGCGCGGAGGAGAGGCCATCGAGAGGGGCAACAAGGACAACGAGGCGGATGCGGATCGTGCTGGAGAGGCACTGCAGGCACTTCGCATCAGCGGATCAGAAGAGAACCTGGCCAAAAAGCCGGCCCAGCTCATCGGCGCCACGGCCTCCAATCGCTTGAGCCTCAGTCCTGGCATCGACGATGCCACGCACCTAAACAATCTCGCCAATGCATCCCACAACCAGTCGCAGTCCCAGCTACGACAGCCTGTCCACCAGCAGCAGATGCAGCTCCAGCTGCAGCCCCAGCAACAACGGGAATCCTCCTCCTCCGCCGCCGTCCCGCCGCCGCAGCAGAAGCAGTGCTATGTGGCCAAGTGGGCGTGTAACGTAGGTTCCAAACAGGCTAACTTATTCCTAGTAATTAATGGCATTTATCTTCCATAGTCGTGCACCTACGAGAACTGGCCGAGGAGCATCAAGTGCTCCATGTGCGGCAAGACGAGGGAGATCAGTGGGTCGCAGAATGACTTGCACGCCTCATCCAGCTTAAACAGCCAGGAGGAGCATCAGCAACAGCAACAGCAGCAAAACGTAGACACCGTCAGCGTCAACAACTCATTCAATAAGAAGCACATTTACCAACTGGGTAATGCTTCTTAGCAGGATTTCCCTATAAATGGCTAATTGATTCGCATTCCAGGTTCCTCGGAAACCATCAACAACTGTGATACGCTGCAAGAGCGGCAGGAGCGCCGCCAGCGTCAAATCCGACGGCAGGTGGACTGGCAATGGCTGAACGCCTGCCTGGGCGTCGTAGAGAACAACTACAGCGCCGTGGAGGCGTACCTCTCCTGCGGCGGCAATCCCGCCCGCTCGCTGACCAGCACCGAGATCGCCGCCCTCAACCGCAACTCGGCCTTCGACGTGGGCCACACACTGATCCACCTGGCCATTCGGTTCCATCGCGAGGAGATGCTGCCCATGCTGCTGGCTCAGATCTCCGGCTCAGGGCCGGGCATCAAGCGTGTGCCGTCCTACGTGGCTCCCGACCTGGCGGCCGACATCCGGCGCCACTTTGCCAACACCCTGCGCCTGCGCAAGTCCGGCCTCCCCTGCCACTATGTGCAAAAGCACGCCACTTTCGCCCTCCCCGCCGAAATTGAGGAGCTGCCAATTCCCATACAGGAGCAGCTCTACGATGAGCTGCTCGATCGCGACGCCCAGAAGCAACTGGAGACTCCGCCGCCGGCTCTGAACTGGTCGATGGAGATAACTGCTCGCCTCAGCTCCCGCATGTTCGTCCTGTGGAACCGCAGCGCTGGCGACTGTCTCCTGGATTCGGCCATGCAGGCCACATGGGGAGTCTTTGATCGCGACAACATCCTGAGGCGAGCACTCGCAGATACTCTGCACCAGTGCGGGCACGTGTAAGTGAAATGATCTTTGTTAAAGTGTAAACAAAGGTATTTTCAAATACAAAGTACGCATGGACGTCTTTTGTATTAAAATAGCAGGGAATTTGTCTTAAAATTGTGAACAAAGAACCATTGATACTTAAATCTTTGCGGAAAAACTTTTTATTAGGTTGTCGACGATATGAGTTAGTCACCTAAAAACCATTGTATTCAACACCTTTGCAATTGTTTTTGTAGGTTTTTTACTCGCTGGAAAGAGTACGAGATGCTGCAAGCTTCGATGCTGCACTTCACGCTGGAAGACTCGCAATTTGAGGAAGACTGGAGCACACTTCTCTCGCTGGCCAGCCAACCGGGCTCGTCCCTGGAGCAGCTTCACATCTTTGCGCTGGCGCACATCCTTCGACGTCCGATCATCGTGTACGGCGTCAAGTACGTAAAGAGTTTTCGGGGCGAGGACATCGGTTATGCGCGTTTCGAAGGTAATTTGAATTGCCTTTTGTTTATTTACATTCCATTTATTTCTTTGTGTTGCCTTTCAGGTGTCTACTTGCCTTTGTTCTGGGATCAAAACTTCTGCACCAAGTCACCCATAGCACTGGGCTACACGCGCGGTCACTTCAGCGCCCTGGTGCCCATGGAACCTTTCACCCGCATCGATGGGAGGCGCGACGATGTGGAGGATGTGACCTACCTGCCTCTGATGGACTGCGAGCTGAAACTATTGCCAATACATTTCCTCACGCAATCAGAGGTGAGAGATTTTGAAGTTTTTTTATATATATCTGCTGTAGATTATTTGATCTTGCAATTAATCTAATTCCCGTCCACCTAATTAATAATATAGTTGTTTACTCTCCGGGACACATTCCGTTTTTATTTACATTTAAAGTAAAGCCAAAAGTATTGTTTTTATGTTATGTTATATATACTTTATATATGCCAACTAAGTGTGATTAACCGCCTCGTATTATTACCATTTAGTTTATTATAAGCTAATACAAGTCCTTGCTTCCTTGCAGGTGGGCAACGAGGAGTCGATGATGCGCCAGTGGCTGGATGTGTGCGTAACCGATGGAGGGCTGCTGGTGGCGCAGCAGAAGCTCAGCAAACGTCCATTGTTGGTGGCCCAGATGCTGGAGGAGTGGCTTAATCACTACCGCCGCATTGCGTAAGCATGACTTGATCTTCTGCCAAAGTAGACGTACTGATTAATTTGTGACCTGCCTTGCAGACAAGTGATAACGGCGCCCTTCATTCGTCGCCCCCAAATCACACACTACTCGAGTGATGGCGACTCGGACGAGGAGTAGATGCGGCACATCCGACACCCAGCTTTAGATTAGATATCTGCGCATATAATTGAATATCCTTATTTTGTAATTTTGGCGATCGGTAGCAGATGACGTTGAGACGAGGAGAATAAGTGCAGGTCCTACACATTTGCACTCGCAGTTAGCTAAAGGAAACTATAGAGAATACATATGCATATATTGCAAGCAGTTGAAAAGTTGTAGTTGTAACTAAATTGAAAGCAAACTAAAGGTTAAGCAGCAAAGTACGAAAATAGATTGATCGACGTATGTAAATCATATCCGTTCCCAATTCAACGCTAGTTGATTTTAGTCAAATTTATTCACACAGGGTCGCCGAGGCATTGTAGACCATATAGTAAACAAAATTGAAGCTATATACACTGGTAGATCTAATTACACTCACATCTGAAACAATCCATTAAATGAATACGTGGCCGAAAGGCGGAAGAGAATTTAAGCGGTGGATCTTATACACCTTTGTACGCGATAAATGATGTTAAACACCCACGGAAATCCTCGGCTGCGGGCTTAAATTATTAAAAATCTCAATGTACTATTAAATTTTAAACGGGTGGCAAACACACAGCATTGTAATACTGCGGGTGAATATGAAAACGTCATTGAAATGTTAATTGATAGTTTTTAAAACACTTTTTGGAATTATTATGAATCATAACACATTCATGCCTATAAATATAATATATATAATTATATAACATATATAGAAATCCTATGGTTCTAGAAAGTTGAACAAAGGGCCAATAACATAATGAATTTTATTCTAACTGTATTATAAATGGAATTTTATCTCATTATTATTTTTGTTAGTAATGTTATTACAATTATTATTATTACTACCTTTTAAGAAAGCTTACTGTGCAAATGTACACGCAAAACGCATAAAAAAGAAATCACTTATTTAAATAAAAGTTTTAAGTAAAGATTTAAACTAAAACGAATAAAAATTATTGATTTTATTTCTGTTAAGTTAAATGGGATAAATAGTTTAAATATTTTTTTTATAATGACAGGTTTATTTAAAATACTCATATTAGCTTATTTTAGTATTGAGTTTTTAATCTAATTTTGTTCTAGAGAAGGATTAATTACAAATTATAGAAAGATCTACCATTGCCTGCTTCGTGTTAATTGTAGGATTGATAACATTGGTTTTATTTTCAATTGGAAAAGGTTCATCATTATGTATATTTATGTGGTCTTTAATTAGGTTTTATAATTATTATAAATCTAATCATTTTAAATACTAATTTAAAATAATAAGTATTATTAATATTTCTGATAGTTGATTTGATAACGGTTTATTCCCAGTGTCATCTCTAGCTCATGCTCTATACTCTCTCCTAGCCAAGGTCAGCACCACTCTACCCAGTTTCATTACCTTTCCGTACTTTTTATCCGTGCAGTATATTTGTTGCCTATTTTAGTGTATTCTTCAGAGCACGATGTTTTTGACGTCCGAGCGGTATCTCTCAGATACTTAGTCGTTTTTTTGCTGCCGTCGGTTTCGTTGCTGGTGCGGTGCGGTGTTTTTTCTGGTCGCAACTCGGATTTGAGAATCAGACTTTCAGGCACTTATAAAGCCACCATTTTCCCTGTGATCTTTGTCGGCGATTCGAATTTGCGAGTCCACAAGCGTAAATAGTAAAACGCAAAACTCACTTTCGTCATTTGCGAACACAGCAACCACTCTCTTACCGAAAATCACACGCTCACACTCTCACACAATCGCGCTACGCAGATTGCGAATGCATACGGCGAAAGATACAAATAGAAAAAGTCTAAGCAGAAGGAAAAATTTGTTAGTGAAGTGAAGAGGAAGTAGTGGTGACCTGTGCGCGAGTATTTGTACTTTCCCCGTGTGTGTCTCCTGTTCTGGTGTTTGTGTGAATCCCTCCCCCGTTTTGCAGGCGCAAGAGCGAAGAGCATAGCAGTATAAAGTATCTTGCCATGGGTAAGTTATCTGCCGACACACAGATACTCTCTCTTCTTTTAGGTGTGTGCATGTGTGTCTGCGCAAAGTTATCGAAAGGGGGTGGTGGGTGGTGCGATAGCCGCATTATGGCATTATCGGCCTTATCGTATCGGGAGTGGTTGAGAGGGAATGGTCTCAGGTGCTCTTTCTCCGGTTCTCCCCGTCCCCGTTTCTCTCCACCTCCCCCACTTGGACCCACCGGTAGGTCATCAATCAATAACGGTCAGCTGAGAGTTGGATCTCCCACTCGCCGCTCTCTTACTAACACTGCCCCACTCGCATATGATTGTACACTCCCTATTTTAATTTCTCAGCTGCGATGACGTCAGTGTTGTTGTAAGAACAAGTTTCGTGTTTGCTTCTTTATTTTATTTTTCGTCCCAAATCGAGGTGATATCGGAGAAGGAGGAGGAAGAGGTGGAGGAGCGAGAAGCTAAAAACCTGACCGAATAAACCTCAAAGTGCTTGTGCATGCAACTGCAATTACACACGATACCGTTAGGGCGTCCCGCCGTGAGAGCCAGCTGCTCTCGAATAACCTGTAAACCGTTTCGATGTGAATGGGTTTTTGGATTCTTACATTTGCTTTTCTGCCTTCTCCGGTTGCCGTTGCAAAGGGCTTTTATACCGCTATTCGAGACATGTACTTGTATTGTCAATGATTAATTACTCAGCTACTCCGCTACTGGCCCTAATTGAGTTCATGTGCATACACTGGGCTATAAGAAAGGGTAATGCCTTCTAGTTTGTGTGGGAAACATTTTAGACAATTTCGAAACTTGACTTAAATGTTCTTTGAGTTACGATCATATTTGCATCCGAGGCCTGCAATAAAATGTATCATTGCATACTTTTATGGAGCCAAAATTTGAACACAAAAGATTTATTTGGAATTTCTTTTACTTCTTACGGTTTTTAATAAAAAATTTAAAAGTAATTAGAATTGAAATCCAGAACTATGTGCTTTTATAAACATTTTCCTGATAAGTGCAGATCTCTTTTCAAATTCTATGAAGCCATGAACATCGTGTCCCGAGTTATAATATGTTAGATAAATTGTAATCTGCTAATGATAGGATTCACGACCCCGATAAGAGTGGCCTTAATGAAACATTTATACTTTTTATTTTAAACTTGTTTTTGTATGTTTAAAAACAAACAGGCATTCAAATTTGTAATTTAATTTGAACAGTATCAACCTGTTGAAATAAATCTTATATTTTTTCCAAGTGGATTTGTCCCGACTACAAGTAGTCGCATGCGTGCCTAAAATGCCTAATTGAGTTGGACTTGTGAGAATGGGGAAGTGGACGTCGATGTGGTAGACCCCATAATGTGCAGTCGCTCCTCGCCGCAAAAGGCTTAACAATAGCCATCCGAATCTCCATCTCCGGCAAAGGCGGCTGCAACTGCTCGACATGAACTCATGACGAGCGCATTGACTTCCACTGGGTTTCCTTTTTCGCTTGGCTCGCTTGCCCGTGCTCAAATGAAAACGAAAGGGGCGAACGACTCCCCCGATCACCACCCTCCCGCTCATTCATTTAGTCGGATTTTTCTCATTTATTTTGTCCGTTGATTTGTTCGTCTCCGTCGTGCATTTCATGGTGTTTCGTAGCGATTCCCAGGCGGGGTTATATAGGTCAGAGCACTTGCATAGAAAGTGGCATCTCCTCTTATGTCGTGTCCCCCTTTACGCCCCTACCCCCTGTCCACCTCCTTATTTTCCTCATTTTCCCATTTTCCACCCCTCCTCCACCCGTTCACTTGCCTAATTGAATGCTATTTTCGTAGATGCAGCGTCATCAGCTGCATTTGTGTGGGGCTGCTCTTTTCACTTTTCGTCTAATAAGCATACAGGAAGCACTTTCAAATCGACCGAAGTACCGAAAACTCTAAACTAACTTTGGGTATACTTATATGTGCGATGCGTCAGGTAGCACAGCATAAAAAAACACTTGCAAAGCAATTCGGATTTGATGAGTAATGCGTGGAAGATACAAACTTATATTTATGAATAGCAGCGGTCAAGACCTGGTAGAAAGTTTTTTTTTTACAAAATATTTAAATGTTTGAATAAAAAGCAAGTTTCTATAAAATATAATTTATATTCAGTTTTTTGAAATATAATTTATACTTCTAGATACCTAAAGTAATGATTAAAAACTTATAATGTTGTATCAATTATAAATTTAAATCCTGTTTAATGTTTAGCTATTTAATAATGCATTGTATAAATTTTGACTATTTTAATAATATACGAAAGTTACCTGATGAGGTACAGATTACACACTGGATTTGCTATTTAAGTGGCCTCAAATGTTGATTTGATTTGCCAAATATACATTTGTGTATATTATGTTGTTGCTCTTCCAAACTATAAATGTTTGTGCGTACAAACAGAACCATTCGTGGGTGAAATGTAGGCGTGGAATGTACAAAAGAGCGATGTTTGCTTTCGGTTTTATTTATTGTGTGCCAGCTAGGCTCATTTCCAGCCATGTCGGAGTGGCGTTCCCACCGCGCTCCACCTGTTTCCGCAAGTCGCCTTGACCTGCTTTGTCCTCGACATTATCCTGCTCGAATTCAGTCAAGGATTTGACGCACTTGCTCCTGGTGAACTCGCACAATGCGCATTGAGTGCATGTCGTGTCAGTGACGAAGGTCGTTTCTCTCTTGCTTTATTTCTTTTCCACTTTTCCAATTCGATTTTTCTTGCACTAAAAAAAATGCACGTGAAACTATGGAAATTGTTTTTTTAGTTAATTTATATTATTTTCTTTCCAAATTGAATATTACTTAAAATATTTAGAATACTAATAAAAGTCAAAGAATAAAGTCAATATCTATTATACTTTGCCGTAGTGGTACTTTTTAAAGCACTGGAATAATTTAAATATTAAGTAAATGTAAATATTATGATTATGTTTCGACAGAATGTTTATATTAGTATTTTGTTGCGTGTAGTTTTTTCCAATTGTATTGCTGTCATGTTTTTCTTCGATTTTCTTATTTAAGGTTAGGGTCTTTTAGGCTTTTTGGGCGCGGCTAAAATTAATTAAAATATTTTTGCTGCCCTGCGGCTTGACCTCTCCACATCGGATCGATGGGGCCGCTGAGGCATGTTCAGAAAAATGCGACTGTAACCTTGGACTTGCCCCCTGGCAGCCGGACGGGTTTTTATTATATATTTTCGGATCGACTTTTCGTATTTCGTATATCGTATTGTTTGTTTGTATTTCAAATTCGAGCGTGCTTCAGCCCAACCAGTTTGTTTGCGGGTCCAAGTTGTGGCAGATATTCGCAGCCGTACTCGCACAACTCCGAAGCTCGAAGCTCGACGATGACATCATCGCCGTCACTAAAATCGCTCTGCGCAATTACAATAAAATAACACTGAAAATGAGCGCTCAAACTTTTATTGTACTAACTTGGAACCGACGACGACGCCGCTTTGCCGGCTCTCTGTTGCATGAAAATGTAATTCTCGCTGGATTTGTTTTGCCAATTATCGGGTGGCTGCTAATGCGGGAAAAAAACGAGCTGAGAACCCAATAAACAAAACGCCAAAATCAATATGCAAATTGCGGAAAAATGTGTGTGATTGCATAATAAACAAGCCGAAAGGCAGTGAAACATAAATGAAATTAATTAAAAGTAGCGAACCACGTACACGAACTTTAAACAAACCCGCACGCATACACTCACGTACCGCTTACCGGGGACGGAAGTTCGCGTTGGTGACGAAAGCCCCTGTATCTGTATCTGTATCTGCTACAGCGATCATCTTTGTATCTGTATCTGTACCATCAGGTCGTTTGCCATTTCAACTGGACCGCTGGCTGTGAAAAATTTCGGTGGCGTCACCGCACAAATAAATATTCATTCTTCAATTTGCGTATATAATGTGTATATTTGCTGTGTAGGTAGTTTGGCAGTTTGACTTTGCAAAGCAATCGTATATATCAAATAAAGGTATTGGGTTTAATATCAAAATAAACAGTGGGGAGTACTGATAATGTGAACGGCACTCCCTTGAATTCATATGCAATGACCAGACCCAGAAGGGTCTTTTTATTCATTTTCATTTTTCCCGAAGTTCATTGCACTTTGAACAAGAAATATTCAATAAGCAGACAATGAAGTTATATTTACATAACCCTAATCAAAATATTTTGAATTTAATCATGAATGAACTTAATAACATTCTTGTAAGATTATGGGTCTTAGATTAGAGCAAACATACATGTTATAGGTCGTATAATTAGAATTTCTTGATTAATTCTATTTCATTTTGTGGCGATCATTGTTTAATATTACTTGTAGTTCTAACAAATTGTTAGACCCTCATATAAACGTTATAATATAAGATAATGGCTGGTACCGTTATGCGGCATACGTCACTATTATAAAACAAGTTAACGGCACTCATAAGCCTGAGCTCCGGTCTTATCAATACAATTTCTATTTTGGAAGCAACCCAAATGTGGAAAACAAAAAGTCGCAAAGGCCTGAAAAAACAACTGAGAGATAGAAAAAGTGCTCAGACGGCGCGCTATAATGTGGTTGTATTTATAATGTGTTCCCTCTTTATACGGTGCAACCGGCTGCTTTTAGCCGATGTGTGGTTCTGCTGTTCTGCCGTCTGTTTAATCAACCGCAGACTTCTGCCGCCGACTGCCTCTGGCGGACAAGAAAGCCTCCAGAACAGATCAACACATCAGTCATGGCCAACAATTAGTTTCGATGCGTTCTGCCTTCATGCTACTCTGAGTTTTGTGCTCCGAGTTCTGCGATGCCTGGTTATTAACACGAAAGTCGGCGGAAGACAACGGGTTGACTGTGTCAAATGTATACAAATATTATATGAAGCCATGTAGGCTAACGCATGATATATGGTTTTGTAGAGACTGAACATAATTCTCAGCTGCCTCTTTTTTTAAGGGAGTTCCTCTGTAAATCAAAATATTAGGACCCACCAACATACCTTAATTGTCCAAACAATTTGTTATTTTTTGTTCGGAACAATTAAATATCTATTAACTGCCGGATGTGTAATATATGTACATCTCTTACAGTGTATAAATCTTTACAGAAAAGCTCATACCAATTCATTGTAAAAAAGACTAAACAAACTGGAAAACAAATACTTGGTTATTGTTGGGTAATTATTTATCAAACAAGTGATAAGGCTTATAATTATTTAGATGCCTTTTGCTCAAATGAACTGGATAAAGCGATACCCAAGAGAGTTTCAAGAAATCGCTTCTCAGCGATTCTAAAAAGGTTGCAATTTTGACCCTTCTCGCATTCTTGGTAATTTTTTATGAATGCAACTCTTGTTATCTTTGTTGCCGAATGGGGTTCGTTTTTCGCCCCATTCCACCTTGTTGTTTATTTTGCAATTTGTTGGGATATTTCCCGCACTATGTATACTGACATAAATGCAAATGTGAAGGTGCCATGTTAGATCTATTTAACCTGTTCCACACTTGTGTACATTAACGAACGGCAAATGAGTGTGCTGGCTTTTTATATAAAGAAAATATGTGGCGGTAAGTGTGTTCCGCCCTTGGCCTTATCAATGATAAGATTAATTACTTGCCAGGCGTGTGAGTCACACCGGCCTAAGAACGATTTACGGGTATGTCGGGGTGTGTAGAAGAGTTGGCCTGCCCGAGACTGTCAATATAGGCAAACAAGTGTGGGGGCCACACATGTAACTAATCTCCGTGCCATAAGACATACATATACATACATACATTTATCCATACTGAAAAATTCACAGACAAACCGATGTACCCTCGCACGTTCGGAATGGGGTTTCAAACTGAGAGCGACCAAACGGGGCAAGGTTGGGGCATTATCGCATCACATGCATATGACATCAGCGCAACACTGCGTATACGTAATCTGGCGATAGCGCTGATTGAATGAATTGAATTGAAAGAGACTGGCCAAGCTCTACTAACCGGTGACCTCTTCTTTTTCTACCCATCCCCCGCAACAGGTAAACAAAAAATTTACTGTGCGAAATGCACGAAAAAGTGCTCCGGCGAGGTGCTCCGCGTGGCGGACAACCACTTCCACAAGGCCTGCTTCCAGTGCTGCCAGTGCAAGAAGTCCCTGGCCACCGGCGGATTCTTCACAAAGGACAGCGCCTACTACTGCATACCGGACTACCAGCGGCTGTACGGCACCAAGTGCGCCAATTGCCAGCAGTACGTGGAGGGCGAGGTGGTCAGCACCATGGGCAAGACCTATCACCAGAAGTGCTTCACCTGCTCCAAGTGCAAGCAGCCCTTTAAGTCGGGAAGTAAGGTGAGTTTTGGAACTACCAAGTACCTCCAGATATAGTCAATTGAAGAATTGCCGTCTCGTAGATATGTAATCTCTTTATTGACAATAGAACTTAACTAGTTTGACTTATAGAAAGGTGCCACAGAAGTCTCTAGAGATTTAAAATTACGTTTTAAAAGCCCATTGGCACCCCTGAGATAATAAAAAAAAATCTTATTCCAAAAACAAACTAATCACTTTTAATATTTACAGGTTACCAATACCGGGAAGGAGGTGCTCTGCGAGCAGTGCGTCTCTGGGGCTCCAGTGTCGCCCAGTCGTCAGGCAGTCGGAGGAGGGGTGTCCTCACCAGCGCCACCGGCGGAGAGCCCGACGAGGGCCACCGCCCACCAGCAGCATGGAGGAGTCATCTCGCACAAGGCGCATCTGAAGGAGGACTACGATCCCAACGACTGCGCCGGATGCGGGGAATTGCTGAAGGAGGGCCAGGCCCTGGTGGCGCTGGACAGGCAGTGGCACGTGTCCTGCTTCCGGTGCAAGGCCTGCCAGGCGGTGCTCAACGGGGAGTACATGGGCAAGGACGCGGTGCCCTACTGCGAGAAGTGCTACCAGAAGGGATTCGGTGTGAAGTGCGCCTACTGCAGCCGCTTCATCAGCGGCAAGGTGCTCCAGGCGGGCGACAATCACCACTTCCATCCGACCTGTGCCCGCTGCACCAAGTGCGGCGATCCCTTCGGCGATGGCGAGGAGATGTACCTGCAGGGCAGTGCCATCTGGCATCCGCGATGTGGTCCGGGTCCCTCCGAGTCCGGCATCATCATCAACGGAGGCGGTGGCAATGCCTCGGTGGTCGGTGGAGCCTCCAACGGCAACTTCACAGACACCGAGTGCGACCGGATGAGCTCCAGTGCCCTTAGCGAGATGGTAGGTAGTCGGCTCTCCACGAGGCGATGATGATAAACGGCAGGAGAATCCAACACGATCCCGAATTTAAGGCGGCTGAGCTTGCAACTAATTTGAATGCTGCAAAAGTCACAAGAAAGCACTTACACATCCATTTACAAAAAATTAAGGACAAGATGTTCCATTTCTTACCAAGATGGGTGATATTTCAGACCTTTGCAATGTATTAAATTAATACAATGAAAAATTTAAATGTTTATTATTCATTATAATAATATTTAGCTTTATGTAACTAGGCTAACTGAAATATCACCCAACCGAAGTCACCACCCCCTGCACCAACACACACAAACCAACACATGCAATTTATGATTTTATAATTTCAGTTCTTTGCATTTTAGTTGTTTTGAGCTTGCGTTTTTATTTTTCGTTCGTTTTCAGTACATCCGCTCCAGAACTCCGAGTTTTAATGGTTCACTTTATTCCTCTAGCCGCAAGGTTTGTTTTATTATTTTTTCTGATTTCCCTTCATTTTCTGCCATCGTTTTGAATGTACTAAACCTCCAAAGAAAAACACACGGCACTGCATGTTGAATTTTTAATCAGAGTTTGGCACTAATGTGATTGTTCTTTGCAGCACTATCGAACGGTGAGTCCGGGTCTGATACTCCGGGAGTACGGGCGACCCAATGCCGAGGACATCTCGCGCATCTACACCTACAGCTATCTGACGGATGCCCCGCACTATCTGCGCAAGCCGATCGATCCGTATGACAAGACGCCGCTGTCGCCGCACTTCCACCGGCCCTCCTCCTACGCCACCACGGCCAGCAATGCGGGATCCGTGGCCGGAAGCCGTCCTCCGTCGCGTCCCCACTCGCGGACTCGCAGCGCCATGAAGGTCCTGGTCGACGCCATCCGCTCGGAGACGCCGCGGCCCAAGAGTCCGGGCATGAACAACGAGGAGCCCATCGAGCTGTCCCACTATCCGGCTGCCAAGAAGCCACCGCCGGGCGAGCAGCCCAAGATCGAGCGGGACGACTTCCCCGCGCCGCCCTATCCCTACACGGATCCGGAGCGCCGGCGGCGGTACAGTGACACCTACAAGGGAGTGCCCGCCTCGGATGACGAGGACGAGAATGTGGAGAATGGCAAGCAGAATGGCAAGGCCAAGAATGGCGAGGAACAGCAGTGAGTGTTAAATGCAGAAATTAAATTCCAACACTATTTAAATCTCTGCCTTCGATAATAGACGCCTTCAACGCGAAGCCGAGCAGCTGGAGAAACTCAACTCGGGCATCGGTTCAGTGATCGCCAAGGACCTCAAGGAGCACGCCAAGTACAGGAAGTGGAAGCAGAACAACCTGGATCCTCGCAACGCGTCCAGGACGCCTTCTGCTTCCAAGGAGCCGCTGTACAAATTGAGGTAAGTTACTTACCCAATAGTGTATAAGAATTGTTTCCTGGGCTTATGAATTTTGCACTTATTCGAAGTTATTTGTTTAAATTTAAATCGATAAGATTGCAATCACTTAAGATTGAAATAATTTAATCGATACAGGGAAATGGTATTGTTTGCTTTAATAATAATATTCCAGATAAGACAACATTTTAGGGACAGCTTAAAAAATAATTTTCGTTTTGGACTATTGTAGTTTATTTCTTATTTATTTGCCTTGATATCCTTGATATTGATATTTAAGGACTTACTTATTCGTAAACATTTTTCCATTGCAGATACGAATCGCCCATTGGGGCCTCTCCCTCGCGCAATCTGGACCACCAGAAGCCCTTCTACGAGGACGAGATGTTCGATCGCTCCACCAGCTATCGCGGCTCGCTTGGCAAATCGCTGGGAAATGCGCCCAGTTACAATGGTAATCCTCTAGCCAGTATAGCCTAAGTCCCGTTTTTCAGGCGAGCGATTCGATACCGATATTATATCTAGCCCAATTACGTTTATAGCCATACATTCCTACCGATCGCCGCCCAAGCCCGGATACGGATTCAAAACGACGACGCTGCCCTATATACGCAATGGCTACAGCTCCGTAAGTGCTGCGTGTTGCTTTCGATCGCCTAGATCAGATCAGATCCTCGGTGCCGGGCTATCGGTTGTGTCTTGTAGATTACCCACTACCACTCGAACCTATATGTAATCCCAATTAGTTATAACTCGATCTGTTGCTGACGGTATTCGTTTGTCTTTCTCTCACTTTTTAATGCTGCCACTCGTTGCTCACTTGGATGAACTAACAATATGTTTCGCATATGACTCAACTGGTTGGTCTGCTGCTTCATTGTGTGTCTAAATCCCTAACCTCCCTATGCTACCCAAATAAATCTATGTGTATGCTATTGTTGCCCCAACACCATCCCAAAAAACAACCCACAAACTAACACCCATCCACACTAACCAAACGTGAACTCAAACATTTGCATCATGAACATCATCAACATCACTTGAACACCATCTACTCTGCTCAGTGGTGAGTGCGCTGCGCCATGTGCCCAAACCAGGATACGGCCTGGCACCACGCTCCCACACATTCAGCTCCACCACATCCGCTGCGGCCACGATGCATGGTGCCACTGTAAGACCGCTTTTGTTGTTGTTATGCCGTAGAGTCCTTTGAAACCCTTTTTCGGTTGAGTACCTGTTGGTGCCGCCTCTTACTTTGCACTTGTTTTTCGGTTGATTTGGTTACTTTGCATGTTTAACATATTTCCTGTGATCGAAAACTAATTTGATGTCCTTTCTTAAATAGGACTTCTCTTATGGAGGACTGGGCGACAAAACTCACAGCACAGATTTGAGCTGCGGAAAATCGGAGGGTGAGTTAGAGACCCCTTAAATGGCTTTTATATCCTCCTAATGTGACTCATTTGCAGCTTCTGTGGACTCGATCACGGAGGGCGATAGGCGCGCCCTGATGGGCGGCGACCTGCCCGCCTCGAGCACTTACTCAGGAGCCCTCTCCTACCACTATCCGCAGGCCGGACTCATCCGTCGCAGTCTGCCCAACATGGCACACTCTATGCTGGTGCACGAGCCGGCCAAGATCTACCCCTATCACCTACTTCTAATCACAAACTATCGTCTGCCTTCGGACGTTGATCGCTGTAATCTGGAGGTAGGTCTTAGAAAAGCCATTAATTATATGTCAAAAAGTATGCTGAGATGCATTTGTCAAATCTATAAAGTTTTCCCAAGCATCCCCATAAATTTAAACAAACTAATAAACCTCATATAATTTCAGCGTCATCTGTCGGACATCGAGTTCGAGCACATCTTGCAGTGCGCCAGGTCGGAGTTCTATAGGTTGCCTCAGTGGAGGCGTAATGAGCTGAAACGGCGGGTGAAGCTCTTCTAAGAGTCAAGTTATTGCCGCCGGATCCGAGGATAGCTACCCAAGTGGAGGCTGATTGCGACGAAACCAAAAGAATTCAACTTACCTTAACAACAGATGGTTATTACATATATGGAGAAGATGAAAAACAATATAAAATGAAAACGAAATGGGAAACTATGCTAATTTCACAGCCAGTTTTGAAACACGCTTTAAATAGTTGATGCAAGTGAAACCAACTAAACTAAATTTAAATACATAGTTACATTTACAGTGCGGAGCAGCTATGCGGGCAGCTCCTGTTTATTTTTTTAAGAATTAGTTGCGCTAACGCAAAATTGTAACTGAAAACTATATGAAAGGAACAGAAAATCCCAATAAAAACGAAGTGTATACAGATTTAAATTAGTTAAACATTGCATGTCCGGCATTAAGGCTTTTTATACGCAGTGCAAAAGTATATTGAACGGAGACATAAACTGGATTTTTTTCTTCTAAATTACACTTTAATTCAACCATGTTAAACGGCTAAAGAACCGATAAATGCATCAAAGAATGAGCAATTAATGTACCTACAGAAAAATCACACAGCAAAAAGCGAAACGTTAGATGTGTGGCATCAAATTTACGCTAAATCATAATGCAAATTTTATTTATTACTAAATATTTTATTTATTTATTTAAATAGAATATGTCAAAGAATAAACCAGAGATAATAAAACAGGACAAAAGTAATGTCAACGTGTTTACAATTATTCAAACATTTCGAGTGGTGATTATAAAGTGGCTTAAAGATGAAGTTTATTTTCTTCGTCGAACCCACAAAGGCTAATAGATATTAGAAGATTGCTTTCTTTAAGAAGGAATTACTACGGAATGCTGTTATCTCAGTTTTCAGTATTGGCTTGTTAAATAATGGTTAATTTCTCTCTGAACTTTGTCGATTCGCCGAAGAACTACCATCTAGGACTTAATTCGGTGTCATTTGAGTTCGGGACGCAATTTGTGACTGGAATGTAAAGTTCACAGAATAAATACGTAAATATTGAACTAGATTTCACAGGGCATCGAGATTATCTATATTGCACCATTGGTATTGCACTAGTTTTGCTTTTGCAAAGCCTCGTCGGTTCGCAAACCATAGGTCAGTTGCGTTTTCATCACCGCCAGACTGCTGCCGATGATCTTCTTGTGGTAGATCTGCCGCGTAACGAATCCAAAGTCGTCGTAGAAGTCGCGTTCACTTTCCTGCCACTCGGAGATGGTGCATTCCAGAGAGGCATAGCCCCCGCCAATGCAGTTTTTTACCACCAGCTTCACCATGGGCGCCATGATCGTCTGGTAGGGATAGTTGGGATCGATGGCAAAGCGATATATCCAGGCAGCATTGTAAACTGCATGGTGATTTTTCACACTAATGGCGGCCACAATACGGCGGCGGAATTTCCTTTTATAAACCTCATCATAAGGACAATTCTCGATGAAGATCTGGTAGCTGGCCTCCTTGGGTGAGCAGCGGAAAATGAAGGGCTCATAGCACTCGGCTACTAGTGATTGCGAGGGCTTGGTCTGAAAAGGGACTACAGTTAGTTACAGATCGAAGCTATAGAATGGAATAGCTCTTACCCTCATCAGCTCCACTGCCTTGGAATAGAACGAAAAATATGTGCCGGTGAAGAGACAGAAAATACAAGCGGGTACGGTGAGGGCGCAGAAAAGCAGGGGCACTCCCAGAAAAATGAAGAATATAGCCCATGTGATAACTATGAACTGCAGGGTGATCTGGAAAATCAAACATATCACAATTAAAAGGTAAATTAGGTGACGAATTCCACTGATCCCATGAAGATAAGCCACGATGCCTCACCTCTCGAAAGCAATAGACGAAAAAGGACTTATTGGAGAACGACATAATGTAGTCCCGTACCAGCTCCTGGCACTTAAGCTCATCATCTTGCGTATAGTTGCGTATAACAATAAATGGCTGCATTAATATATTATTAAACGATTAGATTAGCCAAACAAAATAAAAATAAAAACACTGCCCAATCAGTGTGTCCAAAGTGATTAAAAATACCACAAAAGTAGTTGCTGCACAGCTGTTGCCAAGGCGTTGCCAGAGCATTAAAATATCGAAACTGCGATGAAGCGAAATGTAAAGTATTGCAAGTGGTGACTTTAAACCTTCAATTTTCTCAAACCTTTTCTTATACATATATTAGTAATAATTAGTTTTATTTTTTTATTGTAAACTTACGATTTTTCTGAAACATTCTTCAAAGCATTTGCGCTATATCAACCTTGTAGGCCATGCGATGTCGTGAGCCAGCGCTATCACGCTGCCATCTCTCATGCCAAACACTTTGACTTCGATCTGGCACTTTTTCTCATGACGTGTCGGCGAGCCTAACTTTGTTAAACAATCAGTCGAAAAAGTCACTGAAAATAGCCAAAAATGCGCGACCAATTCATCAGCCTGGCCCTGCTGCTGTGCGCCCTGCACAGCGCCTGCGGCCTATACTTCCACATATCCGAAACGGAGCGCAAGTGCTTCATCGAGGAGGTTCCAGATGAGACGACCGTGATTGGTGAGATAGCGCCTAGTGCCAACTTGGTAGTTTACTAACCGAATTTCCTTAACTACCGCAGTCAACTATAAGGTGGAACTGTACGATCCGCGCTCCAACGGTTTCATGCCCTCCTCCCCCGGCATTGGAATGCATGTGGAGGTCCGCGACAGCGATGACAAGATCGTCCTGTCCCGCGTGTACAGCTCCCAGGGCCGCATCTCGTTCACCTCGCACACGCCTGGCGAGCACGTCATCTGTATGTACTCCAACAGCACCGCCTGGTTCAGTGGCGCCCAGCTGCGCGTCCACCTGGACATCCAGGTGGGCGAGCACGCCATTGACTACGCCAATGTGGCGCAGAAGGAGAAGCTGACCGAGTTGCAGCTGCGTATTCGCCAGCTGCTCGACCAGGTGGAACAGATTACCAAGGAGCAAAACTACCAGCGCTACCGCGAGGAGCGTTTCCGCCACACAAGCGAGAGCACCAACTCCCGCGTGCTCTGGTGGTCACTGGCCCAGACCGTCGTCTTGGTCTGCATGGGCTTCTGGCAGATGCGCCACCTGAAGAGTTTCTTCGAGGCCAAGAAACTAGTGTGAGGTGCTCCTGGGCTAGAGCATCATCAGCACCAATGCCTGCGGCCTCATTGTTTTGGTGTTTCCCCCTCATTGGCAGGAGTTGCGAATTTCATCGATGGATCGTCATCAACCAGCCACTGGCCTCGACTCCAAGCACGTCTAGTTTTAATTTCTTGTGCGTAATTTAATAAAATCCATTGTACAAAAAGAGCCGATGGAGCACTGTGCACCCCCACATCCTATCTTCGCTGGGTCAGACAACCAGTCAGCTGAGCCCGGTCCCGTGACTGGCTTCGTCTTATCAGCGGCCTCTGGCAGATAACCTGTGGCGTTGGCGTTAACTCCCTAGTTTTAAGCTCGCGCTGCATCGTGACTGCACCGGCTAGCAGAGGCTGCCCTTTATCTCATTGTTTGTTCTGGCAGAGAGCAGTCTTTAGTAGCTTTTGGTCCGCCCTGTGCAGCGGTCGTCTGTCGCGGCACAAATCCATCGGCCAAACAATAAACCTCGTTGTGGCTCAACAAACGCAGACGCACCGACGACCCACAAAAGCCGCAACTCTGAAACCCGATCCAGTCCAAAGCGCTTTCAAGTCAACAACTGGCCCAGAAATCTACTCCCTCTCCGGTTCAGTTCGTTCACGTCGGATTAGCCGTGCGGGCTGTTGAAAATGTTTCGCGCTACGGAAATAGGCAGCGAAGAAAGTGAGTCTGACGGCAGATAAGATAAGATCTTCAGGTAATCCCTGACACCTCCACCCCCTGTTGTTTACATGCAGCCCTGCCAGCTCTTGCGGAGCTTACCCAGGTGGGATATGATGCGGAGACACGGGACATCGAATGGGGCGGCTGGAGGGCAGAACGAGCTCAGTTGAAGAGGCCCCATCGCAGCTCCCTGCCAAACTATGGCTTTGCTCCTCCGCCCATCCGCATGGAGTACAGGTACCCACGCGCCGTCTTCTTCGTTTTGGCTACAAAGTTCTTCGAAGCCTTTGCCGCCAACGGCATACGCAGTAAGTTTAATGGGTTTGATCCAGAAACCGAGCATTGCTCTTAGTGTGGGTACAATTATTCGGCTTTGTTAAGCCGAAAAATTTAAAAAACCTAGACTTATCAGCGAAACAGAAACACAAACACTGGGAGGTATATTGGCAGTCATAAGGTCTGTGATGCATTATATTAGAGGCATAGATAAGATGCAAGATGGGAGGTTTGTCAACGATGTCAGTTGTAGTAAATTGTATTAATTATGTATACTAAATAGGCTTCAGCATCAGTCTTTTTTGTAAATAGATTGGGATTTGATTAATTTAATGTGTTTATATGCATTCAAATCCTGTATTTCAAAAACGGATTTTTGGTCTATCTATACAAAATCCTTGATAGTTGTCTTTCTTATGTAATTTCCAATTAGACAGTGTATTTTATGTACATTTTCGCTTTCTCAAAAGGAAGTTCTCTTTGAATAGAGTATTTTAAAAATTTCCCTGACCATTGTCGAAGTCTCGATTGCGACGACGACCTTCATTTCATGGTCAATAAATCGAGATTGATTGCAGCCTGACAACCGATTATGCATTATTCAATTCGATTCCAGCCGTTCTCGCCCTCTATCTGCGCGACGATCTCAACTTCACCGAGAGTTTCTCCACGGTGGTGCTGCACATCTTCAACTTCTTCGGCCAGTTCTGCCCGATAATTGGGGCTATCCTGGCGGACAGTTATATGGGCAACGTGCGGACGATCTCGGGATTCAGTTTCATCTATGCCTTTGGGTGGCTACTGCTCACACTGACATCCCTGCCTGCCATGGGACTCCCCATGGTGTAAGTACACGGAAGTGCCGGATTGAGGCCTTATCTAATCCCATTTCCTCCTCTTAGTCTGCTGGTTTCCATCGCCCTCTTATTTATCGCCGTGGGAAACGGGTCAATCCGGGCCTGCATCACCTCACTGGGGGCGCTGCAGTTTAAGCTACCGGAACAGAGCGTCCACCTGGCCGAGTACTTCTCCTTCTACTATTTCGTCTATTATTTCGGCATCTTTCTGAGCAAGATCCTGCCACCGTTGGTGAGGGCCAACACACAGTGCTTTGACAAGGCGGAATGCTATCCGGCCGTATTCGGCACCCTGGGCTGTGCCTTTTTGGTGGCCTGGTGTAAGTAACCATTCATTTCCATTTATAATTTGCATCTTATTTATATCTCTTTGAGATATTAGTTATCTTTCTTGTTGGAAAATGCTTCTACAAATCCGAAAAGCTGGCAGCTGACAATATACTCTTCAAGTTCTGCGGCTGCATTAAAACAGCTTTGGTGCAGAAGTGGCGACGTCGCAAGTCCTCCAAGCGCTCCAGCTACTGGCTCCACAATGCAGTTGGAGCCTACGACGAGGGATTCGTCAACGATGTCTCCCGGGTTTTAAGAGTAAGCTTTAATTTTATGTCTTCTTCAATTAATGGATTCCTATTTTTTCTTGTAGATATCCAAGCTGTTCATCCCGCTTCCCTTTTACTTTGCTTTGCTGGCGCAACAGGACTCCAGCTGGACCTTCCAGGCTACCCAGATGAACACCACAATACTGGGCGTGACCATACAACCGGATCAGGCCAAAGCAGTGGGCCCCATATTCCTCTTCATGCTCATCCCCCTGTGGCAGTACATAACAGTGCCCCTGCTGCGTCGCTACTTCAACTGGGAACTGCAGCCACTCCACAGTGTTACAGTAGGTGGGGTTTGCTCTGCCGGCGCCTTCTTCTGTGCGGGAGCTCTGCAGGAACGTATAAAGGTGAGTGATAGCAATGAAATAGTGCACCTGATGCTCATCCAACCCGTCTGGTAGAATTCCCCTCTGCAAACAGTGAACATTGCCTGGCAACTGCCACAGTTTCTGCTGCTTATGATGGGCGAACTGCTGCTTTCCATTCCGGGTCTTCAGTTCGCCTTCACACAAGCGCCGACCTCCATGAAGTCGGTGGTCACGGCTGCTTGGTTCCTTAACAATGCTTTTGGAAACCTCATTGTGGTCCTGGTTACCGAGCTGGGCATGATGAGCTCCCAGATGGCCGAGTACTTCTTCTACGCGGTGGTTATGCTGGTTTGCATCATTCTCTACGCCTTGCTGGCTTTCGACTACACGCTCCAGGAGCGCAAAGGTGGTCTGTACGTGAGGGGCTTGGACAGCGATCTGGATGATCAGGATGTGCCCAGCACCAGCCGCAGCGACAGCATTTAGAACAGGTTCTATTCTCTAGTATTCGCATTGCACTTGTAATTTATTGATAAACGCACACAGGCAAACACGCATTTAACTGAAAATAAATAAAAGCTAAGAACTAGTAGTGGGGTCAGTCGATAATCTTGAACATGTACTGCAGCTCCAAGTTGGAGTCATCCGGTAAATCCGTGCAGTGAACGGCGTTCTGCACCTTGGACTTCCCGAACTTGGCGCGCAGCGTGTGCGGTCGCAAAAGCTTGGCGATCTCCGGATCCATTGGTCCGCAGAAGTTGCGGAATTCTTGATGGGCTTTCATCTCAGGATCGGCACAAGTGATCTCCATACACATGCACACCCCGCTGGCCAGCTGGGCCACCATAGGTATATACTCGGGCAGGACACCGCGGTAAACCTCGTAGAATTCCTCGCAGTTGATGCGCGCCATCAGGATCATGCGCATGGCCGTCAAACGAAAACCGTTGGACAAAATCTCGCCGATAATGTCACCCAGCAGGCCGTCCTTAATACTATGCGGTTTAATAATGGCCAGTGTGGAGTTCTTGAACACACACTCCTTAATGATGCTGTGTCTCGCCTCGAAGAAGAACTTTAGGTCCATGTCCACCTCGTCGTCGGTGTCGGAGTAATAGAAACCGTTGCGGATCTCTTCGTTCTCTAACAGCTCCTCAAGGCTGGGCGTGAGCTTTACATTAGATTCTTCCATTTCAGGGTTCTTGTACCGGGCGCATGCCTTGATGGTCTCCACCACGTTGTCGCCGATCAGCTCCAGGCTAATGGCCGGACCCGCTAACAGCTCGTTCATCAGTACTCTACGATCAAGTGGGTAAGATACTTTCTTTGAAGCCACTGCACTACTTACGATGAGGAGACATCCGTCTTGTCCTTGCCGGACAGAAATTGAGTAACCATCTTGGGAGAGAACTGAACCATCATGCCCTGGTTGATGTTTATCTTGTTGTCGATTAACGTTTTGAGGAACTTGCCTAGGTACTTGGTCCACATATTGTTCTTAAGTAAAACGAAGCCCCTGGGGAGCGAATCGGATTACAGATTAGTGAGTGGAAGTCTTGCGAAGATTGCCTTACTTTTTGCGGTATCTGGCCAGGTTGGTGCGAGTGGTGTCGTCTGCATAATCTACTATATCGAACTGCCGGCCAAACACATTGATCTTAGATCCCACGAAGAAGTCGCGCTGCGTCAGTTCAGGGATCTTGGTGCGCCGCAGGAAGGTGCGCTTGTTCCGCTGGTCGAACTGGGGATACGTACTGTACTTCTGATATCAGGGATTATTTAACAGTCCTTACCACTTCCACCGCCTTGTCGGAAACATAGTAGGTTATCAAGTAGGTACGGATGATTCCCGCCTCCGCGTGATACCACTCGGCCACGAAGGCCAGACGCCGTTCGCTGGCCGGAATTGCAGCGGGTTTCATTGCTGGAATGGTTGTTCTGGCTTCTCTGTTGTTTTCCGTTTTATCACTTGACAGCAAGTCTTTTATTTCGAGTGAAAACTGTTTGTTTACTTCGCATTTTCAATTTTGCTTCTTCTTCCCCGCGTTGTTACAGCAACAGTGTTGCCAACACAAAACGAATCGAGTGGTAGGCGCGGTATTTAAAAAAAAATTAATAACATGTCGAGTTTGAGAATTCATTAAAAAAAGATTTTCCGTACTTTGTGAGACCCAGAAGTATATTTTTGAGCAAAAAAATGTTTTAATAATTATTTTGCCCACTCGTATTCGTTTATAAATCGTAATTCCCTATTCCATCAGTGTTTAGAACATATTTAAGTTTTCCATTTTTTATTGTAATTTCCTTTATTTACAGGAAACGAAAATAATAAACTGCAAACTGATTTTGCAATGAATTGGTTGTAGCTTTCCTCTGGTTGTTAAATTCTAGCGTAAAACTTATGGTTTCCCTTGTCGGCGCCAAATCATCTTGTTCCTTGTGTTGCTTCTTGTTAACATCTCTTCTCTGAATAGGCTCATATTCAGCTAAATTAAATGTGGGTTCTTTGATTGGAATAGTGTTTTATGTACGCATGCGTTCGTGGATGAGTGAGTGTTCTTTTCTTTTTGTTTTTGTTTTCGGGTGTGAGTGAAGAGTGAGTGATCGTGTGTTGACTTATGGTATAAGCGCCTCCGCTAACGCTACGACTACGCCAAAATGCTAGACACCATCAATGCGGCCGTCTAGGCAACCGGCTTCTTCTCCTTGTCGCCCTCGCCGCCCTCCTCCTCGTCTTCGTCGTTTTGCGACAGGCTCGGGATGTTGTCGTCCGAGTCCTCCTCCTCGTCATCGACGTTGAAGTCGTCGAACTTGTTGTTCCAATCGCCACCAGGGCTGTTCAGGAAATTGCCAAACATTCCGTTGTCTTTGGGTTCACCTGTGGGGAATACATGGCTGTCAGTATGAGATATCTAGGATAAAAGCTGCACAACTCACCCTCCTCGTCATCGGACTCATCGCGCCACTTGGCAAAGTTGGCTTTCAGGAAATGCAACTTGGTCTTGTCCGTTGTCAGCGAGGACCAGTAGGGCCCAGCTGCCTTCTTGGGTATTGTGAATTCCACGCAGCGGCCGATGTTCTTGCTGGTCACCTTCTCGGGATCCACCTCATGTAGGAAGTTGAGTGTGACCTCGTACTTCTTCGACGCATCCAGCGCGTTCACGCCCTTAAAGGTGAAGCTGTTATCCGTAACTCTGTGACGAAAAGGTTGGATTAGGATCCGGTTGCAAAATATATATGGCAGCACCTACTTGTGTTCGATATCCTTGCATTCAACATCAATGGTGACGTAGACCAAATCATTGCGCTGGGCCCAGGAAACTGGAGGCGGAATCAAGCTGGAAAAGGCAAATTAAGTTAGGTAAACACAAACAGGGGTTTACGGGGTGTCCGGTGGATGGAGTGTGCGGGGTCCAGTGTCATGGCAACTGGCGTCGTACTTTCTGGAAGCGGGTTTGTGGCCTATGCAAATACTACTGTTGTACATTTGCATAGACCATACGCCCAGGCGAAAGTCCATGCCGAAAATGCACGGCATTAGCGCCAATCCAAACATAACCTCAAAGCCTGCCCCTCTGATTTGTTCCATATCGCAATGCAGATGCGCACGGGACACGCCCACCGCAGGCACAACGCCTCATCCGCCGAACGACCCCAAGGATAAGATGCAATCGACAGGACACTGGGTGTTTTCATTGCCAGAAGATCAAAAATGGACGCCGCCGCAACAAAGCACGCGACGCACAAAGAAGCCACAAAAAGATAGACTAAATTCCCCGAAAATCGTGGCCCCACCGACTGGAGACTCACCCTGCTGCTGCCGACATTCTGTTGCTGCTGTGAATCGATGGTTTTCGGTTTTACGGAGCCGGAACACTTCTGACTGACAGCCTGTTTTCGTTACAAAAAAAGGCAATTCCAGTTGAACAAAATTGTCATGCACAAATAGAGCTGACACAAAAATCGATGTTTGTTAGATACTATCGATGTTTCTAGAACATAGCATCATCGATGTTATTCCTGAAACCACTTTCCCCTGAATCCATCAATTGGATTAACTTCTGTTTTGTTCGAAATCTCGTTTTAAATGAATTTTGGTTTGCTAATTGTAAAAACAGTTGTTCTTCAGATATTGTTATATATTTGATAGATCACAGATCTTCTCAGAAAAAAATAAAAGATATTTATAAATATATACATATGTACATCAAAATAAATGTTGTCTTTTTTCACGAAATCGTAGAAATGTAATAAATAGTTGTTATCGACTTATCGCGTTGAGATCGCAATCATTTTAATAGCGCTCACGATAGGTAGTTAAGATAAGTTGTAAAATAGGAAATGTTAAAACGAAAAGACACTATATATTGTGTTGTTTTCCCAGAAAACAATGTTTGCATTAAATTTGACTATATATAAAAACTTACTCGAGAAAATCGCATTAAAAGTAATAAAGTAAAACTTGTCCTATACGTCTAGTGGATACACAAACCGATTATTTTACTTAGTAAAGGTAAAGTAAATACCATGAGATGTCTTTCAGAGACTTAAATAAAACCGAACTTTCTGACTCCAAAATAAGTTTTCAACAAATATTTCTTCTTCACTACAAAATATAATATATATATTTTTTCCTATTACAATGGTACTACTTTATTATTTATAAGTATGCAGACGCATGTAGTGTGTATTCTTTTAAATGTTTCAACAGTTTGGTTAGTAGTTTCAGTTGTAGTTTAATAGTCTACCAAAGGCGGCATGTTCCGGACGCAGGGCGCATTCCACTTCCAATGGGGCAGTCGTATGCCTGGAAGAAGTCCTCGCTGTTGGATAAGACACCTAGGACCCGGTACTTGTTCATTGTGTGCTCATCGCTCAGTTCTTTCCAGTACTCCTCCTCACTGTACTCGGAGCAGAATACCTGGGAAAAGCCCAGGAAAAAAAGCTGTTCCGGCGTCAGGTCGAGTCCCGGCATGCGCTGATCTTCGCTGATCTTCTCCTTTCCAGGGTGCTGTAGTTCTTGTTTCATGTGGTTGCGGTAGGCTACCAAAGCTTGCCTCAATCCGCCATTGTCGGCGATGTTCTCGTCTAATGTCGTTTTTCCATTGACATGGCGGTTGATCTCCGGTATCAAATACTCTCCGTAGTGGTCCATATAGCACTCGGCGCGATCCTCAAAAGCCTGTCGAGAAGTTTCTGACCACCAGGAGCGAATTTCTCCCTTGCTGTCGAAATCGGAGCTGGTGACGTCGAAGCCGTGTGTGAGTTCGTGGCCCACAGTGAAGCCCAAGGTGCCGAATTTAAGTGGGAGCGGCCAGGAGCGGTGGTAAATTGGTGGTTCCAGCGATCCAGCCATCACGTTGATGGAGTTGTCCAGCATGTAATAAATCGCCGACACCTGCATCCCCAAATGAAGCTTCTGAGGCTTGGTATCGTTTCCCAACTCATCAAAGTGGCGACCGCTGAAGCGAGTGATGTCGGCAGTGAGGCGCCGCAGGTTTATGTTGATCGTCGCGTAGCTGTCCTCGTCGATTTTCAGTCTGTTGATCTCCCGGATAAGACGATCTGTTAGAGCGTCATTCTTGAACGCGCCTACGCGGGCCTGAATGGCGGACTCCTTGAGCAGGGCCTCCTCTCGAGTCTTTGCGTCCAGCCACTCTGCTTCCTGAAGGGACCTTTGAAGACTCTTCCGCACTTCCTTCACAATTTCAGACACTTCCAGCCTTTTGTCCTCAGTGAAGTGCTCCTGTTAGCAATGAATATAGAAAATTACCAAAGCATATTGAATAGTTTAACTAAGTGCGATGCTCACCGTCATGTAGAGTTTGTTGAAAAGATAGACCATGGAGATATGCAGCGTTAACGCGCAATAATCCCTTTGGTACTTGGGCGCCTTCAGCTTGGCGTCGAATTAGTAGAGCAGCTGCATGGCCAGATAGTTGGCCACTGCCTCAGGATGACGGGCGCACACCCTGTCCAGCTCCGTGTTGTAGAAGTCGCAAAGCATGTTGCTATTAACGTGGAGCCCTCCCCACGAGATGTCATAGAAGTTCCTCCACTGGGGAAATAGAACCTCAGAATCATTACTACTAGAGTAAACCATGCACTGATCGGGCACTTGGAGAGCATCCCGCCAGAAGGCAAAGACCCCGGCGATCACTTCCTTAATTTTATCCTCGGGTAATTTGAATGCGCTTAGATATCCTCGCATTCGTTCCTCGTTCAGCTGATATGCTCGGGAAGTATTGTTGGCGGTGTTGTCCTCTTTAACGACGTGATCGAATCCCAGATCCGGCACTTTGAAGTAGGGCTCAAAGGGATACAATGGAGAGACTGCCTCCGAGATCAATCCATTTGCTCCATAGTTGGTCAGATGAGCGCTCATGTTGAACCAGCTGAAGTTCGAGGCATTCCAGGCTTCGCCATCGACGGCAGGGAATCCTCCGATCGATCGAATAAGACTCAAGTAAGCAGGATCTGCAGCATTGAAGGGGTGGAGCTCTGCCCCCAGACAAGCGTTGAAGAACCGCTGGGCGACCATCAGCTCGCTGGACACATTAAGCGATTCGGCCAAATCCGTCCTGCCCAACAGCTGCTCCGTGATGTCGGTTAGTGTGTAGACGACCTCTGAAAATGTGCCCCGCCGTCCAAAGTAGTAGCGATCCGGCCTTACGTTGGCATAGTTTCCGCAGGCGTACTCGTAGAAATTGTCACAGGGCGCCACACTTAAGTTCATGTAGGATTTCATCCGATCCGAGTAGCTCTGCAGAAAGTCAGTCGTAGAATTTTTGGTCGGGCTATGATTATCAATATTATTTTTAGAAGTGCCCTCCACGCTTCTGGCCTCGCAATCCATTGGGATTATATAAATAAGGACTCCCCACAGCATTGTGAAGCCTAGTTTATGGGAATACAAAAACATTTTGAAGGAAAATTTGCACACTTCTCTAGATTTATTAAACACTCAGAACTCGACTGTCTATTTTAGAACGCGATTAAGAACTGCCAGCATCCGAAAGAAACATAAAGTCACCTATTACTTATTGCAAAAGATTACCTAAGCAAAATAGCAGTGATCGAGAGATTTAAAATTCTTATCAGCTTGTTTTGTATGAAGAACAAACTTTGTGGCTTGTATTATTGATAATGCAGTAAGTAAAGCTTAAGTTTATAATATGTAGAAATATAAAGGAGGGGACTATTACTTTAATAAAACTTTTTATACATTTTATCAAAAAAGTTATTTGATTCCACCCTTCTCGAACTTTAAAGATGTTGCAATATGTTCAGCAGAATTTTTTTTTTCCTATAAAAATAAAAATCATACGATTTGTTTGAGAATGGCATAAAGTTATCCACCCTCAGCCCTCCAAGATAACTTAAAAGCTATTAATGCTTAAATTAAAATGTATTAGCAAATATGTCGTGGCTGACATCAATTCAAAGCTTATACGTTTACAAGTGAATCACTAGTTCACGAAAATAGTTACGATCGACGGAGCTAGTCCGTTGTTGCCTTGGTAACTTGGCGCGTTTCTGGCCTGTTTGTTCAATCAAGTTTTCAGCTTATACCAATTCACGGAGGCGAAAAGTTGTGCAACGCGGAAAAGACTCAAAGAACCTAGTAAATCTATAATGATTTTTGATTAGGTACACTGCTGTGTGCTCCGGTTTGTGGTGAATTTGCTTTTTGCATAGAGTTTTGGCAAGATGTTCGTGCAGAAGAAAAAGCTGGTTGAGCATGTCTTGGCAATGCGCGCCGAAGGGGGCAGTAGTGATGAGGATGAGGAGGAGGAGGACCAGGGCGACATTTTGCAGGTGCAAATCACTAATTACTAGCCGTATCGAGTGCAATGCTAAATAACCATTATCGAATGTTGCCTTAGAAAATGTAACCAATAATGTAACCTGTAATGCGTAATGCCCTAGATTCCAAAAGCCCTTTGACTGATTACGTAATCGCAATTCTCGCAAGTTGCAACTCTTACTGCGTGTGTAAATAGCTCTTAGTTGAGGCCCCCATGTAATATCGACCTAATACACTTGTTTTGATTTCTTTTTAGCTGAGTAACTAACCCAAATTCCACCCAAATCGCAACTGTAAAGACCTTCACTTCCGTTGCTGCAAAATAAAACCTAGTAAAATATAACCAACTCACCTTTTGAGCAACTACTGTATAGCATTTGAACTTTAGCACTTTTGATTTTTGTATTACCCATGTACTTCCCGTATTTGTTGTCATGCTATATAAGTACAATTGTTGTAGATTTTTGTATGTAGACCGTTGGCGTACAACTATGAATTAGTTGCAGCGCATTTTCACTGTTTACAAAAACATATATGTGCCATTTTTGAAACTAACGAATTTTTGGTCTCTTTCATTTTTGAATTTTGAAAAACGAACTTTTTTGTAAACAACAAATTGTTTACAACATGAAATCAATAATACATTTTTGTACAAACAAAATATTACCACTCCCGCACTGCAAAATTTTGATCCTTAAATTATTTTCTGGAAATCAAACGGTCCGACGCATGTCGGTCGTAAAAATCCGGGGAATATAACATAAACCCTCGAAATGGACCCGGATGAAGCGCAGCGCCGGCGGGAAGAATGCGAACGCAAGGCCCGTCGTGGGGAGATGGATCCCCGGCTGGAGTTCACCTTCCAGCTCCTGATCGACGCCACTCAGTTGCCCAGGCATCAGCTCATGGACTACATATTCGAAGGGGACATGGTAGGCGTATCCGCCCCTCCACTTCCTTTTCCTCTTAAATCTCTAATTTCTTGTGTCTAGCTCGATGAGATCAATCAGCTATTCCTACCAAATATGAAGAACAAGCTGCTGTGGTTCTACCAGGAGACGGATGACCCCGAGCCCACTCCAGTGCCCGATCCGAATAAACCCGGTCCCTCGCGATCTGGCGTAGCTTCCAGCAGCTCCAAGACGCCGCAGGGTGAGACTGTGGAACTATTAATCAATGATTCCAATAGATTTTCTAATTTAATTTTAGTTTATGCTGGCTGTATGTATTTTTTAAAATGTTGTTTAGTTTTTAATGGCTCTTATGCGAATATTTCTATTGTGTAAACTATGAATACAAAACTAATGTTTAGAACGTCCTTAAAAGTTTATTATTATTTTAATAAAAGCATATTTTTAATGTCTTAAATATTACTCGTATAATACTTAAACATGTAATTCCTAAAACGACTAATTTCTCGATATTTCGTTTCAAGGTGGTGCTTCTCCCAGTGGATTGCCTCCCCCGAAACACAAGAAGTTGTTCCTAACTGATGGATGGACTTGCGCCTTCACTGGAGTTTGTATTTACATATTTCGAGTGAATACATCGAAGCAGTTGCCGGAGGAGGGATTCCAGAAGGATTTGTAAGTTTATTGATGTCTTAGAAGACCAGCCAAGTATATTAAAATTAAAACGTACAGATATTGCGGAGTGATCGATGCTAAGAACATAGGCCTAGTTACTTCTATCGAGCGGATTGTGGAGTTTGTGTTCATGCAGGCCCTGGCCTTTCCCAGTCTGGAGGGCGACGAGGAGGACGTGAGCTGCGGCCTCATCAAGGGACAACTTTTGCCGGGATTGCGATCCTTCTGCAGCGCCCTGCGCGTCTGCGAACAGGTGTGCGACCATCACAATGTCTTCGCCGACGGCTGCGACATGTTCGAGAAGATCGACGAGGTGGAGGAGGTGAAGGACATGTCCAAGAGCCAGGAGTTTTGCGGCCAGCTCGAGGAGCGCGTGAACAACTGGACGAAGGGCATATTGAAGATCCTGGGGGAGAGCGAGCAGCTGCGCAAGGAGAACGACCACAGTGGGCCGCAGGACGAACTGGAGTACTGGAAGAAGCGAGGTGCCCAGTTCTCCCAGCTCCTAGCCCATCTGCAGGACAAGGAGGTGCAGTTCACGCTGCACTGCCTCTTCCTCGCCGGCTCCCGCATAATAAAACAGTGGAAGGAGACCGACCGAAAGATAACCTTCTGCTACAACGAGGCGCGCGACAACTCCAAGTTCATCCAGGCCATGGAGACATGCTGCCACTCGTTGTACCTGGACGATCCCGTCAGCATGAAGGAGTCCATCCTGAGCCTGCTGCAAACGGTGCGGCTGATTTACAGCGTTTCCCAGTTCTACAACACCTCGGAAAGGACATCCGCTCTGATGGTTAAGGTGGGTTTTTTATACCCTTGCAGAGGGTATTATAATTTCAGTCAAAAGTTTGCAACGCAGTGAAGGAGACATTTCCGACCCTATAAAGTATATATATTCTTGATCAGCATCACCAGGAGAGTCGATCTAGCCATGTCCGTCTGTCCGTCCGTCTGTCCGTCCGTTTCTACGCAAACTAGTCCCTCAGTTTTAAAGCTATATGCTTGAAACTTTCCCAAAAGTTTTATTTCTATTGCAGGTAGTATATAAGTCGGAACGAGCCGGATCGGGCCACTATATCATATAGCTGCCATATAACTGAACGATCGGAAAAGCCATAACTTTGGTGTTTTTAAAGTTAGGAAGTTGGGATTTTCTATGGGTTTTATTTTTGGCTAATCAATCCGACCTACCAAATTTCATAAGGATCGGACGACTATATCCTATAGCCGCCATATAACTGATTGATCGGAAAAGCCATAACTTTGGTGTTTTTAAAGTTAGGAAGTTGGGATTTTCTATGGGTTTTATTTTTGGCTAATCAATCCGACCTACCAAATTTCATAAGGATCGGCCGACTATATCTTATAGCTGCCATATAACTGATTGATCGGAAAAGCCATAACTTTGGTGTTTTTAAAGTTAGGAAGTTGGGATTTTCTATGGGTTTTATTTTTGGCTAATCAATCCGACCTACCAAATTTCATAAGGATCGGCCGACTATATCTTATAGCTGCCATATAACTGAACGATTGGAAATGACATAACTTTGGTGTTTTTAAAGTTAGGAAGTTGGGACATTTTATGAGTATTAAGAATACATCATATGAATAATTTTGGACAATATAATTTATAAAATATTCTGCAAGGGTATATCAACTTCGGCTCCGCCCGAAGTTAGCTTTCCTTTCTTGTTTAAACTTAAAATTCTCTGTTTTTAACTGTCGTGAAGGCGCCATTTCTCTTGTTTCAATTAATAAGTTATATGTTTTAAATTTATAATCCTACGTATGTTTAACTTTTTTTCTCAATAAGGGCAATAATCGAGAACTAAATTATAACACAATTAATGTGTTTATAACTGCCATATGCTAAAAAGGACAATTTACTGAACGATTAAATTTCATGAACTTCTGTTTTTGTACCCCTCACTTTCTGTCTATTTATAATAGCACTTATTGACATTATTTGTTTGCGCTTCCCGCAAACAACTTTGACCTTTCCTTTGGTAGTTCAAGCAGCTTTGCGTTTAGAAGGAAAGCTAGATTTTCTATTATTTGTAAAGATATAAACTTAAACAAGTTAAATAACTTTAATTTCCTAGTGAATACAGCTTTAGCATTAAAATAATTTACAAATATTTCTTGTTGAAAGCCAACTTTGGAAATGTGATAACTTTTGACTGAAATAATAATACCCGTGTGCAAGGGAATAATAACAAAGTTCATTTAAGTCAATAAACTTTAAAAAGTTTTTAATTGCGGTCGAGGGAAATAGCTTCTTTATTGTAGAGCTTTTTACCTTTATTAATCCTGTTCCTCCATCAGATAACCAACCAGATGATTGAAACCTGCAAGTCATACATCACCTGTCGTTGCAAGGAAACTATATGGTCTCAAGATCGTAACTTAATCCGTACTAAACTGAGCAACTGCATCAAGTTGAACCACATTTACCACGAGACCTACTACACAGTTAGGGAGCAGCCCTTTCTGCCGAATCAGACGCCTTTCGGATTTTCCGAAAACTTTGTCTTTGGTAAGATAATAATGCTGATGGTAAATTCCACAATAATAATATATTTTTTCCAGGCAAATTTGACACATTTTGCGAGAGGCTTTCCAAGATAATTAGCATGTTCAATCTGATCGACGACTACAATCATTTGTTTGAACGGCGACTAGAAGGACTCCTTTTGGGAGAGGCTTTGGAGGATGCTTCCAACCATTTTGAGGAGGCCAAAAAGGATGTGACTTCCAGGAAGTACGACTACTTGGACCACCGGAACTCCGATTTCAACGTGGACTTTGAGCGATTCATTCACAAAACGAATTCCCTGAAGGACACCATAGCCACTCTGATTGAAAAGGACTTTGACACCGTTTGGGAGACGCCGCAGTGCATCCGTTTCCTAGTTCGCTTCGAGAAGGTCAGCGAGAAGATTCCGCTGACCAAGATGGACGAGAAGTACACGCGGATCCTGCGCTACGTGGAGAAGGAGGTGGATCGCATTCTGAAAACCTTTCGCAAACAACGCGATGATCCCCCGCTGGCCAGGAACTTTCCACCCATTGCCGGAAGGATTCACTGGTGTCGCGCCCTGAGTCTCCACATCACGGAACTCATGGATGCGGTGATGGATCATCCGGTGCTGAGCAACTTGCCCATGGCCAAGGATCTGGATGTGCGCTATCACAATGTGCTGGGTGTGTTGCAGGAGTACGAGGACGAAATTGTGTCCATTTGGCTGGATCAGGATGTCAGTGTGGCGGACGCCTGCCTTCTGCAGCCACTGCTGAGTCTCCAGGGGGACAAGTTGTTCGTCAACCTGCACCCCACCATTCCACTGCTCATCCGGGAGGCAAAGATGCTGGCCAAGCTGGACATCGAGTTGCCCATTGTGGCCGCCACGCTGATGAGTCGTCAGCAGTACTTCATCACCATCCAGGACTCGCTGAATGTGAGTGATATATCTGGTATATGGAATTTATAAACTGATAATCTTTTCCCGCTTCGAAGTGCCTTATAAAAATGTTCCTGTCCACTGTGCGAGCTGTGAAGCTGGAGGTGCGTCCTTTGTTCCTCCCACAGTTGGTTCGCCTTACGGCCATGCTAAAACCAGGATTACACACCATCAATGTGAGTCATTCAATGTAGGGCTAAATAGCCTTATTCGTATTAAATGCATCTCTCTTTCCCAGTGGACAAACCAAAACTGGACCGAGTTCTATGAGCGCTGCAAACAGGCCATCGAGAATTTCGAAGTTCTGGTTGCGCGTGTCCATGACATCTACTCCAATCGCATTCTAAATGTGCTGATGTGGATGCAGGATGTCTCCTTGCAGATTTTACCAGCAGGTTAAATGCTTTATTTCTTCAAATTTATTCACGTCCCCTGTAATTGTATGCTGGTTAAAACTTTTCGCATTTGTTTTCTGGGCAGACGATGAAATCTGGACAGTTGACGAGTTTCTGGAGAGGAGCGAGGAGGCCTGCCGGTGAGTCTGACTGTGACATGTGCTCACAAAATTCATTAAACTCTGCTTCCCAAAATTGTGTTGTAAATTTGCAGAATCTGGGAGAACTTTTCAACTTTCTGGGCTAGACTTTTAATTTATTGTGTTTATCAATTATTATGTATGTTGTGTCCTACAATTAGAGACGATTTATATGTAGGCCTCTAATTATTTATTTTATTCTTTGTGTTTCAGAAAAGCGGCCATCGATCTGAACCGGAAGAGTCAAATGGTCTCCGAGGCAGTGGAGGAGGTCCTGAGCTTGGTGGACAAGGCCACGGCAGCCTTCAAGGAGATAGCCGGCGATGAAGTGACTACTTTGTTTGATGGTAAGTTGTGGGAAACTCTGGGAAGGAGTAATTGAGTGCCACCCATTGAGCAGCAGCCACTCCGAAAGGGGAGAACTCCGGATCGGGGGGACGCAAGCCGGAGGATGGAGGCGGAGGAGGAGCTGCTGCCCCCACGACCAGTGGTGGCGGTGGACAGCAGCAGGACTGGAGTATCCTGTGGTCCTGCTTCGAGAACCCCCTGTCCCTCTTGTCCACCACAGAAAGTCTTCCCAAAGGCATGCAGGTAGGACAACGTAAAACTAATTAAAATAAAATTGGGGGTCGGATGAAAATTAGGATTACAAAATGTCAAGTGTGCTGCATCATTAAAAAACTAATTTGGGGGCTAACCATTATAATTTGCATCAGTGAATTTATTATGAAAAACATATTAGGGAATGGCATTTCAACATAATTTGTAGGTACTTTAAACAGTTAAATTGTCCCTTTTATGGCACTATATCAATATATATTTAGTATAATATTTTTTAGACAACCAAATGATCGTAAAATATGTTATAGTAAATAAGTCCTTTAACCAAACTATCTAATTCTTTTTTTTTTAATTTTACAAAGTGCGCTTCCATCAGCGAATTATTGATGAATATATTTTGAAAATTTATTTGTTTTCTTTTAAGTAGTTTTATTCTCTTATTAAATAGATATATTTAGCTATCTTTACTATTTTTTAAACCCTTGTCCCCCCATGTAATCAATTTGAAATACACAAAATCTTAAAAGTCCTGAGAAGACATTTCTCTGATCTCCTCCTGAATGTTTCTGTGTAATAAGAGGCTCTTCTTTCATAATAAGATTGATCGGTTTCCTATACTTTGATAAGATAGAATCGTTAGATAGAAACTCAAAGAGACATGGTGAAACCACCGGATGTTTGGGGTTCCTAATGTGTGCTCCCGTTGCAGGACATGGTCTGCAACGCGGTGGTCGAGATGCGCCGCTACTACAGCCGCAAGGTGATCGACGTGCTGATCAAGGTGATCCGGGCCGCTCTGGACACCCTCCGCCGTCGGTTCATCGCCGACGAGAACGAGACGGTGTTCAAGAAGCCGGTCTTTGCGCTGCACGCGCAGCTGCAGATACCCCATGTGGTGATTAAACCGAATCTGGACGAGCTGCAGGACTTTTTGGTGACGGCTGGCAAGAATATCACGGGCATTGCGAAGGGCGTGGCGCAGTGGAGCAGCGGCAAAGACCCGCCGGTGCGTACCGCCCCACTGAATAGCTTCGCAATGTTCTCCAAAATCTTGTCTTACCAACCGCAGCAAGTTTCGATGACGGTGACGCAGCCGCGCGTCGGACGCAACCACAATGAGACGGCCGGCGGAGGCAAGAGCCGGCGGCGCAAGATCTACTGCCTGGCCTCCGAGGAGCGGCCCCAGATGCCGCACATGCTCAAGAGCTTCTACTCGGCGATAATGGACAACAAGGAGGTGGCCAAGGCGGTCAACCAGCTGGCCAGCTGCACCAAGAACGTCAAGCCGGAGATCCAGACGTACATCAAGCGCTGGAAGCCGTACCACTTCCTCTGGAAGAACGACCGCACCACCCGCCAGCTCATGGAGTTCGGCCTGCAGGAGTTCGAGACCACGCTGCGGTGTCTCTCCGATCTGGACGCCAATCTGCTCGTGGAACCGGACATGGAGGTCTTCGGCCAGTGCGTGGCCGTCTACAACGAAAGGCTCAAGTATGGTTTGGCCATTGAAATCAAGTGTAAGTAGTTAGGCCATGGTTCCATTTTGGCGAATTATTTCAGACACCCATTTTCAATGTGTATATAAATGTCTACATGTTTCAGCATATTTATCTTAAGAAAAGAAAAGTATACAAATCTGGGAACCATAATGATTTCTCATTATTTCGTTATCGTTTTGCATTCGGAGTAATGCTTTTATGTAAGGAACCATTTTTTTAGTTGGCATTTACACGTCCCAAAATTCACTGAGACCTAAGCTTAACTTCTGATTGTGATTTGTAAACGTCCTATGGAATTTTAAACCATTTTTATTTCTTTGCAATCTTTAATTAAAAACGAGTTTTTTCATAAAGTCACAATTTGTTACGGCTTAAATGTTAAATCGCTTTGATTAAAAGTTTTATTGTAGTTCAATATTACTTTTAATATAATTACATTTTTTTATAAAATTCAATATGTTCAATTTTTATTGGGGAATATTCCTCCAGGCACACTAAATTATTCATTGTAATTAACAGATATTACATTTTGTTGTGAAGGGCATTGACAATCAATAATCTACTTCTCACGTTGATAATGAGAAGGCCAAAGTTTGATTGATGGATTTCCTGTAAATACATTCATAACACATACATACAGAAATTCAAGCTAAAATAGAGATTTAAGGTATCAAGATAAAAAGAAGAAAAATTATAATATAACATAGTTCATAAACATCAAATTGGATATAGTGAAATTGAGTCCAATGAATTCCTAAGCAAGTAAAGCCATTTAATGGCTAATCAAACGTTAAGACAAACTTTTCCAGCCTACTCCTCTACTACTTTGGCTACTATTTTATTTAATCGACCGACGTTTTATCTTCCAACTCCTTTCGCTCGAATTAATCAGCCATAAATTGTGGACACCCTCGCGAATTCTTTTGTTTGGTCGGATGGGAAGCTATTGAAATTGATTGGACTCCAATTAGGCCATCTAATTTGCCTAACCGAATTAGCTGAGCGCAGGCATCCCAAAAATAAATTCCCCACACTGTTGTTGATTAGGCGGGGAGTCGGGAGAGGCCACAGGATGTAGCAGGAATTAGCCCTCGTCCTGGCCCCGGCTTTGATTAATGACATCCATATCATTGAGCTCCGCTAAATGGACTTTGGACTAGGGCGGATAAACACTTGGCACCGTTTCTATTTCCAGCCTGCAACCACAAAATAGGACAGGCCATGAAGAAGAAGTACAAGAAGGAGATGGACTACGTTTATGCGGTAATCAATGAGATGGATCGCAAGCTGGACAGGCCCATACGTGACCTGGATGATGTGCGGATGATAATGGAGACCTTGGGTAAGATTCGCGAACAGGAAGTGGACATGGAGCTGCGAATCGATCCCATAGAGGTGAGGCTGTCTAAGGGGACAGGAATCGGACTTGGGTTCGCCCAACTGGATAATCTCTAAAATACCTACTGCATTTCCCTTCCCAGGAAGCCTTTAATGTCCTCACCCGCTACGAGGTGCAAGTGGAGCGGGAGCAGTTCGATCTGGTGGACAATTTGAGGGCCACGTTTCAGAATCTTTTGGCTGGCGCACTGCAGGCACAGGTCAAGCTGCTGGACATGCAGCCCGCCTTCCAGGACGACCTGCGCACCAATCTGGACAACTTCAAGCAGGACAAGATCTCGTACGTGACGGAGTACCGCACGGCGGGACCGATGCAGGCCGGGCTGACGCCCCGAGAGGCCTCCGACCGGCTGATCCTGTTCCAGAACCGCTTCGAGGGCATGTGGCGACGCCTACAGACGTACCAGAGCGGCGAGGAACTCTTCGGTCTGCCCCAGACGGACTACCCAGAGCTCGGCCAGATCCGCAAGGAGCTGAACCTGCTGCAGAAGCTGTACAAGCTGTACAACGATGTGATCGACCGGGTGAGCAGCTACTACGACATACCCTGGAACGAGGTGGACATCGAGGAGATCAACAACGAGCTGATGGAGTTCCAGAACCGCTGCCGCAAGCTGCCCAAGGGCCTCAAGGAGTGGCCGGCCTTCCATGCTCTGAAGAAGACCATCGACGACTTCAACGACATGTGTCCGCTACTGGAGTTGATGGCGAATAAAGCCATGAAGCCACGCCACTGGCAACGGATCATGGACGTTACTCGCTACATCTTCGAGTTCGACTCGGAGGGTTTCTCGCTCAAGAACATATTGGAGGCGCCGCTGCTGAAGCACAAGGAGGACATCGAGGACATCTGCATCAGTGCGATGAAGGAGAAGGACATCGAGGCGAAGCTGAAGCAGGTGACCAACGAGTGGTCGGTGCACGAGCTGCAGTTCATGAGCTTCAACAATCGGGGGGAGCTGCTTCTGCGGGGCGACACCACGGCGGAGACGATTGGCCAGCTGGAGGATAGCCTGATGGTGCTCGGCTCCCTGCTCTCCAACCGCTACAACGCCCCCTTCCGCAAGCAGATCCAGCAGTGGGTCTACGACCTGTCCAACTCCAACGAGATCCTGGAGCGCTGGCTCCTCGTGCAGAACATGTGGGTCTACCTGGAGGCCGTGTTTGTTGGTGGCGATATCGCGAAGCAACTGCCTAAGGAGGCGAAAAGGTTTTCGAAGATCGACAAGTCCTGGCAGAAAATCATGCAGCGGGCCCACGAGACCCCCGGTGTTGTGGCCTGCTGCGTCGGGGACGATCTGCTCAAACAGCTGCTGCCTCATCTGCAGGAGCAGCTGGAGATTTGCCAGAAATCCTTGAGTGGTTACTTGGAGCGCAAGCGCATGATGTTCCCACGCTTCTTCTTTGTGTCAGATCCTGCCCTGCTAGAAATACTGGGTCAGGCTTCCGATTCGCATACCATACAAAACCACCTCCTCAACATATTCGACAACACCAAGTCGGTGAAGTTCCACGACGTGGAATACAACAAGATGATGGCGATCATCAGCAGCGAGGGCGAGATGATCCAGCTGGATAGGGCCATCCGGGCGGAGGGTTCGGTGGAGACATGGCTGACCCAACTGCTGGTCACGGCCCAGGCCTCGCTGCACTCGATCATCCGCACCGCCTACGCGACCATCAACGATCCCAACTTCACCCTGCTCAGCTTCCTGGAGAAGGCACCGGCCCAGATTGGCCTGCTCGGCATCCAGATGGTGTGGACCCGCGACGCCGAAATGGCCCTGATGCGGGGACGCGAGCGGAAGGTCATGATGGAGACCAACAACAAGTTCCTGGAGATCCTGAACACCCTCATCGACCAGACAACGCGCAATCTCACGAAACGGGAGCGCACGAACTTCGAAACTCTGATTACGATTCATGTGCATCAACGCGATATCTTCGATATCTTGGTGGGTTCTTTTATCTGGTTTCCTCTGTGTTATCTGTGATTAAAAGCGGGGAATTCTAATTTTTCATATTATCCTCTCCCATACAAATTATCCTTTAGTGCCGCATGAACATAAAGTCAGCCAATGACTTTGAGTGGCTCAAGCAATGTCGTTTCTACTTCAAAGAGGACCTGGACAAAACCTGGATATCGGTGACGGATGTAACCTTTACCTATCAGAACGAATATCTGGGATGTACAGATCGTTTGGTTATCACACCTCTAACTGATCGGTAACATACGATTTTATTTTTCTAGAGTATTTTATATCTAAGTCTGGTTACGTTTCAATGATATACAATTGACTTTGAATAATTTACAGGGAAATTTCAATATTTTCCAAATTCATTAACACGTATTACGATACTAGAGCTAAAAATTATCTATAATTATTGCTAATTAGACTAAAAAAAATTGGAGTTCGGCTAAGGTGAAAATTCATCAATATCCATAAATAATACGTATACGACTCATGGACCAGCTGAATATTTCTTTTCAACCATATATCTATTTGAACTGTTTTTCAACCAACAAGATTCATAGAAAAACGTTTTTAATAGTAATAATTAACAATGCCCAAGGATGTTGAAAATTTTTCAATGTCAATAAATAATACGTATACGACGCGGATGAATATTTTTTTAACGATATTTTTCATGCAATAGTCCAAAATGTTTTTCCCCGAACAGACTTCGCAGTATTCCTTATTAAAATTACTAATTATCACTGTTCTTAATATAAATAGGGATGGTAAAATTTCTTCAATGTCTATAAATAATACGTATACGACTCGTGGTCCAAATTGATATTTCTCTTAGCCGATATTTTTACTTGAATAGTTCAAACTGTGTTTCCCCCAATAAACTTCGTAGGGAACGTTATTAATAGCAATAATGAAAATTATTTAATACCCATAAATAATAGGTATACGACTCATGGTCCAGCTGAATTTTTATTTTCAACGATATTTTTAATTTAATAGTTCAAACAGTTTTTCCCATAACAAACTTCGTAGGATTAGTTATTTATTGTAATACTATTATCACAGGTACTTAAATAAATAAGTATGGTAAAAGTACTTTCATATTACAATTAAATTAAGTATACACAACGTGGTCCAGTCAAATATTTTCCCTACATTTTCTGACTGTCTTCCCACTCTGTAGGCTTCGCAATAATTCGCATTCAATAACTATAAGAGCTGCCGTTCAATTTGTATTCCCGGCATTTTTCTCGCATCGTTGTCCGCTTCTTCAATGATAAACTTTAGCATTCCGCAAATGCTTGAATGGGAACCGCCTGCACGTGCCCCGCACATTTCTCGTGGCAGTTTCAGTTCCAGTGGCTGTGTGGAGGAGGCGGTGGAGCCCACCTTGGAATGCCGCTCTGTAAACAGACGCCAGCCAGTGGCAACAAGCGTTCAGCTTTGGCGGCACTTAAAGACGCTTTAAGTCAATGAAGGTGGCAGGCGTAGGCAGCCGCAGCCGCAGCTCCGCGGAATCCCATTCTATCCTGTGGCAGCGGAAGACGAACTAACAGTGGGTCCGTACGACGTTGACATGCCCGTTGAAAGATAAATTTCACTTAGCGGAGCATAAATAAAGTTTTGACAGCAGCCAGTTGCCCCAGACTGGGGGAATCTGCAAAGTGGCGCCGTTTTCCCAAAGGCATCTCCATATCTGCCAGCTGCTTTGCATTCGTTTCTTGATCTCGGCTCGTAGATTTCCCATTCGTCTGACGTCAGTGAGCATTAGGAGTGCTTTTGATATTGTAGAGATGTAAAGAGCGCTTTTCTGTCTGCGGTGACGTTTAATAGGCTGCGGCGTGCGCATCAGTCAAAGTTTACTTTAACACCGTGTTCCCAACTTTTCTCCCCCAGTTGTTACATAACCCTGGCCCAGGCCCTCACCTTGTCCATGGGCGGAGCACCATGTGGACCAGCCGGCACGGGAAAAACGGAGACCGTCAAGGATATGGGCAAAACGCTGGCCAAGTATGTGGTCGTCTTTAATTGCTCCGATCAAATGGACTACAGGTGGGCTCACTAGACTTAGATTTAAAGAGATAATACAAAATAGATTTGACTTTGTGTTCTATATTCTATACTTAGCTAATTGAATTTTTTAAAGTACAAACACAACTATATAATTATTTGTTTTTGTACGACAACATTATAATGTGTTTATTTTTTCAGAGGTTTGGGCCGCATCTATAAAGGCTTAGCTCAGTCCGGTAGTTGGGGATGCTTCGATGAGTTCAACCGCATCGAACTTCCGGTTCTATCGGTGGCCGCCCAACAAGTGGCTGTTGTCCTGACCGCCAAAAAGGAGAAGCGGAAAACATTCCTCTTTTACCGACGGTGATACGATTGAAATGAATCCAGAATTCGGAATATTTATAACTATGGTAATGTATATTTATTTTGGTTGGACTTTATTTTTGGTTTTGCTTTTTAAATATCCGCGTAGCTTTAGTCTCACCCACAAGTGAGAGCGCAGACAATCTGTTTGTATGTTTTCTTAAATTCAATTTCCCGGAGCATATCGCGAAAATAACTTGTCGTTAAAGTAAAGATGCGAGCTCATATATTTATTAAAATAATTGTATACTCTAACAATTTATAAATATGAGGGACCAAACCTAACGAACTAGTTTAAGCAAGTGGTCTGTAATTATCTTGATTGCAAAGAAAATGGGTTGTTTGAAATAAAATTAATTGTAAAATAGTTATATTGTCTTAAAGGTTAGGTTAATCCAAGTAAAAGAATTTTTAATAATATCATTGGGTCATATTCTTTTGGAACCTAAAGAAATATGTTCAGGATCAAAGGAATTGGGGAAAGAACCTTTTTATTTAAAAGGCAAATTTGAAAAATGTCGTTACATCAATCGATAAGCGCCCTTTTAAATTTTTTTGGTAAATGGAAGTGACGGGCGCTTCACACACATAATTCCACGTTATTAGTCATGTACAATTTTTCTCAACTGAAGCCATAATAAAATTTACTGTAGCGCCTGTGAACACACACGACATTTCGGTGGCGCGGCTAAAAGCAGCCCAAAACCAATAAACGAGCGGAGGCAAAGGCAAAGGCAAATAAGGCCAAAAGAGTCTCGAGGCTGGTGTATTTACATTTTAGTGGTGGCATGACTCGATTAATGTGGCTGCCACATGGGACGCCGAATCCAACTCCATCTTTAGCTATGCTCCCTGGTTAAAGAGGAACTTTAAGTCGCCGTGGGGAAAGGCAAAGTAGCTGCAGACTAAATCTTTGCGTAGTTTAATTACTTGTGACGGTAACTATGATCGGGTAATGCGATTAGTGTTAACACGGCGACGCGACGCCTCGCTTTTAATGGCGTGTGTCAATCAACCCCACCCCCTCTTTAGAGCCTCCACATCTCATTCTGGGAATGATCCTTTGAAGGCTTTGGCTCAATTTTAATTTGCACATTGAGTTATTATGCTCATTTATATAATACTTTTAGCCAGAGCATTTTGTTTTAATGAGCCATTATGTCACAGGCCGAATTGGGTCGCACACGATTACGGACATAGACAAATGGACGCTGGCTGGGAACTCGAACGAGTTTAATGACTAAACCCTTTGTTGTGGCTATTCGTTTGGTCGTTTTGTCGTTTTTCCGTGGCTCGAATGTATATCTTTGGGACAGGTCAATATTTGCAGTCCTGGCTTAAAATCAAATAAACCATGTTTAGAATAGAACTTATTTTTGTGCGAGAAACTCGTGCGGGCTTAACAAACTGTTACACAGTTGAGCTTTAATACGATTAACTACTTTTAAGCATTTTTTCTTCTCACGTTTTGTAAGTAGAACAATAATAATTGGATTTTCAACAATGCCAAAGTAGACTTTTCAAGTCTCAAGTAAGCCCTAAAATAGGGCTTAAGTATGTATTTAAATCTTTTGCATGAATGTTGTGTAAAGTTGCTTGCAATTGTCGCTCATTATTTAAATGTACCCTGTATTATATAATTCCTAAGCTTTAATGGTTAGCTAGCTTACACTTTTTTAAGAATATCCCTAAAGAAAGACATTTTTCCGTACAGAATCCAGGATATGCGGGTCGCAAGGAATTGCCGGAGAATTTAAAAATTCAGTTCCGTACTGTTGCCATGATGGTGCCGGATAGGCAGATTATCATAAGAGTTAAGCTGGCCAGTTGCGGCTTCCTGGAAAACATTACGCTGGCCAGAAAGTTCTACACATTGTACAAACTGTGTGAGGAGCAGTTGACCAAACAGGTGCACTACGACTTCGGACTGAGGAACATACTCTCTGTCCTGCGAACACTGGGTGCTGCCAAGCGAAGGAACTCCAAGGATACCGAGAGCACCATTGTGATGAGGGTGCTCCGCGACATGAATCTCTCCAAGCTGATCGACGATGATGAACCACTCTTTATGTCCCTGGTTTCGGATTTGTTTCCCAACCAGGTAAGATATTAAGAGCACATCCTTTATATAACTATTTAAATCTTGCTTATATGAAAGACCCTCGAAAAGACCAATTACCCAGAGCTTGAGGCCGCCATTCTCCAGCAAACGGACGAGGCCAGCCTCATCTATCATCCTCCCTTGGGTCTTGAAACTCATTCAGCTGTACGAAACCCAAAACGTTCGCCACGGAATCATGACCCTGGGGCCAAGTGGAGCCGGCAAGACGACCTGCATCCACACCCTCATGAAGGCCATGACCCAAATGGGCGACAATCACCGCGAGATGCGCATGAATCCCAAGGCAATCACGGCTGCCCAAATGTTTGGTCGACTCGATGTGGCCACCAATGATTGGACGGATGGAATTTTCTCGGCCCTGTGGCGCAAGACCCTGAAACTAAAGTCCGGCGAGCATGTCTGGTTGGTTTTGGACGGACCGGTGGACAGTATTTGGATAGAGAACTTGAATTCGGTGTTGGACGACAACAAGACTCTGACATTGGCCAACGGCGATCGTCTGACCATGGCGCCCACTGTCAAAATCATATTCGAGCCCCACAACATAGACAACGCCTCACCCGCCACGGTATCCAGAAATGGAATGGTCTACATGAGCTCTTCTGGTCTGGACTCTCGACCAAGTAAGTTTGAGACTATAGTTTAATATATAATTAAGACAGAAAGCAAGGGTAATCCCATAGCCACAGAAATCACTCACAAAAGTATGCAACAATTTATTTTAAAGCCATAATTCCGTAGGATTTATTTTGGGAAGACAACTTTCTTTTTTTACAGCCACCTTCTTAAGTGATTTTAAAAATTGGGATTTTTTTTTGGGACACCATTTATCTACTAACTCTTTTATCAATATTTTCCATGCAGTTGTTCAAGCCTGGCTTAAAAACCGCGCTCCAGGCGAAAAGTCGACCTTTTCGGACTTATTCGATCAGACCTTTGTGGAGGTCTACAACTGGGGAGTGCAGATGGTGAAGTTGCAGATGCCGGTGCTGCAGTGCAACGTGGTCCAGCAGATGCTGTTCATCCTGGAGGGCTTGATACCTGTCAAGAAGGAGGACGAACAGGCAGTGAGCCTGTCCAGCAAGGAGAGCCACGATGGTAAGTTTAATCGACTCAATAACCTATTCCCAACCCAAGAGCAAGCGGTTCGATGAAATGTGAAAATGCAAGCGAACCCCGAACCAAATCCCATCCAAAATGATTGCAACTTTTCAGCGAATAAACGTTCAGAGCATCAAAAACATGTCGAAGAGGCGCGACGGCAATCGATTGGCAGTCAGATTGTCGGTAAAGTATACCCGTAATTCGTTGCGCAACTAACAAAACCAAAACCAAAACTAATCGTAGAGCTGACCGCCTAGCTAACACGCAATTTGCTTCTGAGTGTGTACTGACATCTATGACTTTCGGTTGGGAAACCGACTGGTTCCCAGCCGATTGGCCTCCTCTTCCTTCCGTAGTTGTGATTCTGTGCTCGTCCTCTCTGTATCTATGTACTTACCAAAATAGTTATGTGTGTGTCTCGTCCAAACGTTTTGTTTTCAAAGTCGGCATTTCTAATCCAGTAGAGGTGTCACAGAAATCTCTTTGAGGCTAATTTTTATTGAATATTATATTGAGGCTAATTTTAATTGAATATTATATACCGGTGTCTCAGAATCTATCAATAAACAAGATACAAATAAGGTAAATAAAAATAAAATAATAAAAATTATATTCATCTAAATAGACCATCAAATAAGTGCCTTAATGGTCTCAGTTTAAAGGAATAAATATTGCATTTATTTACTTATTTAAATTAATATGCTGTTAAAAATAGTTCGTCTTTTAAAGGGTTTTTGCTTTAACATAAAAGAGAGATTATTATTCCCTGAATGCCTAAATTTTTAATATTAAAATGATAAATATTTCTGAGACCCCGTTGTACTTTCCAATTGCGAGAGGGACTCCTGTGACACTCCTTAATGTGACCCCCATTGCAACGCCCATGTAGTAACCCCGCTTCGTTTGGCCCCCACAGAGGACCTCCCTCCGGAGACTTCGATCGAGGAGAAGGAGGACACCTGCACCCCGGAACACTTGCACCGCTTGTACATCTTCGCGCTCGCCTGGGGCCTGGGCGGTTACCTCTCCACTAGCGACCGCGTCAGAATGAATCTGTTCGTGAAGGAATCCTTCCCGCAGCTGGACTACCCGAAGGGTAGTGCCCACGAGAACACAATCTTTGACTTCTTCGTTTCTCCAGCGGGCGTGTGGCAGTCGTGGAAGACGCTCGTCACCCCCTATATGTATCCGGAGCTTTCCACACCAGACTATCTGAGCATTCTGGTGCCCATCGTGGATAATGTGCGCATCGACTATCTGATCGGCACCATAGCCAATCAGGAGCGCGCCGTGATGGTGATTGGCGAACAGGGCACGGGCAAGACGGTGATCATGAAGAACTTCATGAAGAAGATGAACGTTGAGACGTACATGGGCCGGTCCTTCAACTTCTCATCGGCCACCAGTCCGTATCAGTTCCAGCGCACAATTGAGAGTTATGTGGAGAAGCGCGTTGGCGTTACCTTCGGGCCACCCGGTGGCCGGAAATTGATCGTCTTCATCGACGACATCAATTTGCCCGAGATCAATGAGTGGGGCGATCAAATAACCAATGAAATTGTGCGCCAGTCCATGGACATGAAGGGCTTCTATAGCCTGGAGAAGCCCGGCGACTTCACCACCATCGTGGATGTGCAGTATGTGGCGGCCATGGGCCTCCCGGGCGGAGGACGCAACGACATACCGTCGCGTCTGAAGCGCCAGTTCTGCGTGTTCAACTGCAACATACCCGACAACGACTCCATCGATAAGATCTTCCGCGTTATCGGTGAGGGCCACTACAATGCGAAGCGGGGCTTCGTGCCCGAGATCCGCAGCCTGGTCAAGAAGCTGATCGTCGTCACCCGCCATCTGTGGCAGCGTACGCGCGAGAAGCTACTGCCCACGCCGGCCAAATTCCACTATGTGTTCAGTCTGCGCGATTTGTCGCGCATCTGGCAGGGCATGGTTGGCACCTTATCCACGGTGATCACCTCCGAGGGCGTCCTCATGGCACTGTGGAAGCACGAGTGCACGCGAGTATTCGCCGATCGCTTCACCACGTTCCAGGACAAGGAGTGGTTCGGCTCAGAGCTGGCATGTCTCGTGCGCGAGGAGCTGGGCGACGCCCACTCCCAGATGATCCTGCCCAATCCGGTGTTCGTCGACTTTATGCGCGACGCCCCCGAGCCGACCGGCGAGGAGGGAGAGGACACCGACATGGAGCTACCCAAGGTCTACGAGCCGGTCCACTCACACGAAGTGCTCCGCGAGCGTCTCGTCATGTTCCTCGCCCAGTTCAACGAAATGGTGCGAGGGTCGGGAATGGATTTGGTGTTCTTCCCGGATGCAATGCTGCATCTGGTGAAGATCTCCCGCATCATTCGGCATCCGAGGGGATCGGTCATGCTTGTCGGGGTCGGCGGTTCTGGAAAACAGTCGCTAACGAAATTGGCATCGTTCATAGCCGGCTACAAGACATTCCAAATTGCGTTGACGCGTTCGTACAACGTGGCCAATTTTCTGGAGGATCTAAAGCTGCTCTACCGCACCTGCGGCGTTCAGGGCAAGGGCACAACCTTTCTCTTCACCGACATGGATATCAAGGAGGAAGGTTTCCTCGAGTATCTGAACAACATACTCTCGAGCGGCGTCATATCGAATCTATTCTCGCGCGATGAGCAGGCCGAAATCGTGCAGGAGCTGACGCCGGTCATGAAACGCGAGAATCAACGCAAAACAGCGACCCCGGAAAGTGTGATGGACTTCTTTCTGGCGCGCACCTGCACCAATCTGCACGTGGCCTTCTGCTTCTCGCCCGTGGGCGAGACGTTCCGGTCGCGCGTGCAGCGCTTCCCCGCCTTGGTCTCCGGCTGCACCATTGACTGGCTGCATCCGTGGCCCAAGGACGCCTTGGTATCGGTTGCCCGACACTTTCTGAGCCACTTCGAGATCGAGTGCACACCGGCCGTCAAGGAGGAGCTGGTCAACGCCCTCGGCTCCATTCAGGACATTGTCGCGGAAACGTCGCAGGAGTATTTCCAGCGTTTCCGCCGCGCCACGCACGTGACACCCAAATCTTATCTGAACTTTATTGCCGGCTACAAGAACATCTATCAAATGAAGCAGCAAGAGCTGCGAGATGGTGTGGAGAAGATGGATACGGGCTTGGAGAAACTGAAAGAGGCCTCCGCCTCGGTTGAGATCCTCAAGAAGGATCTAGTGGTCATGGAGGAAGAGCTGGTCGAAGCCTCCAAGAACGCGGAGTCAGTGCTAGTGGAGGTGACGGAGCGCGCGATGCAAGCGGAGATCGTCAAGAACCAGGTGCTCATCGTGAAGGACAAGGCCGAGGCCCTGGTGGCCTGCATCGCCCACGAGAAGGCGCTGGCCGAGGAGAAACTGGAGGCCGCCAAGCCGGCGCTCGAGGAGGCGGAGAACGCTCTCAATACGATAAAGCCGGCCCACATTGCCACCGTGCGCAAGTTGGGCCGTCCTCCGCACCTGATCATGCGCATCATGGACTGCGTCCTGATCCTGTTCAAGCGCAAGCTGCATCCCTGCATCGCGGACGCGGGCACGCCGTGTCCGAAGCCCTCCTGGCAGGAGTCCTTAAAGGTGGGTCTCTTTTGGTAGTGTTATCCGGAATAGCAGTTAAAAGGGGTAAAGTATTAGTGCATTTATTTTTCTTTTGCCCTTTGCTACAATCCATCTAAGTTCGGCAATTAAATTTATTTAAAGAACTCCATTGCTTGCTTTTAAATTTATTTATGAAATTTCCCCTTTCGTATTTGGTTCTGCAAAGCTTGTGTCAGCATTCTTTTTTTATTTATGCTGCAATGTCAAACATAATAGGTATGCTATAATCTTGTTATTTTATTAAAATGCCACTGAAATACATCAATGCCAATCATGATAAGTATGCAGCTGAAATGTAATGTTCACTGTAGTTTGTATAGTGCTAAATCATAGTCGGACAACTCGACTATAGCGGACTTCCTTGATTTCCTCCCACTCCTCTCCCAGATGATGGCCAGTGCCACGTTCCTGCTGCAACTGCAAAACTATCCAAAGGACACCATCAACGACGAGATGATCGATCTGCTGCAGCCGTACTTCCGCATGGAGGACTACAACATGGACATGGCACGGCGTGTGTGCGGAGACGTAGCCGGTCTGCTGTCCTGGACCAAGGCCATGTCCTTCTTCCACAGTGTTAACAAGGAGGTGCTGCCCTTGAAGGCAAATCTCACGATGCAGGAAGCGAGACTTAAGGTATGGGGAACAGGAATAAAGGATTAAAATTAACAAGTTACTTAGCTTCTTTAGCCATAGTATTGGCAGTAAGGAACCTATTTTCAACCTTTAAATTATATTTATGTCTTTATATTTATTATATTTTATAAAGCATTTTCATTTTATTAAAATCAAACTACTCTGTAGCTACTTAAATTGTCTGGCTAAGCGCTTAATTTAGTTCATCTATAAGAGTAAATAAACTTCGTCCTGCTAAAGCAGTACTACATTATCGTTTTTATTTTCTTATGAATAATTTAACATAATCTGTTTCGACTACAACTTGCTCGTCAATCATGTTCTTTCCAGTGAACAACAGCTTAAAGCTTAAAATAAGTTTTTTGCTCTAGCTTGGCCAAAAGGAAACCAAACGGCGCCATTAAATCTTTAAAGTTTTTATTTATTGAGTTCTATAAGATTTTATTTAAATTTTTTGCCAATTTTATGATTGTTCTGTGGGTCTGACTAGAAATGCATAAAATTGGTTGTTAATTGCCAAAATTCGTAATTATTTTTGTAAACATTTAATTAAAAAGGAAAACTAGGTTATTGCCTACGTGTTTATTCTATGTTTTAACTAGTCATTTAAATATTAATTAAAAAACTAAATTAATAATCAAGTTTAGGAAATACATAAATACGAATTTAATAGATACTTACCTTCCCCGTTTAAAAATCTCACATTTTAGCTCGCCATGGACGACTTGGCCGGTGCCGAGGAGCAGCTGCGGGAGCGCGAGGAAGCGCTCCAGGCTGTGAAGGATCAGTACGACAAGGCGGTGGGCGAGAAACAGAGGTTGACGGATGCGGCCAATGTCTGTCTGCGTAAGATGACCGCGGCAACGGCCTTGATCAATGGATTGTCGGATGAGAAACACCGATGGACCAACCAGAGCAAGGAGTTCAAGATACAGCTGGGCAAACTGGTGGGCGATGTCCTTCTGGCCACCGGGTTTCTATCCTACTGCGGACCCTACAATCAGGAATTCCGAGCCAATCTCATTAAGACCTGGATGGGCATACTGAAACAGAAGAATATACCCTTTACCACGGGTCTGAACATAATCAACATGCTGGTGGACTCTTCGACGGTGTCGGAATGGACGTTGCAGGGATTGCCGAACGATGAGTTGTCGGTGCAGAACGCCCTGATAGCCACCAAGTCCAGCAGCTATCCACTGCTGGTCGATCCGCAGACGCAGGGCAAGATCTGGATCAAGTGCAAGGAAGACAAAAACGAGCTGCAGATCACCTCGCTGAACCACAAGTACTTCCGCACCCATCTCGAGGACTCGCTGTCGCTGGGCAGACCCCTCCTGATCGAGGATGTGGGCATCGACCTGGATCCGGTCATCGACAATGTGCTGGAGAAGAACTTCATCAAGTCGGGCAGCATTGAGAAGGTGTTGGTGGGCGACAAGGAGTGCGATGTGATGCCGGGCTTCATGCTCTACATCACCACGAAACTGCCCAATCCGGCCTTCAGTCCGGAGGTCAGTGCCAAGACCTCGATCATCGATTTTACGGTCACCATGCGGGGGCTGGAGGACCAGCTCCTGGGCCGGGTGATCCTCATGGAGAAGTCCGATCTGGAGGCCGAGCGGGTGGCTCTCTTCGAAACGGTCATGCAGAACCAGAGGAATATGAAGGAACTGGAGGCGAACCTCCTGCTCCGCCTGAGCTCATCGCAGGGATCCCTGGTGGACGACGAAGCCCTGATAGAAGTGCTGCGGGTCACGAAAACCACGGCCGAGGAGGTCAACCAGAAACTGAAGATTTCCGAGGTCACGGAGCGTAAGATTATGAAGGCACGGGAGGAGTTCCGGGCGGTGGCCAAACGTGGATCGATTCTTTACTTCCTGATTGTGGAGATGAGCAATGTGAATGCCATGTACCAGAACTCCCTGAAACAATTTCTGGTCATCTTCAACTGCTCCATTACCAAGTCGACCAAGTCCAGTGTGACGGAGGAGCGAATAAACATCATTTTGCGCTATCTCACCTACGAGGTGTACAAGTTTACCAATCGTAGTCTCTACGAGCGACACAAGCAATTGTTCACCCTGATGCTGGCCATCAAGATTGACTACCACAATGGAAACATCAGCCACGAGGAGTTCCTGACCTTCATCAAGGGCGGCGCCTCGTTGGACTTGAATGCCGTCACCCCGAAACCCTTCCGCTGGATCCTGGACATAACCTGGCTGAATCTGGTGGAGATCAGCAAGCTGGACACCTTCTCCACGGTTCTCCAGGTGATAGAGCTGAACGAACGGGACTGGCGCTGCTGGTACGAGTGCGAGAAGCCGGAGAACGAGGAAATCCCCTGCGGATACAATGCCCTCTTGGATGGTTTCCGGAAGCTGCTGCTCATCCGGTCTTGGTGTCCCGATCGCACCATTTCCCAGGCGAAGAAGTACATAGAAGGTGGGATCAATTGTTGTATTAGCACTTTTAAATATTTATTAATTTATTTATTTTAAGAATCTCTGGGAGGCGAGTACAGCGAAATGCAAATTCTTGATCTAGAGGAAATGTGGTAAGATTTCAAAACGAGCTATACAAATCAATATTTTAGATTTTCATTGGGTCTCATTTTAGTAATGTTACAACGAAAAACACATTTAAAACTCATATTTTTCGGAAAATTACCAATACTTATTTTACTTTGGCAATAACAATGCAAATAGTATGCCAAATATGCAATACCATACTTTACTGAACTCGTTATAAAATTCCCCATCGATTGGCATTCAAACTTAAACATTTTTTGTTTGGTCCGTTTTCGCAAAAAATTTATTATGAAACCTGTATTCTGTTATGTATTGTTATTAATAACCAAATCATAACAGCAAATGTTACACCCTAAATAAAAATTTAAACCAATTTGGGCATCGAGTGCATATTATAAAAGGTCAACTGAACAGACTCTAAACCCGTGAATCTTTTGTGTAGGCTCGAGTCGGAACCCCGCACCCCTTTTGTGTGCCTACTCTCGATAGGATCGGATCCAACCACCCAGATTGGCGCTCTGGCCAAGCAGAAGAGCATAGGTAAGTGCTATGAAGAGCCCCATCATATCGCTGATTAAATCACCGCCCATACACACACCCACTCCCACAGTTCTCAAATGTGTGTCGATGGGTCAGGGGCAGGAGTACCATGCGCGCAAGATGATAATCGAGTCGATGGCAATCGGTGGATGGGTGCTGCTCCAGAACGTGCACCTGTCCCTGCCCTTCTGCACCGAGATAATCGACATGCTGGTGGAGAGCGAGCACATAGACGACTCCTTCCGCATGTGGGTAACGACGGAGCCGCACAACGAGTTCCCCATCGGATTGCTGCAGATGGCTCTCAAATTCACTAATGAACCACCACAGGGGATACGTGCCAGTCTAAAGCGCAGCTACCAGGTGGGCAAATAATTCAGTTGGCAGCGAGGAGGGGGCAGGCATCAACTGCTTAATATTTAATTTTCAATCTTTTTCCGGCCGCCAGTCGTTCACCCAGGACTTCCTCGACTACACATCGGCCTCCCAGTGGCCCCCGCTCCTCTACACGGTGGCCTTCCTGCACACCATCGTCCAGGAGCGTCGCAAGTTCGGCCCACTGGGCTGGAACATACCCTACGAGTTCAACCAGGCCGACTTCGCCGCCAGCGTGCAGTTCATCCAGAACCACCTCGACGAGATGGACCCGAAGAAGGGCGTCTCCTGGCAGACGCTGGTCTACATGATTGGCGAGGTGCAGTACGGCGGCCGGGTGACGGACGACTTTGACAAGCGACTGCTCACCACCTTCACCTCGGTGTGGTTCTGCGAGCCGCTGCTCTCGAACTCCTTCGAGTTCTACAAGGGATACAAGGTGCCGGGCACGAAGAGCCTGCAGGGCTTCATCGATTATATCAACAGTTTGCCGGCCTACGACACCCCCGAGGTATTTGGCCTGCATTCGAATGCCGACATCACGTACCAAATAAACTCGGCCAAAGGTGAGTCCGTGATTTCCGATTTCCAATTTCCGATTTGCGAATTTAATTCGACCACCGAAACGCAAGCGTCCTTCCCACCAGAATCGCTTATTTTTAGTTTAATTCGGTTGATGTTGATGGACACCGATAGGGGGCCATAAATTATCAATGTGCTTAATTTAATGTAAATCCCTGTTGCATAATCAATTCGGGCATGCCCGCCGAAATGTGTGTGAAATCAATAATCCGAATATTCCGTGAGCTTTCGCGCCGCGTGCTCCATTTTAGGAGCTCCTCCTTCGGCGGGCAACCCACTCGGGCATTAGCGCATTAGCATATTCGATGGCCCCGAATCCTTGATTGTTTACCTCTGACTCTGCCCCATCAGGCATCCTCGACACCATCCTCAGTGTGCAGCCCAAGGAGGGCGGCGGTGGGGGGGCGAGACCCGGGAGAGCATCGTCTACCAACTGGCGGATGACATGCTGCGCAAGCTGCCCGCCCAGTACAACGCCTACGAGGTGCGGGAGAACCTGACGCGGATGGGCATCCTCCTGCCCATGAATATTTTCCTCAGGCGAGTGGTCCCCCATCACGATGGCGAACGCATGGTAATCGGGGGTGTTTAATTGCAGGCAGGAAATCGATCGCATGCAAAGGGTCATTAAACGGGTCCACACCTGCCTCTGCGACCTCAAGCTGGCGATTGATGGCACCATTGTGATGAGTCCGGCCCTGAAGGAGTCACTCGATGCCATGTACGACGCCCGTATACCAGAGACCTGGATGAAGGTAGGTCCACTAAAAGTGCCCTATATTTGTAGTCTTAATGGGAAACTAAGTTTAGTTAAAACTTTGCCAGCATTTACGTTAATCCTCTCTTTAAACTCTGACCTGAAAAATAGAAATTCCACAATTTTTGTTTTTAATTTCTATCTGGGGAAATATATTTATTTTTATTGCCTGCCTTTCATGTTTGGGTACTCGTAAATTATGCGTGAAAACGTTTGACGCCTCAATGCTTGCAAATCATATTTGGTTTCTGTAGAAAATAACGAAAAATACATTGAATTTTTCTATTTGTGGAAAGGTACAACAGGTTTTGCAAAAAAAAAAGGGTTATTTAGCACGTCCTTTTTCAAGTTGGCGAGTTCAACTAAAATGTTTCTTTGCTTAAATATTAAAATATTTGTTTTGAGTTGGCCTAGAGAATACCTTCAATTATATAAGAGCACAATTTTAATATATATACATACTACTATCAGAAATTACCTAGGGAAACAAGTAAAGATTTATACTATCAATAAAACAATGTCAGATAAGGAGTATCGGTTTAAAAAAGATGCCAATTTTAATCTTGGACCCGAGACGCGTGACGATCTCACGACTCGCACCTATGGATTCTTGAAGGCGAACCGGTCGGAAACTCCAATCCCTAGGACCCAAGACCCCATAAGTTCCAGCACTCTCGTGGAGAGGTTGCATACCATCCATAACAAGATCGATTATCAAGTGGACTCCGAAATTGACGACATATCTGGCTCAATTTCATCGCAAGACAATACAGTGCGCATGGGAAAGACGGCCTTTGAGCTGAAGCGCAAGCTCTTCGATGAGGCAGAATACACAATAGCTCGGGGCATCAAGCTAAGCGATTGCTTCTGTCCCGTCAACTCTGGCCTTCATCTGCCCATTATACCAAAAGACGGTGTGTTATTCACTTCGTTCGAGGAAATGGAGTCCTTCTGTCGCAGAATGAACATCAAGCTGGACAAATGAGTCGTTGCCAGGATTTGCAAAATCTAATATACTTTATTTGATTATGAATAAAGTCTTTCATACTCTTCATCGCAGAGTTTCATTGCATTTGCCTCGTTTGAATCTCGGAAAAGCGATAATTTCATGTCCATGTCACTTGCAGATTTCCTGGGAATCAACCACACTGGGCTTTTGGTACACCGAGCTACTGGAACGCAATGGGCAGTTCAGAACTTGGATATCAACGGATCGGCCCAAGGTGAGTGGGACAATGCACAACTATCCAAGGCCAACCCATCTCTCCTTTATTGACCCACAACTAGGTTTTCTGGATGACCGGCTTCTTTAATCCCCAAGGATTTCTAACAGCCATGCGACAGGTGAATATTAACAGCGAGATGAGTGGGCAGAATTAATTTATTAATGCATAGTTGCTTAATAAGCGAACGGGATATGAATACCAAGCCAGGAATCGAAAAAGGTCCTTTGTCAGGCACATCGTAAGGAGCATTTCCTTTATGCCCAGCGATTGCCATTAAAGCGTACTTTTCTTTTCCTGATTGTGGTGATTGACATATCAGATTCCCCACCTCAAAGGTTATTCACACGGTGTCTTCCTTTTCTTTGCAAATATACGTATATATATGCGGCAACACTTGAAAATCCCCTCGTGGCACAATCGATGTCAGGAGGTGACGCGAGCTCACAAAGGTTGGGCCCTGGACTCGGTGGTGCTACAGAATCAAATAACGCGCTACAACAGGGAGGACATCACCGAGTATCCCACGGAGGGGGTGTATGTGCACGGATTGTTCCTGGAGGGTAAGTGTCTGGCACCAGATTGTGAACTTGGAAACTCTACGCCGGTACTTGCAGGTGCTTCGCTGGATCGCCGCAGCGGCAAGCTGATTGAGTCCAAGATGAAGGTGCTCTACGAGCAGATGCCCGTCATCTATATATACGCGATAAACACGACGGCTGGGAAGGATCCCAAGTTGTACGAGTGCCCCATCTACCGCAAGCCCCAGCGCACCGACTTAAAGTACGTGGGTTCGATTGATTTCGAGACCGAATTCAATCCCAAGCACTGGACCCTTCGCGGCGTGGCCCTGCTCTGTGACATCAAGTGAACCTCGACCACCACCCCCCCTCCCAATACCGATGGCCATTGTTTGCCATCATGTCAACGGCTGTACGTGAGTGGGGCTCCTAATGGCCCTGTGATAATTATCTTTTTTCGTTGGGTGGACGTTAAAGTTTCGTGTAATCCGGCGCAAATACAACGTTATTAATTAAGCCCTCGGGTGAGGTAGGGCAAGTTGTTTGCACTCGGGAACAACCAGCACAATTATTAGCTCTTATCCATTTTGGTCAATCCCCGCAAGGCGGTCATTCCAAAAAGCGCACCAAACCCTTAGAGAGTTAAGGCATGTGAGTAGCCAAATCGCAGCGTTCAATAAAGGCATTAGTAAATGGAATTAAAATACACGTTTTTCTTGGCCTTTAGCTATATGGCAAATTCTTTGGAAAACTTAAACATCACTTGGTACCCTGTTAAGGAAACGGAACGCGTCACTCTGCCTGTTGCAGACGTCTATTGAAAAAACCCATGTAAACACAATTGCCGTAGGTATTGATTGAAGGTGAGTTCAAAAACCTTTGTTTTATCTTCCTCCCTCTTGCCCTTGAAATAATTGCGAGAGAAATACAAATGCTTATCCGGGGAATTGAGTCCTTAGAAAGTTAATTAAACGGAATGCTTTATAATTGAATGTCATGTCAATGCCTCATGATTTTATTTTTTAATAAGTATATCCGTACATACATATAATTTTGTATAATATATAATTTCGTTTGATTTCTTTTTTTGGAATTTCATTAGTTTAGCTTTTTTGAAAAAGATTTTTATTTACATACACATATAGAAATTAATTTGTATTAAACTTATTAATGTACAGAACGTAACTATTAAATGGTTAATTTGCTCGGTAAATTCCTTGTTAATCTACACAACACGTGGCGTATTCATGTATCGAAGTACTTGCTTGGGTAATTTGGGGCTGACTTTAAAATCGTTATTCGTATGATTTGGAACCATTTTTCGCTTAATATCTTAAAACTTGAACCCTTCAACAACGTAAATGTAATAGTGACCAAATGCAAGCGTTGACAAAAAGAACATGTAAATAGTATCTGCGTTATGTTAATTCTATTTGAGCATTTTTTATACAAGTTTAAGCACAACGGAGCAAACATAAAAACCGATTTCCGCCCGCGGAGAATGTAAACCACAATTATTATTTAAGTTAAGTAAATAAGAGATGCACAGTTTTTGCTTACACGAATAAAAACATGAAAATCTCGTTAGACAGGTCAATATTGCATGCAATTGATTAACGTTAATCATTAAAATAATTATTAAAATTACACATAGATCACTATCAATTACGCATGCATTTACGTTTATAAATCTTTGGAGTTTTGTTCGCTATATCGTTGGTGTATTTTAGTAGGAGTGTTTTCGATCTAGTAAAAGTATGTTTGACATCAATCGTGTGTGTAATCGTGGGGAGGGAGGTCTTTATATTCAACAGTATCTGTGAGAGGTAGCATAAATCGTTACATACACCGTTGGTTATTTTCGATAAAATAGAGTTCAAATGCGAATACATCTAGCAACGTGGGAGTAAGTTTGTCATCAAGGGAGTATGTGCACACACAACATGCCTGCCTTGTAGCCAGCCATTCATTAGGAACCGTCGATTTTCATTAATAACCGCCTAGCAGCACCAAGCTGTCGGGTGCCCCTATCCTTCTATCCGTATCGGTATATTTAACTGTATCCGTATCTGTATTTGTATCTTTAGCTATATCAGTATCCGTATCTGTATCTGTATCTGTAGCTGCATCTCAATCCCCACTTACTTAATTAACATTATGCTGGCTTTTGTGAGAGCGGTAGGGAAATGGCCAGGGCAGGCGGTCATTTGCATTGACCACGGACCGACCCACCTCGTTCGGTTCCTCGTTGGCCCAGTTGGGCTTGCCCTCGAACACATCGAACCTCTCCAGACCCAGACCCAGACCCAGCCCCTGTCCCAAACCCAGTCCCACACCCACACCCAATCCCTCCGGACCCACGTCATTGTCGTTCTCCTCGTCGTCATCCACATATCTCGCCGGGTTTTTACTGCCGTCGTCGTTTTCATTTTCATTCTCGTTCTCATTCACGTTTTCATGTTCATGATTTGTTTCGTTGGCTTCATTTCCGTTGACCCGATGCCTGGCCAGACCCATTCCGGCCACGTCCAGAGAGTTCTTCGCATAGCTGAGCAACTGCTGACCTGGGAGTGCCTGGGATTGTGGTCGAATGGATGTTGATTGCAGGGAATCCGCAAACTGTGACGACGCCGTGTACGGGGACCGGGCCCAACCGTAGCTCCACAGTTGGCTGGGGAAATGCTTCCAGGGCAGCAGCTGTTGACGGCCCAGCTGCTCCTCCGGCTCCGCATCCCCATCCCGTTCCCGTTCCCGCTCCCGCTCCAGTTCCAGTTCCCGCTCGACTGGCCACTGCTGCTGGCGGTACCGCCTGCTGACCTTGGGGGATCCGGATCCGGATACGACTCCTCGCAGCAGGACTCGCTTGCCCACGTTCTTCAGGATGGCGCGATTCAGTTCGACCTGGGCAAGCACAAAAAAAGGTAACTCGGTTCACATAAAATGCTGTTAAATGCTGTAAAATGGGTGACAAAGTGCATGGGTAGTCAAACAAGTCCCATTTCCCAGCAGACATGATGTACCCTCCTTTCTAAGAGGGAAAAGCTAAACTCGATTGACATGCATGATGGATGACCACATTGGCAATGTGGTTAACGTTTCAATTTCATTCACAAATCAAATGTCATTAATTGAGAGTGAGGGTTTCATTTGAACACTTTCCATACTTGGAACTAACAATTTAATGCTATTCTTTAAAGCCACAGATATTCAAGTTCATTTTGTAACCATTTTGCTTGAATATCAGCTTGATGTTTAAAACTAAGATTATTTATTGTTCGGGAGACATCATGTGGAATGGGATTTTTCCTACTTTAATACCCAACTATTCAAGCATAACATCACACTTTCATTTTAACACCTTGCATTCATTCTTTTAATTCTTTCTATTTGCAGACCACTTTGGAGGTTTTAAACGAGTGAATTATTTGCTTTGAGCTAGGATTCGATGTCGAACTTTCAAATTGCGGTGCATTGTTTGATTATTTAAATGTCTGTTTTCAGCTGCTGGAAAACTACGATCTATTTATTTAAAACTTTAAAGTCAATTCCATTTAATTTGAATTCAAATGAAAGTATTTCTGATAAAATTGCTAGCTATTGAAGATATTTATTTCTATTTATAAATTCTATTTTCCCTGGCATTAATTGTTTGAGGTGGAAACTGTCTCATGAAATCCTCATTTATTCGTTTAACACTCCTTTTGTTTACCAATCTCACTGCAGGATACTTAAAGAACCAGTTGTATGCATAGAATAATATATATGCTGAGCTCATCTTTCACCGATTCGAATTGCTTTTGGGATGCATGGATTAATTTAAAAAACCCCTTTGACAAATCAATACTGTTATCTGGCTTGTGTGAATAGGTGGATAGGAGGCACATAGGCACATGGGCACATAGGCACATCCATGTTCATCCATGACCCTCTTTAACAAAAATTCGTGGGCGAAAGGTGAAGTTATCAAGGCAAATCGTTTGAATTCCTCGCATTAAAACGTTTGATTTTTTTGTCCTTTTTTTGTCTTTTGTGTTGTGCCTTGGGGCTTGGATCGTTTGGTAACCAAATAAACTCGCTTTGTTTCCGAGCGAAAATATTTGTGTCACACATACGCAACGTTGGCTTTGTTTTGGCGCTGAGCCCCGTGCATGTATATTTTGGGTGTCAGGGCCATCCGAAGTGCTTAAGCCCTGTTTCGGGTTCTGCCAGGATGTGTTGTTTATATTCCCGGAGCAAGTATGTGGGCTTGAGGAGTCTTCTGGCACCCGGAATATTTATTGGACTCCGCCCGGCGAGGAATTAAAAAACTTTCTGCAGCTGCGTTCTATATGCGTTCGGAAAGTATTTCTCATTAGGCATTCTAGTTTTGATTAGCCGCTACATTTTCATTTATACTTTGCACCGAATTACTCTTTCCACTTAGGGCAGCATTTTAGCGAGAATTGTTTTCCGTTTGTCTTGGATGCCGTAGTCAAAGTTTTCTTTCTGTTTTCCTTTTTTCGCTTATTAAAAATACCTTGCAAAGTGGTCAGCGCGGTTCGTTTATTGCAGAAATCCCCTGACATCCCCCCCTGAATACAAAACTCACCTGGCGGGAGTTCTCCTTCATTTGCCTGCGTGCGATTTCCAGGAGCAGCCGCTGACGCAGCACATCCAGGGGATTGACAATGGACAGCGACGGTTTGTTTCGCTTGGCCAGTATAAAGTCATCCTAGACGGGGGAAAAATGTATACATGTATATATAGTACGGACATTTACATTTACGGGAAACTTCTTGGCGCTTGGCATAATAAAATCGTGGCAAGGTAATGCAAAAAGTTTTAAGTCCCTATCTTATATAAAGTTCTGCGTGTTAAGTTTAATTTTTTGTTTTCAAGAAAATTAAAATCTTTGACAGGCAATTGGCATCGATTGGGGGTAATCTTAGGAGATTGGACTATCTAAAGCATTACATCACTTTTTGTTTTTCCCACATTGGAAAATTATCGATCTAAATCAATACAAGAATCTTATCGGGGCAGCCCTACGTTTTTTCCATGATGATCAATCGGAAATTTCGCGATAAGAACTCTTCACTGATAGGCAAGAAAATTTCAAGCAAATTCGTGAGTCACAGCTGAAAAGAAATTAAAAAACAATTGCGATTCTTGGGCTAAGAAACGACTGAAAAACTACTTTAATAATTATCGCATGACAACGCCAAAAAACATTTCTTTTCGTGACACTTAAGCATAATAAAACGATTTAAGGCGTCTGCGGCTAAATCATAAAGATATTACGAAAATTTCACATTTAATCTAACAAATGTTTATAACTTTTTCTTTGGAAAAATTTAACAAATTTTTATTTTTTTCCAAGAAGAATTTACATGTCTAAGTTCAAGGCAAACGGTAAACAACCAATCCGAATTCATGTTTAGAAAAATATGATAATTACGATTATTGTTTGTCTGGCTATCAGAAACGCCAGCGATTAGATAAGAACGTGCCACAGTGTGTGGTCGCTATGTCTGGGAATGAATGGACCTGGCTATCAGATTTCTATAAAAGCTATAGCCACCTGTAGGCCCAGGTAGTATATTCGAAACGATTGCGAAATGAAGGTTCTAACGCTCTTCTTGTTGACGGCCCTAGTGGCAGTGGCTGTGGCCCGGCCGAACGGCGGCTGGTTGGGAAACTTTGGCGGCAACTGGATCAGGAAGTTCGGCTGGGGATCCGATGACAGCCAAAACGTGCAGGAGCAAAAGTGGAATGGCCAGAACCAGTGGAATGGCCAAAATCAGTGGAATAATCAGAATGGCCAGGGTCATTGGAATGGAAATGGCCAGGGTCAGGGTCAGTGGAATGGAAATAGCCACGGTCAGGGTCAGTGGAATGGAAATAGCCAGGGTCAGGGTCAGTGGAATGGAAATGGAAATGGCCAGAGTCAGTGGAATGGAAATGGAAATGGTCATGGCCAGGGTCAGTGGAATGGCGGAAACAATCACGGACAATGGAACGGTGGTCACGGAAATGGACAAGGCCATGGAAACAATCATGGTCACGGACACGGACATGGAGGTCACCAACCCCCACCACCAACTGATCTCCCCAAAGTGACCGAAGACGATATTGCATCCACCACCGATGTGACTAGCCCTGTCGAGGAAACCACCTTCAACCCTGAAGTTCCAGAAGAGACCACCACTCGGGCACCTGAGGAAATCACCACCGACTCCGAAGATGGCAGCGGTTCCACAGAAGAAACCACTCTGGCCCCTGAGGATAACACCACCGACTCCGAGGACGGCAGCGGTTCCACTGAAGAAACCACTCTGGCCCCTGAGGATAACACCACCGATTTCGAAGACGGCAGCGGTTCCACTGAAGAAACCACTCTGGCCCCTGAGGATAACACCACCGACTCCGAGGACGGCAGCGGTTCCACTGAAGAAACCACTCTGGCCCCTGAGGATAACACCACCGATTCCGAAGACGGCAGCGGTTCTCCTGCGGAAACCACTTTGAGTCCAGAAGAACCAGAGGATTCTACCACACAGACTCCCGAGGATTCCACCACTCAAGCACCCGTAGTTCCCGAGGATTCCACCACACAGGCACCCGAAGTTCCTGAGGATTCTACCACACAGGCCCCTGTAGTTCCCGAGGATTCCACCACACAGGCACCTGTAGTTCCCGAGGATTCCACCACACAGGAACCTGTAGTTCCTGAGGATTCTACTACACAGGCACCTGTAGTCCCCGAGGATTCCACCACAGAGGCTCCCGAAGTTCCCAGTGATTCCACTACCCAGGCGACCGAAGACTCTACGACTGATTCTTCAGTGGTCTAGGAAGCTAGTTTGGTAATTCCAATGGTTCCTAAAGACTTGGCCTCTTGCACTTTCTCAGAACTCCTTTAAAATTCCACGTCTCAAAGTAACTAGGTTATAAAACAAAGAGTTTTAAAGCGAAATGTGGTGCAAAGATTAAACTGTTATAACTAAATTATTAACCGTGTTTCTACCAAAATCAAGTGAAAACACTTTTAGGCTTAGGATTAAGACCTCATGAAGTCACATCGTGTTTTGTAGTCACGCATTCCTCATTTAGCTTTATAGTTCCTACAATCTGAACAATTAAAACTACCCGAAAACATGCGATGGACTGTGGATTTATTGTACGGCGGAACTCGAAAATGTAAACTCTTATCACATAATTGAGCTTTCGCTTTTCGGACCATGGCAATATTGCTATTGTTTCTTTGATTGTTTAGCCTTTGCGTGCGTTGATAAACTGATTGATTGACGTACATACATCAATCAAAGAATCGCTACTTCAATGATTAGTTGGCAAATCGACCCTTATCGGAACATATGTTTGTATAAATGTATGTTGTATATGCCTGTGGTTAATGATGTGTCATATTTGCTGGTACAAATGGAAAATTTCGTAATTGGCTTTTAACATTGCTCCGGGGCTTATTTATAAATCGCAGCATCATGATAAATCATCATTTCTTTCACCAAATAAAATTAAATTGTTTACGTGTCTCGCATTAACGTGTTTAAATCTCCAATTTCACAAACGAATCAGCCTCCCTTTTAAATTGCGCAGAATAAAGAATCGACTTCACGAAACTTGAACTTCTTAAAAAACAGAGGTGAAACTTTTGATTGTGGACAACAGGAGTTGTTCAAGACAAACAAATTGTTTTTTGTTTTCTTCTAATGACGCTTGGACAAAATCCTTGACGAAAATTTCCATTTGTTTTGAAAGTCAATCCGTAGAAGCAAATCAATTCTGTTGCCACGTTCGTATTTGCTTAAGAAAATAATATATGACTAACCGTTCGCTCCGAACCAGTTTCACATTGAGGTATGTACTTCCCACCCATGAAGTGGGTAGATTAGATTGTACCAGCGTCCAGATTCAATCTGATATTAACTGATGTATAGGTAGTTTCAAAGAACTGACATATTACGCACCTAATGGTGCTTTCTTAGAATTTCATAGAAAATAGATTTGCAACCACTATAAAATTCATAGGGCAAACCACTTCTAAAAAACATTTTGATAACATACCACCATTAGCAGTCTTTCATTTCCGACATCTGAAGTGCTACCCACGACTGATATGAATATGTGAACAAAAAATAAAATAAAACTATGCTGATATGTGTCTTTATGCTAAAAGGAACGGGGGTTTTAGCAAGCTCAAGTTAAAATACTCTATAAAAAAATAAATAATATGTTCTTAAAAAGAACATTTAGGATATTAAGATTGATCGATATTGGAATTGTCTAATCCAAGATTTTCAGAATTGATTTAGTTAAATTTTCAAGAGGCTTAACCGTGTTAACGAAACACGAGGCTTCGAAAAAGGACACTTTGCGGTCACTGTCTTCAAAAGGCTGCATGTTGTAACGAACAATGTGTCAATTTATGAACAGATACAGATACCAATGACTGGTGTCAAAGGAGCTGTGAAAACGACTGTTGGAAAAATGCAGAGCCAATAATTGAATATGCATTCGAAAAACATTCACACGAGTGACGCAAAAACTGCTGCCACTCACAAAGAAATGGACTCAGAAATGCCCACCTGTGTGTTCCGTACATCAGGGTAGTCCAGAGGATATCCGTTTGTGCGGCCGCTTCCGCCGACCTCAGCTCCTCCTGATCCTCCTCCTGCCCCTCCTCCGGCTCCTCCCCGCTGGGCCGTGCAGACGAGCCTTGTGGCACACAGTAAAGTTAATAACACCGGACAAAACCACGCTGTGGCTTTCATCATTCTGCGAAAAACGAGAAAAACGATAGAGTTGCATGGGTGAGTGCACAATTTACAGATTTGCATGCAATGCAAATTGCTTTGGTACATAAAAAGCTTATGTTATTTATCAAAATTAAGCAAAACCATAAATATTGATAAACCATTTTTTCAATCATCGTTGCGTACCAATTTGATTATTATGGTAAGAATGCAGTAATATTAATTCAATGAGCTGCAAGTAACCGATATATTATTTACTTTATAATTTATTATTTATTCTAGTGTAGGGTATTAAAAATCCTATATTAATGTTACATTTTATTGTGTTAATTTTTATGGAAAATTAAGCTTATCTGCGGCTATTATTTTCAAAATTTCAGAGCCATTGCCTTCTGCCAACTTTGACTTCTGCCGTTTTCCCACTGGAATAGCGAAAATAAAATGCTGACAGCTAACCTGTGAAAAATGTGCAATATTCTGACAACAAGAAGTGTTCTCATAATTTATGGGTCACGTAAATATGTGGTACTTCTGAACCTAGTTTTTTATGTACATGCGTATATGCATATCAATCTCATGTCCCTTTGGACTTTTCAATCACTTCGCCATGGGGGTTGAGTGCAAATTTTCACAAGGTTCAAAAAGGAAATTAGGTTTTAAATTGAAGACGCCGACGTGTAACCTGCTGGACGAGTGTATTAGATTATTTTCCTGTTGAAAAGTTGAAATCGTCAACGGCAAACCTTATTTTAAAAATGAGAAATCAAGTTGAGTTTGGCAAAACGAAGTTTATATAATATTGCAGTTGTTCAAGAAATTCTATAGTCTAAGTAGGTTTCAATTTAAGAGAGGTTTAGGATGTGATCTGTTTTTTAATTTGATATATTTACTTTACCACTGAAAGGGTATATTTTGTATATTCTAAATTCACATTAAGACAGATTTTTGCATGTCCTATAAATAAACACATGTAAGTGCATAATAAAGTTTAAAGCAACGGTGGAACTCTAATTGGCCATGATAAGTTTAGTCCTTTGTAATTCTATCTCATATACTGTACATATTTTCCTTCCCACGTTTTGCCCTTCTGAGCTAGGTTCTTTTTAATTGTATTAAATAAATTTAAGTTTCACTTTTGTTTTGCTACATACTGCACTTTACAATTACCAAAACAAAACTTACTTATTGTTACTAACAACATTAAGCAACAGTTGCCTGAATAGCTAAACTTCCTGCAATGTTGTGCTCGTAAGTCAAAGTTTTAGCTCCTATTACCCTAACTTCTCTATAACTCAAAATTAAGTTTTGCACTGTTGCCACAAGGCGTTAAACACTTTTTAATTGTATAATCGCCCAGGTCATGAGAGGTTTCGGTTACAAAGTTAAATTTGAACTCAAATAGCTTTTTGTAAAAGAGCCATTTTAAATTTAAATTAAATTTCATAAGAAAATCCTTGATGCGGAAATTTTTACATTGTTTCAAACGTGAAAGCACTAAGTTTCACACTTTATCGGGAATTCAAAGTTTTCCCCATTCAAAATTATGGCAGCTCTTTTGTTTTCGACTGGGGGACGAACCCAAATCCCACCTGTCAGCAGGAGCTTAGACATCAGAAATAAGTAACTGGCGAAATGGCAGCCGCATTAGTCCTGCCGGCAATCACATGTCATACAGATGCCATTTGGTGAACAAGGATTTAGGAATCCGTGCGAAACTCGTGGGTGGCTGCCGCACTTTTCGGGAACGACAATTGATGGCTATTGATTTCCCCTAATAGATCGCGTAAACACTGGGAAATGCGAAGGGTACGCCAGCGCCGAAGTTGCAACGGAAATTGCAGTCCAATTGAATTTGGGTTCGGGAGTGGGGCGAACGAACAGATGAAGCCTTGCCGCAGAGGAATTCTTCTGCTCAAAGTTTCCCAGAAGGCGGGATGTAATGAATGAATTCTTACATTTGAAGTTGAACAAATATTGATTTTCTGGAAGTAATATAGAATTCAAGGCAATAAAACTGCCCTGCCCCACTGAGGATGGTGCTCCTGACAGCCATTGTCGTCCTCATATCCCGGTGACGGAAATCGTGATTGCCCGGGGCTACTTGCCAGCACGTCCCTTCTTGTTTTATCGGCAATTCAGAGGCAGGCCTAAACACAAGGAAATGAAATCCTGTTATCTATTCCAACTTGAAATATTTACATATGTACGTATGCAAATACGAGTATGTGGAGAGCACATGGGCGAAAAGTTTCAGCAGCTTTAAAAACCGTAAATCCGATTTGATTAGGCCATAAAAGAACGCAAACAAAGGTCAATCAATCGGGAATCTAGGGAAAAGGAAAGCGGGTCGTTAAGGAAACCACCGTCTCCTGTAAATTACAAGGTGTGATTGCCGACGCTGTCAGCAGAAAGTTTCGCTAAGCTTGTTTACAGTCTATTAAGTCACATGATATTGTTACCTGAAACCAGAGGCAACAATGCCTTCAACACGTAGAAAGGAAAACTAATTAGCTTAAACGTTTTTTAAGCAATCAATCAATCTTGCCCCATTTCGGGATACAACTTGTGTAACTTTTTCGTTTAGGTTTTTGCTCTGAAATCTGATATGGTTCCGAACCAATTTAAAAAACACCTACTCAAAAACATAAAAGACGCTGTCTCGGCTTTTTTTTCCAAAAAATGTCACATAAAGAGAAATCACCTTATCAGTGGTAATTGCCCCTAATTTCGGTGGATCTGAAACGCACTCGACGGATTGATTTATGACGATCGAGATATTTCGCGAGTGTGTTTGTGTGTGTGAGATTTAACCGCTTTTGTGGCTTATTTATCTTTTTCTAATTTATTTTATGTATTCACGCGCCGCGTCGCGAAACGGCAACTGATTCGGAATCTGAAACTGTTGCTGCTGGTACGGCTGAGTTTAGTGTTTTTTCTGCTTTTTCAGATGCTGCTGTTTGTGCCAGCATCGAATCTCGAACGCAACAGGCTGACGACGAGCGGAGGACTCACGGAGCATAGCGATTACGGCGTGTTTTTATATTAGGCGCTTCGAAGCGCCCGCACACGAAGCGCAGGATCCGAGGAGCCAAAGGACACGAAGGCCACCAGGACGAAGCGCCGCCACGAAGATGCCCCAGCCACGCGACGAGTTATGAATGAAAACGTGCGGGCTCGGTACAACACGGCATGTTGCCAGGATGATGGAAATCGAATCAGATGAGGCGGGTCAGACCGCGCGGGTTAGAACCCCTAATAAATCACCAAGGTGTGCTAACGCATTAAGGAATTGACGGATTGCTGGTGGCAAACTGTGCGAGTTCCGCAGTGATGGTGTTGCGGCAACATGTTGCCACCACTCGCGAATCTCTGTCAGCGCTGTAATTATCGAACTCAATTAATATTTAATGAGTTTTATTTGCACATTAATTGTTCGATTTAAAGCCAAACGGCAGGACGAAAGTTGACGAGGATACGGACCCCGAGCACCACTCAATGTCATGTCAAAAGGTGCTAACGTGGCCCGACATTCCGCTCGGCCGGCAATCGGGCGTTAAATTGCTCGCCATAAATCCGTCAAACGTTAACCATGGGGGTCCTGGCCAGGAGATGGGTTCGACACATGAGGTCCTGTGCTCAGAAGGGATTTGTTCTTATTTTAGATACAACTAAATAGTTGTTGAGACATGCTATTAAGAGAATATGGGAAAGTAGAAATACTGATTATCTAATTCTTATTATTACTTCCTTACAATAACCTATGTATTATTTCAAAGGCAAGTGGAAAGATATTTTATTTAAAATACATTATTAATAAGTTAATTAACATCTACATACTTAGTTTTTCATTAATTTGAATACATTATGTTATTTAGTTGCTCTATGCGTAACTTCAAAACTTAATCATTTCCCAAATAAAATAAAATGGTTAATTTTTGGCTTTAACATGGGGACATTAAGATTTAATTAAGATTCTTTTCGTTTTGAGATTAGTACAATAAGTTATGCATTCGTAATTATAAATTCATAATCAGGACTACCTCACACATTTGTTTTCCCATCAAACACTTAGAAGCAACAGTGTTGCCAGCTATCGCAATTGTCCTTCGTCCTTCGGGACGTTGATCACCCACTTTGACATACTTTTTAATTGCTTTCAACACGTGTCTTCGGGTTTTTATGTGCGTATGTATGTGCCTGCGTCGGCTTGTAATTAAGCACGTAGGCAAACGCCTCCATTTCCTGCCCAGCAGGATGCTTTATGGCTGATTGAATTCCGTCAAAATGCCACTCCTGCCACTTGCTTTTATGTGAGCGGTAATGATATTGAGCGTATGAGCGATTTTTAAGGAGCGATGTAATAAGTTGAAAAATTACTTTTTATTTTGTAAGCTTTTCTTCAGTAACTATCTTTTGCTACTGGGCTATTAACGTGTTAATTAGCACACTTAACTTGAGAAAACAAAACAAATAAAAACATTATTTTGTTATTATGTATAATAGACTATGCCTAATGACTATCAGAATTCGTTTATTCAAGTCCAGTCATTGTTAAAGATTCCAAATAGGTCCAGTTAATATTTGGCTTAGCTTTTTCGTCAGGTCTTCGGACTCATAAATATGTTGATTGAATAAAGGACACAATTTAATCCCCACTCAAGCGCCTACAATTACAACCCACTCACCATCCCGCGGCACAGAAATTCCGTTGTCCGATTTGCGTAATAAGTCAATGACTGATCAACCCGTCTCTTGACACCCCTTTTTCTAATAGCCCACCGACGATTTGACAGGCGACTAAGCGGTGAACGGGCATTTAATGAGGAGCAGAAAAGGCAGCCGCCTCATTTCATCCAATTATCCTTGTTATGGGCAGCCGATGGTTTCATCCAATTATACATGCTTAGACAATTGTGTGAGTGTCAAGAAACTTGGTGTCGGTCAAGTTAAGTCATTAATAATTAGGAACGTCTTAATGGCGGCAGACACTTTATTGATTATTAAAGGAGGAAATAAAGCTGCCACTACAACGTTTAATTAACAGTGTTCTCCGCCTTTTTTAACCACAACATTTGGCTTCCATCTAAATCTCTTTGAAATGCGATGAGTTTCATCGCAGTCAAAATGAGCGGATTATTCTTTGAAGCCTTTCAATTAAATCAAGATACGGACCATTTAGCAAAGAGAAGAAAAATCAAACAGCCGTACAAGTTAGTCAAAAAGTTAGCGGAATATATATATTTCAACTAATCCCAGAAAAGTTTCGCCAAACTTGTTTCATCTTTGAGGCTCTATCGACGTCATTGGATGTAGAATTTACTGCTGACAAAACGTATTCAATGCCTAAGACTACAATAAATATATTCAGGTCAGCCAATAGAATTACCGTGAGAAAAGTTTGTTCTACCAATTAAAATTATCATATTTATTTGTCATTTCAAAAAGGTATCACATCTTTCACATTTCCAACCTATATGGTTATTAAAGCCCCTTAATTGTGTATTTCACCTTTCTTTGTGGAAAAGTATAGTAGCTTATATGTATATAAATTAGTAAGCAATAGTTTTATGGGTGTGCTTTCTTTTCAGCTAAAATAAAACAAAAATATATTCACCCTGAAATGTTGAACCCGCTAATCTCTAATGGGTTTTTATTGATTTCAACGCCAAACGCTTGCAACGTCAATGTTCCCTTATATACTTCTCTATCCAGTTTCTATTCCTTGCTTCAATTATCAAATCGCCTATACCGATAAGGCACCGCCCGTCCGTATCTTCTTCCTTGCACATATTGTAAATTTGTTTAGTGATCTGCGAGTTGGTGTACACATCAGTTCCTGGATGAACTAGGAGCATTTCTCGCAGTCTGAAAATATATCCATTGAGTTCGGCGAAGTTTACATTGCCCGTGCGGTATTTATAATGCGCAATAAGCCTGGCAATCTGCAGTTGCATATCCGGATAAGTCCCTGGCAGAACTCGAAGCATGTACTGAAGATTCAGGATATCTTCGTCACTCACACTGGCACTGATGTTGCCCCAGAGACCAAATAGTACAGCCAGCATAATGCTGAAATTTTTAAAGGTTACTCATTTTGTTTTGTAAATATATGAGACAGATTTACCTTAGGCGGATGGCAAAATTCATTTTTACGTGCTATACGCTTGCGAGGTTTCGAAAAACTAATGTTGAACATGTTTAATCTTAAAGTCTTGCGACAGCATTGACAACTGATAACCTTGCTAATGTTCCCCTCGGATTAAGTCTTTATGAAAAGACTCTCTTTAAATAGTTCGTTTAATCAGTATTTATTATTCATTGAGCATAGCCATGTTACAAAATATGTTTTTACATTCAAAACTTGGAAAATGTATGTTGTTCTATTTTGTTTGGAAGCTGTTGCGGCAAGGTATCGCCTGCGGCTGTGTGTCAGTAGCGAAATACAGCTCAATTTGTATGTTTGTGTATTTATACAGTGCCGCAGTTGAAATCTCTAAAAGAAAATAATATTTAAAAATGAACCACACACATTAACTGACCTGGTTTTTAAATATTATTACTTTGAGCCCTTAAGAATAAAAGTATAAACGAATATTTGTTTTATCGGATTGACTGATAAACTCTGAAAAATTAGTCTTTTAATAAATAATACAATAAATTATTACAAAACTAACAAGCTCTGGTACCACACAGACCTAAACAAATACTAATAATAAATAAAAAGTTCAGCGAACGACCGAAAAGTGTACCACGATTTAATTTGATAATTTCAATGCTTTCTTCAAGGTCTACAAAATAAGAATGTATTTTACGTGAATATCAATAAACAGAATTAAGTACTAATTAACATAAACATGTGCATAATATGATTTATATTTTATGAAATTAACGTTATTTTTTAAAATCCTACGTTGCGTCGATAACATCATTAGATAACATCATTTTATCGAATACTTTTAACTGTTCGTGACAAGTCACAGGTCAGCGACTATCGATAAGCCCTTGAAGGCGATAGGTCATCACTAGAAAAACAAATATGGCGGAACCGTGCGTAAAAGTAAAAAAAGTGTAAAATTTCGGTGTTTAACCGACTCCTGAACAGATAATTTCGCGTTAAATCCGCGAAACGAGAACTGCGCATCTCGTTAAAGATAAATCCTAACCTGGAACTATTTGTGCGCCGCGCGCTTAAGTTATTTTGGGTGCTGCGATGCGATTTGGCCACCAATTTGTTATTACGTGACCTCAAGAACGCCGCACAAATTTGCCTGGCCAAATCGAAATTCATTCTTCGCGTGCGGGCTGTGTGAAAAGAAATTGCAATTGGCGGCAAGTGACTCCAGGCAGCCGCAATGCGATTTAACCGCCGAGCCGCAGTGAATGAGTTCGAGTGCGCTAAAATCGAGTTAAATCGCATCAGAGCCATCGCCTGAGATGCCAAGGGGCTTGCCGGCGGGAATCATCAAGTGCATCAACTAGGAAAGTCCCAAGGGAGCCAAGTGAGCCATGTCGGGGGGACGCGACAGCAGCACGAGCAGCGGGAGCAACTCCGCCGCGGCGGGCGCCAGCACCAATGCCTCCTCCACATCCGCGTCGGCATCGGCATCCTCCGCCGGCGCCACCTCGCCCGCTTCCACTCCACGACAACGGGGAAGGCCGGCCAAGCGGGCCACGTGCACCTGGTGCGGCGAGGGCAAGCTACCGCTGCAGTACGTCCTGCCCACCCAGACCGGGAAGAAGGAGTTCTGCTCGGAGACCTGCATCGCCGAGTTCCGGAAGGCGTACAGCAAGGGAGCGTGCTCCCAGTGCGACAACGTCATCCGCGATGGGGCGCCCAACAAAGAGTTCTGCTCGATCATGTGCATGAACAAGCACCAAAAGAAGAATTGCTCCACTAGGCACAGTGGCGGATCCGGATCGGGCAAGGGTCTGGCGGAGAACGAGCGCAAGTTGCTGGCCAGTGGAGCGCCCGCGCCGACGGGGCCATTTCAATACGAGAGCTTTCACGTCTTCGACTGGGATGCCTATTTGGAGGTGAGTTGTGAAGGTATTTCTAATAAAATCTCAATTAATCCCTTGGGCTTGTGTTTTTCTAGGAAACGGGCAGCGAAGCTGCTCCTGCAGAATGTTTCAAACAGGCTCAGAATCCTCCCAACAATGACTTCAAGATCGGCATGAAGCTGGAGGCCCTGGATCCGCGCAACGTGACTTCCACCTGCATTGCCACCGTGGTTGGAGTGTTAGGCTCCAGGCTGCGGCTACGCCTGGACGGAAGTGACTCACAAAATGACTTCTGGCGGCTGGTTGACTCCACGGAAATCCATGCTATTGGGCACTGCGAGAAGAACGGCGGCATGCTTCAGCCGCCGCTGGGATTCCGCATGAACGCCTCCAGTTGGCCTGGGTATCTCTGCAAGATCCTCAACAATGCCATGGTGGCGCCGGAGGAGATCTTCCAGCCGGAGCCTCCTTCGCCGGAGGAGAACCTGTTCAAGGTGGGCCAGAAATTGGAGGCGGTCGACAAGAAGAACCCGCAACTGATTTGTTGTGCCACCGTGGACGCTATCAAGGATGATCAGATCCATGTGACTTTTGACGGCTGGCGTGGGGCATTCGACTACTGGTGCAATTACCGATCGCGTGACATTTTTCCCGCCGGCTGGTGCGCCCGAAGCTGTCACCCTATGCAGCCCCCAGGTCACAAATCGCGCATGGACTCCAGCTCCGGCAAGCAGCGATGCGCGCGTCCCCGCTACACAGTGGTAGCCGAATCGGAGGCTATGGTTCCCGCTTCTCCGGCCACCGCCCACTTTCATCCGAACTGCAAGGGCGGTCCGTTCATCAACAACTCCAAGCTGCCATGCATGGTCACAGGGCCAACCTACCAAACGCTGGCTAAGCTCTGCCTGCAGGAGGTTTTGGCGGCCAGCACGGATACGCAGCAGCTGTCGAAGCTACTGTTCGCCCTGGAAGGAGACGTTCACATCGTTACGGCAGCGGGAAAAAATTTTACAGTGAGCTCAACATTTTTTTAAATGAACATTTGATTTAAATCCTAAATTAATTTATATTTAACATTTAAAATTAAAAAAAAAACTTTTTTACTTTCGACTCCTTAAAGGTTAAAATACCCTCGCCATTGCGCATGAAGGATGACGAAAGCCTGGCCCAATTCATCGAGACGTTGTGTACTACATGCCGGGCATGTGCGAATCTCATCTCCCTGGTTCACGAGACGGAAGAGTGCAAGAAGTGCGCCAACAGCCGGAAGCGCCAGCTGACACAGTCAGCCACCCCGCCCTCCTCGCCAGTGCTCGCCGACAAGCGGCATCGACAGTCAAGCTCTGCAACGACTCCACCCTCAGAGAAGATAATCAAGCAGGAGGTGGGTGCTAAGTCGCCGGTGGATATCAAATCCAAAACACCGACGAACAATGGCAAGGAGCCTGTAAGCCACCAGAACAGCCACAGTCTCAACAACAATAGTGCCAGTAAACCCAGCACCAAGGTGGTTATTAAGACGGAGCCCAACGGTGTGGCAGGCCAGACGTCCTCCACAACGCAGGCTCTTCGCAAGGTACGCTTCCAGCACCACTCAAACAGCAATAGCATTGTGGCCAATGGAAGCCCGAACGCGAATCAGGCCACTCCCGTATCCACTAGCCATTGCAGCAGCTCTTCAACATCCTCCAGCACAAGCTTGGCCGGGGGATCGGCCAACACCAGCTCGATTGGCAAATACCTAGCGCCACTGGTGGCCGAAGTGCATCCGGAGCAGGTCAACGTGAAGCCCTCGAATAGCCACTATAAGAGTCCGACGACGCTCTCGTCCAGCGCCTCGTTGCCCACATCCGTGTCCACGCCTTTTACGGGCTGCCAGTCAGCCTCGTCCACTGCACTGGCTGCAGGCGGAGTTACGGCGGCCAAGGCAGCCACAGCGCCAGCCGGCGCAGCTGCAACTGCGGCAGCTTCCACGAGCTATACAGCGATTACCTCACCCCTTAGCACACCCACGTCTGCTTCAGCGAACTCGCATCTGCGGTCGCAGCCCATCGACTGGACCATCGAAGAGGTGATTCAGTACATCGAGAGCAACGACAATTCCCTCGCAGTGCATGGCGATCTCTTCCGCAAGCATGTAAGTTAAAAAACATTGCCCTATTCGCTCTTATACGGTCTTGTTATTGATTTGGTCTCTTTATAGGAAATCGATGGTAAAGCTTTATTATTGCTAAATTCAGAGATGATGATGAAGTACATGGGCCTAAAGCTAGGACCAGCCTTAAAAATCTGCAATTTAGTCAATAAGGTCAATGGTCGTCGAAATAATCTGGCACTCTAAGATAACAACAACTAGTAAACAGCGGACTCTGGTTAAGTTGGACTTACATAGAAATTGTTAACAAATTAGTACCTCCCATTAACGTAAAGCAAAGCGAACATGAACGATATTCGTAGATTGTTATGTGTTGGCTATTCATGAAGGAAAACCCCTAAACTTATTTTATTATATCGATAATATGAAACAACCGCGCAATAACAAATCTAATCGCGAAAACATAAAATTCCCTATTCAAAACGGTCGCATAACAAATTATAGACAAGCCATGCTCCGGTTTTCAAAACCGTATTTTATTTTTTTAGTTGCTCGTGTTTCTTTTTTTGAAAAACGCCTTAACAATTGTCATTAGGTACCTAAAATTTATAAAATTTCACTACTATACAAAACATCTATTTTAATAGAATTTTTGTAAATGTGGACAAGATACTTTGCTCGAATTAAGCATGTTTATGTAAGAGTATATTCAAAATTAACCAGTCAAGGAGTATACGTACAAAATTAATATTAAGTTAAACCTACTATTCCTCAAAAAGTGAAATATTTTCTTAATTTGCACCAAATTTTGAAGTTTCTTTGAAAACTGGAGCTCGGCTACCAAAAACGCAATGCACATACATGATATTTATTACACATAAACACGCACATTAGACACCAAAATCTATCCAACACAAAAATGATATTTAACGTTAGAATAGGCGAGAAAGCAAAAAAAATATAAAGTGAATGTACATATTTTACATATAATTTTGTAATTATGTATCAATTGCGTTTCCTAACTATAACAATATTAATTAGTCATTAAACAGAATGATGGTATACTTTTCTATTAAGTTATTAAAATTGAATATCAATTTTTAGTTAAATCAACAGCAGATTAAGGTAATTTTTGAAAATAAGAACCGCTTCCTTTAAAAGTTTTGCAATATATGCGATATAAAGAGTAACATTCGGTCGTGTAAAGTATTGCAATAAGTCTCATTATGTTTACCCAACAACCACTTACAAATACAAAATTTAAATAGAGCCAACTGTATATATCATTACGTAATAAACATATTACAATTTGTTCTATTTTCAACCATAAAATACCTCAAAAACATTACATTGGATGGTAAGATATTCTGGCAGAAAAAGTAGAAAACCAAACAAAACGTTTTTAAAATGGTATCAATTCAAACTTAGGATGTTAAAGATTTCGTTTAAAATTATATTTTCGATAAATAAGCTTTGAAAGCTGGATTTTAGGTCGTTATTTATTGTTTTTTGATTGGACGTTGGTTCACTATGTAAAAGCAAGTGGCCCGTTACGAGTTGAAGTGAAGTGGCCAACAACACCGTTTAAACATAACTAATCTGAGAATCAATTTTTTGTTTTATTGTCATATTTATTTTTAACAAACAGATACAAAACAAACTTTTGAAAATTTGGTCATTCATAAAAGTTTTTTTGCACCCAACGTGGCAGGGCGAAGGCCGCAGAGTGAACCTCAGAAGAATAGTACTTCAGGTCTATTGAATCGATTTCAGACTTTCCAAGTTTAGGCTTAACAAAGTCTTGATTTTTGTTGAGAGAGCCCATAACGAATCCAATATGGCCGCAGGGATAGGATGGAACGGAGGTGACTGCATATGCCACTTTAGCGAAGTGCTCCTTGCAGCCCGACATTGTCTTCTTTATGTAGTCCAGGTCCAGCCAAAAACTGCCGCCTTGGGAGCACACGATTCCATCGTCTTTCAGGGCGTGCTTCATCAGCTCATAGTAGCTTTCCTGGAACAAGCTCACCGCCGGACCAATTGGATCCGAGCTGTCTGTAATGATTACATCAAATTCGTTTTTGTGTTTTTTCATGTAGTCAAAGCCGTCGCCGATGGTAAGCTTTAACTTTTCGCTCTCGAATCCGCACGCCATAGCTGGGAGATATTTTTTGGACAACTCCACCACGCGGTCGTCGATTTCCACCTGATGCACCTCCTCAACCAATGGATGCTTCACCACTTCGCGAGCCACGCCACCATCACCACCGCCCACGATCAGGACCTTCTTGGGGTTGAGATGCGCGCAGAGCGGCAGGAAGGATATCATTTCCTGATACGAGAACTCGTCCCTGGCGGTGCATTGGATAATCCCATCTAAAATCAAGCACCTTCCATAGGTTTCGCTGGAATAGAAGTGACCAAATTATTGATTTTTCAGCGGAACTCAAAAGAATAAGCTAACTTGCTATCAGTTTTTTTTTCGTTTTTGGCCTTAGATGACTTCTTTGATAAGGCTGTTAGTGCAGATCAAGAATAAACACTCGTTGCGAAAGGGTCGAAATGCTGTCAAGGCAAATTGTATAAGCTACGGAAAATTTTGGGTTCTCCAATCTTACAAGAGAGCTTTAATACGGTAAACAATTTGGATTTTTTTTAAATTAACGTTCAGATTTTTAGTTTCAACTGTAAAATTTTCAATGAAAACAAATACCATTATGCCAACAAAATTTAATTTATATTTATTGTTTGCAACATACGTTTTAACAATATGAATATCCTAGAATTTTGAAAATGATGTCAAGGCAAATTTCAATCACTATGGGAAATTCTAATTCAATGTAATAAAATCTGATTAGTGTTATTTTAGACCTCTATCGTTTTTTTTTTTACATTTAAGTAATCTGTAAAGTGCCATCTTAGCAGCCTTTTAATTAATTCCCTGATCTTACTATTTTTACAAAGGCAAATTTTAGACTTTTAGTTTCAACTGAGGAATGTTCGATGTAAACAAATGCCTTTTGCCTAATGTTTTTGTTTATGTATTTGTTTACAACTCACGTTTCGACAACCTGGATATCCTGGAATTTCGACTTTTCCTTATGGATCAATTCCTTGATTTTAAGGGAGAAGGACTGTCCAGGCCAGAGTTCGGCCTGTAGTTCGCTGAACCATCCGTTAGTTAGGGAATCCATTTGATTAATGCTGCATCAATTCGGCGTTTGATAAGGTTGAGTCAACACGTGGAATTCACTAGAACGTACCGTATCTTGTATTAAGCTAGGTCTTAAAAAATACCTTAAAAGGTTATTAGTATAAATACCAAACTGATTTTAAATGTAATTTAATTTTTACTCTGTTTTTTATTAGCATAAGTCGTTAAAATAAAACCTTTGTTGCTAACCTGTGGTTTTTTTTTATTTAAATAAAAAGTTAAAGAATGACCAGAGTCTACAAATTAAAAAATTGCCAAATATAAACAATCAAGTTAAAAGCTCGTTTAATTTCTTATTATATACAAATTATATTAAAGTTTCGACGTCTTTTCGTTTTATTGAATTGGATTTGTTAAATACTAATTTTAGAAATATTAAAATGCATTAATTAATGAAAGTGTGAGTAAAGCCGATGTGAGTAAAATCAGATAAATTAAAAACAAGTAGATTATTATCAAAGAATTAACATATTCAAGAAAAATAATTTGCTAAAAAATTCACAATGAGCGAAACTCTAGACACATAGTTTCTTCTGAATCACTTATTTCGGATTCCAAAAATAACAGAAATTATTCTAACTTATTTAATAACGTAAAACTATATTAATATATATATTATTTAATTTAATAAATTGTTAGTTGGCAAACGGTCACTTTAGTGTTTCTAATTCCAGCTCAGACTATCGATAACGGCAGGGCATTATGCGATTGAGTATCGAAAGCATCCCTGATCGGGGCAAAAGACTACGTAGACGCACCTGATTGGTTTGATTTGGGCCAATGAAAACGTTCCAGCAAAACAAATCGTAAGATTTGTCATCCCTGTCCGACACGCACAGCTCAGATGCAATAAATAAATAGTACGTTTCGTTGCCGGCATTTAGCATTTAACTTTAACCGAGTTCGGACAACCAGTGAAGTTGGAAGAGTCAGTCCAAAAAGAAGTGTGGGATCGTTCACATGATGTGGTGCAAAACTGTGATTGTGTTGCTGGCGACAGTCGGCTTTATTAGTGCCGAAGTACATCTTCAGGAGAATTTCGATAGCGGTAAGTAATCGCGCCCACTCGAGTTTTACAAGCGGCATGTGGTTTTCATTGAAAAAAAAAACCGCTCATTTCCGCAGAAAACTGGGAGGATACGTGGATCTACAGCAAACATCCTAACAAGGAGTTCGGAAAATTCGTCCTTACCCCCGGAACCTTCTTCAACGATGCTGAGGCCGACAAAGGTATGTGTCACTCCCTTTCACGCTCATCTTCTTTTCCATTCTTTTCCTCCATTTTATTTTTACGTCGGCGTGTTATCTACTTGCCTGTGTAGAGAAAAAACCACTACGTGTACGTTTTCGAGTAGCTATAGTAACCGTATACATATTTTTTTTCTTCCCTCCCCTGCCACCGTCCATTGTGCATACAGGTATTCAGACCTCTCAGGATGCCCGCTTCTACGCAGCTAGCCGCAAGTTCGATGGCTTCTCCAACGAGGACAAGCCCCTCGTGGTGCAGTTCTCCGTGAAGCACGAGCAGAACATCGACTGCGGTGGCGGCTATGTGAAGCTGTTCGACTGCTCCCTAGACCAGACCGACATGCACGGCGAGTCGCCCTACGAGATCATGTTCGGCCCCGACATCTGCGGTCCCGGCACCAAGAAGGTCCACGTTATCTTCAGCTACAAGGGCAAGAACCATTTGATCAGCAAAGACATCCGCTGCAAAGATGACGTGTACACTCACTTCTACACGCTGATTGTGCGTCCCGACAATACGTATGAAGTGCTCATCGACAACGAGAAGGTCGAGTCTGGTAACTTGGAGGACGACTGGGACTTCCTGGCCCCCAAGAAGATCAAGGATCCCTCTGCCACTAAGCCCGATGACTGGGATGATAAGGTAGGTCTCCTCCCCCAAGCTTCGGCAAATTCAGACTTTGGCACTTAAAAGCCGGTTTTTACCTCAATGTTATTAAACGACATAACCCATTCCACAGGCCACCATTCCCGATCCCGATGACAAGAAGCCAGAGGACTGGGACAAGGCCGAGCACATCCCCGACCCCGATGCCACCAAGCCCGAGGATTGGGACGATGAGATGGACGGCGAGTGGGAGCCACCAATGATCGATAACCCCGAGTTCAAGGGCGAGTGGCAGCCAAAGCAGCTGGACAACCCCAACTACAAGGGCGCTTGGGAGCATCCGGAGATCGCCAACCCCGAATATGTGGCCGACGACAAGCTGTACCTGCGCAAGGAGATCTGCACCCTGGGCTTCGACCTCTGGCAGGTTAAGTCTGGCACCATCTTTGACAACGTCCTGATCACGGATGACGTGGAGCTGGCCGCCAAGATTGCCGGCGAAGTCAAGACCACCCAGGCCGGCGAAAAGAAGATGAAGGAGGCCCAGGATGAGGTGCAGCGCAAGAAGGACGAGGAGGAGGCGAAAAAGGCGTCCGACAAGGACGACGAGGACGAGGATGATGACGATGAGGAGAAGGATGAATCTAAGCAAGACAAAGATCAAAGCGAACACGACGAATTGTAAGGACGTTTAGGGAAAATTACGTCAAAAAATATTCGGTATTTTTTGTATGTTGGTGACTGCTTTGATGTTGTAAGCAAACGGAAACCACAATTACAATTTGTAAGACTTATAATTTATAAACATAAAACGTGTTGTTTTATTTCAACGTTATCTGGGTTGTTTAAGGGGTTGACAACTTGTTTTTATATGAAAACTGTGCGGCGCAGCCATATCGATACAACCCAACGATATGGCAACGCTAATTTATAGAGAATTGTTTTTCAAACCGTGATTTTATTACTTTTTAAAGAAAATTAATTATGAGAGAATACGGATTAGAACATATATAGGTGACTGCAGACTTAATTAAGACAACCTTGCCTTTCGAGCTAAAAAGAAATGTAGTGGTTTCCCTTTCTAAATTTCCGAAAAATGGCTTTGAAAAGAGCCAATAGACGCACTGCTCAGCCCATGAATTGACCTATTAAAAACCGGATTTCAAATCGAAGCTTAATTGTTGTGATTGCCCCTTCGAATCAAGTTAAGAAACTACATACAAATCGTGTTAAAACATAAATATTAATTCAAACTGAATAAGGAGAAAATAACCCATCATAACTTAATTTATTTATTTAATTATATAATACTTCTTAGTCATGTCTTAAACGTATCACTTCAACTGTTGCTCTTGGTCAGGGTCACGATGCTTGTTCAGGAAGTGGCGCTTCAGGTGGTGTTTCTCCCGGAAGTCCTGCAGGCAAACGGAGCACTTGTAGGGGCGATCGTCGGTGTGACGCCGCCGGTGCTTGGCCTGGTTGTTTTTGTCCGAAAAAGTCTTGGGGCAAAGGGGACATTTGTAAGGCTTCTCGCCAGTGTGCGTGCGGATGTGTACCGTGAGACCTGATTTGGATCGGAAGCTGGAAATGCAGAACGGACAAGAGTGAGGCCGTTGGTCCATGTGGGCGTTGGTGTGCACGGTGAGGGCCGCCTTATTGGTGAATCCCAAACGGCAGTAAGAGCACTTGTGGGGCCCGTTGCCCTGGCTAGAGTCCCCCGCCGTGTGAATCAACAGGTGGACCTTAAGGAGATGATTGTGGGTAAAGATCTGTGGACAGTGGGGGCATTGGAACGCCCTTTTCTTTGTCTCCAGGCATTTGTGACTGTCCAAGCTCCGGGTAGTCGAAAATACCTTCAAGCAGGTGGGGCACTCAACAACATAATCACTTGTGCGATAACACTGATGCTTATCCAAATCAGTTTTGAACAGAAAACGCTCTCCGCAAGTTTGACATACATGGGAATTGCTGTGGACTCTGGATAACAAAAGTTACCATTAGTTACAAATGCATGCATAACAAGTATATTTCCTTGTATACTTACTTCATATGTTCCAGTAGTCTTCTTTGATGCCGGAACTCCTTGGCGCAGAGTTCGCACTTGAAGGACTGCTTCTTTCTACCTTTTGGCTTCAAACGGGCTTTACGTGACAATTTTGGTTTTGGCTTGCTCTTTTTGGTGTTTATTTTTGGCGAATTTTCTTTGGCAGTTTCTTCCATGGGGCTTTCGTCGAACTCCTCCTTCACCACCAGATCGCTTTCAAGCTGTTCCTCAATGACAAAGAAATTCTCGGTGGGCTCCTCCTTGACGGACTGCCAATCATTAATCGCTAAGTAGAATTTTCTGTGGCTCTCCTCGCATCTGCGCTTGAACCCGTAGGCTGTTCGTGCGTCGTGAACACAGGCAATGCAGATTTGTTGGGGGAAGCAATCCCCGGGATCTAACTGGACGTCGGCACATGTCTTGACCATCTCGGCGAGATTCGGTTCGAATTCGACCTGTCCCTTCGGTTCATGCTCGTCGAAAATTCCCACCAACGTTTTGGAGTGGTCGCCACAAATTCGGCAAATGTCTTCCATAATTTTAGAAAAATTGAATTCTCCAAAATACACCTCATAATCGGCTTAGAGAAGCGAATTTCCGTTTGTTTTTTGTTTGTCTGCGGCTTTATAGGGATGGACTTTTTAACGTGACTGGTCAGTGATTTCAAAATTACAGATAACGTTTTAATATATAAATCAATTTTTTTTATCGATAACTTTAGCAACAATCGCCTACCTGATGTTTCAAAATATAAATTGCGCGGTAATTTTTTTTGCTAACAAACATGGAGCTTATAGATAAGATCTTATTCAATTTACATTTTTAGCTGACCCAAAAGTTTTTTTTTCAGCAGTCTAGATGCTCGAATTTTGACCTTTTTTTAATAATTAATTTAAAAAAAGCAATAGATATTTTTACTATCCGTTTTTTTATCATTTGTTTATTAAACTTAAAGAAGTACATAAAATAAGTTAAAAAAAATTAGTTTTCATTGAGTTATTCCTTCTTGAAGAAGAGGGAGAAAAAAGAGTCCGTGTCCGCGTCGCCATGATAAACGCGTTTAAAGTTTTACGGCAGCGTAACTGATTATATTATATTATGTATAATTTACATTATCTTAATCAGCTAGCCCAGCTCCATACAATGACCTTCAAATGATTAGTGTAGTATGTTGGAAACAAGGGTATTGTTATAGAAAGAAGGAGAGAAAGTTATTCATACTAAGGTAGCCCGGGCTTCCAGCCACCTATTGTTCCAGTCGTTCTTTAACCGGTCTAGTTGCCACGTCACTAAAACGGCTATAACTTTAAAAAATAATTTTAAATTTTTTATTGAAAAATCATTTTAGGGAGATATTTGTGAATATAAAAACTATCGAATTTTTCGATTTTCTAAAATTTCTAGACTAGAAGACCTCCTTAAATAAGAACCGTGTCAAAGATACATTTTTCTAGTTTACATATGGATGCTTATGTAAACCGAAATTTCGCTTCTTTAGCCTCCAATAAAATTTGACAGGTATTTCGGACCTCAACTATTTTTAAACATATGAATATAAACCAAAAAATAATCAAGAAGAGTATTTGCAATGCGATTTCATATTCTAAAGCATCTAGACCAAGTAAAAAGCAATGCATTGCGTTTTTAACGGTGCCGTGAAATTACCCCTTAAATCTAATACAATCTTCAACAAAAACTTCAGTTACTACGTGCTAACTTTATTGCAAGCATGAACAAACTTACTGTGAATATAATTTTAACTATTGTATTGTTCTTCCTTATATGGCAACCCTTCACGTGTTTGGAAAAAAAAGGCAGAATATTAATAAGCAATTTAAGTTAAATATGAAACAGGTAAGATGCTTACACTTGGGAATAAATTAAGTTGATATAAATATGTAACTCTTATAAAGTTGATAATATTGTACCAATACCAATGATGTGAGTAGAGCGCGTATCCAGTCTATGCTGGTTTGTAAGGATAAATAATTGACTGTAGTTAAGATTTAACTATTAATTTCATATTTTCGGGCATGATAAATAAATGTCGATACATAAATGATACATAAATGTCGAACTCCGAAGATCCGGAAATATCAACTTTTATATCGTTTTTTTTATCAAATCCAGATGTTGGAATGCCATGCACAAAAAATATTATAAATTTAAAATTTTTTTTTTTGTTGGTTCCGGCGATAGAGATATATTTAAAGAATATTCATGCCAAATTTCAAGTAAATCGACGGATTAGAACTTGAGATAAAGTGGCGACCTCATCAAAAAAGCAGTTTCGAGAAAAACGCGTTTAAAGTTTTAGGCGAAGTTTCGGGCAGCGTAACTGATAGAATATAATGTTAAAGTAACATTCTCTTAATCAGCTATCCCAGCTCCATACAATGACCTTCAAACGATTAGTGTAGTATATTGGAAATAAGGGTATTGTTATAGAGAGAAGGAGAGAAAGTTATTAATTCTAAGGTAGCCCGGGCTTCTAGTCACCTATTGTTCTAGTCGTTCTTTAACCGGTCTAGTTACCACGTCACTAAAACGGCTATAACTTTAAAAATAATTTTAAATTTTTTATTTGAAAAATCATTTTAGGGAGATATTTGTGAATATAAAAACTATCGAATTATGAAAAAAATTTTTGATTTTCTCAAATTTCTAAACTAGAAGACCTCCTTAAATAAGAACCGTGTCAAAGATACATTTTTCTAGTTTACATATGGATTCTTAAGTAAACCGAAGGTAGCGAATAGATTTAAAACATAAAAAAATTTCGCTTCTTTAGCCTCCGATAAAATTTGAAAGGTATTTCGGGCTTCAACTATTTTGAAACATATGAATATAAAACAAAAAATAATCAAGAAGAGTATTTGCAATGCGATTTCATATTCTAAAGCATCTAGACCAAGTAAAGCATCGAATTGCGTTTTTAACGGTGCCGTGAAATTACCCCTTCAATCTAATACAATCTTAAACAAAAACTTCAGTTACTAGCTGCTTACTTTATTGCAAGCATGAACAAACTTACCGTGAATATAATTTTAACTATTGTATTGTTCTTCCTTATATGGCAGACCTTCACGTATCACATGGTTTTGGAAAAAAAATGTCAGAATATTAATGAACAATTTAAGTTAAATATGAAACAGGTAAAATGCTTACACTTGGGAATAAATTAAGTAGAGTGTTTCGGCACATTTGATATAAATAAAACTTATAAAGTTGATAATATTGTACCAATACATGATGGAATGCCACGTTGAATTCGTTATAAAGTTTCCAATCGATTGGCCCTTTTGAAAAATGGCAAAAACCGGAGGATCCGGAAAAATCAACTTTTATTGCGGTTTTTTGATCAAAACAATGGGAAATAATGGTCGCACGATGGAATGCCATACCTCGTTGAAATCGTTATAAAATTTCCAATCAATTGGCATTCACAGCTCAAAATTTTCATTTTGGTCGATTTTTCGCAAAAATAGATGATGTAACCCCTTATGAAAAATGCCAAAATCCGGAGGATCCGGAAAAATCGACTATTATTGCGGTTTTTTGATCAAAACCATGGGAAATAATGGTCGTACGATGGAATGCCATACCTCGTTGAATTCGTTATAAAATTTCCAACCGAATGGCATTCACAGCTAAAAAATTTAATTTTGGTCGATTTTTCGCAAAAATAGATGATGTAACCCCTTATGAAAAATGGCAAAAACTGGAGGATCCGGAAAAATCGACTATTATTGCGGTTTTTTTTATCAAAACCATGAGAAATAATGGTCGTGCGATGGAATGCCATACCTCGTTGAATTCGTTATAAAATTTCCAATCGAATGGCATTCACAGCTCAAAATTTTCATTTTGGTCGATTTTTCGCAAAAATAGATGATGTAACCCCTTATGAAAAATGGCAAAAACCGGAGGATCCGGAAAAATCAACTTTTATTGCGGTTTTTTTATCAAAACCATGGGAAATAATGGTCGTACGATGGAATGCCATACCTCGTTGAATTCGTTATAAAATTTCCAACCGAATGGCATTCACAGCTAAAAAATTTAATTTTGGTCGATTTTTCGCAAAAATAGATGATGTAACCCCTTATGAAAAATGGCAAAAACCGGAGGATCCGGAAAAATCAACTTTTATTGCGGTTTTTTTATCAAAACCATGGGAAATAATGGTCGCACGATGGAATACCTCGTTGAATTCGTATAAGGTCAAATGAGGTCAAATGTTGGAATGTCATATGAATTCCTTATAAAATTTTCAATCAATTTGTATTCTCAGCTAAAAAATTTTCTTTTCGGCCATTTTTCGAAAAAAATCATAATGGTAACCATGAAACCTTAACCATAACCTTATGAAAAATGAATAAATCTGTAAAAAAATGATTTTACAAAATTATGCTGGAATCGGTAGTTTAGGTCCTCAGCTAAACAAAGCAGTCATTCCTTTGGCTGTACGTTTTATTGTGGCATAGTTAGAACTAACCAGAAAGAAAGCAAACTTCGGAAAGCCGAAGTTTAAACACCCTTGCAGTTATACCGAAATTTGACGTCAGCGTGTACTTTTTATATGCCGATCCGAGAACTATATGACCGCTTACTTAAGCTTTTTTAAGCGACATAAGCTGAGTCAAGAAACCGGCTTAACTGCGAGAATGTCGAAGAGAGGTGGTAAAACAGCTCTCCCCCTTTCAGTTCGGTGCTGACCGAAATTAAGCCCCGAATGTGACAAAACAACGCTCAGTTGTTGAACTAAAATCGAATACGACGGTCGCATAAACTTGTGCTTGGCATTCGCGAGGGCAACCCAACGGACGTACAAACCTTCATTCTCAAACCCCGTCGAAGGCCAATCGATTAGCGTACAGAAAGCTCAAAGTACTAACCAAAACATGTTCACATTACCCACTGCCTTAAGCCTTCTGCTGCTGATCTTGAGTCCTGGCTGGGCTGAGCTCGACGATAAGCCCCGGGAAAAACGCCAGTCCGATAAGGTTTGGTTGCATTCTTTAAGCTTTTTCTTTTTCTTATTTTGTGATTTTAATCTTGCTTTTGAAAAAAATAAAGTCGAATTAATCTTGTAGGCTAATCAAGTTCTTTGCGAGCTCGGAATATGGCGAATTAACCTTTATACTTAGCCTGAACTCTCAACTTTCGTTATGTAAATTTCTTTTCAATCTAACCCAAATTCAAATTTAATATATATGCTGTATGCATTTTGAATACCACATCATTTTTTTTTTTTTTGATTCCCATCGGATGATTAGCTTAAGATAAACTTCTTTGTATATTTTGTTTTTATTTTATATAATATTATTTTTCTGTTCCTAACCAATTTTGAGCTTTTTTCCAGCTGCACGTAACGCTGCTCTACGAGTCCTTGTGTCCGGACACCAGGAACTTCATGCATCAGCTGGGACCCGTGTACAAGGAGTTCCAGGACTACATCGATATTCTGCTGGTGCCCTTTGGCAAGGCCCAGTCGGAGCGGAATGGAGCCATCTTCCACTGCCAGCACGGACCGGCTGAGTGTAAGGGAAACCGCCTGCAGGGTTGCGTCATCAATTCCACTGCAAACCAGGCGGCCCAGGTGCAATTCGTGGTGTGCCAAATGCTGGCTCCGGATTACTCCCGCATTGACCAGGTACTTTCACAGTAGAGCCATGGTGTTTGCCCAACTAATTGACGGCCATGGTGCGATTGCGAATAATTCGAACTTCCCATCCGCAGTGTGCAAATGAGGCGGGCCTGCTCACCGACGTTGTCCAATGCCTGTCCAGCGAGACGGGCACCAAGCTGCAGCTGCAGGCGGAGCTGGTGACCAAAAAGTACAGCCCGAGCTTCATCCCCACCATCGTCTACAATGGCGTAAGTTCCCGCGATCGATCGCAGCCGTAATCGAATGCATTTAACTGGTTTTCAACATCGTATTCGCTTTTCGTTTCCACATGCAACAGGTCTTCGATCAGCAGCTGCAGGACCATTCGCTGCGCGACTTCCGCGGCACGGTTTGCTATTTGTTGCGTCAACGAAACTTGCTGCCCAGCAGCAGCACAATCTGCCAGTAGATCTGCTAAATGTTCATTGTAACTGCCTCAAGTTTGGAATGAAATTAAAATTCAGAAACTGGTTTCTTCAGCTGAACAAGAATTTTTTCTGCTGGGGGAATGGAATAAATATATTCAAGTGAAACAAAACGATACCAGAGAAAGAGCATTCCAAAATTGGTTCAGTATTCTATAATTTCAATATAAATCAAAATGATCTTACAATTTTTTTGGTAAATCAGTATTTTAAAGAATGTTGTTAATATTACTTTGTGATTTATGGTTTAACGAAACAGAATGCTTTCCAATTTTCTTTAAGTTTTTTCTCTGTACACCACACTTCATTCAGATAATAATTTATATTGGTACGTAAGATACAGTTCATCAATTACAATCGTGAAAATATATATAGTACATGCAGTGCGTAGGGCATCTAATTTATTTACAAGGGCGTACAATATAAATTCATTATTTTTGGAATAGGGGGCTCAGAGTGATGATGGGATGGGGAATGGGGGAATATCGTTAGGCTTTCCTCTCGATGAACCAACAACAAATGACTTAACAACTATGTGCTAATGGCTAACATACAACTATGGTTTCAATTTCTTGCACTTTGTGTTTTGCTGTGGTCGCTGACGGGTGTGCAGAAATAACAATTTGTAGACGGGTTTCCGTTGTGATTAAAGCATTTCCCTCAGACGGCCGTACCCGGAGCCTTGCCAGCGGATGAGCCAACTGAGGCACCGGTGGCCGCATTGAGGCTAAGCGAGCGACGTGGAGCCGGCTTTGGTGGAATCTGCGGCTTGACGGGCGCAATCTTGGCCAGAGTTACGCTAGCCTCGCTGATGAGCGGCTGTTGTCCCGGTCGTTCCTTCTCCTGGAACTCCACATAGCCGCTCTCGTCGCTGTCGGAGGCCTCATCCGGATGGTCGCTCCTCTCCTGTTTGTCCAGTTCATCGCTGCCGGAATTGCTGCGCTTCAGCGTGATGCTGCTGGAGCTGCTGTAATTGGTGGCATCGCCGCTGTTGTTCCGCAGCTGGTGCTCCAGTCTTTGGTAGATCATCATCTGTTCCAGCACCTGCGCCTGCTCCAGCTCCAAGTCCTGCAACTGTAGCTGCGACTGCTCCAGCTGGCCGGGATCGCTGTCCCGCTTGCCATTGTACTCCTCGTGGTTGGCATTGGTGACTGTGCTGGCCGTCTCACAGCCGCTGGATATGGATCCCTCGTCGCTGTCTGGACTGGCCAAGCCCTGCTGAGCGGATCCTCCTCCCGCTGCCGCCGAAGTGCTGGCCGTCGTCGAGCTGGACGCATTGGATGAGATGGATGACTGCGCCTGGTGGCGGTACTTAAGGCTTGACTGATCACTCGCTCTCATCTTCCTCATCGAACTGCGATGCAGCATGGTGAGCATGGCCGCATGACGGAAGTAATGGTCGTCCGCATCGTCCAGGAAATCCTCCTCCCCATCGCTGCAGACGCCACTGCGTCGCGGCGCGGGTACATCGTGATCCTCGGAGTTGTAGTCTGCCTCCGGATCCGCACTGGGATCGCTGTTAATCGTGGGCAGCAAGGCTCAGCGGCTCGCCCTCCTCCTCCTCCTTCAGGTCGGTGAGGCTCACCATGCTCTGGCTGCTGTTCTTGTGCAGCTGCATGTCAAAGTACGGTAGCAACTCGTTGCTCAGAGTCGTATCGAACTTCAGCAGCTTTTCAAAGTCATCCGAATCAGAGCCATCGTTAGAGGGACTGATTGGGCTAACTAATTTCTGGGCCTCCTCCTTGGGCAACTCCTTCGCCATGTGCGAGCTGCAGCAGGGCGAGAAGGACTGGATCTTTCCCGTTCTACGGATCGAGTGCCCGCGACGACAACGACGTCTGCCCAGAGTCATGGCCGGGTACAGGGAATCCTTTTGACAGCAGGGCATCATCTCCGGCTCGTTGGTGTCCTCGATCTCGTCGCCCTCCTCCTCGCCGATGGCCTCCTCGATGGCCATCAGCTTGGGCGCCGACTTGGAGCGCTCCAGCGGCGGTCGGTAGTTGTTGCCGCCGACACTCAGCATGATCTTGCGGCGCGGCAAGCTCGGGTTGTCGTAGACGGCGTTGGCCAAACTCAGGCGAGCGTTTTGCTTCAGAATTTTCTCACGCTTAAATTCGCGCAAAGCGCTGTCCAAGTTTTCCTATCAAGAATTAAGATACAGGTTAGAGAAAGATTACATAAAATAATGTATGAGATAAGAGCCTGCAGGAATGGAAACATGAGCAAACCTATCTTACTAGCCTTGAAATCCTACAGAAAGAATTACATTTCTCATGGGTATAAGTGAGTTTAAGAACTTCAGATGTAAGTAAAAACAAGAGAGAACGCTATAGTCGGGTGCCCCGACTATCAGATACCCGTTACTCAAGTAAAGGGAGTGCGAGGGAGATGGAGATAGAAACTTTGATCACGCATAACTTTTTAAGGAATGGTCCGATTTGAAAAATTTCTTCTACATTTCGATAGGTATTGATAAACACAATAAAACTGCATTTTTACTTTTCCGAAATGTTTAAATTTGTAAAATCGTATATAAGCGATTGTGGGCGTTAAAGGGGGCGTGGCACCTTTTTGAAACAAACTTGCGCTGCGTAGGAACTCCTAGAATCTGCATGCAAAATGCCAATCTTCTAGCTTTTATAGTTTCCGAGATCTCAGCGTTCATACGGACAGACAGACAGACAGACGGACAGACAGACGGACAGACGGACAGACGGACATGGCTATATCGACTCGGCTAGTGACCCTGATCAAGAATATATATACTTTATAGGGTCGGAAACGCTTCCTTCTAGCTGTTACATACTTTTGCACGAATACAATATACCCTTTTACTCTACGAGTAACGGGTATAAATATATATATTTATTGTAAGAAACATTACAAATTGAACTTGTCACGCTTTATAGAGATTGCACATAGTAGCAAGAAAAACGATTGATAAAAATAAATGTTAGTCATGCTTATTTATATGATTAACTTGAAATACGGAACCACTTGAATTTAATCTTGAATTTGCAGACTGTATTCCATTCTAGCAGAAAGCAAGTCAGAGGCAATAGCTTACCCTCAATGTATCGCAAATGTCCTGGGCGATCTTCTCCTTGCTGCAGAGCACTGCATGGCATCGCAGCTCGTGCTTCAGCTTCCGGCCCTCATGGCGATAGATCCAACAGAACACCCGCGGATAGTTCTTCGGCGCGCAGCAGTAGGTGATCCTGTGGGCCCAGTACTCCGTGAGGCCATGCTGCCGGGTGGTGGCCTTCAAGCCGGAGGCACACACCTTCAGTCGCATGATCACATCCGGTTTGGAGTGCTGGGTGTAGTTCCGCCACAGCGTGTTCAGCTGCTTCTCCACACAACCCTCACCTGCTAAGGGTACAACATTAGTATGGATTCGTTGGGAATTTAGGAATTGTATGCTTGACTCACCCTTGGCCCAGCCGGTCAGGACATTGCCCAGATAGGACACCTTGAACTCCGGGTCCGGCGTGCTGATATCCACGCTGTGGGTGCGCCTCCAGAGTTTACCCAAGCTCCGGGTGAGCGTGCGAATGGCCTTGGAGCTGAGCTGATCGTGCTGGTCATGACCACCAGTGCGACCCACATGCTCTTGCCGGCTGCCGTAGAGCAGGTCCCGGGAGTCGGTGGTGAGGGTAATGACGTTTGTGACCCTCACGGTGTCATCCTCGCCAGCCACATCGCCGTCCTCCTTGGACACCCGCTTGAATCGCTCCAGATAGGGACCTCCTCGACCCCGGCGTCCGCTGTAGGTGTTGAACTTGCCGCCCTCCGAATTGGCCAGACGCTTCTGTTCCTGCTTCTCGAACTTCTTGGCATTGTAGGTGTTGCCCAGCAATCTGGCCAAGCTGTTGCTCTTCACGAACTTGTGTTGCCGCGGTGGCGTTCCAATCGGCACCGGCGGAAGGGGGGCGGGTGACGTGGGCGTGGTCGTCGTCGGGGAATTATCCTTGCCGCCCGCTTCCTGGTTCTCGTGTGACTTGCTCTGACTCAGCTTCTTGCTGCTCCCAAAATGAAAGAGGGTGCGACGCTCCTTGGCTTTTTTCAGGGTGTTGCTGTTTGGTTCGTTGTTTGGTGTTGCTGCTGTGCATGTTGCTGTTGCTGCTGGTGTTGCTGCTGCTTTGGTGTTGATCACCGCTTGACTCACGCTGGACAGATCTTCATAATCGTTGTTATTGTTGTGCGTGGCCACTATAAAGTCAACCTCATCACAACCCTCGGAATTGTGCTCCACTTGGGATTTGGTGTTGCTAATGCTGCCACTGTTGCTGGCTGCCATTTTGGTTGTGTTGCTGATGTAACCAATCAATATACGTTGGTTAAAAGCATGTTACAGATGATCTGCAAGCGGAATAAGGAAAGATAATCATAAAATTAGCATTAACCAATTAAAATGCACGAAAAAGGCAGAAATTGGACTGTTAAAAACTTAATTGCTAGATAACTCCTTTTGGGAATCACATTTACGAAAATTAGCAACTGAATTAACGTTCAAATAAAAAACCATACAGCAGAGGAAAATTACTCTGTTAAAATATTTGTTGGCGAATGGAAATTTTGTTTTGCAATATAATTATTTTAAAACGCACATCCAATTGGATGTTATTGTATAAATAATTTGCATGATTCAATTATTAAATGTTATCGACATTGTTCCTTTGTTTTAATATTTTTCTTATTTTCTTTTAGGTATATTTATTTTATTTATAAGCTTTAAAAAAATGTTTTAGTTTAACAAGCTATAACTGGAAATTAAAAGCCCTAGCTTTATGCTTGCAAATTAAATTACTTTTATGTTCGTATTTATGAATGAGTGTTAGGAGGTTAGATTGGACACTAATGCCACACTTTCACCCATCGGATACAATTCGCACTCCCAACGTTACCACCAATTCACACCCGATTTCGAGTGAATTTTTCCAGCAACTGCGGCCGAAAAGTGTCAACTGACTAATAAATTACCCCATGATTAACACTCAGCAGCAGCTGTAAAATGTTTTTTCCTTCCAGTCTCGTTTTTTTCGCACAGCTTACAGTAT